TAGATAGACCCATTTCTGAAAAGCTATACCCTGCATGCATAGTGTAGTTACAGACAAAGCTCTCTTTTAAGAAGCAAAGTCGAAAAAATGCAAAGGATAGAAAATTGTATGACCCACCTCTAATCCTCAAAGCACTATCACAAACACAAGAGAAGTAAAATGTGTAATTTATAGCATGTATTGCTCTTACGAGATTGTATTAGTAGTATTTAGAGGTGCAGCATAACCCAGACTGAGTTTCATAACATGATCATTTCCCATGCATTATGCCACTTTCTCAACATGATTTTTTCTATATAATTTGAATGAAGTCATATTTATTCTTGCATTTCTAAGTAATTTCAAATATGGGCAGTTTGTCTGGTTGTTTTAGTCCATGCTTTTTCACATAATTTTGTATTTTAAAACATAAGCCACCATGACATTTTGAAAGATATGTAATTCTAGAATATGATGCAAACCAGCAAAGGTACATGTGCACATGTTCCCAAACATATTTTGAAGGTGTATTATTTGTAAGGTTATGAAGCATGTAGTACAGTTAGGTGCATTACTACAAGAAAACATGTTTGCTATCTCCCTAGTAATGAAGCAGATGAACGATGCATCCACTGGAGGTTTTTAAAAAGAGGCTTGTATATCGATATACTTGAAAATAAGAAAACGTGTGGCTGAGAAAATGAAAATGTGGTAGCTGAGTAGAAATTAGCTCATATATTGTATTTGATTCAGGGTTCAAAACTTACAGTTGTCTAACTGCCAAAGTCAAGACTTTTCACTCTTGGCAATGAACTTAAAAAATAAGTTGCCAAATGGGCAATAGACTGAATGCCAATATATCTTAAATTGGGCAATCATGGTTATTTTTATAATCTGTGTATTGTTTTGTTCTGTGCTTCAGACTGTTCAGTAAGATTTCAGGAACTTCTTGATTGATGAGAAATTTAGTTCACACAAGTGTGGAAGTATTTACCATGGGATTTGTATTTGTTTTTGTTTGAAACATGGTCTAACAGGAAAGAGGTTAATTAAGCCAAGCTATATACATGATGTAGGAAATACACTACATATGTGTAACTGACCTTCTTAGACATTTGTTGTGTTCATCGTGATGCAATGATTATATCTCAGGTTTTCGTCATGAAATTGTGGATGAAGGATTTTGGTGCAACATTTTAGGATTTTTTTTTTAAATTTGGGGATTTTTGACTTTCTGGGGATAAAATCTTGGAATAATTCATGTTACTGATTTCAGTATAGTGAGAGCCCTGAACATTATTGTTCTATTTTGATTTTAAGCAGACTCTCTGTTATTTATTCCATTCCTTATTTCTTGGGAGAGCATGGCATTCCATAATGCCATAACATATTAACATACATATCTGTTGTTTGAGAAGTTCATGCTACCATACAGTGTACTGTTCGACAGCAAAATTCCCATTTTACCTATATTGACTCAGGAAGTCCTAATTTGGTCAAACTATCCCCAATCTTCATGGTTTTCCAAATTCTTAGATAGGCGCAAATATATTTTTATTAGGTGCATATAGATATTTAATTGGGTGCAAGGTGATTTTCAATTTCTAACTCACTATACTAATTTGTTTTCATAGTAAATAGACCAGAAATAGAGATTTCATAACCCCACATCATCCTAATATAAAATAAAGCATATAGATGGATTTTTAAATTAACATCAGATTGAGAAAAAATGCTGAGAGATATTTAGAGCAAGGTTAAAATGTGAAATTAGCATTTTGAAAGCTGGTTTCCCTATTCATATCAATATAGTCTATGAGGTACTTAAAAGAAACACATGGCCCTGCAATCTGGAATGTGGAATGTATATTTTCATGACCAAATGTTCAAGGTAAGGGGTGGATCAACAATTTGCCTTTTTGGTAATTGGTTGATGCTAATCTGTAAAATATTGTAGTAAGTGATGACTGTAGGGTAGACAGTACACAAATTATTACTAACAATAAAGGTATAAATGGGTAAAGAGTAATATTAGTGATCTCCCCAGCATTAAAGCATGTGGGCGCAGCACCCACCTGAGATTTTGATAACAGGCTTCCACCCACTTGAAAATCCATTTGCACCCACTTGAAAATGAGGAAAATTGGCATATTTTGACCATTTTTGGTTTGAATTGTGAAAATGAGAATTTTGCACCGACTTGAGAAAAAATCCTATGGAGATCACTGAATACATGTATAGTCATAATAATAAGGCATGATTGTCAGCTTAAAGGGGAGTGGTTTATGTGTTCATGTTTCTTTATTACCACCTATAAGATTGTGATTGTTTCTTCAAACTAACAATAGAGGGATCTGAGTCATTCTATTTAGATTATTGGCTGGATGATGGTCACTTGAAATTAGCTTTAGAGGGGAGGGGGTGAAAAATATTATTAAAGTCAGAGGTGTTCAGAGGTTTTCTGTTATTTGCATCATATATTATGAAATAGATATCTCAGAAAAGTGTCCAAATTATCAACATGTTCTACATTCCTAATTCCCACGTTTTATATTTTTTCCATATCCTGTCTGATAAGCATTGATGTTAATATCCCAATAGATGATGTCATATTGGCCATGTCACACTGCAGGGTTATATAAAAATATCATTGATTTGAATATTTTACCTGCCAGTTGTTGTTTTTTTACCTGCCATCTTCTTCCTTTGATTCTAGTTCCGTTCTCTACTAATATAGGTGTGGACAGTTGGTTAAAAATTCATGAGGATTGATCAGGAAAGATTAAATCAATTTTCTGAAATTCTAAATACTATACTAAACTGTCAAAATAAAATAGATGAAAAAATTTCTGACTTTGCAACTTAAGCCATCTCGACAATCAATTTATTAGGTTTTTATAATATTTTCCCTGAAGGGTTAAGTGAATGTCTATATTAGTCTCTCTAAAGGTGAACTTTCTTGTGGTTTGGGTCACGATGACACCTCTTTGAAAAATGTCTGTCTCATGATTTGATTTTCATTTAAAAGCATTTGTGGATGAGGGTGAGACAAATTAGCATATTACACGCTCTAAATTGTGTGTATTGTTAAAAAGAAGGATGTTAAGAATCCCCATGCTAGATGAATGTATATTTGAATATCCCTACACTCCGAAAATGAATCTGCAAGAGGGGCTGTTAATAGAATGTATATCTTGGCGCAGAGATAGCATTGCAATTCAGATATTCCGACTTATCGCCTCATTTTATTTTCTCTCAGAGTAAGAGCCACATATTTATACTAACATTTCATGCATCATAAAACCTCATAAATAAAGATAGTGTTAACTTAAAAAGTATTAGCTAGTAATAGTCTTGCTCCAAGCCCTTCTGACATGTGCCTCATATATGCCTCATTAGCAGATTGCGTAGGGGGGGGGGGGGGGGTTCAGAGACTTAATACAAGACTAGGCTAGTATTGCATCAATGCTAATCCCAGCCAATTTAGCAAGTAAGCTCTATATCCATGTGATTTTGAGATCGGTCAAGATTGTGAACATTTTACCCACTTAGAAAAAATGTTGATGTCAGCGAGGTACAGTAGATTGTATACCTACCTCATATCCTTCATCAAAGAACTTCATTTCTGCTCTGGCAAAAATTTCTTTCAAAATCATGCAGTTTCTCACCATTCTGAGCACTGTTCAAGTGATTTTGACCCTTTTTGGGCCAAAATAGTCAAAATTGAACCCCTCTTGGAATTTTTCAAAAAATGAACCCCCTGGCAAATCCTAGCTACGGGCCTGAAGGATGCTACCTCAGTTCATGATACGATATACTCCATATTACGCCTACAACATTCAGACAATGTTTTACATATCTTAAACAGATCTGACAAGATATGAGCCAGATAATTAGTTGTAAAGAATATGTGTAAAGGATATAATGCTGTGTGATCAGATGAATCTTCATTACACAGTCTTTAAGAAAATATGATATGACATGAGGTTGCTTTGACACGCTGAAATAACCGAAATATGACAAACAGCTAGATTAGGTGTAAAAAATGTATAAAGGATCTAATTTTGTGAAATCTGAAATTTTATGAGGGATATTGAAGAAATAGAAAAGTAAGTCCGTATCCAGTGATTTTTCTCTCATATTGGTGAGATAATATCTAATTATTGACAGTTTCTGAAGTAGTATCTCAGTTGGAGTGCTTATATTTACATGTCAAAGTAGGGATATCATGTTTTCAAGTCCCACGGTTCTTACAATTTCCTTCTATGTTACATCCAAACATTCAATTCGCCAACTCATGAATCTACCCTGACTCCATATCAGCTAGCCATGGTACCTTTCCTCTGACTGTGACGGATGAGTTTGCTTGTAAAAGATTCTATCCTCAAAAGGACTTAATGATCTAAAATGGATCTTTCATGGGCTTTTGGGGGGTTTGAAAAAGAAATGAACTTTAAGGATTGTGGTATTCTGGATAGTATATTATATTATGATTTGTAATTTTGAGAGTTAAAACAACATTTCCATCTTTTCAAGGGTAACTCAATGATGTTTGACATTTCCAGCAGTTGCAACACGATGACTCATTATTAGGAGACATAGCCATGATCTCATTCTGTATAATATTTGCATATTGTCTCATTTTAGGAATGATGGACATATTCAGTACTATAATTAAGTAGCAAGTCATACTCCTATCACACTATCTTTGACTTGTAGTTGTTCAGTTGTACATGTATGGTTTTGTTTGTTATGTATATCCACATGCATGTCATCTTTATGAACATATTTTTTCAGTTTCTTTCATAAAATTATGAGCGTTTGATTATTATCAGTCATATTAGGCCTGGGGAGAACCACCTGCATACAGTCTGGAGACATGATTCAAAGTGACACATAAAACATAATGTGTTTACTATGAGCCATGAGGTCACATCTTCCAGTTCATTTCAGCAATCAGTATTCATGTTTTGACATTCTTTTCCCATTGAGTAACGTTTTCTTCATTCGTGTACTTGCAGGAGAAACGGTGATCCACTATGAGGGCGCCACCGCAACTTTCGACATCCTCATCAACCCACCAATCGCAGTCGTCAAACAGACCCTCAAGGCCGTTCTTGCAATACCTAGCAACCATCGCCATATTGTTTTTGCTGGGCATGCATTTACCGGCACTGGAGCCTGGATCTTGCAGGATGATGTTTTTAAGTATGAGGATTTCGTCCAGGCTACCAAAGATGGTCAAGTACAAAATAATGTTAAACAAAACGGTGGTTCCATGACGATACAGGCTTTTAAAGAAGGAAATTGGAATACTGAGCACTTTGCTAAAACAGAGATCGGAAAGTCACTCAAAGTGACTGTGAATGCAGGAGAGACATTGACTGATTTAAGTGGCGTTCTTCAATTAACCGCTTTCATAGGGGACAGTCTTAACCCTTTGGAGGCCCAAGAGTTGTTAAAATCATCCCAAGTAGTCGGAAACATTCGCTTTAGTAGACCCACCCTCTATATATTCCCAGGCGCAGAGGGGGACTCCTCTATGTTTGGAATTAGTGGATTCAATTTGCTAATAGATGGTGGCTACAGCAAGAAATCATCATTTTGGGACTTTACACGTCACATTGATAGAGTCGATGCAATTCTCATGACTCACATCGGTGCAGATAATTTATTTGGAATAAGCAGCCTAGTACAGAAGAAAACCACTGAAATTGTCCACCCTGAGATTGGATTTATGTACTTTAATGCACCGGAAAAAGCCAAACATTCCCCTAATGGTGATAGCCACCCTGAGAATGGTGGCACAATGAAGCCACCGAGCTTACTCGTGAATCTGGTAGAGGAGGGCAACAGGATCATTGAAAATCTCTCCGTTCTTGGTCAAGCTCCCCACCCTTGTGTCTCAACAGTTGCTGCAGGTCAAATTGAGCCCATTAATCTCTACCATAAAGTCGGCCACGGGTCTCTAGACATGTATATTCTCAATCCTCCCAAAGATAGCAAAGAGATGAAAGATTTTTACCAACAGTGGAACAAGCATGTCAACCATTTCGCAGTACAGAAATCCGGTATGCCGCTTCCTAATATGCTCTCCATTTGTGCTCTGTTGGTGTGGCGGCCCTCAGCGAAAGCCGATAAAATCACAAGGCTTCTGTTCCCTGGTGATGCTCCTCAGAATAGAATATTTGAAGGCCTCGATAAATTGAAGAATCTTAATATACTTCAACATCCCCAATGCTGTGACCTTGATTTGAGTGGCAAAGCTAAAAAGGTTACTGTCGGGAAACCTGCCAGAGCTCCTGTTACCAAATCAGCGCCAGCTAAACGTCCAAGTCCCGACATTAAGCCTGAACCCAAACAAAATGGAACAAAGCCGATAGGTAGATCTGCCACCAAGCCTCCACAGAAAATAGCCAAAGATGATCATAATAAGAAGAAAGAGCCAGGAAAGGAAAAGAAAGATAAAAGCAAGTCGCCAGCATCCACCCCAAGTTCAAGCAGTAAGAGCCCTGTAAAGGAGGTTCCAGATCTTGTTCAAGTCAAAAAGGAAGTTGTCACTCCAGTAGCAGAACCTGTTCCTGTTGCTGAAATAAAACAAGAGGTGGCAACTCCAAATCCTGAAGATTCACTTATGCCAGTGAATGATATGTCTCCGATTGAGCCTGTTAAATTAGTAGATGCTCCTGCAGAATCCACTCCACTTGAGGTAAACAAAGCTCCTACTCCACCCATTGATGATGTCTCTGAGCCACTACTCAATATTGCCAATAAAGATCCTAGTCCTGAACCAGAGCCAGCAAGAGAACCAACACCCGAACCACCAAAGGAGCCAAGTCCCCCACCTAAAGCCCCAAGCCCTGAGCCATTAATTGAAACCACACCTACATTACCACCTGTGGAAGGTCTCCTAGATTTCAGCCAACCTTCACAACAGGAGACAACTTCTGATGAACAACCCATTGATGCTGCCGAAAGCAATAAAGCACCAGAAGTTGAATCTGCTCCCCAGACATCTAATGAATTCCCTGCAGAAACTGCCAAGTCTGATCCTGTTCATATTGATTCTCCTGAACCTCTGCCTGACCCAATAGAGTACCCCCCTGTGTCTCAACAAGAGGAGGTCCCGCTTCTTGAACCCACTAAGGATCTTGTAGAGGATCCAGAGAAGGATGTAGATACAACTGAACTAGAGGACAGCCTAGAACCTAAACCACCTGGTGCGAGTATTATGACAGATAGTCTCGAGCCCCAAGAACAAGATGATGAACCTGTCATGGAGGGCATTAAATCTGTATGTGAAGAGCCCGTTAAACTAATGGAAGGTGTCCCTGTTGAAGCTTGCTATCAAGAAACAAGAGAAAAGACATATGAGGAAATGGGCATTTATGATGATGATGCTGTTGGAACACAACCAACCATTGAGACCAGTCCTAAAGAACCTGAAGTAGAAAAGATCCAAGAACAGGCACCTGCTCAGACACTTGAGGACCTTGGTATATATGATAATGATGCTGAAGATGAGCCAGTCAGGGAGGCAAGTCCTAAAGAACCTGAAATTGCTGAAGAAGCAGAAAGTCAAGAACAGGCCCTGGAATCACCAGAACAGCCACCCGCCCAAACCCTTGAGGACCTTGGTATTTATGATAAAGAACCTGAAATTGCCCAAGAAGCAGAAACACAAAAACAGGCCATGGAAACACCAGAACAGCCAACTGCCCAAACCCTTGAGGACCTTGGTATCTATGAAAAAGAACCAGAAACACAAGAACAGGCCCTGGAAGCACCAGAAAAGATTCCTGCCCAAACACTTGAGGACCTTGGTGTTTATGATAAAGATCCTGAAATTGCCCAAGAAGCAGAAACACAAGAACAGGCCATGGAAGCAGCAGAAAAGGCTCCTGCCCAAACACTTGAGGATCTTGGTGTCTATGATGATGAATCACCAGCAGTGTCATCAGAACATGAGCCACCATCTGAGGAATCTGGTGTATATGATAATGAAGCAGACCTTGCTGTTGCTGGCCAGGTCCTCAACCAACTGGTAGATGTTGCAAGTGATGTGCCTGCTAATGAGGGGCAACTACAAGAAGAACCTCTGCAGTCAAATCCTGAACCCCAACAACCAGATTTTGATTCCAAATCCAGTGATAAAAAAGCCCTTGAAGATCTAGGTATCTACGATGATGATGCTGATGTCAAGCCTCAAGCTGATGTTGAACCAATTGTTGAACGTGAAGCAAGTCCAGCAAGTGAACCACATTCCCCAGATGAAGATCTTACACTAGATGAGCCAGAGCATGATGATCAGCTAGCATTTGAACGGGACTCCATTGAGAAAGAGGTGATCAAACGTAACCCAGCTCCACCAACTAGCCAATCCATGGAAGTGAATGGTTCATCTGGATCCACCTCACCTGACGGGGCCCCCTTGTTGGATCTTGGTGCCCCAACTGCCCCTCAACCTGATGTGATCCAGCCTCCCACTGGGAACCTCCTCGACAACTGGGGTGAGCCCCAAGGCCTACCACCAGCTAACCTGTCTGTCTCTGATGACTCATCACCATATTCTGATTCTGACTCCCCACCATTGACCGAGCAAGATATTACACCTGATCAACCTAACAATCCATTTGATGTCATAAAGGATGGTGATGTCAGTGAGCAGATGCCATCAACAAATCCATTTGTTGGTCTAGAAGAGAAAGTACTCCAACCAGATGTTGTACCCCAGTGTAGCTCTAACCCATTTGATGATATTCCCACAGGAGGTTCTTTCCCACAACACAATGGGGCCCAAAATGTAGATGACAACAGCTTTGATCCATTAAAGGAATGGGGTGAACCCATGAACCTTCCTGCCCCAACCCCTGGTGCTAATACCACAAAGAAATCCTCTGCCCCTAAGAAAGCAGATCCGAAGAAACCTGCAGGCTCAGCTAAGGCAGCTGATGCCACCAAGAAGCCTATAAAGAAGGAACCAGGTACTGAACCCAAAACCAAACCTGGTAGAAGATCTGAACCAGTCGCAGCTAGGAAACCTGCTGTCCCAACAGCCCTAAAGAAAGGCAGAGCCTCAACTCCTGGCAATGATGTTCCAACACCTGCTGCCACCAAGAGAGCTGCCACAGCTAAGCCAGCAGCTACTTCTGCAAGTAAACCAACACCATCTAAGGCAGCTTCCAAGCGCCCTGCAACTGCCCCAGCTAAATCAGCACCAGCAAAATCCCCCTCCTTGGCTCCAGTAACTCCTGTCTACATTGACCTAGCGTATGTTCCATCTCACGGAAACCCAAACCACACAGACCTAGATTTCTTCAGACGTGTTCGTGCCAGGCATTACGTCATCAGTAGTCTAGAACCCAGCACAAAAACCATGGCAGCCATCTTGGATGCTAAGGCAACTTGGGAAAACAAAGAGCTAGAAGTCACAATAATTCCGACATATGATAATGATGCATTGCGTCATTGGATGAGCCTAGAAAAGGACAGATTAAGCGAATTAAAGGTAGATTTAGCGCCATCAGCTAGTCGGTGTACAATACAGCTACAAGATCATGAAACCAGTTGCGCCGCCTATAGGCTGGAATTCTAAATTCTGACTAGTTTCTTAATGACAGACAATTGCTGTGGCTTCAGTTTTATCTTGATGTAATATATCATTTTAAAGCCATGGTATGATGACCCAATAGGGGTGAAAGGACAGGACATGTACAGTAAGTTATAGACCATTAGACAGACAATGTAGGGATTCCAAAGTAAAGAACAGATTGTTATTTTCAGTGACACGATAAGCATATAGCAATTAGTGTGATTCAAAATACATGAAGCTGATAGTGTGACATAAAAAGCGTGAAACTGTCGCTGATAGTGTGACAAAATAAGTGTGATACTGCCGTTGTGATTTTAAAACTGAAAACATAGGATGAGAAACAGTGAACTTGAATTCGGAAGAATAACCCACGAAGCATCGATTAATGTATACCGACACAGGGTAGTGAAACTGTTGTATTATGCAACACGCAAAAAGTCACTACAGATATTGTATCGATACAATAAATGATACAGAGGAAGTTTATGCAAGTGACTCCCAATCAGATTTGAACTCCAGTCTAACTTGCCCAGTGCTAATGACATTGAAGATGGGGACAGTGATCCGGGTGAAACAAATACATTTCGATACGTGTGAATTATAATATATCACCAGTACACTTATATATGATGTATGATAGTGTAACACAGTTCACAGTTAAGCAGATAATATGGTTTTGTTGAATGAAATAAATTTTTAAGAATGCATGATACGAATGATACACTATAATGTTAGTATTATTAGCAAAGATAATACAGATGGAATAATTATTTAGTAATTAGCTCATTTTTTACGAGGAGAAACATTGTATCTCGCTACAATGATGGTGTGTTATTAAAGGCATTTGCACAGATATTTTTAAGTGAGAGTTTTTTTACTTAAGATGAATGATTGAATGTTTGTGAAAATATGGACTGTGACAAAAGACGACTCTGTAGAATGAGATTTGAAGCAAGCATGGGGCAGGTGACTAAAATACAGTCACTAAATTTGGGTAACTTCAACAAGCTATTAAATTCAACCTATCGCAAATGTTAAATTAAATTCAATGGTGACTTCTATTTATCCAATATAACATAACTAAAATTTAAATCATCCTGGGTCTAAATTCAACCCAGTGACTTGTATTTACATTTATGTCACTTTTAGGGATCAAGTCAATATTTCAATGTTAACCGGGTATTTAAAATTGATGTGTTCCGACAGAAATGTTACCCCCTCCCATTAAATGTAAATGTTTATGGGCATATATATTTTGAACTCATCCCAAATACAGAAACTGTAAACAGTGAAACCTGTAAAGTGGAGCACCTTTGACACCTAAAAAGACTTATAGAAGTTCATTCAATATTAAGCCAATTGGTCTTGATACTCTTGAAATGACATACAGAGGTGTTTCACTTTGCAAGTTTCTCTGTACGTATATGAATCTGTTTGCTAAGTATTCCTTTTTATGTTATGTAATGTTATGTCACACTATAGTCCTATATTTAAAACTGCTGAAATGATTTGCTTTATTTAGTGCAATGTGATTGATATTAGAAATTAATTTATCTTTACAAAAATATAATTAGTGAAGCACTGTCACCGAGATGCTGAAGTTTCAAGTTGATGATACTGTAAACCTAGAAAATCTCCCTCTGTAATTTAGCATTTTAATGTCACCACAAGTGTTCCATTTTCGTGATGGAAGTTGGTGTCCAGTGTCTGGCATATAGTGACTGTAACAAATGGCAGGTGGTGACATTTTGCATGTTAATGCCTTGTATGATTTTTGGCAACTTTTGGCAAATGACTGAGAAATTGTTGCAAAGGAATACCAAAGCTCAATAATTTGAGTCATTTGTCTAAAGTATACTACAGGCAAGTTTGGTCATTCGTTGAGTAAAAATGTGAAATGCTGTATTGGGAGGTTTCACATATTGCTAGGTTTATAGTACAATTGCCTTGTGCATACAGCTGCTCTTTAGATACTTTGAAATGATAATCTTAATATTGTCTTTAATAGTTTGATAAAGACCTTGTATGCTTAGCTAGATTCGTAGACTGTAGTTTTGCAAATTATGAGGAACTATGAAATAACTTCTCGTTATCATCATTAAGGTAGACGTACTGGTATCCAGAATGCAAACCTGCATGTTGCATTCTGGAGTTCCAAGCTTATTATTTGTTCTACTCATACTACCTTAACTTCTCATTGGTCGAATCATTATTGGTTGTAAAATTGACGAATATTAAACATTCATGGACATAGATGTTGCCAGACTCGAAATTTAGAGGAGGCAAAGAAATACCATTTGATATGAATAATAATGAAAAGCTTCCATTAGAATTCAGTTTCGGATAGATTTGAAAAAAGTCTGCATGAATATTCTGTAAGATTTTGGCATGGAAAATGCCTCCATCTCATCATGCCTTTCTAAATACTTAGCTGTTCTCTTAATATATTGTTATAATCTAGGTAACAAACGTAGGCGGTATGATGTCTCTGTATTATCTGCCTATCAATAACCAATTTTTCTATGGTCAGAATCATAATCATTCTTGTTTTGTTTTGTAGTCAATTTTATTTGACATTTTATGTGCAATTTATATCAAATAATATCACAACATGTGTGTTTTATATATGTGCTTTTTGTTTATTAGCGTTTGTAGTTATTTTGTATTTTGCATTTATTTTTGTAAATTATTATACCATACTATATTAGACCCCGAAACCTTTCACATTTTTGGATGAACTGTATGTTATGTTATAAAATATATTTAACTCGATTATAATATGAAATTATGTATAGTTTCCAGATGCCAAGAAATCATGACAAAGTCAAATAATTCATCAGTATTAACGTTTATTTTATGAATGCTTAGAATGAATATCTAATATATAATAATCGGAAATTATGGATATGTAATTAAATAATCACCTGAATATGAAATTACCACAGTATATGTATCATGTTATGTATAGAATTGAATCTAGTAATTTTGATATTATATCATTGAGTAATTTTATTAATTGTTAAGTTTATACAATGGAGTCACAAGCAATACAAAATCAAAATTATAGGGAAAATCGCTGAAATGAATTGAACAAAAAAGGATTTCAAATGATATATGGATAATGAAACTATTTCAAGAGTTAAGGCTAAATGGTAGCATTAACAGTAGCTATTGCCATCATCTGACCTTGGATGATTCTAATTTAGATTCATGCACAGGGTGATCTACAGCTTCATGAAATCCCCTATTCCAATCATGTAATTGAGCCATATCCACAATGTTTCTTGAGGCTGTGGACTGCACTGTATAGTTAATACATACTAGAATGGTAATTTGACTACAAATTGAGCTGTGACATGTAATTTGTAGGAAATATCGTGTTTTGTTTAATATTTGCTTTAACACATCATATTGTAACTTTGGTTTACAATGATTTATGTAGGGCACTAATTTGACTTGTAATTCTGTAGTTTACTTTGTAGTATTTAACCCAGTTCAGAAACAATTAGGAACACAATCATGGTAAAAATAGAGGAAACTACAAATCTAGAGGTGTGTGATCAAGTCAGTGCAATTATGCATTCTCTAATCGAACCATGCTCTTTCTGTTTTTTTAAATAGATAGTTTGTACAGCTGATACACAGGGAGTTAGTCACAGTCACCCCCTCCTTTACCCTGTATACAAAGAGGGGCACTCACTGAAAGGTTTTTATGGTGAGATATCTAAGCGGAGATTTCCCTCAAAAATAATGATGATTTCTTATTCCACAATTTATAGAAACAAGAAATGTTTATATAATTTCAGTGAGTGCTCACCCATCTTTGTTATATATAAGGAATAAGAGGGGGGGGTGGCTTACTCCCCATGAGCTGATAAAAGTAATATCTTGTGGTTATTGCATTCTCCAACCCCAGGGCCTCAAGATTCGTAATATACAAGGAGGAACGAGATCTAGCCCTGTCTTTGGAGAATGGATTGTTGCGCCTATAACTTCATCGAAATAAAAAAAATTTCCAAAATGCAGAATCTAAAACTAAATTGAAGTGTCCACAGTTTGTGCTTAAATGCATTATTATCGGTATTAGAAATAAATTGAACTTTCTAGAAACTGTCAGAGTGTTGAAGATGGGATGATCTTTCGTTGAGAATCATGTCATAATTCCTAATAATTATGAGAAGAATGTGCTTTTATGCTTTTAGATCTGAAATATGAGTTTGCTTTATAAATATGCTTAACCTGCACCATCGATATTTGCGGCACAACATGTAATTTTAATTAAGATTCGTGACTGTCGAATATCCTTATTAAATAAGGGAAACATTTTACTCTGTGACTTTGCTTGTATTGTAAAAGTCACATAAAAATCTGAACAGTAAGTTAGGCCATTTGCAATTAAAAAAACAAAATAAATAGACACATGTTTGTCAGACTAGAATTTTCAAATATACAGACAGTCTTATATACAGCTCCAATACTGATCTGATAAGTCAGTCCTTACAAGGGCCAATAACATATTGTACATGTTTTTGGAGATGTTCATTGGACTGACATGATGTACATGTGAATTAAAATTACTGAGTCGCGTTGTGTTCTTGCAAAAGAGCCAGTTGTCTTTTATTATAAATCTGTGCACATTTGTATAGAATGTACGTACATGTAACATGCATGCATGCAGTATACTATAATAAATCTATCAATTCTGCTTAACATAATTTTGCTGTTGTTTACTGGATGAATTTCTGAAGGAGGGCAAAGAATATAATTTTTATGTCACCACCAGTAAGTGGTGACATATTGGTTTAGTCTCCAACTTTTTATCTGGCCAGTGTTCAGGGTCTAGGCCTATAGCGATTTGTTGAAGAGGTGGTAATGTTTTGTCATGTTAATGCCTTGTCGGATCTGCTTTGATCTCGTTCTAATTAAGAGCAATTCAGAGAATGTTAAAATCATAGTCATATATTGGTTAAATATATGACATTCTACTTCACATGAGGCAAAAAGGATTTTGTGAAAATTACCAATACATTAATCCTGTTTTGATCCTAAAATGTTAGGATGACATCATAATGAATAGATGGCGCAATTTATTGGACTGATGTATGTATGTGATGTCATGGGCAAGAAAGGCATCTTGTTGTTTCAATGTATACTGCACACTGCTGCCATCTTTATATGATGGTGCAATATTCAACATTTGGAGGCATTTACAACCCTTGCAAGCGATAATTCCGTGATACTGGGTTTGTTTACATTAAAAAATAAGTGCCACTGATTGATCACTTGCAAGGGCTGTTTACATTTAGCTATAAAAAAGCAATGCCTGACACAATTTGATGGACGAGTTGCAAACTGATGATACCATGAAAATCATTGTGATTTTTCAAAGAATATTAATTCCTAATGATTGGTTAAACATTTTGTGCTGTAGTACCACAGGGCTATTCAACTTTCAAATAGGGTATCATGGTAAAACAAGGCATTAACATTCAGTTTCACTACCTGCCATTTGTATCAGATATCGAATCAGCCAAACACCACCCACAAAAAAAGTTGGAGACTTAAACTTTGTTGGGACTTTTGGTGGTGACATAAGTTTATGTGTGAAGTGAATTGTGATGTTTCATTAGGTTATAAGGTAAATGAAGGAACTGAGAACCATCAAAGAACTAAAACTGGCTGGCAGGACCGTCACTATTGCTTAGGTTGAAATGTCCAAATTGATCATATAAACATTTCTTGTTTCATTAGGAAACTAGATGATGAACAAAATATCAGTTACCGAATTCCAATCAATTATACTCATTACTTTGGTTAAAATTGAAAAATTTAGATTTTAGAATTGCGAATTCCTGCAAAGCAGCCATTTTGAATTTTCTGAGGTACAAATCTGAAAAATAATACCATAATTGTGATCTACTCCAAAATTCCTTCAATTTGAGTATTATATAGCCATACGTTGAAGGGATCGAAAAATTATTGCGAAATCGTACATTAGACAGCCATTTTGAATTTTACGAGGCTCGAATCAGAAAAAAGATACAATATTTGCAATCTACTCTTAATTGCCTTTCATTTGAGTATAATAAAGCTATACTTCAGAAAGATCTAAAAATTAGCGAAAATTTCTGTTTTCCTGACCCCCCATACACGGCCCCTGGGGGTCAGGATGAAAAACACTGAATATATGTGAAATAGATATATGTTGCGAATATACTACCAAAATTTCAAACAATAATATTAATTACTTTGGTTTAGAATGAAAAATGTATGATTTTTGCGAAAAAAAAATGTCATTTTTAAAGCAGTGGCCATCTTGAAAAAATCCACTTTGAATTTTCTGAGGTACAAATCTGAAAAATATTACCATAATTGTGATCTACTCTAAAATTCCTTCAAATTGAGTATTATATAGCCATACTTTGAAGGGATCGAAAAATTATTGCAAAATCGTACATTAGACGGCCATTTTGAATTTTACGAGGCTCGAATCAGAAAAAAGATACAATATTTGCAATCTACTCTTAATTGCCTTTCATTTGAGTATAATAAAGCTATACTTCAGAAAGATCTAAAAATTAGCGAAAATTTCTGTTTTCCTGACCCCCCATACACGGCCCCTGGGGGTCAGGATGAAAAACACAGAATATATGTGAAATAGATAGATGTTGTGAATATACTACCAAAATTTCAAACAATAATATTAATTACTTTGGTTTAGAATGAAAAATTTATGATTTTTGCAAAAAGTTCCGTCATTTTTAAAGCGGCGGCCATCTTGAAAAAATTTTTCAATATACATCTTTCCACCAAATATGAAGAAAATCCGTCAACTAATATTTGAGTTATCTTCCGGACGGACAGACGGACGGATGGACGGACGGACTGACGCATGGCATACGGATGGACGGCTTCACTATATCCCTACCGAACTTCGTTCGTTGGGATAATAAGTACTCATTATAACTAGAAATATGATGCTTCCCTTTCCTAATTTTTGTGTGAAATATAAGTTATCAAAAATCTAGATCTGTGGGATAATTCAAGTTAAAAATATTGAAATTATTTTTATCTGTTAATTGATAGTTCAAGAAAATATTTTATCTTCCAAACACAAAAATAACAAAACACATTCTTATATTTTAGAAAACATACATTCCTTCATATTTATTTGTAAAACATATTATTCCCATTTATATTATAGTACAGGTTTTGAAAAATGAATATAGTACATTTAATTATGTCATGTTTCAAATGAATGATCTGTTAAAGACATTGTGTAACATATATCATGTTACTTACATAGTGTAACATACACAATTTTAACAAGTATAACATACATCATGTTATATATACCATAACATACATAACCAATTTGGTCCCTTTAATCACAATCATAGCCATACCTATAGAAGTTTCTAACTGTCTTACATACAATAATCAGGTAACCAAAGAAGGACCACAAATGTAACACAAAATAATTACATGTACAATGAACCGTGATCAAAATAGACTACCCCTGCATGAAGCCTTATGTCACCTCTCCCCACTCTGTCTCTAACACAGGGTCAGGATGTATATTGTAGGGGGAGGGGTGACGAGAGACTTGATGACAGACTGATACCTCTAAATAAAATACTAAAACTTAACGAGAAAATATCAGAAAACCAGCTGCATATTTACCACATAAAGGCCACAACAGATAAACTGTCTGTTCAGTAGGATTTTTATCTATTATAAACTTTTTATTCATGGAATTCATTAAGACAATTCAGATATACAATATACTCTTTTATAAGTCGCTTTGAAGCACTGATTTTGTTTAAATGATTTGGTAACTGTTTTTTACTCTTTCTCTATGACAGAGGCATTATAAGCCTTACAAAACAAAATATTAAGGATAACCAAATAGAAATCTTAAACAGATATTTAATTTGTTAAGGGCCCAAAGCCTTTAAATAATTCTGCTACAATGCCATCTTTATGTATCTACAGACAATATATACACAAGCAGTTCTCACAATAATATGCTGTTTTTGATAGCAAGATTCTCAAAGCATGTCCAATATCCCTTATGAATTATACAAGGGGGGTCACCCAAAAGACAAATTATGTCCTAACAGATCAAATCAATAAAAAAAAAAAATCAGGAACTAAATATCACAATATAGAGTTGACTGAAATATCATGTTTAACATACACTTGTTCCCAACTATTTTTAACATATAACCCTTACTTCCAGAACAAAAATCTAGAGCATTATTTTCTCATTTTTTCTTGTAATAAGTAGTCTTGTTCAGTAATAAAGGCTAAAGTAAATAAATACATGTACTATGTTTAGCATTCCATAAAACTTTTCCTCAAAATTTCTGTCAAAACAGATTTATTTTGTGTCTATACATTACATTATTTACCTTAGCCTAAAATCCAAATTTTTGAGAAACATTCCACGTTTTGTACAAATGTTTTTGAACACCCGCTGAGCTAAACACTTTTAGCCAGTGCCAGTGGCATTCAGATCGTCAGTTTTTACTGTACTAAATTCTACATTTGTGCATATTTAGTTGCAATCTTTTAAGTATACCTCCCTCCTTTTTTACAGTATATATACATAGTTTTATATACATTGATATAATCCTTGTGCTTCTAATCTATCATCATGAAATTATGATATTTCAAAGCATCTTACAACAAAACTTATTTTTTGCACAATACAACATACTACATTTTCAAAATTTCAGCAGATCTTTTTGTTCAAAATTTCAAAATTCTTTTATCAGAATCATGTTTACGTTTCATATATATCATAATATATGCTTATATATTGAAAAATATGAATTTGAATAAGGACCCAATTGGCACACAAAGTGCACCACATCCAGAATGATTAAAGGATGAGACAAAATCAAAATAATACATGGCTAGGCAAAATGTCCTTTACCAGAGATGAAACAATAAATTTGTTCTAATTTTTGTTCACTGACATTTTTGATACTTTCAGTTTAATTTGTCATAATTCTATTATTTATGAAATGAAACTAGGCTTGATTAAATCAATACAACAGACTATGTACTATACGTTATAGTCTATAGCATGTATAGTTTACAAAAGACTGAATAAGTATATTATACCTGTAAATGGAATGTGTTCCTCTCATTCTTGGATTTATAAGATTCACAGTACAAAATATATAAAATAAGATTCATAAATATAAATATAATGAGACACCTTGGATAAATATTCCTACAATGCTTACTACAGTACTAGAATTGGTTAGTTTTTTAAACATCGTACTTGGCCTACACCCCCAAAATGCAATCTGATTTTCGACGATGTTTCGGTGCCATTTCGGCACCAAATGGACTAACTAGTCCGGTAGCAAATTTTGGTGTCGAAAGGTTTCGGTGCAGATTTTTTTCGATGCCGAATTATATTGGCTGTGTAACAGTTGTGGCTACTGACATGCTCATTCGTGCTTTAGTTTACTAGAAATGTCTACAGGGATTTCATGCATCTGATATCTTATACTTGTAATAAATAAAATTGTATTCATGTGTATTCCTTCTATACAATCAAACATGCGTTAGAATTACTGGGGGTATTAAAGAGGTCCCCGTGTACTATGTGCTATCCTTTCTGTATCATCAAATCATGGTATCAGCAGGACCTAGCACATGGTATGATGGTTTTAGCAGGGGCCAAAAATTCTTAGATATTATCAATGTTTTATGTTATCATACTCTGACATTTATAGAGTTTACAAATACATCAATTAAATTGTTCTTAGTGAAATTGCCATTTGAATTGAGCAGATTACATTCCAAAATTACAATATAGTGGTAATACAGTGCATTTTCAATCAGCATTACAAGCTAGGTGTCTCACAGTATTACTAGATTAACAGTAGCAATGGCATCAAGTGCTCTTACTTACTAAAATTGGACAAATCCATCATAAATCATTTTTAGAATTTTCCACTCCAACAGTCTTGCATCAAATCTGTTGTCTTTCGGATCATTTTCAAACATAGTTTTAGGAAACAAAGCAAAGTGACAAAATAGATTTGATGCAAGTCAGACTCAATGTCCAGTGGAGTATGTAGGCCCATTAACAACAGGGGTCCACAGAATGTGAAATGAAATCAAACTTCTTTAGATTTTCCAATCAAAATCATGATTTTCAACAATTTAAAAGCTAAGATCAAAACAAGTAACCAAAACCCTTTGCTAAGCAACACATCTATCAAGGATTCTGTAGAAGCGCCTGCATATATAGTACATGTACTTTCATCTTCATTATCTCCATCAACATCTTGGCCAGAGTTTAAAAATAAGTATGTGTAGCTGCTATTCCAAGCATATGTTAATCTGCATTCAGCATTCAGTGATATCAGCCATGCATTACTACAGGACTGTGCTTGCCAGGGATTTTAATTTTGTTTCGCCTGCAAATTTTATATTTATCATTCATGTAAATGCAATACAGTATATACAGATTATAAAAATATGGATGGTGACTGCTACTGTCATTGTGAGGCTATTGTAACTATACATTTCCAAATTACTCACATTGACAATAACTCCACTGCATCAAATAGTTCCTATCATATCTAACCACAAGCCAAAGCATATTACCCATTACACTAATTACAATCAAGCAAAAGCATTATGTTACATTACATGATACACACAAAGCAAGCTACACTAGGGTAACAACTTATATAGGGATTAAACAAGCTAAGCGGAATAACTACGGCACAATATCATGCAAGTAGGGCTAAATGAAAAATGCTTATCTAGATATACATGCTTATCAAGGTATACATGCTTATCTAGGTATACATGCTTATTTAAGCATAAATGCTTAGTTAAGAAGAAATATCAGCAATCATTTTATTATGAATCTGCTGCCTGCATTATGTTTCATTTCATAGATATTCCTTTAGGTATTATCTAATATCCTACGAATCAGTTTATTTTTTTTCTTCATCTTCTTCTTGAACAATGTCCTCTGCTGCATTATCAATGTCCTCATCTTCATCAGCAAGACCATCAGCATTCTTTCCCTCCTCATCATTATCGGCCTCACCATTGTCAACATATTCTCCTTTACCATTCTTGTTCATATAATCATTTTGATCATCATTATTTTGGTAAGCCTCATTGTTATCATCATCATTTTGTTGGACATCACCATTTTGATTGGCCTCTTCATCATCTTGGTTGGCCTCTTCATCATCTTGATTGGGCTCATCATCATCTTGGTTGGGCTCTTCATCATCTTGGTTGGGCTCTTCATCATCTTGGTTGGCCTCATCATTATCTTGGTTGGCCTCATCATCATATTGGTTGGGCTCACCCTCATCTTGGTTGGCCTCATCATTATTATTTTGGTTAAGCCCATTTTCATTTGGATACGCATTATTAGCAACATCAAAAGCCTTGCCGCCCTGAGGCTCCAGTTGACCAGTCTAAAAGCAGAATATTTATGCTAATCCCTTCTACCACATTAACTAAGCATCACGTGCAAACAATATGGTTAAACTTCGAGGTGGTCATTTTAGAAATAATGTTCAATATCTTTGTTGATTGATGAAGTACATGACCTTGATTCAACAAAGATCATTATGACTGATTTTTCCATTTATTCTTTTTTGAATCTCGATTGCATTAAACCACTGAAATGCTGTAACATTTTTTTCTGACCACCTTGAAATTGCAGTGTACAACACAAAAACAACATATAGTAATAACATACTGAAACACAAAAACAACATAAATTATAGTAATAACATACTACAACACAAAAACAACATAAATTATAGTAATAACATAGAAAACACAATCAAAAACTAAACATTTCATCCTCTGCTACTTTGTAGACAGCATGATGCTATTAAGATTGAAGAACTTTCATGGGTAGTACCCAAGAAATTAAAGTCCCCTCTAAACTATGTAGAACCTGGCAAGATTGTGACAAAGCATATGGTATGATGGTATAACAAGGGATAATCTCTTGGATACTGGCCATGTTAGTCAATCTCAGATGTCAGCCTTGAATCTTAGGTGTCAGGCTCGAACCTTAGATGTCAGCCTTGGTTATCACCTCCAGGCTTTCCTGAAACAAAATTTAGCAAGGAGAATAATAGAGGGAATGACATCTTAATCAAAAAGATTAATAGTCTTGATTCTTAAATTGTTCAATTGAATCCTCTGCTTAGTGACAAAAAAGTTTGACTAAATTGGAAATTGGCCCATGTTAAATAGGAGCTAGATTATAAGGGTTCACAGAGAAAAATTGTTTCTCAAACACATTACGAATATTCCTGTCAATAGTCTTGTTTTCACAATGAAACTCTGACCAATATTGTAAGGACAATAAGCATTTTAAATCACCATAGATTTGAGACCAGGTTTGTAATATAATTTTGAGAAACAGGCTCCTGCTTAAAACTCATCTTCCAGTGGCCGAGTTTCATCCATTTCAGACATAAAGCACCCTGATTAATCAAAAACTTATTTCAAGTTATTTTAAAAACCTGCAAAAATTCCAAGGTTTCAGTCATTTTCAAGTCCCATCTTTATTCCGGTTGTAAAATATACATTTTATTACAAATACATTTTCATATTGGATACAAAATCTGAATTGACAATTGAAAAAAAATGAATTTGAAAAATTGACTTCACATTTAAATATATACATGCATTACATGGCACCATCAACTAGACTAAGACATGTTATCCAATTTGATTTTCATCTTTTAAATCTAGTATTATAACATACTAAATTGTACAACATTCTTTAAGTCATAAGTAATCATCAAATTGTTCACTATATACAGCATATACCTGGTACAAACTTCATTCTTTGAAAAGTGCCTCTAATCAAGACCTGCTATCTATGCCAGAACAAACCCTTTGTGTGGACATAGAGATTGGGTCATCTTACTCAATCGCAAAATCCATTGAGGCGTAGAAAAAGTAACTGCATGTACAGTGTAAAACTCTTAATCACTCAGTCCAAAATGGATAATTAAGTTACAAGGCCATTGTAATTGGAGAATTTCATAAGATCATGTATTTGACTAAGCCTGAAGTTCTTTTGTATTGAAATCACAATTACCACCATGTCCACTTGTCTTCAGAATCCTTCTCTGAATCATCATCATTCATAATATGTTCAACATCCTCCATTAAGTTTCTATACTCATCATCATGTTCATTATTTCCTTCAGCATCATTTGTGTCACTAAACTGATTGCCTATATCATCTTTGTTATTGTATATACCACCATCATTCACATTTCGATCATTTTCAAAAGTATCGCCCGTTCCTCCCTTTGTGTTGTTGGTTTAAAGTAAATAAAAATGGTGAAAGATTGGGTGATAATAAGTGTTAACAAAATCAGACACAATATAGAATGCAACATATTTTACTATTAATTATAAACACTTTTACTAATATAACAAAACATGTTAATATGTGGAGATAATGCTTGACTACATGAATTGTTAATTTTCTTTACTTCCCCCAAATCACAGATTTTAAAGATTATATTGTCTGTTATTAGTGTCCCTATAGTCAGCCCTGTCATCATAGTCACCTCTGTCATTGCCAGGTCTGCCACCAAAGTCACGCCTGTCACCATAGTCACGTCTGTCACTGTTGTCATTGTCAGGTCTGTCATCAAAGTCACGTCTGTCACCATAGTCATGTCTGTTATAGTCTGGTTCATTTGGAACGATGTCATTATCATATGCAGCATTATCATCATTATCATCTTCATCATCATCTTCATACTGCCTTTCAATATCATCTTCAAATTCTTTTGCAAGGTCACTGTTAACATATTTATCCTCCTCATTTTCTTCACTTATATATTCGTTATCATCAATGTTATCATCGTCAACATATTCCTCATACTGCTCACCACCCTTATTTTCATCAAAATCCTTCCTATCATCAACATTAGCCTTGTTATCATAATACACATGTTCATTACTAATGACACCAACATTACTTCTATCAATTTTAGCTTCATTGTTAACATTTTCATTTCTAATATTTTGATAATTTATATTATTATTGCTAGGTTGTAAAGGTTTGTATAAATTGTCACTAGGATGTCCCATGTGATCATCATTTGACCTTGACCTTATATGACCCACCACTTCCTGGAAATATGAAGACAGCTACTTATTAACAAAGGTGGATTTTCATTTTAAGTTTATTACAAAGTTAACATAGCTTTGATTTAGTAAGTTTGCTTTATTTCAGAATTAGTCTACTGCAAAGATTATATTTCTACAAAGACCTTTGAAATTTGTCGATCTTTGACAAGTTATATTACTGTATAATCGAGGAGTAATATTATTTTATAATCACCAAGCCCATTTGGATTTCTATTTTATTTCCCATCAAAGATGGACTACTTAATTACCCAAAAATCTCACAAATATACTTTATTCATTCACATAATTCATTCAATTTATTGTGCTTTGATTATTTGGTAAAATGTGTAATCCACCCTTGTTAAAAGAGAGATATCTCATGCTTCTACGACTGTATCATGTACAAGTACGAAAAATTGGAATGACTATATAATAATAGGGAAGTCAACATACATGTACATATGCAACCTTTTACATTGGTCAGTATCAAGTGAAGGTAATGTCCATGACCTTTGCATCTATGATGGTGGGTAGTGATTGTTGATTCCGATATTTTTTAGTTTTCATTAAATTAAAATTCAAAGTACTTTATAGTTGAAGTTATGCTTTGATATTTGAACCAAATCAGGCTTTTATGACATGGGAACTATAAAATATGATAATTTGTTCATATATTATGTGTTGGCGCCACAGTTCAACTATATCTTCCACTGCTTAAGGGAAGGTAATTGGTAATGTATGATGCTGTAACAGTCATCTTAGTTTTCAATACATGGAAACTGGACATCTTAGCTCTCCATTATAAACTCACATAAAGTTACCGCATCACTACATATCAGTTATCATCTGTAAAACCAAAATCTCAGTTACCTTCCTTTAAGGGGTGGAAGATAATGTGAACTGTGGTGCCTACATATGGTATATGAACAAATGATCATACTTCAGAGTTTCCATGTCAGATAAGCCTGATATACTTCAAATATCATCAAACCATTATGTCAACTATAAAGTGATTTAATTCAATGAAAAAAAAAATCAAAACCGACACTAACCATCCGCCATCTTAGATGCAAGGGTTACGGCTGTTACCTTTGCTTGATACTGACCCGTGAAATATATGACATGGTCAATACCACAATAAATTGTGCAAATTAATTTCATTCCAGAGTCATTCTGATTTCCTATTCGCACTTGCCATGACATACAAAGATTTCAAATCTTCCAACCAGAAAACATTAACCGCTAGTCTTACTGAGACAACTTCAACCATGATGAAACACATCATATAACTTTATAATTATTGGCAGAAATTTGTTTTTTATCCATATTTTTTATCAATACTGACATTTCAAACCATCTTGCTCAAGCTGTGTCATTGTAATTACATTTTTTGCCACACATGTTTGTCAGATAAATCCAATAGGGAACATATCAAAATATCAATTTACGAGAAAAAACAAAAGGCAAGGGGTAACTTTCATTTGCCTGGTATTCATCGATTTCAACAAACTCAAGGAAAAAGGGATGACACATCCAAAATAATGTATGGGATGTTCACAGAGAAATGTAACTCATTGAAGAGGCAAAAATGCCCTATTCATATCAAATGATGTCTTGCCAATTTGCTCTAAAGTCTCAACCTTATGTGATACATGAAATGGACCTACCAAATATATCCAAAGAATAAAATATTATTTTTTGATCATGACATCAGTTTATCACCAATTTTTGTCAACTCAAAATGTTCTTAATATTTTGTAAATTGTTAGATTGATATGTTCCAAGTATGACTGATTCATGAATGAACTGACTTTCTTGCCTTAAGAGCCCATTCAGTAAACATCTAATCTAATTCTACCCATAGTCCTCCACATTCCATATGGATGTATCTACCATCAAAGTCTTCCCAAGAATATCATAAGATTGAGAACCACACCCAGAAGACCAGATTCAATTGTCCTGCTGATTTACCAAACTATTCACTTTACACATATTGTCACCACTACTGACTAGATTCACTACTAACTCACTTGATTAATAGCAGGATTGAGGCCACCTTGAGGCTGTTGGTAGGCACCTGGGGCCACTGGTTGAATTGGTTGCATCCGGACACGATTACCAGGGACCACATTAGCTTGAGGATATCCAGCATTCTCAGGTGCCAAAGGAGCCTGGGGAAATCCAGCATTCTCAGGTACAGCAGGAGCTTGGGGGTACCCAGCATTCCCAGGAACAGCAGGAGCTTGGGGATACCCAGCATTCTCAGGAACAGCAGGAGCTTGTTGATACCCAGCATTCTCGGGGACAGCAGGAGCCTGAGGGTACCCAGCATTCTCTGGGATAGCAGGAGCCTGAGGGTACCCAGCATTCTCAGGTACAGCAGGAGCTTGTTGATACCCAGCATTCTCGGGGACAGCAGGAGCCTGAGGGTACCCAGCATTCTCAGGTACAGCAGGAGCTTGGGGATACCCAGCATTCTCAGGAACAGCAGGAGCTTGGGGATACCCAGCATTCTCGGGGACAGCAGGAGCTTGGGGATACCCAGCATTCTCGGGGACAGCAGGAGCTTGGGGATACCCAGCATTCTCAGGGACAGCCGGGGCTTGGGGGTAACCAGCATTCTCAAGAACCACAGGAGCCTGATTGATTCCAGCACTCTCATGGGCCACAGGACCCTGAGGGAACCCAGCATTCTCATTTTGAAGAACATCAATGTTATTATTAAGGCCTCTATTTTGATCAAAATCATTGGGGAACTCCTGAGCAGGGATATTATTACTTTCACCTTGGTCATTACCCTGGTCCTGGTTTACCACCTGGTGTTGGTTGACTCCATCATTCCGGTTCATGTCTTGGTTTCCATTTAAGCCATTGAGCTCCTGGTCTTGAATCTTTCCATTTTGCTGAACAGGATCTAACTGGTTTCCTAATTGTGAATCCTGCTGATATCGAAGGTTAGGACTCTGATCTTGGAGTTCCAGATTATTGGCTGAATTGTCAAGATTAAGTAGATCTCTCTGGACTGGTTGTACAAGAGGGTTGACCTGATTCAATTCTTGCAATGCTTGATTAGGGGCGTAAGTTTGCATTTGTGGCTGTTCATTATATATCACTTGACTGTCTTGGTATCTTTGATTCAATGAGTTGATTTGTACTGGTGCTTGCTCATTTTGATATTCTTGATTTTGTTGAATGGCTTGGTTAGGTGGATTGACTTGCATTGCCATTTCACCATGTTGTCCATTTCCATATACTTGCCCTGCTGGGTTATTCAAAAGAGGTGCATTTTTGACTTGGTTCAAATCATATGGATGCTCATTCCCATGCTGGGCCTCAATAGGATGAATACCACCAGGCTGAGCTTGTGCATTTGCTCCAATATGAGCCTCTTCACCGTAAGGTTTCACAAAACTGTCACGTACATTATCATCAGGAACAGCATTATTTTGATTTACATTTTCAAAACTCTGTCCAGCTCTTATGAAATGATCATTGTTGAAAACAGGTTCAGCATTTACATTTCTATCAGCCTTATAAGGAATATTGTTATTGATATAAGGGGCTTGCAATTCTTCATTATGGGCATTTCCATTATTGATATAAGGGGCCCTTTGAGGTGGAAGTCCAGCATTGTACAATGGAGCCGCTCCAAAATTCTGGTAGCATGAAGCAATAATTGAAACATAAAGATTATAAACACATTTTCATCCTTTGGTGAAAATCAACACTTAATTTGACCATGTACACTGTAAGACCATACACATTTTAAAGACTAAATCACCTCTTAAAAGTTCAGAACATCCTATTGTCAAGTAGTCCATAGCCAATTAACGAATTTAAATAATGTACAGTTTCTAAAGTATAACCTATTCCATATATGTTTAACCTCATAGGTACCTATTCTCAGTAAGATTTACCCCATAGGCCATATATTCTCTTGATTTTCACCTCATAGGCCATATATTCCCTAAACCGCTATGTGTAACCTTATAGGTACCTTACTTCATTCATGAAAGATTCCGAAATTCCATAAGTATTAAACTACTCTATGCTCAACTTTTTACAGTATTTTTGGAGGTCTATCAAGTTATAAGAAGGTACCTTTAATAGACCCTCACTCTACTTATTCTTGTCCAAGTTTGAACATTTAATACAGACAGTCTGTTCAGTGCCCAGCCCCAGAAATCATGTAAAAAAGTACTTGAAAAAACATTGTATAAACATAAATTCAACAGTGTTACTGTTTAGAAAATCAACCAATGTATAACAACCATAACTGGAATTCATAGACAGCACCTAAAGAGAGTAAAAAATCAGTGTGGGACATTTTCCAACTTGTTACTAACTGCAAAACCTTATGAAAGCACAAATGAGGCTTATAATTCAAAGTAGCAGCTAGCTACATGCAAGTTTATATTACTGTATAACAGTTCGATTTCACTTTTCACTTTATTATTTTTTTATTTTGAATTTCATCGTCATGGTACTGCCTCAAGGAGCGAGTTATATTCAAATTCGATATTGGTATTTTGACCTCAAAATTGGTATTTTGATCTCAAAATACATTTGCTCAGAACTACAGTAATTAGCTGAATTTGTCTTCACATATAGATTTGCACTGTTTGTATAATTGATTGAGCAGTAATCGGAAAACATCCCACAGTGAAAACATTGATCAAAATTGAAATGATGCATCGTTAAAATAAGGTCATAATGGCCTTAATAATACCAAGTATAGGAACTAATAATTATGCTTCTATAATTAAAATGTTAGTGCTTTATCCATTTCATTTTCTGATTTTGTAGCTCATGTCTATATTATGTACATATCTATGAATGTATCTGCATACATATATACATTTTTATATACACATGAGTATTATTTTTTCCAAGGGATCTTCATTGCTAAACCATATGCTACACATTTTGATCAATATTTTCAACATTTAAATCCACTGATTTAAAAAACTCTATTGATTTACATGCAGTGAAACATTACCACATTCAATACCATCTACCTTATTTATTGAATAAAAAATTAATTAAATAAGCATGCATTTTTAAATTAGAGCAAAAATATATCAGTGAATTCCCATTAACATAATTAAAAACAAAAGGGAGGGGGAAATGAATAAAATACTTTATCTGATTGGCAAACATTGATTGATTTATAACTGAGCAAGCCCTATCAATGATAAAATTCTCTGAGGGAAACAAAGATATGCTTGTTAACATAAAATATTTATCAAGAACTATGAAATGTGAATCCTTCTTTTAATAATTATCTTTTTGGCGGTTCACTGATATATTGTTGCACGACCATATAAGGACTTAAAAGGTGTGTACAACATTGACTTGTATTAGGCTTAATAAACTAAGCATAACTACAACAGGTGATAATATATCTTAGGGGTAGTACACAGTGATCTCCACAGCATTAGAGCATATTGGGTGTGGCACCTTGTTGCAAATCTGCAAAAAATTACACCCCACTCTGTTGAAAGTTTGAAAATAAATGCCACTTTAAGGTTGAGCACCCCTGTAGTGAGAAATCCTGTGGAGATCACTGGTTTATTATTATTGCGTAAGCCTATGCAAAGCAATTATGTATAGTAACTATTATTTTGATAAATTATTACATATAATTTACAGAATAGTAAATATACAAAGATAAATTTTATTGCATCCTTTGGCATAATGAAAACCAGAACAACGGCAACGCCAAAGCGTAGCGAATCCCATCGAACAGAAATGGCTGGCATTTTTACAAACGAATAGCAAATATCATAAAACAACACATCAGAAAGGCCACCATTTTCAAAATGGTTGCTCACTAGCCAAGTTGTCATCAGAAGAAATAATATGCTTTTAAGTAGCCACCTCTAAAATTTTTGAAAAATCTCACACGTACTTGTAAAATTACACACATAAAAATGGTGGCCATTTTTCAAAATGGCCAACTACTCCCCAAAGTTTTATTAGACAATGTGCCATGCTTAAAGTATTCACATATCAAATATGAGCAAAATCGCTCCACTACTTTTCGAGTAATAGTAAAATATGTTAAAATGGTGGCCATTTTTCAAAATGGCCACCGTCTACCAAAAGTGTCATTAGAAATAGACAGTGTGCCATGCTTATAGTATTCACATACCAAATATGAACAAAATCACTCCACTACTTTTCGAGTTATAGTAAAATACGTTAAAATGGCGGCCATTTTTCAAAAATTTTTTCAAAATGGCCGCCTTCTACCAAAAGTGTCATAGGACAGTGTGCCATACTTATAGTATTCACATACCAAATATGAACAAAATTGCTCCACTACTTTTCGAGTTATAGTAAAATACTTTAAAATGGCGGCCATTTTTCAATTTTTTTTTCAAAATGGCCGCCTTCTACCAAAAGTGTCATAGGACAGTGTGCCATGCTTATAGTATTCACATACCAAATATGAACAAAATCGCTCCACTACTTTTCGAGTTATAGTAAAATACGTTAAAATGGCGGCCATTTTTCAATTTTTTTTTCAAAATGGCCGCCTTCTACCAAAAGTGTCATAGGACAGTGTGCCATGCTTATAGTATTCACATACCAAATATAAACAAAATTGCTCCACTACTTTTCGAGTTATAGTAAAATACGTTAAAATGGCGGCCATTTTTCAAAATGGCCGCCTTCTACCAAAAGTGTTTTTAGACAGTGTGCAATGCTTATAGTATTCACATACCAAATATGAACAAAATCGCTCCACTATTTTTTGAGTTATAGCAAAAATCGTAAAATGACGAGTAAAGGCCGCCATTTTTCAAGATGGCTGCCATGTGCTTCTTTAATATCTACATTTGTAGCATTATTAATGTCCTTTATAATTTTTTACATTTAAAACATATTGCTATTACAGTTTTACATATTACACCTAAATTACTGTAAAATCGGCACTAAAATGGCCGCCATTTTGAAATGAGCGGCCATTTTGAAAATCGGCTATCGAGCAGAACTTCTACCCCCATAGGGTATATTTGTACAAAATATGAACAAAATTGGGCCAACGGTATTTGAGTTATTGCCCGGACGGACGGACGGACGTACGTACGGGCGGACGGACGTACGTACGGACGGACGGACGTACGTACGGACGGACGGACGGACGGACGGACGGACGGACGTACGTACGGACGGACGGACGGACGGACGGAGGCGTTCCCTATATCCCTCCGAACTTCGTTCGATGGGATAATAACTTAAGTCTAATAATCTTAATAAAAGAGTCATTTGAAAGTTTATCAGAGTTTATGATTTATACATTTTATTCACTTCATTTTATTCACTTACCTTAGGAGGCCCTTCCTCAGCTTCATCCTAAAAATTAATAAATATACATGTTTAATATATTATAATCTTAAAAGCTTCATTATATTACTTGATTCAATACTGAGGGGGCTTGTTTGGTATGGGATACAATGTATGGAACAAATGTATTGGTTTCTTAATTATGGATTTAGCTAGTAGTTACTTTGTCACTTGCTGTACAAGAGACCTGACCTTTTTAAAAAAATATAAACTTGTATTGTATTTTCACAAAATAATAAAGCCTGTGTCTGTGAAACACATCCGATAAGATTTTATTGAAATCAATAGTGGAAATATTCTGACTGAGGATTTAAATTGTCTGATATCTATAATATATCATTTAAAATGATAATACAAGTACAGTGTATATAGAAAGATTCATTTATTGAAGAGGAATAAAAATTATCAATAATATAAATTTATTTCAAACAACTCTGAAATTCACTATGGAAACCACTGGAAAACACATATCGAGTAGACATAGAGTAGATTGAGTAGACATTGAGTAACATCACAGCTGCACAGAACATACAAAGCTTATGAAAAACAAAACCTGACGTCACAAACATGCTCCTTCACCAAAACACATGCAACTTTATTATCTGTATTAACATGTACAATTTAACATGCATTTATAATATAACATTATGGCTTAACTTAAGGTTCCTTATAATAATCCTAAAGATATGTTCAAAAAGGAACTGATTATTTCTGTTTTACTTGCCTCATCTGGAGATCTATTTTGAAACATTTGTGAGCATTATGAAACACTGTATGTGCATATAACAGAAGTGTACAAAAAGTACATTAGTAATGTCAAGTATCAAGGAATCCAGTTATGTGTACGATAATGAGTTTTTATATCTGACAAGGTTCCAATATTAATAAACATATTGTACCTTACATTCAGTATAAAAGTTACTGATTTACTGAATTCCAAGGAAAGTAAGTTTAAAATGATACAAATGAAAAATTTGAAATCTTCCAATTTTCTTCAGCCATTTTGAAAGATAATTACTGGTAATATGAGGATCTGGATGAAGGTCTGTACAACATGGAATAAAATAAGCTAACCAGATAACATTTGTATCATTTTTACAAACCTGGGCATCATTTTCATCAGCATCAGCCCCATTGTCAGCATCTACATCTGCATTGTCACCATCTACAGCTGCATTATCACGATCTATAACTGCATCATCACCATCTACAGCTCCATCATCATCATCACCCTCATCAGCACCATCTTCAGCAGCATCTTCTTCATCCTCCTCATCTTTGATATCAGCGAGGTTTTCTTGGTCCTCATTGTCGTCCTCCTCTGCATCGTCTTCCAATTTATCCTTATGGTCAATATCTACCCCATTACCATCCCCCACCTCTTCATGTGCACCACCACCAGGGGCGGCATTAGCCGCAACCTTTTCAACACGTTCGTCCTCTTCTTCCTCAACTGCACGGTTTTTCACATCATCAATATTCTTTTGTTCAACATCATTTACCTTAGCCTCTTCCTCAGCTGCTTTGTTGGAGTGTTCATCTGCTCCGTTTTCAGCTTGTTGCTGCTGGTTCTGTGCCTCTTCTGAAAGGTCAGGAGTACATTCACCACAATCATAGATAGCAATATTACCAATGAGTGTAGAAGTGTTTTAAGAGAATAAAGTCAGATGAAGGGGCTCAACCTGTATTACTGTACTAATGGCAACCTATAAATAAACCCAATTGATGGACTATGATACATACCTTCTTTTATGTAAAATTGATCACATAGTAAGGAAATTAATAAGCTGTATTAAAACTACTTTGAGAAACACTCGACAGATCTTGAAACTAGTCATTTAACAAATAAATTTACAGAAAAGAATGTATGGATCATAGTTCAATCATAGTGTCCTGCCTGATACAGGTTGTTATGCTCTTACATTTTTGGGAATTTTGAGTAAAGCATTATAGGTTGATCCCCTTTAAAGGAAAGGGTTACACAAACCAAACATGTTAACGAATGGCTGAGGTAGACATACATAAGAGTTACATGTAAATGGATAGGTTCAGCATAGTAAAGCAACTACATTTCAGGAAGCACGTTTTGGGATTACAAAATGTCAAACGAGCTGCAATCATGCACAAAATGCATCCCTAAATTATCTCAATAGTAAAATGTAATGTTGGTTTATCATAATGTTCAAAATATTGATCGCTTGTATAAAAATGGAATTCATGCAGTAAAGCTAGATCTTCATATGAATGGGCATTGGGCAATGATGAGATTTAAAAGTTTACCTTTTTCTTCCATGGCATTATTCTCAACCTTTGGATCAACTTTCTCAGTTTTTGTCTTGTTAGATTTAGGGACATCAATGGAAGGAAGCGTGGTACTGGTGATATTGGGGTTAGATTCATTGATTTGTGTCTTGCTCTTCAAATGAGCATTATCAAGTTTTGTTTCAACCAGTGTTTTATTTGTGCTTTCCAAAACGGTAGTACTATCCAAAATGGTAGTATTTTTCAAAGTGGTATCCTTTTTCACTGTTGTAGCATTTTTCATCCCTGGAAAATTTTCAGGATGGAGATTCTGTTTCAATATGACATTATATGACAAGAATAAAATTCACCAAAAATAACTATAACTATTAATCCAAAAATCAACCATTTATATTCCTTTTTTCTTTTAACATGCACAACATTTTTTTGAATTTTTTTTTATGATTCGGTATCATTAAGTAACTGTGACCTGAGTTCACCAGCACCGCAAAAACTTAACACCACTTTAAACCAACACCACTTTAAACCAACACCACATTAACCAAGTTACCATACAGATTTATACTCTCAATTGTCAAAATATTCATGTTTCCCATACAAAGAAATGTGAATACAATTGTTCAATTTATTTTCGTGACTATAAACTGTATTTTGAGATGAAAAATATGAAAAATCCTGTTCTGAATTCTTGAGAATTTGAGAAGATGCAAAGTCTCTGTACAAAATGAAGGAAAGCCTGAATATTTTAATAATTGTGAAAGTATTTTTCACGTTTTGATCACCTTGTAGAAATCTTCATCTGAGTAGGCATAAAATATTTTATAATTCATAGGTAAAGGGCTGAAGAAAGCTTTGCAATGGGGCTATATTCAGCTGATCCGTGCGCCTTTCAGGAATACTTTATATGTGTGTAAAAATCAAATCTATAACAATTCACTGTTAGTATACTAACTACATAACTACATGTTTAAATGGGGGAGGGGGTAACTAAGGGATTATGGTAAATGGGTGATAAACTATTGGTGCAGCAAATAAAAGGTAACATTGGGTGTGCTATCTAAGCTACATGTTAATTAACTAAGCTGAAGGGGATATGTATGTTAGGTGCGTGGGGAAGGAATGTTATGTTATTCAGGGTACATGCAGGAAGAGGTTTTATATAGATGGCGTGACATATAATGACATGGAGATAAAATGTGTTCTTGTAAAAAGTTTAAATTCAAGACTATCAAGCTACACTGTTCTAAATCTTGTTAATGGTAAAAACTGAATATTTCATAATATATGTCATTCACTGTAAATTATTGATGGACAGAAAACTGCTTTACCACAAAACATGAAATTCAACCAAATTCACTTGATGCGTGTATATGTTCACTTGGCCTTGATATTATTTACAAAGGGAAAATCATAATTTAACATACCCTCTTTAGCATCTCCACCAGGGGCATTTATTTGTTGAACTTGTTGCTGGGCTTGTTGTTGTTGTTGTTGATTTTGTTCACCGACTTGTTGTTGGTTTTGATCTACAACTTGTTGCTGTTGATTTTGATCCCCTGCAGGTGCTTTGACTTGTTGATTTTGTTCACCAACTTGTTGTTGATTTTGATCAACAACTTGTTGATTTTGTTCACCGACTTGTTGTTGGTTTTGATCAACAACTTGTTGATTTTGTTCACCGACTTGTTGTTGGTTTTGATCCCCTGCGGGTGCTTTAACTTGCTGATTTTGATCGACAACTTGTTGTTGTTGGTTTTGATCATTGGCTTGTTGTTGTTGGTTTTGTTGTTGATTTTGATCAACGAATTGTTGTTGTTGATTTTGATCCCTTCCAGGTTGTTGAGCTTGTTGATTTTGATCGATAGGTTGTTGCTGTTGTTGTTGTTGTTGATTCTGATTCATTTGGAAAGCATTTTGATTTGGCCTGCAAAAGAACACATCAGAATTTGAAAATCAATGTCTCTGCATAAACATGTGCACAAAATTCTTGTAGTCCTAATAGGTTTCTATAGAGATTAATAACTTAAAGATTAACTTTCTGCACAATTTGGGAACAACTGAATGGTTCCATTGTGGCAAAAATCATTCAAACACAAGTTTTTATTGCAGTTTACGAGCATGATCTGGGAATATTTCAGTTTGAATATAATTTATAATAAGTTTCCTTTATCTACCTTTATATACGTTATGTTTAGAGTTACCATTTGAATATTAAAGTTTATACATAAAATGGATTAAGCAAAATGTAATTTGCTTACAACAAATCAAATTTGCTGATGGGATTTTATGTGTCAAAAGACACTCATATCCAGAATATGTGCAAATGATTGCATAATTTAGCATGATTTACAGTTATTTAGTACTAAGTAGAACAAGCTGTTATATAGCTATTCTATTAATAATGTTAAAATGTTGATGTAATTGATTTTTCAAACAAATGATTCATATGCCATTTGCTTCTGTTTTTTAAATACTGACAATTTTAAAATCTAATATCATTCTCTTTACTTTTCAATATTGAAAAATTCATTAACAAGGCTAGCGTGACTGAGTAACTTTCTGGTGTGTATATGTTGACTAAATATTCCCTCTAAATTTTACCTATCAGCATTTAAACAAAAGTCTGAGTTTCAATGTTTGTTTTAAAAGTGACCATGTTTGCCATTGGTTGGTATATTCCTAGAACAAGAACAGATGTTCATTACATGCCTCAATATGTAATTGTAACCATGGGAATATGTTGCTGTAACCATGAAAATATGTTGTAACAATGGGAATATATTGTTGTAACCATGGGAATATATTGTTGTAACAATGGGAATATGTTGTCGTAACAATGGGAATATATTGTTGTAACCATGGGAATGTTGTTGTAATAGGATCATGAAAAATTTGAACTTTCAATTCTTCTTGCTATGTAACTATGGGTAGCATTAACCTGTTGACCCTGGAACTGTTTGATTAAAAGTTCTAATCCATATTTACAAGGAAATTTCACTGTTACTCTAAAGCCCTATGGGTAACCTACACTAGTTTCTGATTCTAGATTACTTTGCTTTTGATTCTTACAAGATCTTATTACAATCTCAAATGCAGCCTGAAAAATTGTATGGGAGTTAGAACTTTAAATAGGTAGAAAAGGTTATTTGATTTTCAGACAAAAAATTAACGCAAGGATTTCACGGGTCTCTAACTCGAGACCTCTCAGCACACATGACAACCCCAAAAAAAGGTTGTTTCATCAGCCAATCTGACAAGAGGGAACATGTGTAATACAATGCTCAACACACTAGATGTAACATTGCACACACACACACATAACTATTCTGATTGGTTATTGGCTACATCAAAGAATGAGCTCTAATCTAAAGAGTGCGGATGAGGCGAATCTCTTTGACAGGGTAACTTACTGTTGTACACGACCTGGTTGATACCCAAGAAGATCAAGACCTTTGCTGGACAGTACTTGAAGAGCCTGCTTTCCAAAGTTCTCTTCAATAGTTTTAAACAAATCTTGTTTCATGCCAGTAATAGCAGGAGTGCAGTCCCTGTAATAAAACAGGATATGGTGTAAGATTTGTCTGGTTAAACCTGTTTAACATAATAGGTAAATCATGGCTTCAATTGGCTACAAAAAGATTTTTCTTTCACAAGATGCTAACTATTTCCATATCAGTTCCTTTCAATTAGCAAGTTTAAAATGGAAAGATGCGATGAGTATCAGAATGCTAAAATGAGATATTACTCACGTAGGTTCACATTTCTTGTTTCCAAGTTCCTCAATTTGACGATTGCGTTCTTCCAGTTGGGCTGCAACAAAAGCAAAAACATTGGTTGAAAAATTCTTGAATTTGAAGCTAGAATCAGAATATAACTGCAAGCAACATTTCTGATGAGAAAACCAATGTGTCTTTTTCAATTAAAATATCACATCAGATCAAAATATGTGTCTTTTGTTTGACTCTGATGCCATGACAATTGGTCACTACAGTGTACAATATATACAAAACTTAAATAAAGTGTTTTTCAAACAATGAAGGTATTGAAGAATTGACAAGTAGATTTTAATAAGAAGCAATCATTGAAAAACTAGTACAGAAGATCCGGTCAACATTTTTAAGGAGGAACAAATTGTTAAAATCTCTATCTATTTATTTCCTTGAATAGGGTTTGGAATTTGGGGATAATGATCCTGTGTATTATATTATGGTCCAACAAAAATTTAAAAAAAAGTAATTTTGACAAAAAATCAATTTTCAATCTTTCCTTACTATTTTCTTTTATGTGGTTTAGAGTAATTCACTATTTACATTAAATTCAACATATTTCTATTTGAATGCTGTTCTCTTCAAAAGACATTAAAAAGTAAACCTATAGATGCTATAGCTAAAATATTGATTTTCCATATTACAAATTTAACACAGTGTTTGTGACTAAGGTAGAAAACATGATATGACCATATTGGCAATGAGTCAGTTGCACAGTAGGCAACCAGTTGGTCCAATACCATTCTATATACTATTGCAAAGCGTGAGAAGTCACTTTCAACTAGTGTTGTCGCGATGTGCCATAATCGTACATCGATGCATCGGCAATTTTCAGTAGTAAACATCGATGCACATCGCGATGTACATCGAGAAAAAGTCCGAGAAAAGTGCACTGAAATACCGAACGCTAATACACTAAAATACCGAACATCCGGTACATCCGGGAACTTCTAGAAAGGTGAAATGAAAGTAAAGTAATTTTTTTAGATTAATGGTTCATTTCGAATAGCTAAAACAGTTTTAAAGCGAAAGAATATCAGAAAACATTGGAAAATGAAATAAGACATGAGAAAGGTAAGCGATTTGCGTCAAAATAAGATAAGAAAGGGTGATTTTTAGCAAATTAGTTTTTTTCAAAAACATCGATGTTTTGTTTCTGACATCGATGCATCGCCAGAATCAGCTTTGGCGATGTATATCGCGATGTATCGATTAATCGCGACAACACTACTTTCAACTGCTTTACATTGCATGATGGGATGTGACTTCTTCTAATCTGGCCAACTAATTAGCTTTGAAAATGACAGATCGTTCTCATCTCTTAAGATTTTCTTTGTTTTTGCCATGTTTATTTAGTAGTATTAGATGGAATTAAAAAACACAAATGATTGGAGTTAGATGTGGTATTTCCTCTTTGAAATAGTTTATTTTTATTTTTAATCAAATACAAACTAAAAACTAATGTTCCAAGGCTCAAGAGTCAATTATTTGAGTATGTATAGCTATCAGAGTTTGTATGAACCCTCAAATTGCTCAATGACATCATTTTGGGCAGATTAATATTTGTGGAAAACAGCAAATATCACTCTGTGTTCACCATCACCATCTCTCCAAAATACAAAATTTGAAAATGTTTTGCCCTCTTACTTGCATTTTTAAAAAATAAAGTTTCTTCACTATGAAATTGCTACCATTATATTCATATAAATGTATTCTAATTGTTAAACAGACGCTCACCTTGAAGTTCAGTATATTCTGTCTTCTTTCTTTCAATATCTTCCTGTTGCTCTTTGTTATTTTTTTCCAGGTCCTCCTATATAATAAAAACATTCATTAATACTCAGAATAGATTCAATAAAAGAACACAGTAGAAATAAAAGTGATGGTTAATGGTTATGTATGGCCAACATTAAGAGCAGTTTGAACCCCTCAACCATATAAGTAACATTTAATATAATTACATGTATATTGTATTAAGGTAACTTATAACTTAATCAAAAAATCCAAGATGGCCAAAACCAGGAAGCACATGGCATTTGAGTATAATCTGACCATCAAAATTAACTGTCTTTTGGTTGGATTTTCTCTCAATTTTTTAGTTTCACTTATCATTTATATAACCAGGCTCACTGTGGTAATGCAAATAGAAACAGTAAACATTTTGGAATGGGAATTTGAGTCCTCTGAAAATGTGACAGAAAAATTGACAAAAAGAGGTCCCTGAACATTTTTTTTCCAATTTCTCTGAAACATCCCTTTAATATAGCCCAAAATGGAAGGAGCTTTAGAATTTTGAAATTTCTCATACAAATTAAAAAAAATAGAAAAAAACAATTTGAGAAGTGTACTTTTTTCCTTATTTTGATCCCAATTTTTTTATCGGGTAATTTTTCAAATTTCCGTTGCTCCTTCGTTTTTGATATATGTTTGAAGTATATTTTCTGAAATGTTCAGATATTTTGAATCAGCGGTTTTTCATGGGCTACTCCTAGAAAAAAATGTTCTCAAATTCTTTAAACGGCTCTTTTTTTCTCAAACTAAAGTTTTTTGTTGTTTTTTGATGTCTTTGTAATGATTACAGTGCACAAGCATATGTGAAATAATAAAAACGACTTCTCAGGAAGAGTTTGAAAATTTCAAGATTGTGAAAATTGATTAAGTTAACAGTCACCTAATATAACTTGGGCTCTGCTGTAATACACACAGCAATTAAAGGGCTCTAAATTGTATCACTTATTGAAATACATGTAAATATCTTATTGTGAAAAAAGAATGATGTTATCAGTAACGTTATAACTGTATCATATTTGAATAAGTATATCTTAAAATCTGCTATTACACGGTGCAGTACTCATGCTGCGTGCCTACTTAGGTACATGGTTAGTTTCCTAGAAACTTTGCATCATATGGACTCTGTATTTTCAAATGTCATTTCAAGACCTTTATACAGCATTCTTTTCTCGTTTAATGCATTCATTCAGATCAGTGGTGAATATATGATTCTACCCTTTGATTACAAAAACTATTACTTATTTACTGTTTTGGTATAAACAATCTAATAAAACATTTTCTCGAGAATACTTTTCAATGAGATGTGACATTATTACGAGGTCATGTTGAACTCGGGTCTGTGCAAAAACTATCAGTTTCTATATAACATATGATAGCATGCGTGTGCATTGTTATGTTTAATGCAAAAATTGCAATGATGAATTACACAACTGAGTTTGTTTGTCTTTAGAAACATAGAAACTTCAAGCTTTGTCGAATCATAAACATATTATATGATGCTTTATAAAATCTCTCATTTAATGATAGAAATTACTAGTAGATGGGTTTCCTTTTGGCAAAACATATATTACCTAGTACATAAAATGCTATCTAAAAAAGTTAACACTTGCGGGAAAATAAAAATTGTTTGAGGGGATGGTTATTCACATGTAACTCATCAGTTCAATCAACTCAGCATTAGACAACAATTTCGATTGAACTTATTTAGATCAATAATTGGTCAATCTATATGATCTCTAGGGCATATATATTAACTTTTATATAACCTAATATCGTAATATTACCCTTTGCATTGACTTTTGATTTTACAGACACTAGCATTAACAATTTGAAGATAATCCTTATAAATCCAAAAATTGCATCAATTACATTGAACTATATATCAAATATTTTCCACATTAGAAATGATTATGTATAATGATTATCTAAAGTGTCCCATAAGCCTTTGAAGGCTGGGTGCACGCTCGTTTGTATAGATTGTATATGTATGTGAAAATGTGCACGAGACACTGAAATAAACAAATACTTACTAACTATTACCATAGGCTTTCAATTAGAGTTGAAAGCCCATGCTATTACCCTTTGCATTTGTTTGACTTATCGCCTCTTACATGAGTGCTTATGTCTACAGATTCTGTATTCAGGGTAAGCAGGTATTAATACAATTGTTAAATTATCACTCACTTAATCCTCAGTATTAAATTGTGGAAGCATCAAACATACATGTACATTAGATTGCAATTATATTTTATGTACATGTTTATGATCTTCCAATTTTATCTGCTAATTGCCATAATATACAGGAAAATCCCTACAGGGATCACAAACATTAAAGGGCCAGTAGCTGTAACTCTCATCTAACTTATAACCCTAAACATTGCTAAAATAATTTGTAAAATATTTGAAGTTCATAATGATATGTAACTTCATGGGCTTTCAACTAGAAAATAATTGAAAGCCCATGGTAACTTCTCAGAATCAACAGATTTAAACATAAACCTTATTTTCAGAAAATATTAAAGCTTGAAACTATTATTTTCTAGTAAGCTGTATGACAAGTTCCAAATTGAAAACAGTCCTTGCATGAATACTTTTTTAATTACAGAAAAGTAGGGAAGGTTTATATTCAAGTCTATTGATCGTTTAGTTCCATAGAAGTTAATTCAACAGGTTAAACCTAGTCTGGGCCTTATTTCTTATCTGACATATCTTATGGCCTGCCCTAGGTTTAACGTCCGTGCCTATCCAGCCCTTAATGCAAAAAAATTAATGGTGGTCTATGCCAGCGCATAGAATTCTATACGCGTTTAATTAATAAGTGGTAGTGAGAATTTACAACAGACGAAAGCAAAGCACGGACGTTAAACCCAATCACGGCAACAAGAACATTCAGATTAATAAATGAAAGCCGTGGTATTGGGTTTAACGTGTTGAACTACATAGAAGTAAGATCTGAATTACCCCACATCATTGAATACAATGAATAAGTGTTTAATTCATGATATCATATCTTAGCATTTATGTTCTACAACTTTCATTTTGTGCTTGTTGAGGTGAACCCGGCTCCAAATATTAAATGAACTAACAAGACCGTGTTCCAAGCAAGTAGGCGTGGCATATTTACAATGGATGAAATAAATGTTAACATTTTTGGGTTAAAATTTCTCAAGTACTTAGTATGATTTACTTACGCTTAACAAAACAATAAAATACAAAACTGGTTGATAAGCTTATTTTATGGTAAAATTTGTTACAAACCTTTTCAATTTTGATTTGATTTATATCGATTCGCATATTCTCCAAATCTTTATTTTTATTGTTCAAATCTGTTGTTAAAGATGAGATTTCTTGTTCCTTCTGTGCACCCGATGCCTTGTTCCTTTCAAGTAAATCTGTGCTTTCTTTTAAATTCCCCAATAAAGCATCATTTTGTTTATCAACAGTAAGTTTTTGCATGGCAGTCAATCTGAGTTTTTCACTCAATTCTCTGAGCTTTATATCGATCTCTGCATTCTTTTTCGAGATTGTCCAGTAGTTGAAACCTAATATGGCTATCACTACCAATAGTCCTACTAATACAAAAGGTGGAGATCTGTTCTGTGGACGCATATTTCCTCTCATATTCCCGTTCTTCTCAGCAGCCATATCAGAAGTTGCCAACACTAAAAAATGGCCGCTTGTATCAATTAAAGCTACACTAGATTTGTGATCGTGTGTAAAGTGGAAACGATTGTTAATTCTTTAAAGCATAGGTACTGAAATGGAACAAATATTATTGAATCATAGTCATCAATCAACTTCAATTTAATTTGCCATGTATTTGCATTTATAAAAATAAAATATTGATTTCATGTGTCAAGATATGTCACAAATATAGATTACAAAATGTGCGGATCTGCGAACGCATCATAACAACTTGCGTTCGGTATTATAGTAGAAAAATGAAAATGAATATTGAAGTTATGATCCGATTTTCGTCAAATCTACCTCTAAATACCATATTTGAAACGTTATTTCAGCAAAAATATTTATTTATTTGATTGAAGGATCAATTGAAACGGTACAAATAGGTAGGATTAATATTGAATATTGATGAAATCACGCATTAAAAAATATTTCACCAATTATCGCTCATGCCATTTTGTTTTTTTTGCCAAGTTTGTTATACTGTTATAGTTATCACTGCTAAGGTCGTATTGGCCTGTGGCCGTTCAATTAAATATCTATTTATGAATTCCATCAGTCTGTTCAAAGTGAGATTACGACTCTTTTGAATAGTAGATGAATAAAAGAAAAATGATTAGCCTCACCATGGGCTTTCAACTAGAAGGGCAACTTCCCATATTTCATACATAAACATTGCCATGGGTTTTCAAAATTGGAGAATGTACACATTCCAAGAAAATCTTATTTTGTACTTTTTATTGATGATTAAAAGAAATAACTCAAAAATAAAAACATGATCTTCTACATACATCTTGATAATTTAATAAAAATTGGAATTCATCATAATTATGACAATACAGAAAGTGAACATTCTCCCTCAAATTTTGTTTTTATTGGAATGTGTTCTTGAATAATTACCCACAATGCAATACTCAAAGAGAACATCTTGATAACTCTTATTCTTATTGGTCTCTTTTGTTTACTTTTATATGATATTGAATATATTTTATGCTTAAATCATATTAAAAATTGATTTTTATTCAAAATAATACTAAAACATATACATTTATCTAATACTTTTTGAAATATTGCCATAAAAAGGAAGCTTGTCATTGCTCATTTTGAAGGTCTCATGTTATTACATAGAGTTGCATACCCTTCTAGTTGAAAGCCCATGGCCGCACGTTATATTCCAGTTCTCTAGAGTCCATTTCACTGCTTCATTGGATTGCTTCTAGTTTGGCTTATAAAGTGTGTGGCCTCTTATATTTGGACGTTTCTCTGCCATGTTATTTTCAATAAGATTAACATGGCTAAAATTCTTCAAATTACAAGACGGCACAGGCTTATTGCACAAAAAACTAAAAAATCTGATATAAACAAATGTCATTCATGTACATTATGAATATACTTTTCCATATATTATTGCACAATGGTCTCCCAATTTCTTATTTTTGCTGTTCTACTGACGAAATGAAGCAGTGAAATGGACTCTAGATATAATCCAAAAAAGGTATGGCATCAAGAAATATGCCATCTACTAATAAACGAAAAAGAGGCAAAAATGAAGACCTAGATGCAGAGAAATGCAAAAAATCAAAACTAGAACCTGGTGGAAATTCTGCTAAAAGTACAGCCGAAAATAACAATAGATTTTTAAATGGACTTCATATACTTATTATATCTGCTGGGATACAGAAGTTTCGTTTTGATATATTCAAGAAGCAAATCATAAAATATGGCGGAATATATATGGAAAAATTTACTGATGAGACATCTCATATTATTGTTGATGAAAAAATGGAACTTGACCGTTTATGTAGAATTCTAAAATGGGACAGCATCCCAACAGGCGTTAAAATTATCAAATCACTATGGCTCAGCGGATGTCTGAAAGACAATAATTTAAATAGCTCGGCTAATTTTGAACTAGACAACCAAGAATTTAGAGTACAATCAGTAAAAAATGATTTACTAAATGACAATGTGAAAGTTGAACCATCAACATCCAATTATTCACCCAAGAATGAGCACTCCCCAACAAAGGATCATTCCCCAAAGAAGGATCATTCGTCAAAGAAGGCTGCCTATTCTGATGCAGATAGTGACTATGACGAGGCTAACGATAGGGCTCTGCCAGCTAGTCCAAAAGGACACAAGCATATTCCAGTAAGTTATATTTATTTTATATGCACATTGATGATGCATACTCTAGGTGGACATATCCCACCTGTTAGTTTTCATTTATTTGAATACATGTACTGTACTTTAGATGTTTGGATGATCCAACTCATCAGAGCTGGAGCAGCCTCATCCATATATACATTCACCACCTTCTCAAAATAGAATCATCATTTTCAGGCTTGAATTGATTAAAGCACTGACCCATTATTGATGTCTTTTATTTATAAGCTGCTATTGTTTTCTAGATTATTTTTTTTTAATTTCAGACAGAGAAATGGGTTTGTTCTGCTGCTTCAAGCGACAAAAAGAAAGAAATCCCAAATAAAAATGTGATTGCAAAACTAGAGGTGAGGGGTGCAAGAATCTTAGAGCTACGTTTTAAGAACTTGATGAAATAATTTCAGTAAATGTTGAGTGTTGAGTCAGCCTACATGTCTGTTAATTCTGTTAGTTTTGGTCTTCAAAAAGAGTATTGTGAAGAAGTGTCCATCATTACGCTACTTCTACATTTAGAACATATCTTATTGTCTAAAAATATGAGGACCAACTTATAAAACAAAAAATACAGGACATTTGGACAATTAGCTGAGGTGTATTATCAGAATGTACTCTTGTTTCAATTAATGGGATGCTTGACTGCAATATCTCATACATGTACATCACTTTTGTGAATCATTCCTGTGGATAAGGCTAAATAACTTAAAGTAATTGTTGAAAAGCACATAGCTAGTAATGTCAGGTGTATGGACCTCCTGTTATGCTGTATTTAAGAAATATAGACCAAAGAACAGGGATAATATTGTTGAATACACCCCGCAGGGCTAGGCACAAACGTTTTCTGTACCCTGAATGACCGAAGGGAGTGAGGGGTTCGAAAGCTTTTGTGCCTAGCCCTAAGGGGTGTATTCGACGATATTACACCTGCTCTGAGGTCTATATTACGATTCGAACATGAAAACCCACAAAAATGTTTCAAATATTCATTATGGTCCACCATTACTACGGTCCGCTGTTATGACGTCACACATTACACGTATTACCAGAGGCAATGTTCACGAATATACCCCAGGTGAAATGTTGACTTTGTTTACAGTTTATAGAAGGTGTGAATACAGTCATGTTCGAATTCTTTATAGGAAATGGCAAAAAACTACAAGAATAGTGCAGATAAGTGGAGGTCATTTGGCTACCAGAAGGCCATTGCTGCACTGAAAACATACAATAAAGAAATCACTACATATGAGGTAAGCCTGTGCATTCAGATGAATTAATGGGTGTGTCTTAAAAATTAAAGATAAATGTGTGACGTCATTTGAAACCCTGTGACTCAGTCACAGGGTTTCAAATGATGCTTCAATTAACCCTTTGCTTGTAATATTGTTTTTCCAACTTTTTATTTGTGGATGGCGGTTGGTGTTAAGCATCTGTAGTACAGCTTCTATAACAAATGTCACTTGGTGACATCTTGCATGTTAATGCCTTGTATGTATTCATGTTATCTAATATGTATTTAACGTTATGTTAAATATGTTTTGATGTTATCTAAAAATGTGTTTCAAAGGATGCAGTTGCATTACGAGGAGTTGGTAAAAAACTTGCAGATAAAATCTGGGAGATCATACAAACAGGCGAGCTTCGGAAGCTGAATGAGATATCTTCGACAGATGAAGCAAAAACCACCAATATGTTTTCTGACATATGGGGGGTTGGCGCTACAACTGCTAGACTTTGGTACACTCAGGGACACAGGTATGACTGTTCTGTGTATAAGTTAAATCAATCATCCAGAAAATGCAAATGATCATTGTACTGATATGGCCTATATTTCTAGAGTAAGATCTCCAATGAATTTTACTGGTAACAGAGTGTATTTTTGCATAGTTATTGGATAAAATCATAGCAAAAAGTTTAAAAAAATAAGGATGAAAATCACTCAACTTGGTTTCTTGTGAGATAAATAGATAACTATGATATTTGGATGATAAAGGGAATACATCTCATGTTAATTATTTGCTTGAGGATGTTGAACAGAGAATGGAAGATGAGGCCTCTGAGTGTGATAACAAAATGACATTGAGAATACACTGAGGTAGCCTATGTCGTACATGCGTTATAATGTGGATGTTATTCCTCTGAGTGTGATTACAAGATGACATTGAGAATAGACTGAGGTAGCCTATGTCGTACATGCATTATAATGTGGATGTTATTCCTCTGAGTATGATTACAAGATGACATTGAGAATAGACTGAGGTAGCCTATGTTGTACATGCATTATAATGTGGATGTTATTCCTCTGAGTATGATTACAAGATGACCTTGAGAATAGACTGAGGTAGCCTATGTTTTACATGCATTATAATGTGGATGTTATTCCTCTGAGTATGATAACAAAAGGACATTGAGAATAGACTGAGGTAGCCTATGTTTAACATGCATTATAATGTGGATGTTATTCCTCTGAGTATGATTACAAGATGACCTTGAGAATAGACTGAGGTAGCCTATGTTGTACATGCATTATAATGTGGATGTTATTCCTCTGAGTATGATAACAAAATGACATTGAGAATACACTGAGGTAGCCTATGTCATACATGCATTATAATGTGGATGTTATTCCTCTGAGTATGATAACAAGATGACCTTGAGAATAGACTGAGGTAGCCTATGTCGTACATGCATTATAATGTGGATGTTATTCCTCTGAGTATGATTACAAGATGACATTGAGAATAGATTGAGGTAGCCTATGTCGTATATGCATTATAATGTGGATGTTATTCCTCTGAGTATGATTACAAGATGACCTTGAGAATAGACTGAGGTAGCCTATGTTGTACATGCATTATAATGTGGATGTTATTCCTCTGAGTATGATTACAAGATGACCTTGAGAATAGACTGAGGTAGCCTATGTCGTACATGCATTATAATGTGGATGTTATTCCTCTGAGTATGATAACAAAATGACCTTGAGAATAGACTGTGAGGTAGCCTATGTCGTACATGCATTATAATGTGGATGTTATTCCTCTGAGTATGATAACAAGATGACCTTGAGAATAGACTGAGGTAGCCTATGTTGTACATGCATTATAATGTGGATGTTATTCCTCTGAGTATGATTACAAGATGACCTTGAGAATAGACTGAGGTAGCCTATGTCGTACATGCATTATAATGTGGATGTTATTCCTCTGAGTATGATTACAAGATGACCTTGAGAATAGACTGAGGTAGCCTATGTTGTACATGCATTATAATGTGGATGTTATTCCTCTGAGTATGATAACAAAATGACATTGAGAATACACTGAGGTAGCCTATGTCATACATGCATTATAATGTGGATGTTATTCCTCTGAGTATGATAACAAGATGACCTTGAGAATAGACTGAGGTAGCCTATGTTTTACATGCATTATAATGTGGATGTTATTCCTCTGAGTATGATAACAAAAGGACATTGAGAATAGACTGAGGTAGCCTATGTTTAACATGCATTATAATGTGGATGTTATTCCTCTGAGTATGATTACAAGATGACCTTGAGAATAGACTGAGGTAGCCTATGTTGTACATGCATTATAATGTGGATGTTATTCCTCTGAGTATGATAACAAAATGACATTGAGAATACACTGAGGTAGCCTATGTCATACATGCATTATAATGTGGATGTTATTCCTCTGAGTATGATAACAAGATGACCTTGAGAATAGACTGAGGTAGCCTATGTCGTACATGCATTATAATGTGGATGTTATTCCTCTGAGTATGATTACAAGATGACATTGAGAATAGATTGAGGTAGCCTATGTCGTATATGCATTATAATGTGGATGTTATTCCTCTGAGTATGATTACAAGATGACCTTGAGAATAGACTGAGGTAGCCTATGTTGTACATGCATTATAATGTGGATGTTATTCCTCTGAGTATGATTACAAGATGACCTTGAGAATAGACTGAGGTAGCCTATGTCGTACATGCATTATAATGTGGATGTTATTCCTCTGAGTATGATAACAAAATGACCTTGAGAATAGACTGTGAGGTAGCCTATGTCGTACATGCATTATAATGTGGATGTTATTCCTCTGAGTATGATAACAAGATGACCTTGAGAATAGACTGAGGTAGCCTATGTTGTACATGCATTATAATGTGGATGTTATTCCTCTGAGTATGATTACAAGATGACCTTGAGAATAGACTGAGGTAGCCTATGTCGTACATGCATTATAATGTGGATGTTATTCCTCTGAGTATGATTACAAGATGACCTTGAGAATAGACTGAGGTAGCCTATGTTGTACATGCATTATAATGTGGATGTTATTCCTCTGAGTATGATAACAAAATGACATTGAGAATACACTGAGGTAGCCTATGTCATACATGCATTATAATGTGGATGTTATTCCTCTGAGTATGATAACAAGATGACCTTGAGAATAGACTGAGGTAGCCTATGTCGTACATGCATTATAATGTGGATGTTATTCCTCTGAGTATGATAACAAGATGACCTTGAGAATAGACTGAGGTAGCCTATGTCGTACATGCATTATAATGTGGATGTTATTCCTCTGAGTATGATTACAAGATGACCTTGAGAATAGACTGTGAGGTAGCCTATGTTGTATATGCATTATAATGTGGATGTTATTCCTCTGAGTATGATTACAAGATGACATTGAGAATAGATTGAGGTAGCCTATGTCGTACATGCATTATAATGTGGATGTTATTCCTCTGAGTATGATTACAAGATGACATTGAGAATAGACTGTGAGGTAGCCTATGTTGTACATGCATTATTATGTGGATGTTATTCCTCTGAGTATGATTACAAGATGACCTTGAGAATAGACTGTGAGGTAGCCTATGTCGTACATGCATTATAATGAGGATGTTATTCCTCTGAGTATGATAACAAAATGACCTTGAGAATAGACTGTGAGGTAGCCTATGTTGTACATGCATTATAATGAGGATGTTATTCCTCTGAGTATGATAACAAAATGACCTTGAGAATAGACTGTGAGGTAGCCTATGTTGTACATGCATTATAATGAGGATGTTATTCCTCTGAGTATGATAACAAGATGACCTTGAGAATAGACTGTGAGGTAGCCTATGTCGTACATGCATTATAATGAGGATGTTATTCCTCTGAGTATGATAACAAAATGACCTTGAGAATAGACTGTGAGGTAGCCTATGTTGTACATGCATTATAATGTGGATGTTATTCCTCTGAGTATGATAACAAAATGACCTTAAGAATAGACTGTGAGGTAGCCTATGTTGTACATGCATTATAATGTGGATGTTATTCCTCTGAGTATGATTACAAAATGACATTGAGAATAGACTGAGGTAGCCTATGTCGTACATGCATTATAATGTGGATGTTATTCCTCTGAGTGTGATAACAAGATGACCTTGAGAATAGACTGTGAGGTAGCCTATGTCGTACATGCATTATAATGTGGATGTTATTCCTCTGAGTATGATAACAAGATGACCTTGAGAATAGACTGTGAGGTAGCCTATGTCGTACATGCATTATAATGTGGATGTTATTCCTCTGAGTATGATTACAAGATGACCTTGAGAATAGACTGAGGTAGCCTATGTTGTACATGCATTATAATGAGGATGTTATTCCTCTGAGTATGATTACAAGATGACCTTGAGAATAGACTGAGGTAGCCTATGTCGTACATGCATTATAATGTGGATGTTATTCCTCTGAGTATGATTACAAGATGACATTGAGAATAGACTGAGGTAGCCTATGTCGTACATGCATTATAATGTGGATGTTATTCCTCTGAGTATGATTACAAGATGACATTGAGAATAGATTGAGGTAGCCTATGTCGTATATGCATTATAATGTGGATGTTATTCCTCTGAGTATGATTACAAGATGACATTGAGAATAGACTGAGGTAGCCTATGTCGTACATGCATTATAATGTGGATGTTATTCCTCTGAGTATGATTACAAGATGACATTGAGAATAGATTGAGGTAGCCTATGTCGTATATGCATTATAATGTGGATGTTATTCCTCTGAGTATGATTACAAGATGACCTTGAGAATAGACTGAGGTAGCCTATGTTTTACATGCATTATAATGTGGATGTTATTCCTCTGAGTATGATTACAAGATGACCTTGAGAATAGAATGAGGTAGCCTATGGTGTACATGCATTATAATGTGGATGTTATTCCTCTGAGTATGATAACAAGATGACCTTGAGAATAGACTGAGGTAGCCTATGTCGTACATGCATTATAATGTGGATGTTATTCCTCTGAGTATGATAACAAAATGACCTTGAGAATAGACTGAGGTAGCCTATGTCGTACATGCATTATAATGTGGATGTTATTCCTCTGAGTATGATTACAAGATGACATTGAGAATAGACTGAGGTAGCCTATGTTGTACATGCATTATAATGTGGATGTTATTCCTCTGAGTATGATTACAAGATGACATTGAGAATAGACTGAGGTAGCCTATGTCGTACATGCATTATAATGTGGATGTTATTCCTCTGAGTATGATAACAAGATGACCTTGAGAATAGACTGAGGTAGCCTATGTTGTACATGCATTATAATGTGGATGTTATTCCTCTGAGTATGATAACAAGATGACCTTGAGAATAGACTGAGGTAGCCTATGTTGTACATGCATTATAATGTGGATGTTATTCCTCTGAGTATGATTACAAGATGACATTGAGAATAGACTGTGAGGTAGCCTATGTTTTACATGCATTATAATGTGGATGTTATTCCTCTGAGTATGATTACAAGATGACCTTGAGAATAGACTGAGGTAGCCTATGTTGTACATGCATTATAATGTGGATGTTATTCCTCTGAGTATGATTACAAGATGACATTGAGAATAGACTGTGAGGTAGCCTATGTTTTACATGCATTATAATGTGGATGTTATTCCTCTGAGTATGATTACAAGATGACCTTGAGAATAGACTGAGGTAGCCTATGTTGTACATGCATTATAATGTGGATGTTATTCCTCTGAGTATGATTACAAGATGACCTTGAGAATAGACTGAGGTAGCCTATGTTGTACATGCATTATAATGTGGATGTTATTCCTTACAACAGGACATTGGCTAACTTAGAAAAGAATGCCAACCTGAACAGACAACAGAAGGTTGGACTTAGACTCTATGATGATCTCAAAGAGAGGATGACAAGAGAAGAAGCAGGAAAGATTGAGCAATATGTAAGATCTAAATATTATAAATAGAAAAAACAGAATTAATTTTACTTGTAGATAAGATGGGTTAGGCTATTTGCTAGTTTTGTTTGTTTGGTATTTATATTTTTGTTATATTCTATATGTACTTAGAAAAGGTATAATATTGTTGCCAGTTTGGCAGTGGCATCTCTCACTTCTATTGTCATTTATAGACAAATTGCCTGACGGATTGATTTGAAATTTCAGAGTTGTTCCATGAAACATTTTTTTAGGGACAAAATTGTTCACATTGAATGTAGAACCAATTACGTAAAAATACATTTAGTCATATGGTCAATTCAAATTTTATACACACCCAGAGACAATAATCCACAAAATTGAACCCTGTTATTGTTGTCCTTTAGGTGAAAGAAACAGCCCAGAAAATCAACCCAGGCCTAATAGCAATGGCTTGTGGCTCATATAGAAGAGGAAAGCAAACATGTGGCGATGTTGATGTATTAGTGACACACCCAGATGGCAAATCCCATAAAGGGGTCTTCCAAAAACTCTTACATGGCTTGCATGAAACAGGTAATTGGTTTTAAAATTTACAGTTTTGTTGATATTTTAAAGTCATTATCTGAATTTTAATATTTTTATGTCTTTCAAATGTTACCTTCTCCACTTTACTATTTAAATATGCTCAAGTAGAAGTTGCAACTAAATCTCATAATTATTTCACATTAATAGATTATACACAGTTATATTTTTCAAAAATGTCGCTATATTGGGGACAACATTTTGCATTGCAAGGGTTCCTGACTGATGACCTTGTCACTCAAGATGACCATAGTACCCAGCAGAAGTACTTGGGAGTTTGTAAGCTTCCAGAAGAAGGTTCACAGGTAAAGATGATATTGTTAAATTGATTTCTCTAATGCACTTCATAAAATTCATAAGGCAGCCACTCCTGTATATGTTAATGAGCCTATATTTTTCTTCAAATTCATTAAATAATTTCCTCTTTTGAAATTATTTTATTTTTGTTTTGCTCTAAATAGTTATAAAATACAGCTTGATCAAACACTTATGTGCTGGGCTACTACCATATGTCTTATTTTGACTAACATTTCCATATTGAATATTTATTTCAGCATAGACGACTCGACATCATTGTAGTTCCTCATAATGAACTGGCCTGTGCTCTGATGTACTTCACTGGCTCCGCCCACTTTAACCGCTCATGTAGAAACCTTGCCATAGCAAAAGGGATGTCATTATCTGAACATTCCTTAAACACTGGAGTAATAAGATCAGTAAGTATACTATATAGATTTCTTTTGGGAGATAATGAGATTTATCATAAGTTTAACTGGAATGCTATGTTGTGATTGGTTTGTACTTGTCACCTGATCAGTCGATAAATTAGAATATTACACTCTAAATGTACATCACACCAAGCATCGCGAGGGATTCCTGACCTACTCAGCAAAATATTCTCTCAGACCAAACATCTCTTTCTTTAATATATATTTCCCAAATGGCTGTCGGCTCCACATTGAGGGTCACACACTAATATGATTTTCAAATGCATTCTTTAGATTAAAATTTGTTTTCTTAATTTATCTGTTACATTACAGCACGGGGAGAAGATTAATAAAGGCACCCCTTTACCCACTCCCACAGAGGAGAGTGTATTTGAGCTGCTTGGAATACCATACCGCTCACCCCAGGAGAGAGACCACTGAGCAGGGCCATGAGCCGAGAGGGTGGTTTACCAAATTGATGGGTTGCCTAGTTTGCCAAGTGGAGGCACAAATTGGCCTAATTAAGGCCTTGTGGAATTGAGAGTTCCCTAATGGATTATTGATTGATGTATATGTGTTCATAAACTTAAACTGTATTCATATCGTTCATAAACTTTTATTCATCACTGTTTTAAGTGTACAATGGCCACCCCTCCAGTACAGGGGGCTGTTTCTCAAAATGATGTAAATAATGTAAATTTTAATGCCTGATTTTTAAGATGTAGCTACAGTATGGCAAAATTGAATTTCATGAATCATAATTGATGATATTTATGGGAAATAGTTTCCACCATGTTATTCTCCATTGTAACAGCTGATTATCTCAGGGATAATTAATCATTGCTTTTCTCTTCTATATGTTGAACCAGTGGGCTCCATTTTATAACTGATTTAGGAGCCAAATAGTGCATGAGGTCGATTTGGGTAGTCAGATATCTTATCAATATGTTTTAGTGTTACACAAGAGAGGTAAACTAAGGTTTGATACAAAAATTATGAAGCCCTGACTCATGAAGTAGGATATATTCAGAAAATATTTTATGGATTTTACTTGAATTAATGATATTTCAAAGATTTTGGTGCATAGAATGAATTTTAATGATAGAATTTTTAGATTTTATTGCAAATGTACACTGTGCTTATTAAATTATTATCAATTTTACATTAATTTTTATAAATGTAATACAAACTACACTTACACTTTTGTTAAAAGAATTTGGACTGAATTTTTCAATTCTCTTGTTATTGAAATTATCGTCAATTTTATTAATCTATACATATTGATGTACATATGTTATTTATTGATATTTAGAAATATATTTTTATTCTTAGTTTCCTATTTATTTAAATATTGTAATTTTGTTTTTCATTTTTAAAAAATAAGATGAACACTTTTAAAGTCGAACAGTTTCCAAAGTGAAGCATTATTTTAAGGCTCTGACCCATCTACTGCATCTAGTAAATAAGTATATCTTGCTCATAATCACATTGGAAACTGCTCTGTATAGAGGATTTCATAATAGTGAAGTGTTCATAAGTGAGAGGTGTTTGCAAGAGAGAAGTGTTCTCAAGAGAAATGTTCACAAGAGAAATGTTCACTATGAGAAGTGTTCTCGAGAGAGAAGTGTTCTCGAGAGAAAGGTGTTCTCAAGAGAGAAGTATTCGCAACAAAGAGGTTGTTTGCAAGAGAGTGTGTTCACAAGAGAAGTGTTCACAATATGAGGTGTTTGCAAGAGAGTGTGTTCACAAGAGAAGTGTTCACAACATGAGGTGTTTGCAAGAGAGTGTGTTCACAAGAGGAGCTCACAACTGAGGTATTTTCATAGTAGGTATATATAAAGTTGTGCAATTGATGTTTTGCAGATTATATAATAAATACAAAAAGCTGGTTTATTAAAGCCTTTATGATTTTATTTCGATACTCTTTGTATAATTGTAGAACAAATAGAACTGAATTGTAACATTTCATTGACATCTGGAACCCATCAATATCATTTGTCTTTGTCTCTACTTTATAGATGGGGCGTTGATGAGGTAACAAACAGGCATGAAACAAGTTTGATATTCGTACTTTACCTGCTCTGTTATAGATGGCTCTGTAACAAATTACCAATAATGCAACTTTTAGCAGCAAAAGATTATGGTGCAGCTGCACTGATTAATAAGGTAGGATCCCAATTTTCTGTCTCTATATTGATCCTATTGGCGAGGCTGTAGACTAATAGTTATAGCAATTTAATGTCAATGACCAAGGTGAAATGGATTCTTGTTCCAAGGCTGTCGCAAAGCACGAGGCATGTGCCTGTGTGACTTCCTGCAATTGAGACATCATTGTTGTGAATTATTTATTGTCTTTGTTGCGAGTCTCTAGTGTAGAGTTTGTACATGTAACAGGATTTGCCAAGGGGGTCCACTTTTCAAAAATTCTAGGGGGTTCACTTCTAACAACTTGGGCTCAAAAAATGGCCAAAATTAAGTGTTCCGAATTGTGAAAGAATGCATGACTGAAAGAATTTTTGGCCAGGGAGGAGGGGCCCCATGGCTACAGACCTGTGTAAGCATTGTCTTTTAGTAGGTAGACATTTGCCTCACAAAAATTATTACTTTTTGCCTCACTTAATTTTGAACCTAAACCTAATATCCCAAAATAAGCTCAGGAAGATCTGTTGAAATTGAAAATATCTAATGGGAAAATGTAATTTTATTCCCTTAATTGATTAATTAGCTGATTTTTTACTGTGTATTTTACCACAACGTGGAGATATCTGTATCAAAATAGAAAAGTTTTGAAAAATATAACCTATTTCATAAATTATGGGTTATTGTTGTGGGGAAAATTACACAGAAATTCTCAACATGCAGATCCACCTTGAGTAAAGAATGTCCTGTCTTCAATACACTATACATGGTCACATAAGGTCAGGCATGAATGAATGAAGATTAATGATATCTGGTGATGAATATTGAATGTATTAAAAGGATCAGTACAAGAAATTGAAGCCTACAGTTAGCTGTTCCTGTAAATGGCTCCTTTTCAGGTGTTGTTGAAGAAACCATAAAAATCAAGATGTTTTCCTGAGATAAGTCGGAACTCTTCCACTTTCCACAAAAGGCATGACAATCAAGATAGGCTTTAAGCAAAATAGCTCAATCATGTCCAGTTTTTCATATTTAACATACATGGTGATATTTAATGTCAATTTAGGACTTTAGAAAATATAAGAAACTTTGTCCCCTCACCTTTTTATTCATTCAACAAAATAATGCCAAACATAGAATTTAATTTCTCAAGAGTAGGAAATAGAAACAAAAAGGAAGCCTTTAATTATATTGATCTAAGAGGAAGATTCCATAGCTACAAACAAAGTATTGTTATTAGATGTAGTGCTTAATTGAATTTTTTCCCAGTTGAATTTCTTCTGTCATGCACAGCTAACAATGATATTTTTGTCTTAATAAAAAATAGATGAAATGTACTGGATCCAGAGGGATTATCTCTGACATCCAGGCATCACAGAAGTGATGGATGTTTATGACCAGTTAAATCTCCATTCTACCAGCAAATACAATGACTGATAATCAATGTTTTATAAAATTAGAATTATAGATTCTCAAACTACTCATTCTATATTACTTCAATAATTTGTTGAAGTGAATATCTGTGCATAAATGTTAATATTATATGTCACCTTCACTTATTCAAATGAGTAAGAACTTATACAATATGATTGACAACAGCAACTAAAATATGTTTTTTATGAAATAATTTTCTATGCAAAACTGTTGATTTTTAATGAAGGAACACAAAATTTCCATTATTCCTGATAGACAGTAGTAACTTAAGTGATTGATTTAGCTACTTCATTGTCTATTTGATTGGTGGGACTACTTCATTGTCTATTTGATTGGTGTGGCTACTTCATTGTCTATGTGATTGATGTGGTTATTTCATTATCTATGTGATTGGTGTGGCTACTTCATTGTCTATGTGATTGGTATGCCTACTTCATTGCCTATGATTGGTGTGGCTATTTCATTGTCTATGTGATTGGTGTGGTTACTTCATTGTTTATGTGATTGATGTGGTTACTTCATTGTTTATGTGATTGATGTGGTTACTTCATTGTCTGTGATTGGTGTATTTACTTCATTATCTATGTGATTGATGTGGTTACTTCATTGTTTATGTGATTGATGTGGTTACTTCACTGTTTATGTGATTGATGTGGTTACTTCGTTGTTTATGTGATTGATGTGGTTACTTCACTGTTTATGTGATTGATGTGGTTACTTCGTTGTCAATGTGATTGATGTGGTTACTTCATTGTCTATGTGATTGATGTGGTTACTTCATTGTTTATGTGATTGATGTGGTTACTTCATTGTATATTTGTTTGGTGTGGTTACTTTATGTGTCCATATGGTTGAGATGATAACTTTGGGTGGCTTGCGCAACAATAATAACAACAATTCACAATTCATCAGATAAAAGCATTAACCAACTATTGTGAAAAGAGGTGGATACATTTTATTCACTCATTTGAGGATATCAGCATTACATTCCCCTGCTGGTGATCTATATAAGACCTGATAATCTCTATTGTAGGATTTTTATAGATTTGGATATGTTTGTTCGGTATGAATTCCAGCCGTGTGATTATTAAGCAGATTTGACATAACTCTCACTCTTTCTTGAATTCAATAATATGTTATCCAATTTCCTGAAATAACTTTGAAAAGTAGACATTGTTTGCTTATCATATAGAACAGCTTAACCAAACCAGGCTCCAATTTTTGTGAGTTTTAGAAAATGCCTATAATGTCAATATTTAGAAATTTTGTAGGATATTATTATAGGATGCCTGATAGCATGAACTCCCATAATGCAAGAACACAACCATTGTCATGTAATACTTTGTGTGAAGTATACTGAAAAACAATAAACAGTGTTTTTAATATTTATTTGAGATGCACCTGTGTTATGTCTGTAGGTGATATATTAAATTGACACCACCTGTGCAAAATATTGATTATTTACGATTTTTCATGCAAAGTAAAATATAAGGAGAAATATCACCTAGGAAAGAATTAAGGATCTGTATTGTTAGGATTATAGATTGCACAGAAATAGCAGGTTTTATTGACAAATAATAAAGAATTGTGATTACCTTTGTCAATCATCGGTTGCTATAGGAACCATTCGCACAGAAGAAAACATTATAAGCAAAGACCCATCAAGATATTTTTACATAATGTTTTTGTATTAAATTAATCAAGCTCAAATATTGATACAAAATCATCTATAAGTGTATTTAAAAAGAATACAGATGTTCTAATAATAGATTAATACATATTCTTTAGCAAACAATCAATATAGCTGGATGTTGATTGAATAGTACAGATCTATATGTAAGGGAAGGGTGATTTGCATACATCGTACCAAAGACATTACATTATTAATGAATGTACTAGACTAGGCTCAACATTGTATTGATTGGCTTCAATTCTAAGGCATTGTGTTCTTGCGTCGAGTGTGTCAGTACCCAGGATGGCTGAATTGACGTCGGTACAGGTTCACGTTCCTCTGGTATCAAACGCTGACGATTCGCAGGAAATTACGAAAATATCTGACAAAGCGAGTTTGAATTCACCGGCTGTCACTGGACCTTGTTATTTAAAAAAGGTGGACAATGTTATGATGGATCGGTCACGCTTAGAACATTTACCAAAAAGAAAGGCTGTGAATATTGAATTTAAGGACTTAACTTATTCTGTTTCTGAAGGACTATTTAGGAATAGAGGTAAGAATTCAGATTTATTTAAAGATTTACGTGTTCTTTGTCAGGCTCATGCTCATAGGCATCAGATTTAAACTAGTAAATTATTACTCTGTTAATGTGGATTATCAAATCTGAGTATCTTTATTGTCAATTAATGTTATTGTGTTCTACATTTATTTTCAAATATGTCAGAGTATTCTATTGATATTTAAGTTTTGGATACATATATCAATAGCCATACACAAGAGTATATTGTTTTATATTATCAATTACATAATAGACATGCTCCTTATTTAGTTAAAAGGATGGTTGATAAAAGTTTTAATTAAAAATTATGAATGAAAATTCAGTTGTTTCTTTATGTATGATAAAAACTATCAGAATATGGATATTGTGAGATATAATTAGTTTCCAGAATCCAGAAAATGCTTATAATGATACCAGAATATTAAAAAAATGATGATTTTTTTCAATTTGAGAGAAAATTAGGATTTTGTTATTCCTGGAATAGATGGTATGAATTTGAAAATATTGTTTTTATCAACTTGCTTTATTCACCTATTGTATACAAAATATGGGAAAAATAATGAAAGATACTTATTACACCCATGAGTGAGAAGCAGCCAGTTTAATAATAGCTATCATCATTTACGAAGATAGTGTCATGGTTACGTGACGAATATGCCTATATGACACTAAAAACATGCGCGTTTATAATATTCAGATATTGGTACTGCTAATAATTCTAATCAATGGCTGCAAACTCACATGGCATTACAACACATCTGTGAAATCGAATACTTTAATATTCTGTCCCTTTGTCTCTGAGTATACAGAGAAAGAGAAATCTATATAAGCAATTATCCCATAGTCTTTGTTAAGTTGCTGAGAATACAAACGACATTTGTATTCTCTTTGTGATTTCTGTAAAGGTCTCATATGCTAAAAACACAAGATTGTGCCAGGCAAAAACAATTAAAGATGATAGCTTATCAAACTATGGTCTAATATAAAGTCATAAGAAAATATTGCTGATTAGAAAAAACTGTTCTAGTTCGTGTATGAGATTTGAGATTTTTTGTTTTGGGGTGGGCTGTGTAACAGATTAGATTGTCTTTGAAGATGGAAGTGGGAACACACTTTTACTAATTATAGTACAGAATACAGATTATATTCTCATCCAAGCCTTGGTGTTCACCACGATTGAATAAGAATAAATTGCATCTCCATAAAATACAAAGAACGGGAAGATATTAAAGAAGATCTACTGTGTTGGAACAATATATCAAAATAATCAATTTTTTGTATTAAAAGAATTCCAGACGATGTGTTTGTTTGTTTGTTTACCCTCTTGAGCTACCCTCTGTCTCAATATGCATTTTGTCATCAAATCGACAAATAAGACTCTATAAATGTGTTAGTGTGGGTTATGATTTAATTATTTTATTCCATTGTTTAATATTTATTTTTACTTTCTCCAGCAGTTCACCATTTATTGTGTTGTCATATATTCGATATAAATATTCAATATATTAATATTCATTATAAATATTCAATATTAATTGATTTGCCATGAATGTTAAGGTTATAGAGGCATTGAAGCAAGACTGTGAAAATTTCACAATAGCTATTTGTAAAGGGTTGGTATCGATATGGTAAACTTTTTAAAGGGTGACGCATATCGTTTAGCAAATCGAACGCTCGTTTCTGGTGTTGCTCACCGTTTAGTATAAAAGGCCCGATCCCGGAATAATACTCAAGGGTTCACAGGTTCGAGGTCGTTGTGTCAACACCTCTAACTGTTATATAGCATAAGTATATTATAGATCGTCACACATTTATAAAAGGGTGATTTTTATTTTGACAAATCAATTCCACATTTATGGGTGAAGTTTCAGGATCTTCTATTTGTGTATAATAAGGAAAAATTGGCATCTAGATTTCCCCATAACGTAATAGTACACAGCTTGGCATATGAAATATCCTACAAATGAAACAAAGCAAGACAAACCGGTTTCTAATACAAGGATTTATATTGGCTGTTGTACATGTATTCTTTGAACGCAATCACTCTTTGGATAATGTTTTCAAAATCATTATAAACGGATTACTTTATCTCAAAGACAATTTCAATAAACTGGATTTTACAGAACTCCCCTTATTTCTTAAAAATGGACTGATCCAGTTGATTCGCCTGGAGCCGCCATATTGTTTTTATACGGGATGCTAATCGGAACCCTTTAAACACGTGTTTCTCTTAAACCAGTCATCAAAGAATTCTAAAAATTTTACACATCATCAATTTGATGGTCGTCTTTTGAATTGTAACAATATAATTTGAAATATATGTATATGCTTTTCCCTATATTGTTTTAGAAAACACATCAGACACATCTTTCGTTCTTGGTATCATATCTTCAGAATGAAATGAAACATCTTTCTGAACCTCATTGAAACAAAAAGAAATAAACAGAACGTGTTTAGGTCTCTCAATATTGTAATTATGCAAAGGAAATTTTGGTTGATTTTAAAAAAGCATCTTGTTAATGAAATAAAGGTTTATCTTAATTTTTATCTGTTTTGGGGGGTTTTGTTTTAATTTTTTGAGTACCTTTTCTAAAATCAACCAAAATTTCCTTTGTATAACTATGATATTGAGAGGTTGGAGAAAATTTTGTATATGCTATTTTGTCCCAATGAGGTTCAGAAAGACATTTCATTTCATTCTCAAGAATTGGTAGAAAGGAGCAAAAAATACAATTGTTCTAAAAGACAAAAATAATTTTCGCATTAAATTGTTGTCAATCAATCAACATTACATAAAGGACCATGTTTTTTACAGAATGCTTTCAATAATTGATTTAAGAGAAAAACATTGTTTAATTCAGTTCACCATATCGATACCTCTCCTTTATCTAAAACACTAAGATTAGGAATTATTACTTGTACATGTTGCATTCTTATTAGTGCATCTATTTGCTTGTTTGGCAAACAATTGATTTTGAAACAAACACGGATGAACTTAAAATGTCTTTGTGTTTAGAATGGCTTATAAGGATCTATCATTATATATCATTCACAGGGGCAGATCTGGGAACCAATAAGCGGGGGGGCCAAACTTCAGATCAGAGAAAAATGCGGAAAAAAATGTTGGAGCCTAAAACTGAAAAGTGGGCCCAAATTTCAAAAAATAAGGCCTTACAAGCCCCAGTAATGACCAAAAAGGCCCACTTTTTGGGGCTTTAAGGCCTTTTTTGCCTAATATATTTTTGGGCCCAATTTTTTTTTCATTGGCCTGGCCAGGGCCCCCAGATCCGCCAAGGACAAGGATGAACAAGGATGAACTTAAAATGTCTTTGTGTTTAAAATGGCGTATAAGGATCTATCATTATATATCATTCACAGGGGCAGATCTGGGAACCAATAAGCGGGGGGGCCAAACTTCAGATCAGAGAAAAATGCGGAAAAAATGTTGGAGCCTAAAACTGAAAAGTGGGCCCAAATTTCAAAAAATAAGGCCTTACAAGGCCCAGTAATGACCAAAAAGGCCCACTTTTTGGGGCTTTAAGGCCTTTTTTGCCTAAAATATTTTTGGGCCCAATTTTCTTTTTCTTGGCCTGGCCAGGGCCCCCAGATCCGCCAGTGATTCATTATTATGTATATTAGAAACCCTAACAGCTGAAGTGCTACAGTTCGGAATAAAATATTGATGAAATATTCGAAGTATCCTCCAAGTGACCTTGGATTCATGGCCTCGATGTTGATAAATCAGCATAAGTGTGTCCAACATGGCATAATAACATGAATATCTATGGCTTTGGCCATGTCCCCTGATATTTATGGAATATTGGTTTTTGGTGCAGGAGCAGGATCAATATTAATGGAATTATATTCAGTAATTTTTTACATGCAATCTTAGCCTGGGTTAGCTTAGGTTTAGGAGTTTTGTCTTGACAGAATATACATGTACAAATAATCTAATTTTCATATGACAACTTGGAATCAGTATTTAGGCTACAATTGTCACAATTCTGTTCTCTAAAATAAGCCAAGTTTTTCCAGTCCCACTAGCTTAAAATAGAATGGGAGAATGTTAATGTTAAAGGTATTTATAGCTCATGAATCCATTTACACTCTTTGTCACATAATCAATCCCAGTCACCTCTGTTTTCTAATTCTGATCTAAGATTCTGTTTTTCAAAATTTGGGAATTTTTGTATAGTTCAAACATGTGATATTTATTCAAATCGCAACAACGCTTTTCATCATTTTCAAGTAAAACATATTTCTGTTCTAGACTTGCACTTTTCTAAATAATTCCAATGCCATTAGCAGTCAAGCAGATGTGAGTTTCGAATCCTGATTGATTTGCTTAAATATTGAATAACCAAAAATGAGGACCCTGGTGAATATAATAAAATGATTTTAGCTGATGTGTCTGATGGAAAGCATTCACCTTATTAAATCATAGAACTAAAGATGACTGCAAACAAGAACAATACCATTAGTGAAATTAGATCAAAGCAATTGATAAGAGTCAATAGGGGGAATTATTTGATTTTAGCCTTGTTATGGGTTCATATTGGATTTTCATCAGTTCAGATGGGCCAATATGAAAGATCCCGTTTCCTGCTCTTTTTTATCAATTTTTCTTTTAGATTTACATAATGGTTCCAATATTTTTGATGTTATGTATTATTTAGAGTTGTAACCTTTCAAACATTTATTTATTTGTTTTGCATTTCAAACGAGCTTTTGTGATATTGATTACGTGATATTGATTCCGTGATACTTCCTTGAGTTCTTTGCAGTCTGAGTGCACATGTACTAGACTGCGTTATGCCAATTAGACTGTATGTACGTAGATAAATTTTATAATAAGACAGCGTAGGCTGTTATCTCTTAATAGATCAGTTCCATCTGATTCTCTCGTAATATTCTTTTCTAATATTTTATCATTGAAGTATCGTAACTAAGATTAAACACTTAAATTAATGTAACATTTAATCACTCAAAACACTGAGTAAAATGGTTTCAGGATGTTTTAGTTTATTTGTTTTGTTCATAGTTGGTTTGTGTGGGACCATAATGGATGGTTATATGATCCAAGTCATATACGTTCTGGAATATCATCAAATTTGGTGATAATAGCGATAATATGTTATACTATACAATGGTAGTCTCTAATTATTAGCAATTCTGCTTGTTAGAAACGTACGTGGATAATGAAGAAAAAATATGAACTAAAAAAAATATGAGCAAAAATAAAAACTCCTTTATTGAGTGGGCTATGATTACTAGCTAATTATTGAATCATTTACTTTTGATGAAGCTTAGTGACTATTTAAGCACATGACCTGGTCAAGAGAGCCCAGGATTAAGCAGTTTTTGGGGCTAGTTTTTCTTCGATATATAATCAAGTGTCTACTAGTGAAATGAGTCAGTAATTTTTAATTGGTGGCCTTAGGTACATTTGCACTGGTCATAAGTTTAATACTGACATATGTACATGTGGCACCTGTGAACTATATATATATACAGCTATACACCAAGACAATGTAAATTACTTAATTTGTGACATATTGATGACTTTTATTGAAGGCGTTTAAGGTGAAACTCTCTCCCACTAGGACTGGTGGGAGAAAGAGGGCTGTTGTAAAGGATAATTTGAAATATGCAACACAAATATGTTGATATATTAAAATATTGCTTTGAAAAAACATCACAAAAATTGAAAACCCCATCACAAAAATTGTAAAAACCTATCACAAAAATATTATTATTTTGCTTTGTAAAAAATTATTACAAAAATTGAAAACCCTATCACAAAAATTGTAAAAACCCATCACAAAAATATTATTATTTTGCTTTGTAAAAACCATCACAAAAATTGAAAACCCCATCACAAAAATTGAAAACCCCATCACAAAAATTGTAAAAAAACATCACAAAATAACAGTTGGTCTTTGAACTCTGGAAAGTGTTCCACGTGTAGGTGTTCCACTGTGTATTTATTTTGACATATATGCCTCTCAGATATAGTATACTAGCATATAATTGCTTGATATATCATTTGATATGCATATATTTGTAGATACGGCTGTAAACACTGGGAGTATTTTACAGAGTTATCCAGGTTTGTCTGTCATGTTAAGTTCCTGTTGTCTTAAGTGACGTGACCGCATCACTATATCCCATTGTCTCCCAAAGGAGCATCTACATGATATGATAGAAACCACCCACATTTTATCAATCGTGTCTTCCCTGATTCAGGTATGAACCCAAAGCTGTTGTTTCTTGAACATATTTTTTCCTATCCATTTTTCATTACCCTTATTGTCTGAAATTTTCAATGTTTTAGCATTCTTGTTCCCATCATAATTCTTCCATTTGTTGATTACTCTCAGCCTCCCTTGCAGATTGTGTATGTCACGTATCACAACCTGACCCCCTCCCTCTACCCAATTTCTGTTCCATCATTGTAATTTTTAACATAAGGTAATAGAATCTTTGTATTATTAACAACTGAAAGATTCATTGCCAATAGCAATTTGAATGCAGTTTCTTTTCTGTCTTTTCTGCGTAAACAGCAATTTGTGGTTTTGTGATAATGGTGTGGTAATATAGCACAATCAATCAGGAAAATGCACATTGTCAGTACATGTGCACTCAAGTTGCTATTGTTCAATGTAATTTTAATTAACATGCTATATACTATATCCCCTATTCTATATTGTGTATCAGGTTTTCTTACCAGTTATATCTTTCATATGGTTGTTAGTTGCAGTATCCTTTTAAATGTCTTCATTTCAAGATGGAATATTCAAAGTTACACCCCCCTCATAAGTTTGGCAACTGGACATCCTCAGGATTTTACATATGATCTGAAAGAATACTTCCAGTTCCAAACTTTTGAAGGGGAGTGTAGAAATGGTAGTTAATGATGGGTGGTATCTTATGAGGATAATGAGAATGTTTATGCCTTATTTATGATGTATTTTGTTTGTTTGACATTAACCTACATTGTGATACTCATTGCATATCTTCTCACAACAGACATGTCTCTTTTGACAAAAAAATGAGATGCATCTTTTACATCTTTAAATAGGTCACATTGACCTGAAATGTGTTCAGTATTTATAATCCATGTAGCGGTAGCATCAGTGCCAGATGGTCATGTACTAATTAAAGTAATAATAATGTGTTCCTCTCTGGTGAAAATAGGATTGAATACCAGATATAGATCTTGTGGATGTATATTTATGTCATCCAGTGCAGTTTACTCGGCAAAGAATTGTATTTTATCTCTTCCTTGTCACCCCCCCCTATACATTCCTCACCTCTTCCACTAAGAGGAAGAGTAGATATACAAAGCAATGGTAGGGGGTACCAGAGATTTCATGCAGGTCTATAGGACAAAGATTTAATCCCCTTGCTTTGATGCTGTGTTCATGGTGTCATATTAAGTCTGGTGTAATGAAGATTCATATATACAGTAATATAGTTTGATAGCTTGATCATGGAATGGAGACAAAGACCATAATAATAAAAAATATGACGTAACTAAAGCTGCAGCAATCACAGATACCTAAGTCGCAATAACAGAAAATTAATTGGAAAATGTCAGATAATACATTCATGAAATATGATATCAATCAATACTAGAATATTTATAAAGAAGTGAAGATATCACTTTCTGTTGCCATGGTAACAATGGCATCACATATGTCTTGTTAAACCCTATTGGCATTTGTGATCAGAAATGCTATCTTTATTATCACATCCATATATAATATTCAAGTTATTTGTTTTGACATTTTACATAAGATCAGGTTTGATTTTTTTATTGTATTGGTCATTCATCATACATGTAGTTACATAGAAGACAAAGTTTTGGCAACATCTTTAACTTAAAGAGGGTTAACCTTCAAAGACCTAATTTTACATATTTTGAGCTTATAGGGGTATTCAGCTTATAGAGACTAGTGTTCAGCTTAAAATGGGTTCTACTATATTTAGAGGTATTCAGCTTATAGAGATAAGTGTTCGGCTTAAAATGGGGTCTTCTATATAACGAGGTATTCAGCTTATAGAGATAAATGTTCAGCTTAAAATGGGGTCTTCTATATATAGAGGTATTCAGCTTATAGAGACTAGTGTTCAGCTTAAAAAGGGGTCTTCTATATATAGAGGTATTCAGCTTATAGAGACTAGTGTTCAGCTTAAAATGGGGTCTTCTATATATAGAGGTATTCAGCTTATAGAGATAAATGTTCAGCTTAAAATGGGGTCTTCTATATATAGAGGTATTCAGCTTATAGAGATAAATGTTCAGCTTAAAATGGGGTCTTCTATATATAGAGGTATTCAGCTTATAGAGATAAATGTTCAGCTTAAAATGGGGTCTTCTATATATAGAGGTATTCAGCTTATAGAGACTAGTGTTCAGCTTAAAATGGGGTCTTCTATATATAGAGGTATTCAGCTTATAGAGACTAGTGTTCAGCTTAAAATGGGGTCTTCTATATATAGAGGTATTCAGCTTATAGAGACTAGTGTTCAGCTTAAAATGGATTCTGTTAAATATCAAGGTGTTCAACCTATAGAGATAAGTGTTCAACTTAAAATGGGTTCTGGTATCTATGAAGGTGTTTAGCCTACAGAGATAAGTGTTTGGCTTAAAATGGGTTCGAATAAAGAGGTGTTCAGCTTATAGAGTTAAGTGATCAGCTTGAAGATGGTTCTGCATGTAGAGGTTTTCATCCCATAGAAATAAGTGTTCAGCTGAAAAAGATGTTCAGCTTCTTAAGATATTCAACTTATAGACTGTTCACTTTATAGAAATGTTTACTAGATCTGTTTAGCTAGAGGTGTTCAACTAACAGAGGTATTGATTGTAAAAATATTTAGTATGTTCACCATATGGAGCTACAGGTATAGGTGTTCAGCTTGTAGATTTTTAAATTACAGAGGAGGTGTTCAACTTCAGGAGGTTTCAGCTAACAAATGTGTTCAGCATTGATGGTTTTCGCTGTATTTTTTTTTTATCTTGAACGAACATATTCTATATTTTCCATTCATTATAGTCTCATCTTTTGCAGGCTACAAAACAATTCTGAAATGCATCTCTGGCAAATTCAAGTCTGGGGAGCTAACAGCTATTATGGGTCCATCAGGGGCAGGGAAGTCGTCTCTGATGAACATACTAGCAGGGTACAGGTATGTATATAGAACTCTAAAGTTATCCCATACTCTCCTTCTCAAAACAACTCTTGGTCCTCCCACACCGCCCACATTAAAACAATGACATGGTTTTAAAATATGATACCTTTTCGCCTGATTATACGTAATAATTGAGATAACCAATATCTTAAATTGCAGATTATTTTGTGCAGTTTAATAATGCATTGAGTCAAATGATATACAGAGTCTGCCCACAGAGATAATTGGTTTCATCTTAGTAAAATTACCCTCATATTAGACATTAATATGGAGGATACGAAAATGTTACCTAATTTGGCATTTTCTGAATATATATTGTGAATATTATGGTACTCAAATACTGTGATTTTTCATTATTTTTCAACTCTCTATTATGTCACCACCAAAAGTGGTGACATATTGTTATGGTCTCCGTTTTTTTTGCGACGGCGGTTGGCGGTTGGTGGTTGGCGTCCGGCGGTTGGCGTCCGGCGGTTGGCGTCTGTAACAATTTCTTACAACTTCCTATAACTTAACAAATACTGTTTAGACTGACTTCAATTTTTTTCTAAATCATCTACATGTTCTCAGAAGTTCAAATCTGACTTTAGATTTGACATTTGACCTTCAATGACCTTCTCAAGGTCAAAAAGGTCTTTTTTCAACTTGCTTCACATTGACTAAATTTTTTTTCAAAATCATCTACATGTTCTCAGAAATTCAAATCTGACTTTAGATTTGACATTTGACCTTCAAATCTGACTTTAGATTTGACATTTGACCTTCAATGACCTTCTCAAGGTCAAAAAAGGTCAAAAAGGTCTGTTTTCAACTTGCTTCAAATTGACTAAATTTTTTTTTCAAAATCATCTACGTGTTCTCAGAAATTCAAATCTGACTTAAGATTTGACTTAAGATTTGACATTTGACCTTCTCAAGGTCAAAAAAGGTCAAAAAGGTCTGTTTTCAACTTGCTTCAAATTGACTAAAAAAAATTTCAAAATCATCTACGTGTTCTCAGAAATTCAAATCTGACTTTAGATTTGACTTAAGATTTGACATTTGACCTTCAATGACCTTCTCAAAGTCAAAAAAGGTCAAAAAGGTCTTTTTTCAACTTGCTTCAAATTGACTAAATTTTTTTTTCAAAATCATCTACATGTTCTCAGAAATTCAAATCTGACTTTAGATTTGACATTTGACCTTCAATGACCTTCTCAAGGTCAAAAAAGGTCTGTTTTCAACTTGCTTCAAATTGACTAAATTTTTTTTTCAAAATCATCTACGTGTTCTCAGAAATTCAAATCTGACTTAAGATTTGACTTAAGATTTGACATTTGACCTTCAATGACCTTCTCAAGGTCAAAAAGGTCTGTTTTCAACTTGCTTCAAATTGACTAAAAAAAAATTTCAAAATCATCTTCGTGTTCTCAGAAATTCAAATCTGACTTTAGATTTGACTTAAGATTTGACATTTGACCTTCAATGACCTTCTCAAAGTCAAAAAAGGTCAAAAAGGTCTTTTTTCAACTTGCTTCAAATTGACTAAAAAATTTTATCAAAATCATCTACATGTTCTCAGAAATTCATATCTGACTTTAGATTTGACATTTGACCTTCTCAAGGTCAAAAAAGGTCTGTTTTCAACTTGCTTCAAATTGACTAAAAATTTTTTTCAAAATCATCTACATGTTCTCAGAAATTCAAATCTGACTTTAGATTTGACATTTGACCTTCAATGACCTTCTCAATGTCAAAAAAGGTCAAAAAGGTATTTTTTCATCTTGCTTCAAATTGACTAAATTTTTTTTCAAAATCATCTACATTCTACATGTTCTCAGAAATTCAAACAGACTTTAGATTTGACTTTAGATTTGACATTTGACCTTCTCAAGGTCAAAAAAGGTCAAAAAGGTCTTTTTTCAACTTGCTTCAAATTGACTATTTTTTTTTCAAAATCATCTACATGTTCTCAGAAATTCAAATCTGACTTTAGATTTGACATTTGACAATTCAAATCTGACTTTAGATTTGACATTTGACCTTTAATGACCTTCTCAATGTCAAAAAAGGTCAAAAAGGTCTGTTTTCAACTTGCTTCAAATTGACTAAATTTTTTTTTTCAAAATCATCTACATGTTCTCAGAAATTCAAATCTGACTTTAGATTTGACATTTTACCTTCAATGACCTTCTCAAGGTAAAAAAAAGGTCTGTTTTCAACTTGCTTCAAATTGACTAATTTTTTTTTTCAAAATCATCTACGTGTTCTCAGAAATTCAAATCTGACTTAAGATTTGACTTAAGATTTGACATTTGCATTTGACCTTCAATGACCTTCTCAAGGTCAAAAAGGTCTGTTTTCAACTTGCTTCAAATTGACTAAAAAAAATTTTCAAAATCATCTTCGTGTTCTCAGAAATTCAAATCTGACTTTAGATTTGACTTAAGATTTGACATTTGACCTTCAATGACCTTCTCAAAGTCAAAAAAGGTCAAAAAGGTCTGTTTTCAACTTGCTTCAAATTGACCAAATTTTTTTTTCAAAATCATCTACATCTTTTCAGAAGTTCAAATTTGACTTTACAAGTTCTCAGAAATTCAAATCTGACTTATATTAAGTTTGAACTCATAATATTGTGAGCAACTAGGTGGTGACATTTTGTCATGTTAATGCCTTGTTTCAAACTCCCTTACCAGTGTAAACTTCATACATTTGAAATTAAAGATCCCATTTTTTCTGAAATAGATGATTCATGGATTGTTGGGATGTCAATGGTTTCAAATATCTTTATCTACGTAGACAGATATACTATATCACCAATTTTGCCTTGGGATCTTAACCATTAATTAAGGATAAGTGAAGACCTCCGTCATCTTTCTGTTACCAAGTCATAGTTCAACCCATATAAAATATCATAGATGTCATATTTTAAAATGTTAAATAGCATGAAAATTAATGAAAAAAGCAAGGAATAAAGTAAATGTGTTGTCTAGACTTCAAATTGTATAGAAATACCTATAGAAATACCAGGGAATTGATATTTTTCTCAAAGTTTACAGAGAAAAACACCCAAGAAAACATGGATAGGGAGTTGTTTCAGTTGAACATTAGTTCAATTTGCGTACATCTGCAATTTTCTGAGTACGCATGCACTTAAGTCAATATCGATATTTCATTGGTTAATGTCAGCGTTCTAGCTATTCAGTCTCCCATGTATTCAAAGCGTGGATCAATATTTTGTTATCTCATTCGATTTCTTTACTTTATTTCTTACGTCAGTTTAAGTTACGTCACCGTACATTGCGTTGCGTGCATCTTTCATTCATTTTGCTTCTCAATTCACGATAATTGTCTTCAGTTTGGTTTAAGGATTTATGGAACATAAAATCATTAATCAATTTTTCCAACCTTAGGTATTATATCATGGCGTAATCAAACACGTTTAATGATTTAACAAAATTTGTATCATAAAATCTGTTTCATGAAAAAGTACACATTACTGAATGGCTACTTTCAAAATAATGAGGTTAACTTTAACCCTGAAGCCTAGGTAGAGGCTAGTAAGAATAACTAGCCTCTTCCTAAGATAGATAAAGTAACTGTCATGGCAATAAAAATTGTATTGTTGATTATCATATTTTGATTGATTAAGTCGAAATCAACGGATTAGGCTATTGCTCATTTAAAACACCAGCTCTCTTATAAAAAGTGAAGTCAAATTATGCATATTGTATTGAAAATGTTATTGTATGCTATGACCCCACTTACGTTGTGGTTGTACGCCCGAACCATTGGTCAGTCTATGTTTCTACAACGTTAGAGAAAATACTACGCAATGCACACTTGAAATACCTATCTGGTTACATTCCTGAGTCCTGGAATTGGATAATTGAAAATGGTATTTTATAATTTAAAAATTATCTAAGGAATGAGTCATTCAATGCCATCTGGTTTTACTGTTTGATAGTTTCATTATTACATTTTATGGTGAACAATTGAACATCAAATAAAACTGGGTCAATTATTTCCTGATCATCTATGATATAACTTGAAATGTAAGTCTTCAAACATGTTTACCAAGACAAACCAATTTTTCATAATATTTGTGAGTTTTGCATCCTATACTAACTTCTCCAATTGCCTGGATTTTGTTGAAATTAATTTTTATCAACCAAACATAAGTTGACCCTTACACCAGCCTCTCCTAACATGATTTCAAGTGCAAATCAATTCATTCATGAGAGAAAGAAGACACGGAAAATATTCACCTTGGCAACAGAAATCTATCTGATTTGGTTAGGAAAAGCCAATTTTCATCAATTTCGCAATTACGCGAATGTTCAAATGTCATTATAACCAATTATAGAAATATTAACCGATTTACTGAGATTGTATCAGCTGAAAATAGCAGTACAGATCAGATTATTATGTATTCGTCAGGGCATGAACTCATGTAGATGTCAAGGCTATGCTTGGGCAAATATATAAAGCAATAACGACACATTGTTTTATAATGGCAACTTAACCCAAGTATAATTTATTCATTTTTATCCTTTAACAGAGGAGTTTTAATTTGTTTCATAATTGAAGAAAATCTGTGTTTTTAACAGCTATATTAAATTATATGATACCATAAAAGCTTCTAAACCTTAAGACTGAAAAATATCATTTATATCCATGGATATCTTCATAGGTGAGCAAAACAAAATAGAAAAACAAATTAATATCTAGCATATCTCCTTTATATTCAGTCGATACAACAAATGGATGAAGTTCAATATTCAGTGGTTCAACATTGTTGGTTCTCACGCTAAATCTCTATGTTCTTGAGGACAGAGGTCCGTAACTGGATGAAGCAAGATGGCAGTTCAAGGATGACATTCAATATTCAAAATTGGCATTATTTGTATCAAGTTTTACATGTTAATTATTCAATTCTTGTTGATAATTGAAATTTATAACATGACTATGGAATAAAAGAATATCTTATGATTCACTGGGGATATGATATTTATTTTCTCTTCTCAAAGATATTGATATATGTCATCAAGATGCCCCCCCCCCTTTGTTATACATATTCCATCATTCACATAGACCCACTGGTTGTTAGTTTTTTTAGATATATTAACTGTTCTCCACTGAGAGCACATATGTCAGATAATATTTATCAGTTATAAGGACGGTTGCACCGAATTGCCCAATAATGGATTAACCCAACCTCTAGGGAGTCCATCAATAATAGATTGATGCTTTGCCTTCATTACATTTGTAATATAGTGCAGTGCATATGTACCCATTCTTCATATTATTATTTATTAAACACAATTCTCTTCTTGGAATTGAGACAATTGGCCTAATTACATTCGTATTACAGTGCATATGAACTCATTTTTCATATTAGGAATATTTTAACTTATTTATTTGTTATTGCAATTCACTCTTCTTGGAAATCACTTTCAGATTAATTGTGATATAATATACCATAAAGTACCATAAAAATACCATTATTAAACATTAAAGATTCTAACTTTTTCAAAATAAAACCATGACATTATGAGAAAACATAAAATTAAAACATTCTTATTTATTCAAAATTGAAATTACTATTGTAACTTAAAACTTCATTTTAACTTATATAACTTCATATCGTAACTACATATTAAAAAACATTGCACATTATGCAATCTTTGGTTTAATATCTCGACAGCATCTGATGCAGTTATAAAAATTGTGAAAGTGATTGGACACTACAAACTTAGATTAAATTGTATCTTTCAATGGAACTCCATTGTGTATTGATTAATATAAATTCTACAGTGGAATCAATGTAATTATTGTGTAACCTCCTGATACCAAGCGGCCATTGTTGTTATATTAGGTAACATTACGGTGCTTGTGCCAATTACTTTGCTTGCTCTTACAGTCTCCTCCCTATGTAACAATTACCTAATTGTTTTGCTCAGTATTCCCTATGATTGAATCCATTGTTGAAATCTGAGGCCCGGGAATGCAATAATAAAATAAAGTTAAATAATTCAGTATGTATACACATCCAACTCAGTACACTACTAGTGGATTTTTTCTAAACTATATTTTATAGCATATCCCTGGGCAATCTTTGGGCAGTGGTCGATGTCTGTTACAAATGACAGGTAGTGACATTTTGCATGTTAATGCCTTGTTATATATAAATCCCCTATTTAAATTGACATCTTGTATTTCAGAACTCGTAACATAACTGGAGAAATTACAGTGAACCGTAAACAACGTGACTTGCGTAAGTTTCGGAAGATGTCATGTTACATCATGCAGAACGATGATCTACTGCCACACTTAACGGTTGATGAGTCAATGATGTGTTCCGCTAACTTGAAACTGCCCGAATCTACTTCACTAGATGACAAGAAAATATTGGTAATTTTTTGTTTTGTGTCTTCATGTTAAAGTGCAATATAAGAAGTCATAACAGTTTGAATAAGTCAAATTAAGTCAAATATCTTATTAAAGTAATTGTCAGGAGATAAGCGAATGAATGTTTCAGCACCAAAATTGAATTCTTCGCCCTGAAGGCAAAAGCTATGTTAACTACCCAAGGTTAACTAGAGCTTTAAAAAACTTCTTGTTCTTTCAAATTGAGGTTTCATTGCAAGAATAACACCAAAATGAAATTGTTTACCTGTATAAGGGGAGGCATCAAAAGTTCGATGTCGGATAGAAAACTAAATAAATCTAGTTAGGGGGGTGGGGGTTCAAGCCCATTTCAGTTTGCTATCCGACAAATTTCAACTTTCGAAAGTTTTGCCTATTTCGACTCAGAATGCCTTGGAATGATTTAAAAATAAAGATTTTACCTGATGCTTTCTCTGTCAAGATCATTCCCATTGATTCTATTCTATCGATAGTTGTTAAAAGCCACAAATTATGATAGGAATTAACAAAAACTAGATCGTGTTTAGCAATAATCTTTTCAAATTCTCAAACCGGAAGTCAGTGATCAATTTTCATGGTATTTAGTTTTTGGGGGGGGAGGGGGGGGGGTCAGAGTCAAAACTAGATTTATTTAGTTTCCAATCTGACATCGAACTTTTGATGCCTCCCCTAAAGCCCTCCCACATCCAAATATTTGTAAATATCTTATATTAGTATTAAATAACAATAACATTTCAGGTGAATGAAATTCTAGAGACATTATCACTACAAGAATGTCGAAGCACGATGGCTGCCAGGTTATCAGGGGGTCAGAGGAAACGATTGTCCATTGCGCTAGAGCTGGTCAACAACCCGCCAGTCATGTTCTTTGATGAACCCACCAGGTATATTTTCATGGATCACATTTTAAAATGCAAAGTAGAGTAGAAAAAGGGGAAAGCACAGGAAAAGAAAATCGGCATTTATAGTCAGTACTCAGATTGTCTAGAAATGCCAGAAAATCATTGAACACATACATGTACCTCATAGACGTTTTCAACATTTGTTTTGATATTGCTATGCAATATATAAAAACATGCTTTTCTCATTTATTATTATATTACTATGTAATTATATATAATATGTGGCAACCCTAACAACATGAATATCTTGGCTCACATACAAAAAACAAGCAAGCATGTGTAATGAATAATTAATTATCTCAAATCATCATCATCCATAATGGTTAGTATAATAGGTATATTCTCTAAATATGACCAATCAACCATATCTTTGCCCATCCTTTACAGGATACTGAGCTGGTAACTGTAAATGGTGAATTTACTACCATATGAGATATCATTGGTGTTTTTATGATTGAATTTCAGTGGGCTGGACAGTGCGTCCTGTCTTCAGTGTATGTTATTGCTCAAATCTCTGGCTATGGGGGGACGTACCATCATATGTACAATTCATCAGCCTAGCGCAAAGATATTTGAGATATTTGACAATGTGAGTATATGGTGTAATGACCTTGAGATATTTGACAATGTGAGTATATGGTGTTGGATGACCCTGGATACCAGGTTGCTATACAGCTCAGCTGTGTTGACTGGTGTTTTGATGGCTCAGGGGTAGAGCATCTTTTCTGTATTGTACCATTATTATTATTGTATTATTACAAAGACAATAGTGCCTTAGTATGCTGATAATCAAAGACACTACAAGTGTTTTTCCTATTTATACATAATGTCAAAATAAATTCCATGAATAAAAGAAATGATGATAATGATTGAATTGAATTTGAAATGATCAGCGTGGCTTTATATAGTCCTCTGTGCAAAACCTGCAAAACAATTTATGATCCAATTTTTAATTGACTTTACCTTTTTTATTTAAGTTACTTGTTAATCAGCTGTTATATTTTCATGTTTCAGTTGTATATGTTAGCTGAAGGGCAGTGTATTTATACAGGGAAAGTATCAGGGCTGGTCCCATATCTGACAGACATTGGTTTACCCATGTTTTTCCATGTTTCAGTTGTATATGTTAGCTGAAGGGCAGTGTATTTATACAGGGAAAGTATCAGGGCTGGTCCCATATCTGACAGACATTGGTTTACCCATGTTTTTCCATGTTTCAGTTGTATATGTTAGCTGAAGGGCAGTGTATTTATACAGGGAAAGTATCAGGGCTGGTCCCATATCTGACAGACATTGGTTTACCCATGTTTTTCCATGTTTCAGTTGTATATGTTAGCTGAAGGGCAGTGTATTTATACAGGGAAAGTATCAGGGCTGGTCCCATATCTGACAGACATTGGTTTACCCATGTTTTTCCATGTTTCAGTTGTATATGTTAGCTGAAGGGCAGTGTATTTATACAGGGAAAGTATCAGGGCTGGTCCCATATCTGACAGACATTGGTTTACCCATGTTTTTCCATGTTTCAGTTGTATATGTTAGCTGAAGGGCAGTGTATTTATACAGGGAAAGTATCAGGGCTGGTCCCATATCTGACAGACATTGGTTTACCCATGTTTTTCCATGTTTCAGTTGTATATGTTAGCTGAAGGGCAGTGTATTTATACAGGGAAAGTATCAGGGCTGGTCCCATATCTGACAGACATTGGTTTACCCATGTTTTTCCATGTTTCAGTTGTATATGTTAGCTGAAGGGCAGTGTATTTATACAGGGAAAGTATCAGGGCTGGTCCCATATCTGACAGACATTGGTTTACCCATGTTTTTCCATGTTTCAGTTGTATATGTTAGCTGAAGGGCAGTGTATTTATACAGGGAAAGTATCAGGGCTGGTCCCATATCTGACAGACATTGGTTTACCCTGTCCCCCTTACCATAATCCAGCAGACTTTGGTAAGTGGAAATAAATATTGCAGATTGATTTGTCTTTTATGACGTGGAAAAGTATTTCTCCAACAGTGATATCAAGATAATTGAACTCCACTCTAGAAAATATAGAATGAACACTTGAAAACTTAAAGATTTTTTTAAAAATTATTTATCTAATTTTTGTTTAACTATACTAAACAGCACACAAAACTTTACGGAAATGCCAATTTTTCCCCTTATGAATGATTCCAATGTGAAAGCTGATGTGGCCTTATATAACATGTGGCCATTTTCTGGTCCTCTGAACCAATTGAACACCTCACCTCAGCTGAGTTATGTTTTACTGCAGTCATGGAAATAGCATGCGGGGAATATGGTGAAAGGAATCCACAAATGGTTGTCAAAGTACGCAGCGGAGCCTGCAAAAATTACCAAACCTTAGACAAACCTCAGAACTGTAACAAAGACAATAGTGACCTCAATAATACAGACAACAATAAACAGCCAGATGACATTGAGGTTGTCTCACAAAATGGTGCTGCCATGGCAACAAATGAACTGAATAATGACAGTGCCAGCATGGACAAGGCACACAAGTCATTAACTGTGAATTTGGCATTGAACAGTCAGAATGGAAGTGAAACCATTGTGATGAAACCCATTGAGGTAAGTTAACTTGAGATTCCAAGAATCTTTCCAATGAACCATAGGCATATTAGCAGTTGGTGCATGGTTCTATTCACTTTTATTATGTCACCACCACAAGTGGTGACATATTATTATAGTCTCCTACTTTTTTCTGGGCAGTGTTTGGCATCTGTAACAATTTCCGTTCTGTGTCTGTAACAATTTGCAATAACTTACAAGGTGGTGACATTTTGTCAAGTTAATGCTCTGTATGTAGTTTAAAAGTGAGCAAGGTTTTAAAGATAGGAATATTGGAGCTAGATTTGGAAACTTTCCCATGGTCCAACAAGTATATATTCTACAAATATACAATCTAGGTTTATCATCAAAGGACTTTACACATATGAACTTTTTAGATCAGAATTTCTTGCATTTCAGAGCGAAAGAACAGCACTTACGGGGCAGGTGGTGGAAGCAGAGTCAGAAGAGGAGGTAACGACATCTATAAGATTCAATAAAATTCTTGATTGATGTAAAACATCAATTTCCAAATTAAATGCACATTAACTAGCCTATTATTTGCAATTTTATATTATATTTTGTTCAGATTAATTGCACCAATTAGTGTTTTTCAATTTTTAGGGTAGCATGCTCTCAGATCTCTCTAGTAGGCTTCTGCGGCAATGTCCTTGGGGATGAAAGCACATCCCCATTACTAATATGGCTCTTATTTTGTAATAAAAGAGATACAGTTGTATTTATTATCTATTGTGAATCTGTTTCAGATTGTCCACCAGTTTGCTACAAGCTGTTTTACTCAGTTCAGGGTCCTTTTCATCAGGACATTTGTCTCCATCATCAGGGATACAGTGAGTATTTCTAGTGATCTTCCAAGCATTGGAGCAAGTGCAGCTACTTGAGAATTCGAACAATTTGTACCCAAGCTAATTTTCAACCAACCCCACTTGAAAATGAGAAAACTGAAATTTGTATGGTTTGGGCCAAAATTGTGAATTGTAAGATTTTTGCCAGAAATGAGAAAAAATCCCGAAAGAACACTCCCAGCTCTTTTTAGCACTCTCAGTGTCGTTGAGGCTTAAGAGCCACTATGATTAAAAATATTTGAAATATGAAAAATCCTAGAAATCTTTTTACTGCCAAGGTATTCACAAATGAACCTATTGATGACCCATATTCTTTATATTTTCAGAACCTCACCCAGCTGCGCCTCATCTCACATTTATCTATTGGAGTGCTGATTGGTTTATTGTACCTTGGTATTGGTAACCAGGCTGACAAGGTCTACAACAATGCTGGGTGCTTGTTCTTCACAATGCTATTTCTCATGTTCACTGCTCTCATGCCTACAGTTATGACATGTAAGTAGCACCTACTTAATCAAATGGGAGGGGGGGGGGCTAAACAAAGTAAAAAAACTGGGTGTTAATTCATGGATTATCCATAAAAATTAGAAATATATTTTTGGATTATATAGTACTAATGTAATCTTCTAGTCAATAATTAATCATTTAATAGTGTATTGATGTTTTTAAATGTAAAACAAAAATGCATGAAAAACTCCAACAATTCATTTTATATACAACTCTACAAAATTATTATATGAAATTACATTTTTTATAATAAAAGTATATTTTTATATATCAATATCAGCAATATGCAAACAAAACAAACAATGTTATTAAGTCAAATTGATGGCATTTAAAAGAAGCTGCTAATATAATCTGTGTCAAGCTACAGTATACCTAGGGATGGCTATAAAAAATTATGCTCTAGACTCATTGTTAACAGTAAAATGCCATCATGATAAACCATGACATCTCATTTCTTCTCAGCCCTGAGATGCCATGATATAATGAGCTTGATTTTGCGATCCAGGAGAGCCCAAAATTGAGGATTTTTGAGATCTTTCATCCCAGCTCATATTTCATCTAATTGGGGTCATACTTGTGTACCTGTGCCTGATAACTATCACACTTATTGACAGTTATAATTCTTTCTATCTGATGTGCTCAGATCACAGAATATGCTTCATAATATCAGAGCATGTTCAGGTGACACAGAAAGATGCTACGAGTATCAGAATGGTAAAATGCCATTTACCCATTTTAGACTGAAACTGAAAAGTATGTGTAGTGGAAGTATTATATAATTTAGCTTAAGCTTTGTCTCTCCTGTGTATCTTTAGATCTATACTCTACCCCAGCTAATATATGGTAAAAACAATGGAGAACCAAATGCTTGTAAATATATACAAAGTGTATTTCTGTTTCCAGTCCCAATGGAGATGTCTGTCTTTGCCAGAGAGCACCTGAATTACTGGTACAGCCTAAAGGCCTACTACTTAGCTAAAACAATGGCAGACATGCCCTTCCAGGTAAGGCCTTATTACTGTACATACATTAATTATATATTGTCCTATAGTCCTATATATATATATAGAGTCCTATAGTGTCCAGCGACCATGCCTATAGTCTACATTTAGGTAGAAAAAAACACCAACAATTGTTGGTAAAAACGCCAACAATTACCTATCCTGAGAAGGGACGGGGACAGAAGGAATAATGATTCTACATACTATAGTATACTAAAACTGTCAGACATAATTTAGATATAGGGCAATTAAGAAGATCTGTTAGGTTTCAGGTTATAGCTCTGTAGCAAGTAATAATCTAGGAATCCCTGAATTTAACTAGACACCCATGTGGAGATCCAGGTCTCTGATTGGATACCCCACACCGAGTCTCTAATGAAATCTCAATAACAACATGAACTCTTTAGTAACTTCCCTGGATCCTGCATGTGTGTCATCAAAAGTACTGAGGTATTGCAACGGTTGTTTACCCCATTCTCCAAATGCAGGAGATGAGTCATCATCCACTCTGTGCCTTTCTTCTATTCTATTAGGAATGGAGTCCTGTCTTTGGAGGATGTAATTACCCATAATGCTCCACCGTGACCTTGACAATTGCATGTACTTTTATTCTGTTGATGTAAATATGTGTGTCAGTTGATTGCTCACTTGGCTCAAAGGACACATAGTGGAATATCATCTCAATGAAAATGCCATCATTCACTTTTCAATAGGCCAAGAATGAAATATTTGTTTAAGTTTATCCGATGAGGGAGGCGTAGTACTTTGCAATATTCCATTTCTTATATGAATATTTTCAATCCAAAGTAATTATCTCAAAAATGGGGAAGAAATGAAGAATAGGAAGGATGTTCATCAAGGCTATTATTATATTGAATACTGTCATATTACCTCCCCCCATTTCTATTTCTCAAAAGTAGTCTTTTTGGATTGAAAGAAACATATGAAGATACCCTTAACGACACAATATCTTTCTTCATATAGTGATGCAATAGGCATTTTTTATTTGATTGTATGGTTCCAATTCATATTTTTTACAATATCTTTTGATAGGTGCAGTATACTTTACATAACATGTGGTTTAATATGATTAAAACCAAGTTACATATGGTTGCTCTGTACAATAATAAACAATTCGTTATATTAATATTATTACCAACACAATATCTTTAATATCTTTCTTTATATATTGATGCAATTTGCTATTTTGAATACATAGGACTCTTTTGATAGCTTCAGTATACTTCTTACATAACATATGGAATAATATAATTAGTAACCCTACATATGGCTATCTCTCAATAATTAAATATATGACAATAAAGTAGCATCTTTTGCACCTCAGATTAGTGTTCCACTTGGGATATGTTCCACATGCAGAGATTCATTTACATTAAGTTAATGAATTGCTGGAATTTTAAGTGTTCCACTTATGGAGGTGTTTCATTTACAGAGGTTAAGTTCGCTTATAAAATGGAAAACTGGAATTTTAAGTGTTCCACTTATGGAGGTGTTTCATTTACAGAGGTTAAGTTACATTTATAAAATGGAAAACTGGAATTTTAAGTGTTCCACTTATGGAGGTGTTTCATTTACAGAGGTTAAGTTCGCTTATAAAATGGAAAACTGGAATTTTAAGTGTTCCACTTATGGAGGTGTTTCATTTACAGAGGTTAAGTTACATTTATAAAATGGAAAACTGGAATTTTAAGTCTTCCAATGATTAAGGTGTTCGACTTACAGAGGTTCACTTATGTTAGAACAATGGTTATCTTGACTGTGGAGAATGCTTTATCTGGAGTTTTTCACCTGACAGGTCCGGTATATTGAACTACAATTTACAATAGCTGTTCCATTTCTTAATGTACTGGTTTGTAAGAGTCTTGTGACTCTTCATATTGCAATCGTTTATCCCTTTCAATTTTCATAAGACATAAATTCAAAAAAATTGCACAAGTACATAACATAGATGTCAGTACAAAAAACCACCGAGTACATGATTCTCCATAACAAGTTTGTGATCCAGATGGACTATAGGTTTCATAATTCAAACCAAAAAGCTTTTGAAATAAAACAATTCCTATTGCGTGGCCAACCATCATAAGACCAACGTTCTGTGCATAATATTTCATACCAAATAGATCAACAGCTATAATAGTTACTTGTATATAAAGGAAGGCAAAGGCTATGGCTGCCATTGCAGAGGCACACATCAAACCAGCAAAGGATTGGTTAAAAAATACCAAAATTATTTGACTAATACACATGAGTATTACAGGGAATAAAAGAGTTGATGATTTGGGAATGTCTGGCCATTTTTGTGAAATGTAATCTTGTGCCACTCCACCAAGTAATCGCCCGATTGATGCAAAGATTGGTATTGAAAATGTGAAGGCGAATGATTTTATGTTAACTTGTGCAGATTTTGAAATACCTGTGATATTATTTGTAATAGTCCCACCGGTGCCCCCAATTATTACGCAGATAAGAAATATGTTATAAAACTGAGGTGTTTTAATGATTTGCCACCACTTCATTTCTTCATCTAGCGGTAGATTTGTTATCTGCTTTCCAGTAATGGGAGTTTTTTCATTTATTTCATCGCTTACATTGTTAGGTATAACATTTTCTGTATTTCTTTCTGCCACTTCATTTTGATTTGTATGAGGTAATTCTGACAGTTCACTATCAGATTCAGCTGTTACTTCAGGAAGCATTTTTAGCATTGCAACACCAAATGTATTTATAGAAGCTGATAATATGGCTAGCATAAGCAAGAACTCTCCAAGCTTTTGGTTCTCTGCATCTTCAATATGTCCTTGTACAAACACACCTTCATAGAGGGCACTAGATATCGCAGGGCTTATTCCAAATACAGCTTGGAGGAGGCCAGCTACTTTGCCAATGTGTTTCCTGTCATAGTTCTTGCAATTCACTACGTATGATGCTATACATATAAATATAGTTCCAACAGATGCCATAAAGTAAAAAACACATAAAAGCCAACTGTTTGAAGTGAAGAACATTCTAAAGTTTGTTGCTGTTGACATGAGTCCAAATCCTAAGCCTGAGAGGACAAGTGAGATAATACATGTTACTCTAGGCCCGAAATAGTCGAAGACAATTCCTGCTGGAAAGAAGAAACAAAGTCCCAAATCTCCACTAGATGCAATATATTCCAGTTCAGTTTGAGTATAGTTGAATGTCTGTTTCAGGGCAATTGCATATGCATTGAATCCAAACACTATTCCTGACATGAAATGTGCAAGTAGTCCAATACTCAGAGACACATATTTCTGATGTTCTCGTTTTTTTAAATCCATGATTGAGAATCATTGATATTTTATCTCTTCATAGAAAACTATAGTGAATGTTGTAATCCTTATATCTGAGCTAATGAGAGATTTAAAATCTGTCCCTGTGTGAAGTATAATTGACACTTTGTCCTTAGGTTCAATAATACCACTTGTAAGGTGAAATTATCCTTTAAAGTTATGATTAGATTTCAATTTTGAATACATGTATTGCAAAAAATATGCATACTACTTTTTTCAAGGCCTTCCTTTATAAAAAATTCAACCTTGAAAGTCCGAATTTAAACCGTTTCCATCAATCATTGAATAATGATTGTTTCAACTACCAAGATCAAAGGAAAAACCATTGTACGATGATAAGCAATCATTGTGCAACCATTGTGTTCAACCAAGCGAAGTCAACTCTTTTTCAACGAGTGCGCAACCGTTTCTATACAATCATTGTAATCTGCAACCATCGTAAACTGCAACCATTTCACATTGAAATGTAAATGGTTGCAATATGTTTTGTTCAATGATTACATAGTTCAACCCCTGCAACCATCCTGAATAAGTATCGTTCCAAAAAATTATCATTTTACCTGAATTAAAATTATCTTTAAGTAAGGATTTGAATCTACCTCTATTCAACAACAGTATATTAGGATATTTTTTTTGCAAGCATACATGCATGTTTATTATAGTAAATAACTTAATTCATGTTAATATGTTTCTTTCTCCAGTACGAATTTAGGAATGCGATACCAGACTAGTTTTCCACTAAATGGCATATGATAATTTATGTTCTCTGTCATTTACATTATTTACACAAATTAAAAGCACCATATTTAGTGTTTATTTCCATTTTCTGATATTGCCAAAATGATGTATCTAAAGAATTTAGCAAAAATCCAATTTGGTTAAGAAATTGACCAAGGAAAATCGTAAGATTTCCTTTAAACTTAGCAAAATCACAAGATGAGACACAATGGTTTTTGTTCATGATCAGACTGATGATCAAAAGAAGCAGGATAAATGATGTACAAAATAATACAAACATATGTACATGTAATCACAAGTTGATTGCTTTATTTAGTGAAAATGTTTTATAGTAATAATGCATTCAGGCAGCAGAGACTTACTTTTCACAGTTTCAACTGGAAAACATCTGAATTAATAATTTCACTAAAATTTTGTCAAGGTAGATGAATTATTGCTACACCCATGATATACAAATAGATTGGTATGGGATCATATTGATATCAAAGGGTTTAACTAAGGACCCCCACAAAAGTTTATATACAATGAACAGGCCAGTAGCCAGCCCCCCCCCTCCAGCAAAATGGGTCTTCAAATGTATTCATATATGTGTACTTAACACCTAATATCAAATGTATGGCTCACTAAAATTTAAAAAATACAAACAAGAGAACAATTTTGATTCACATTATTCATAACAGATTTAATTACCATGTTCTTTCTTGGCAAATATTTTTTATAACAATGCTCAACACAACAATACCTACTACATATTGATATTCTCATGGGTTTAGGCAAATCAGAATGCTTGAACAGCCAATTAAAACGGTTGAACGGCTAATTAAAACGGTTGAACAGCTAATTAAAACAGTTGAACAGCTAATTAAAATGCTTGACCAGAAATAGGGTTCATAGTCCTAGTTTCTGTTATATTTTCATTTTGTGTTATAATATATATATATTTTTTTTATTCTCTATTTCATGCAGAGGGGGGGGGGCGTAAAAATTTAAAAAGTGTTTTCAGATTTTTGAAGGTGTATTTCTTTATTCAGTTACTTTAATAAGTGCCGAGAAATCTCAAATAGCAAGTATATGAAACTGCAATTACTATTTTCAGAATTTTTTATTTCATTTTTTTAGTTTGTTTTACCATGGGCATTCAATAGATTGAAAGTTCATGGCTTTACTGTATTCACTAGGGCATAGCATTTCTACTGAAATGTGTAATCAGTTTAAATAATATGTGTCAATGATTTAAAAAAAACAGAGCTTATTTTTCAAAACTCTAAACTTGAAAAAATCTGGAGGAAAATATGGAAAATATTCTTTGGCAAATTATTTATCATGTTCTGTGTATGGAATAATTAAATTACATAGGATGCTTCCTTTATAGCAGACTCTAATCAAACTGTGAGTCTCTCTGTAATAAGGTTTGTTTTGCCTTGCCAAATTATTTTTGTTTTGTTTATGGATTAATAAAGTTTCTTTAGACACATCCTTCAAAGCAGACTCTAATCAAACTAGAGAAACTGAGTCTTTCTGTAATCAGAGTTTTTTAAGTTATGCTTATTGACTTAATTATTTAAAACACATCCTGTAATGTCTGATTGCATCTTCTCTATCAAATCAAAAATATCAAATCAATAAACAGATTATTTTCTGATTGAAGGATTTCTTCCTTCCAGACAGATCTTCCCTCCTTTATAATTGTGATAATTTCTCAGGTGAAGTATAAGTGTCTGAATTTGTAAAATTCAAGACTTCACTCCAATCAAAATTATTTCAAATGTTTTTGCAATAACTTAAAAAGTAGTGAAGGGATTTTGTAAAAATGATTGTCATGACAGTGAGGGGACTTGCTATGCCTTAGCATTGCTGTTACATGTATCTAGATAATATACATGTGAGTGAGACAATCGTCATCCTTCAAAGTTAAATGAAAATTTTTTCAATATATTTTCATTCACAAGACAAGTTTACTAAACTATTTCAATACTTTAAATATCTTTTTGATCAAAAACTTTAAATTCTGACATGTATGCATGAAATACATACATTTGAAATATATATTTTAAAGAGCAATATAATTATTTTATGTTGTATTGAGATAATATTGCCATAGGTTTAAAGGGTTGCATTCGATTGAAACGGTTGCAAGAAATTCAATCAAAATTTTCAAGCGTTTACAATAGTTACATATGATTGAAACATTTTCAATGAGTTTACAACCAAAATTGTAATGGTTGCGTTGTAACGGTTGGCATGGTTGCATAAATGATCGGATCAATGATTGTGCAATGATTGTGCAACAGTTTAAATTCGGACTTTCAAGGTTGAATTTTTTAGCTTCCTAGTCAACTCGTACCCAAGACAACTCGTACCCAAGACAACTTGTACCCAAGACAACTCGTACCCAAGTCAACTGGTACCCAAGACAACTCGTACCCACGTTTATTTTCTGTATTATGGGTGCATATAAGAAAACAAATTGAGTCTGTGTCAAAATGTTTAATGTTATAATGTGCCTCAATATTTTTTCTGAATTTAGAAGACATTTTTTCTCAATGGATTAAGCAAAGCATTTTGTTTTAACTTGGATTACCTTTGAAGTGCTTTGAAGGACTTGTTCTCAACTTTTTTTGTAATACATATCAATGAATATAATGTAATTACAACAGTAACTTTTCAACAAATGAATCAAACAATTAATTTAGCTTAGTGCATTCAGAGAAAATTAAATAAGGGAACTTTAATCTGTTAATTTTCTTTTCCATTTTGAACCTAATTGGATTATATTTGAACACATGCATGCAAAGTGTATTATATCATGTATGAATAAGTATCAAAATAATATTTGATATTCATATTATTTAGAATATTTTTTATTGCTTAATTTTATGAAGGTGACTTCTTAGAATTATCATTCTTTAATCTGATAATATGAAATCCTAAATAGATTATCTGTTTAATAAGAAATAGGCGCAAGTTTTGAAAAACTTTATATTTTTGATAATACCATATTTCAAGATGAATTAGATCTGATACTTGTTCCAAACACTCATTAACATACAAAAATACCACTAATATTGTGAACAATGATTATGAATATGTAGAATAAACATAAATCTCTTCCCTCGAACATCTGAATCTGTGACCAATATATTTGGTCACAAATTTCAATCGATTTCTTCCAAAAACTCTTCTACATACTTCAAACTATTCTGAACTGTATGTAACCATTATAATATGTATATCTATACCCATTCCCAGCCCAACACTTGATTCAAAACAAAACATATACTTGGGTACAAGTTGTCTTGGGTACGAGTTGTCTTGGGTACGAGTTGTCTTGGGTACGACTTGACTTGGGTACGAGTTGTCTTGGGTACGACTTGACCAGTTACCATTTTTTATAAGGGTGACTGCGTCGCTAACATGCTAAATATAAGAGTTAGCTGACGTTTGGGAGTCTGACTTACCTTCTAAAGGTTAGAACCCGAATCTTAATGAAACCATATCACCTTTGTTGCGTCGATGATGATGCATAAACATAGCATTTGATAGAAATTAGCGTAAATGCTTTTCCGACTTTTTCATTTTTCATCAATGTTGACTTCCGGGAAGGCGTTGTAGTTATCACGAAATAACGCATTGACCCTTGAACTTTACTTTGTTGACGTGTCAACCAAGCATGTCTGGTGTGAAAATTAAAAGAATATTAGCAATGTTCTACATCCGCCAAGCTAAGTGAAGTAGTCAATATTTAAAATTACCAATTTCAAGTGAAGTACGCAACGAACGAAACTGCGTGATCTACACTCCCACTATTGGTCTGAATGAAATGCTACGTAGAAATATGAGCCATCTGCTGTATTAGTCGATTAATAGAGTAAGACCTGTTGGTGATGCTTTATAATTTAGACCAAAACATTGAAGAACAAACGAACCTGTAAATCGTGAAAACAACGAACAAATATTCGGTTTTCACATATGTTCGGTAATTTTTCGTATTGAAACTTCCGGAACTTACAAGGAAATCATTCATTTTCTCGATCCATGATTTACCTCTTGGATGTTGTGGCAAATGCTCCATGGTTGACGCAACAAAGGTGATATGGTTTCATTAAGATTCGGGTTCTAACCTTTAGAAGGTAAGTCAGACTCCCAAACGTCAGCTAACTCTTATATTTAGCATGTTAGCGACGCAGTCAGGCCTTGAAAAAAGTAGTACATATCCAACTGGCAGCTCAAAAGAAACATTATAAATGTAGTTAAATCTGTCATATGCATCAGCCTGTGACAGCTCTAATCCAATGTTGAACTTGAGTGATTCCTTTGTTATTTACAAAGATATAATGATTTATATGAAACCCCATTGAAATAAAGTGTAGTCAAGCTGGCCATTATGCACCCTAAATCTAGTCATTACATTACCTACCTATGAACTAGACTTGAAAAGAATTGGTATCTTTTACCGACAGGACCGTTTGGTCTCAATCTGTACGGTTAGGTGCTATAGTGATGTACTCAACATTTTACAGCTCACGTGCATCAATATTTTGGAAGGGCTTTCATAACAATGAACATAACTCATGTTTTTATATGTACATATATATATGTATATTCTCATATTTATATTATCCAAGTAAAAGGATACTTAAAGTAGTATTAGCTACATGTCAATGACTTTCCCATAAAACATACCATATTCTCTCTAATGAGCGCACAGTTCCAATGAGCTCACATGATATGCCACTTGAATGCCATGTTGAATATGGTCTCAAGGAAACCTGATAGTAATAACAACAAAGGTTATTGGCGATATTTTTTCTAGATTTTTGGGATGTGCGCTTATAGAAATCTCTCCATATCATTCTCTTTTAAATTAATATTTGGAGAATGGGCTCTGTGGTCATTTGAGAGAATACAACATGTGCTTTCATTACTAGGGTATTATATTTTATATGAGACTTGTCAAACGTTTAGATCCAGATGATTGAATTTCAATTTCATGTTTGTCTTGGTACTACAGTGAACAATGGGTGGTGGGATGGAAACATGATTTTCTCTAAACCTGAAAAAGGTAACCTAGTGTAATTTTTAGATCTTCATGATAATTAAATCATCTGTCAGATGACTAAATTTCAAGAATATTCCTGCATCACACACAGTGTAATTCCTTGTATATCCAATTATAAATATTTTTGGGACACCCTGTATATCATGTGGTAACCTCATACTGTATAAGTGGTACTTTTGCCTAACCATTTAATTTGCCTATTGCCTAATTTTTACCAGGTTTGAAAATTGAATGTCGTAAATATTATCTTCAAAGCATAATCAAATGGGAAGTTTCTTGTCATTGGGAAAATTAGAATTTAAGAAAATGATAAAATGTGGTCATTAGGCAAATCAACCACTCGCACTAGATACCAATTATACAGTATTTGTATGTGTCTGAGGCATTGACATCGTTACAGTATGTATGAATATTTGACAAGATAGTCATTCCTTTTTAAGTATTACAAATGGTTTTCAAAATGTCACCAAATTGCCAGTATTGCCTTTATAAATTCACACAATGACATATTAACAATGTTCACTATTAAATTAAAGAAAAAATATCAAAGTGTGCAACAGAGACTGCTATTGAATAACAGTGTGAAGTACCTGATACCAATTGGTAGCAAAAACAGTAATGAGTCCATATATACTAAATTTGTCAGACTCTTTGTCAAGATAAAGTACAATTAATTAAAAAGGGTGCTCTGTATAATATGAAAAATCAACAATTAGGTATAGGACAAGAAAGTTACTACTTCGGTAAATCAAAATATTGTTCAACGTGGGATATGTTCCACATACGGAGGTTCATTTACATTAAGTTAATGGATATCTGGAATTTTAAGTGTTCCACTTATGGATGTGTTCAACTTACACAGGTTCACTTATAATAAGGTAATGGATAACTGGACTTTGGAGTGTTTCATTTACAGAGGTTCAGTTCACTGACATTAAAACAATGGTTATCTAGACTTTGGGAAATTCCTTATCTGGAGTTTTTCACCTGACAGGTTCTGCTATATTGAGGTACAATTTACAATAGCTGTCCCATTTCTTAATGTACTGGTTTCTAAGAGTCTCGTGACTCTTCATATTGCAATCTTTTATCCCTTTCAATTTTCATAAGACATAAATTAAAAAAAGTTGCACATGTACATAAGATAGATGTCAGCACAAAAAACCACAGAGTACATGATTCTCCATAACAAGTTTGTGATCCAGGTGGACTATAGGTTTCATAATTCAAACCAAAAAGCTTTTGAAATAAAACGATTCCAATCGCATGTCCGACCATCATGAGACCAAAGTTTTGTGCATAATATTTCATACCAAATAGATCAACAGCAATAATAGTTACTTGTATATAAAGAAAGGCAAAGGCTACGGCTGCCATTGCAGATGCACACATCAAACCAGCAAAGGATTGATTAAAAAATACCAAAATTATTTGACTAATACACATGAGTATTACAGGGAATAAAAGAGTTGATGATTTGGGAATGTCTGGCCATTTTTGTGAAACGTAATCTTGTGCCACTCCACCAAGTAATCGCCCAATTGATGCAAAGATCGGTATTGAAAATGTGAAGGCCATTGGATTAATGTTAACTTGTGCAGATTTTGAAATACTTGTGATATTATTTGTAATAGTTCCACCAGTGCCCCCAGTTATTATGCAGATAAAAAATATGTTATAAAACTGAGGTGTTTTAATGATTTGCCACCACTTCATATCTTCAAAGAGTAGATAAGTTGTCTTTTTTCCAGCAATTGGAGTTTTTTCATTTATTTCAACGCTAGCATCGTTGTGTGTAACATTTTCGAGTGTATTTCTTCCTGCTACTTCATTTTCATTTGTATTAGATGATTCTGATAGTTCAATATTATGTTCAGCTGTTACTTCAGGAAGCGTTTTTAGCATCACAACACCGAATGTATTTATAGAAGCTGATAATATGGCTAGCATAAGCAAAAACTCTCCAAGCTTTTGATTCTCTGCATCTTCAATGTGTCCTTGAACAAACAATCCTCCATAGAGAGCGCTGAATATTGCAGGGCTTAATCCAAATACAGCTTGGAGGAGGCCAAGTATCTTACCTATGTGTTTTCTGTCAAAGTTCTTGCTATTCACCACAGCCGATGCTATATATATAAATATAGTTCCAACTGATGCCATGAAATAAAAAACACATAAAAGCCAACTTTTTGAAGTGAAGAATATCGTAAAGTTTGTTGCTGTCGACATAAGTCCAAATCCTAAGCCAGAGAGGACAAGTGAGATAATACATGCTACTCTAGGTCCGAAATGGTCAAAGACAATACCTGCCGGAAAGGAGAAACAAAGTCCCAAATCACCACTAGATGCGATATATTCCAGTTCAGTTTGAGTATAGTTGAATGTCTGTTTCAGGGCAATTGCATATGCATTGAATCCGAACACAATACCTGACATGAAATGTGCAAGTATCCCAATACTTAGAGCCACATATTTCTGAAGTTCATGTTTTTTAAAATCCATGATTGAAAAGATGTTGTTACTTTTGTCTGTTTCAAAGAAAACTATGCTGTTATCCATATATTTGAGTAAATGATAGCTATTCAAAATCTGTCCCTGTGTGAAATATCATTGATACAGTTTGTCCTGAGGTTCAAATATATCATTTGTAAGGTTGAGAGTGTTAAGTTTTAAGGAGTGACCATTTGATCAGTCCTATTCAGAACAAAAAAACTTTTGAATGAAAGCAAATATGTTTTGGGAAAATCAGTGACATGTATCAAAATAATTCTTTCATTACGGGAGTGAGCTGAAATGAACAAAGGAAATGATCTCTTCCATTCAGATGCCTCAGATGCTAATCAGATTTTTGACTGAGCAAAGTATTTGGGTAGACTGTAAATCTAGTAAATTTAGTAAATCTTGTAAAACTAGTAAAATCTTGTAAAAACTTGATTATTCAATGTCTAAGATATGAAGTCAAAATGTCAAAAAAGCACTTAAAATGCCTTTGTATGAATGAAATGAACATGTAGAAATATTTTTACTTTTTATTTCATTATATTAAGTTAGAAAACAACTATATGGTAGTATTGGATAACAAAATGGTTATCAAATGGTTCACCCATTGTATCATCAAAGACAACCCACCCAAGAGGCATGCTCTATTAACAAATTAAGCCAGACATTTAAAGGACTGAAGGGGACAATGGTACCATCTTGACATTTTAGGCTTTGTTTTTCCATGCAAAATGTTATAATGCTTATAATCAGATAATTTACTAATTGTTGCTTATTGTTTGATGATGCTGTTTAATTGACAATATTTGTAGAAGTTCCAATGCATACCTGCCAACCTACCGTATTTTTACGGGAATCTACCGTAAAATTTTCGTTTTTCCGTAAAAAAAATGACAAACTACCGTAAAAAATTTACCGTTTTTTCCTGTAAAAGCAACCGTAAAAAATCTGCCGTAATTTTACCAAAATCTACCGTAAAATATTTTATTAAAATTTGTTTTTTTCTATAAGAACGGCCGTATATATACCGTAAATATTTGAAAATCTACCGTATTTCTGCTAGAATTAACAGTATTCTTGTTCAAACTACCGTAAAATCTACCGCTATTTGGAAATTCTGAAAAATTGAATTCTTCTCGTATTGCCCTTGTAATATTCCATTACCAACCCGAACATAAATAGGTGTCGGCAGGTCTGTGACAGTGGTTATTGCGTATTTAGTAAGTAACTATAAGTAAGCTGGCGTGTAATCAGTCATTACACTGAGGAGTATCGTGATGCAAAAACACAGTGTTCAACTACCACAGGTTCTACTGTAGTTATATAAACAGTGAAGTGTTCAACTTGTTAGTCTGTTTATGAAAGAGTTCCATGCATGCTGTGTTAGAAAAACATACTTTATTATTTATTCATTGAAGTGTGTCACATTCTACGCAATCAGTTTTTTTAATATACTGCAAAAACTACCGCATTTTTTCAAAATCTTCCACAAAAACTACCGCATTTTTTCAAATCTTCCGTAAAACTACCGCATATTTTCAAATCTTCTGTAAAACTACCGCATTTTTTCAAAATCTTCCGCAAAACTACCGTTTTTTTCAAAAATCTACCGCAAAAACTACCACATTTTTTCAAAATCTACCGTAAAACTACCGCATTTTTCAAAATCTTCTGCAAAACTACAGTTTTTTCAAAATCTACCGCAAAAACTACCGTTTTTTTTCAAAATCTACTGAAAAACTACCGCATATTTGTCGAAAATACCGCAAAACTACCACATTTTGAAAAACTCTACCGCAAAAATACCGCAATTCAATAAAAACTACCGCAAATTTTTGGTCTTAGGTTGGCAGGTATGCAATGGGAAATGGATAATTGACAATTTCAAAATGTTGATTTTTACAAACCCCAAGAGATAATAAAAAACAAATCAAATTCTGCAGTAAGGGGAAGAGCTAGACTAGACAACTGATTGATCTATTTGCTTAACCTATACATAAAGTATAGTATATTTCTGGATATAAATATAAGTAGATACATATGAGTTATGTTTATTGTTATAAAGGCCCTTTCAAGAAAAGTGGTGTAATTGGGCTGTTAAATGTAGGATACATTGAATTCACATTATCAATAGAATGTAAAATCTTCCCTTTAAACAATTCAACAATCTCGTCAAATATGGTGCACTGACTGCTTTTTAGTTAAATTCCAATGATTTATGCAATTAACTCTCTATCTACACAAAAAATCATGAAAAGTCCCTTAAAACGGAGATATAGTTATTCCCAAATTAAGGGGTGACGTTTTGGGGGTCACCTGTACTTGGACTTGAATTTGAATTTTATATTTTCAATTCAAAGAACAAATGAGTATTTTCAGCACTATAGTAGGTGTATTTTGTTGTAAGGCATTGCAATTTGAAAGAGGTCTAATTTTAGAGCCTACGGAGTACAATAGATATTGTGTTATTTCAATTTGGTTAGTTTTGAATTTCAGCCTATGTTTCATTTTTTACAAAACTATTATTTTCAACTGCCACTTCTATCGTCAAAGAGTATTCAGATAGCTATAAAGACTTTTTTGTACGCCATGATTTAATAGATATTTCATTCAATTCAGTAACTAAATGTAAGGTCATTATGAATGAGCACTCCTCTATTATAAAATTATATACCAAAAATCTTTTGATTTTGAGTTTTTAGAAAAATCATAATCTCAGTATTAAATTTTTGTGTGAATGCATTGATATAATTATATAGTTTTAACACATTCCTGCCATGCATACATATATGTTGGTAGTCATTTTGTTGCTATTTTGTAAATTTGAATAAACTTTGTATTAACAGGGCCAATAATGCTGATTTCAGCCTCGGCCCTGTCATTTGTAGATAATTTTGTAAAGTAAAATAAAGAAACCATAAAAACTAAACTAGTATTAAATTGTGGGAATTGCATGTTTCAGAATTTGACATCTTTGTGTGAACTTTGCATCGTCGGTTTCCACGCTCAATCACTACATTCTATCCCGAGGTGAGGATAGGTCCGAAGCTTGATGAAGCAAGATGTGAAGTTTGTGTGAACTCTTAAGTCTATCTACCTAAAGTAGCTCGTTTTAAAAAGATTCATATGTTCCTTCAAGATGTGTTAAGATTTGCCCTTAAACTTAGCTCAATATATGTTAACTCTTGAATTGAATGAATTTCATTAAACAAATGTAATATTAAAATCATGATCTTGCCTTCAGATTTCAGGATATCTATTGAGTAAAAGATTCACCATTTTAACATAGAAAACCAAATTGTCTAACTTTTTCAAATTCAATTGTATCTTGCCAAAACAAAATGGAGGTATCGGACATGATGTCAGTTTATTATTTCCAGCACTAAAACAGTTTTTTCCTTTACACTGTACATTAACTAGATAATGGAAACTCCGCGGAGTAGCAAATCCCAACGAACAAAATATCAATTACTGAATTCCAATCAATTATACTCATTACTTTGGTTAAAATTGAAAAATTTAATAGAATTGCGAATTCCTGTAAAGCAGCCATTTTGAATTTCTGAGGTACAAATATGAAAAATAATACCATATGTGATCTACTCCAAAATTCCTTCAATTTGAGTATTATATAGCCATACGTTGAAGGGATTGAAAAATTATTGCGAAATCGTACATTAGATGGCCATTTTGAATTTTACGAGGCTCGAATCAGAAAAAAGATACAATATTTGCAATCTACTCTTAATTGCCTTTCATTTGAGTATAATAAAGCTATACTTCAGAAAGATCTACAAATTAGCGAAAATTTCTGTTTTCCTGACCCCCCATACCATATCCCCCCCCCATATCCCTAGTGGTCAGGATGAAAAACACAGAATATATGTGAAATAGATAGATGTTGCGAATATACTACCAAAATTTCAAACAACAATATTAATCACTTTGGTTTGGAATGGAAAATTTATGATTTTTGCGAAAAAGTCCCGTCATTTTTAAAGCGGCGGCCATCTTGAAAAAATCCTTTTTGAATTTTCTGAGGTACAAATCTGAAAAATAATACCATAATTGTTATCTACTCCAAAATTCCTTCAATTTGAGTATTATATAGCCAAACTTTGAAGGGATCAAAAAATTATTGCGAAATCGTACATTAGACGGCCATTTTGAATTTTACGAGGCTCGAATCAGAAAAAAGATACAATATTTGCAATCTACTCTTAATTGCCTTCCATTTGAGTATAATAAAGCTATACTTCAGAAAGATCTAAATTTAGCGAAAATTTCTGTTTTCCTGACCGCCCATACACGGCCCCTGGGGGTCAGGATAAAAAACACGGAATATATGTGAAATAGATAGATGTTGCGAATATACTACCAAAATTTCAAACAATAATATTAATTACTTTGGTTTAGAATGAAAAATTTATGATTTTTGCGAAAAAGTCCCGTCATTTTTAAAGCGGCGGCCATCTTGAAAAATTTGCGTAAAACTATTCATCAATATACATCTTTCCACCGAATATGAAGAAAATCCGTCTAATAATATTTGAGTTATCTTCCGGACGGACGGACGGACTGACTGACGGACTGACGGACTGACGGACTGACGGACTGACGGACTGACGGACTGACGGACTGACGGACTGACAGACAGACTGATGGACTGACGGACGGACGGACGGACGGACGGACGGAGGGCTTCACTACATCCCTACCGAACTTCGTTCGTTGGGATAATAATTCAAACATACCGGATTTTCTCACATATACGCCCCCCTAAATTTAGGCCCATGGGCCAAAAATCGAATGTATTACGCTTATACGCCCATGGGCCTATAAAAAATGACCATTTATTGATTTTTTTTTTCATTAAATTCAAGAGTATTTTGTCACTGGCAGATCGTTCTGTCGTTACTTTGTTTCAACATTAAGTTCAACGCTGTGCCGTAAGTGGCAGTGGTGGATCATTCTGTTGTTTTGTTTCAACATTAAGTCCAAGGTTGTAGGTGACTTTTCCTTCATAATTCTTACAAAACATGCGGTAGGACTACAACAGTAGGTACGGTAGTTCATCAGCTCTTCTCACCTTTACGCCCACTTGGCCAAAAATCGAAAGTAGTACACTTATACACCCATGGGCGAAAAATAAGAGGTAAAATACCAGACGAAATTACCCCTTCTTTCAGTTATACGCCCAGGGCTTATATGCGAGAAAATCCAGTAAGGAGCCTTAAAGGGTTCCGATTAGCATCCCGTATAAAAACAATATGGCGGCTCCAGGCGAATCAACTGGATCAGTCCATTTTCAAGAAATAAGGGGAGTTCTGTAAAATCCAGTTTATTGAAATTGTCTTTGAGATAAAGTAATCCGTTTATAATGATTTTGAAAACGTTATCCAAAGAGTGATTGCGTTCAAAGAATACATGTACAACAGCCAATATAAATCCTTGTATTAGAAACCGTTTTGTCTTGCTTTGTTTCATTTGTAGGATATTTCATATGCCAAGCTGTGTGCTATTATGTTATGGGGAAATTTAGATGCCAATTTTTCCCTATTATACACAAATAGAAGATCCTGAAACTTCACCCATAAATGTGGAATTGATTTGTCAAAATAAAAATCACCCTTTTATAAATGTGTGACGATCTTTAATATACTTATGCTATATAACAGTTAGAGGTGTTGACACAACGTCCTCGAACCTGTAAACCCTTGAGTATTATTCCGGGATCGGGCCTTTTATACTAAACGGTGAGCAACACTAGAAACGAGCGTTCGATTTGCTAAACGATATGTGCAGGCCCGTAGCCAGGGGGGGTTCGCAGGGTTCGGGCGAACCCCCCCCTGGCCAAAAATTCTTTCAAAATCATGCAGTTTTTCACCATTTTGAGCACTTCTCAAGTAATTTTAGCCATATTTGGGCCAAAATTGTCAAATGTGAACCCCCCCTGGAAATTTTTGAAAACTGAACCCCCCCTTGGCAAATCCTGGCTACGGGCCTGATGTGTCACCCTTTAAACACTCCATGGGGGAGTTTACGGTTGACACACTTTTGGAAGGGGTGTAAATTGTATGTAAGAAAATTACAAAAATGGTTTTATATGAGGAACCCCAATGAAGGTGGAGATTTATGGATAATATAAAAAAATAAATGAACCCCTGGTCACCAAATCCTGGCTACGCCACTGAAACTGGTGCTTGTATTCATGACTTGAGCTTTGTCATTCTCACTTGCATTTAGAATAGTAATCAGGGATAAATGAGCAGAGATCACACGATGTTTAATTACAATATCTGCATGATCGCCAGACGGTTTAATTCATCAAGTCTTTTGGGTCAGGAGGGCACAGATCAACCTTTTTCTACATAAATATGAATTGATCTGGCAATCGTATTTGTTATAGATTATAATCAATAGATTGTAATGATATTTATTACAGATTATGATCATATTTTTATAGATTATAATCAATAGATTGTAATAATATTTGTTGTGACAGATTATAATCATAATTGTTACAGATTATAACCATAATTGTTACAGATTCTAGTTTTGTTACATATTTTAATCATATTTGTTACATAATATTGTAACCAAAAAGGTCACAGATTGTAATAAAAAAGGTTTCACATTGTAATCATATTTTTATTACAGATTATAACCATAATTGTTACAAATAATATTTACTTTTGTTAGAGATCATATTTATTGATGTTACATATCATATCCAATCTTGTAACATATCATATTTAATCTTGTAACATATCATATTCAATCTTGTAACATATCATATCCAATCTTGTAACATATCATATTCAATCTTGTAACATATCATATTCAATCTCGTAACATATCATATCCAATCTTGTAACATATCATATTCAATCTTGTAACATATCATATTTAATCTTGTAACATATTATATCCAATCTTGTAACATAACATATTCAATCTTGTAACATATCATATTCAATCTTGTTACATATCATATTCACTCGTGTAACATAACATATTCAATATTGTAACATATCATATTCAATCTTGTAACATATCATATTCACTCTTGTAACATATCAAATTCAATATTGTTACAGATTATATCCAATCTTGTAACATAACATATTCAATCTTATAACATATCATATTCAATCTTGTAACATAACATATTCAATCTTATAACATATCATATTCAATCTTGTAACATATCATATTCAATCTTGTAACATATCATATTCAATCTTGTAACATATCATATTTAATCTTGTAACATATTATATCCAATCTTGTAACATAACATATTCAATCTTGTAACATATCATATTCAATCTTGTAACATATCATATTCAATCTTGTTACAGATTATATTCAATCTTGTAACATATCATATTCATTCTTGTAAAATATCATATTCACTCTTGTAAAATATCATATTCACTCTTGTAACATATATTCAATCTTGTTACAGATTATATTCAATCTTGTAACATATCATATTCATTCTTGTAAAATATCATATTCAATCTTGTAACATATCATATTCAATCTTGTAACATATCATATTCAATCTTGTTACAGATTATATTCAATCTTGTAACATATCATATTCATTCTTGTAAAATATCATATTCACTCTTGTAAAATATCATATTCACTCTTGTAACATATCACATTCAATCTTGTAACATATCATATTCACTCTTGTAACATATATTCAATCTTGTTACAGATTATATTCAATCTTGTAACATATCATATTCATTCTTGTAAAATATCATATTCAATCTTGTAACATATCATATTCAATCTTGTAACATATCATATTCACTGTTGTAACATATCATATTCAATCTTGTTACAGATTATATTTCCACTGATGTATGGCAGCATCGTGTATTGGATGACAGATCAGCCACCAGATTTCGTTAGATTTGTAATGTTCCTGACCCTTTGCACCCAAACAGCTCTTGTGGCTCAGTCCCTTGGGCTGCTAATAGGTGCCGCCACCTCCTTGCAGGTATGCCCAAGTATAAATTATAACATGAATACAAATAATTATTATTTTGATCATATCTTTTCTAATCTGGGCAGAAAGTACAATTTCAATGAATTAATTATTATTAATTAGCCTCTTCAAGATGGGATCTCCTATTTATAAGTCATACCCTTGTCAAAAATGACATGGATGCATCTCAGTGAAACCAATTATCGAATCCAGGTTCTTTTGATTACATGTTAATCATTTACATGTTCTTTGTAAGTTACTGATGACTGATGATTGTCTCCAATCGAAAACCAAATTCTGATATACAGTAAAATACTTAATAATTCATTATGATTTCTGTACAGAATATGACATGATTACTTTTATTTTCAGGTAGCTGTATTTCTAGGACCAGTAACAGCCATCCCAATTTTATTGTTCAGTGGGTTCTTTGTCAACTTTGACACCATTCCCAAGTACATGCAGTGGCTCTCCTATGCTTCCTATATAAGGTATGTTGAATTACAAGAAGCATGCACCATATGTCCATCTTGCACCACATGTACCCCCTTTACTTTTACATCACATGCACCATGCCATCTCAAATCATGTGTACCATTTTGCACCACATGCACCATCTTTTCATCTTGCACCATCTTGCCTGACTTTGTGAATCCACTCCAGAGAAAGAAACTTGATAGGCTATAGGAATCAATTTCAATTCCTTAAAAAATTAAACTTTCTTGGCATAAGACTGACAAAGCCTAGAATGGAATTGCGATTCCAAATTGAAATATTAACATTTCAAAGAAAAAGATTTCCAAAATTCTATCAATGCAAATTGAGTGACATCTTCATTTAGAAAGGATCAAATTTTAAGACTTAAAAAAAGGAAGTCATGAATTGTCTTTTCTTTGTTTCAGATACTCATTTGAGGGAGTCCTCCAGGCTATCTACGGTTTCAGTCGGGAAAATCTTGAATGTGAAGAAGACTTCTGCCCTCTAAAGAAACCTTTGGATGTGTTGAAAAGACTCGACGTTGATGAGTCACGATTCTACATAGATTTCTTAGTACTCTGCGGTTTCTTTGTATTATTTAGGACAGGTTGTTATTTTGTCCTACGATGGAAAGTAAAGAGTGAAAAATAATGATTCAGAAGTGGACTTCATGTTTCAGAAGTGAACTCATACAAGGATGATGAGTCTATGAGCCCAGAGGACTGTAACCTTACTTTTGAAATGGGCCAGTATTTAGTTATTACTAGAAGGGAAGACACAGATTCTGACCTTCTGAAAAAACCTCTGAATGACCCCCCAAACTGGAGGTAAAGGAATTCGAAGAGGAAAACAGTGCACAATAAATTCAGTGATCTCTGATAGAACCATCTCCTTTACAAGAATGAGTGTCTTGCAATATCAGGAAGTGACAGGTTCAAAAAATCTAAATCACTGAACCATGTGACTCAACCCTCAATAATTAAATATAATATGGGTACAATATTAAAGCACTGTCAGTATCGTGTTAATAATGAAATGAAAAATTAGATGGACTAGAGTTATAAAAATTGATATTTTAAAGTTATAAGTAGATCTCGTAATTGCAGTATTTGTAAATATTGTACAGTCTGCTGCACATCTAGAAATTGTTGAATATTTCAGATATTAGGGACTTTATATATTTAGTATCCACCACACGTATATATTATTCATGTTCAACACTTTGAATGTGATATTCTGGAACATATGGCAACTTTTCACAAGATTTGCTTGTTAACAAAAGTTATTCAATTTTCACGAATTATGTTTTTATGTGTGCAGTTGGTCTATCTCGACTACTTTTATTAAGATAATCATGACATAGTTTATAAGATGGCCAAATCTGGGGAAAAATAGATATGCTATTGCGTACAATAATTAAAGCATCAACACAAGGTGACATCTATACATAGAGAGAAAATGTATTTATATATTTACTATTTATCAGATATTTCTGGGCATTCTGTTCATGGTGTCACGTTATCTACAAAAATGGAATACTTAGGCATACTTGTATATGAAAACAGTTAGCCATATATATACTTGCTCAATGCATCAATATATCACACAACTGTCATGGTATTTAAAATAATGATTACGAAAAAATGAAAAAATTTGATCATGCATACACATACGGGAGGTGTTCATGAATTTGAGACCATGATTTGATTGTATATACAAATTTTTCTGTTTGGTATTACAAATGTGTTAATCTTAAGAAAATGTTTGTTTTAAGAGTGTTACTCTCACATTTATTGAAATATAATATTACTCCCTACTTGTATAATATTACTATTACCCATATTTGTCTTGTATATAATAGCCAAAAACTTGCTCGTATTTTATATCAAGGATTGGCTAAATTGTCTCATCAATGCATTTAGAATTTGACTCAGATCAGAAAAAAGGCAAAAGAAATAAAATTATAAAAAATTAAAGAAGTATTTAGATTATTTTAGATATGCAGATAGGCAGGACCTATCATTAATATAAGATGAATATGCAGTACATCTGTAAGAAATAATAATTGAATAGAGGAAACTTCATGAAAATGAAATTTTTGGCGCAACTGATTTTGTCTTGGCAATTTTGAACATTTAAATTGGCAATACTGTACAGAATAGACCTTTCCGATAAATCCTGACACCCTTTGATAAATCAAAAATCAAAAAAGCTATGATAAGGCCTGTAGCCAGAATTTGCCAAGGGGGGGGTTCAGTTTTCAAAAATTTCCAGGGGGGGTCATATTTGACAATTTTGGCCCATTTATAGCTCAAATTATTAAGTGCTCCAAATGATGAAAAACTGCATGATTTTGAAAGAATTTTTGGCCAGGGGGGGATTCGCCCAAACCCTGCGAACGCCCCCTGGCTACGGGCCTGAATTGATGGCTGATGATATACTGGCTAGATTGATGATGTCATTGGTTGTATGTAGCAATCTGTCCAAGCAAAAATAGGATTGATTTATTGCTAATTTTGAAAAAGAACAACCTCTGACATACCAATCAATCTAGCCAATATACCGTACCAAAAGCTGGTAGGGTTTATGGGAAAGGTCTGTTGCAAACAAATTGAAGTAAACAAATAGTTGCAAACAAATTGTAGTAAACGCCAAATTCAAGCAATTGAATTACAAGTTATGAATGTTGAGTTCAGATGAGTAATAGCTTGTGTGCACAATAAGTATGAAATTATATGTACAGGTATTTACTTATTTTTATTGATATTGCGTATCAGTATAGTATAGGGGGTCAAGTCATGATTCGGGGAGGAGGGATTCAAGCTATATTAAAAGGAATGTGTTATTGATATTTTGATCTGACCCCTATAGTGTATTGATACATTTAAAATAATAAGTTGACATATCTCATTAAGGTAGAATGAACCAATAGTTACATATTATCTTTGATTTGCCCAATGTTCTTGAATTTTAATCTATTATATTAGAGTACAAATAAAATATTTGAATGTGAAAAAAGCTGAAAGATATTGATAACATGCAGCATCGGTTTTATTGATCAATCAATGTGGACAATTTTAATGCATACTTTGAAACATGATGATAAGTTTGCTGTGTTAAAAGTTGTGTAATTTTGTTGAAAATCAGTAAATTGAAAATGCTTCACCACGAGTGATGAGTTCATAATTTGAAATTTGAAACCACTAAATTTGAAAAGGTAAATAAAAGGTGAACATTTATTTGAACAATGTGAAATTTTATCGTTACTCATGTTTTTGAGAAAGATGTTTCATAAACCATAGAGTATATGTGTGTGATATTGATAATAGGGATTTTGGGTTTAACAGTTAGGCCGTTACAAATACATTTCTCTCAGTTTTACATGAACCAGAAAAGTAAAAATTAGTCTAGTCACCTAGTCATTTGTTCACAAAACAAACAATTAACTTGAATTGGCCTAACATGATAGATTGCAGTAAATTATATTTAGAGTAGAATGCAGTACAATGTACTATACATAAATTGTCTCATATTTTACTAAATTCATTATTATATTCATAGTAATGTTGTTAATGTTGTTGTTATATTAACTGCTTATGATCATGATATTGTGTTGCCAGTATTAAACATACATGTTCAATCAAATACAATAAATATATTATTGTATTATTTATTAATTTTTACACTGAACAAGTGTTGATATTAAAGGAGGGCATTTTTAGTTATATTTTAATTTGTATATTTTGCCTTACAATCATTTCAGAGTCACAATATTTGTTTGTGGTATTGTATTTTAAAATATGGTATTTTTCCAAGCTAGCTTTCATCCAACTGAAATGTCAGTTAAAGCCTGGTTTATGTTGGATAAAGCCCTGCTTGTAGACCATTTACCTTTCACACTCGCTGTCAGGATTTGTGCTATTTTTGAATGACTCTGAATAATTTAGGGTTTATTGCCCTTATACATATTGATGACATTCAGAATTGAACAAGTCCTGGAACCTGGGATTTAGATTGTATTTATTTTATCAAAAACATTTTTTATTGTAGTGTATAGTATTGTTATTTTGGAGGTGTGCAAAGCTTTTTTTGTTTTGTATTTATTATTGATTGTGGTTGTAAATCTAAGTTCATTTATCAATAACTCACCTAACAAGAATGAGATTTTATAGAAATGCATAAAACATTGATATTTCAATTAATTACATTGTAAAAAATGTTTGTCCTTTTCAGTGCTCTATTGAAGGGGCAATATCATTCTGAAATCAATGTTATTTATTAACTTAGAATATTTCAAACAATCATAGAAGTACTTGGTCTTTATTTTATTTTAAAACATTCTTGAAATAAAATGTTTAATGTTAATCTTAATTTTTAATTGTCTGTTAGTTTATCACTTTTGAATCAACGAAAGTACTAAAAGCATGAAATAATCAAAATTCAACACAGTAAAATTGATAGCAAGAAGAGTACATCAGATAAGGAAATACCCCTGCAATGTATGACCACCCTGGGCCTGAGGAATGAGAATCAGATGTTAAATGAACCAAACAAACCTGACCTTCACATCAACCAGGATGTAACAATGAAGTAATCCCATTGGTCAGTTGGTATCTTTGCATTAAATTATCGCAAACAACTCCTGACTAACATTTCATATTTTTTGAATCGCCTTTTGTTTGTGGACAAAGAACAGGAGAAACAGGATATTAAATTCTCAAAGTGCATGTTTATTGATAATGAATATCATTTTTGTAATGACCCTGAACTCTAATAAGTTGCATTATGTGTCAATGAAAATAGACTGTATCGTATTGAATTCTGCATTAATGTTTTACAATGTTGATCTACATAAATATATATATATTATATATCTACACAATAATTTCAAATGGAGTTGAACGACATGTATAAAATTGCACATAGGCATTTGGAGATTGTGTTTCCCATTAAGAATCGAAGATGTGTCATACTTCGATCCTCAGGAGGGGTGTTCCATTTTATTATCTCTGAGAGCTTTGTTCTATTATTCCAGGTAAAACAGAACAAATCAATAGTTCTTTCTTTTGAATGGCATGACTTGTTTATTATTAATGGTTATAAATAGCTGCTGTGAATCATAAGCAACAAAATTCAAACTTCTAAACTAGAATATTTGACACATGCCACCCGAGAGGATTAGATCATTTTTTGTGATTAGAATAAACAGGATAAAAATTATATTTATTTAAACTATATTTATTTATGTATTAGCATTACCCATATCTGTATAGAACATCTATTGTTCAGAGAAAACTATTGTTTTTTCTTTGTTTCCATTGACGACATGCACTTCCAAAAACACATCACTTGGATGAAAGGTACAATTTTTGCATTTAAGTGTGGTTGATTGAAATGTAATTATTCTTTTCTGGATATGACTAAGATTGCTTTTATAAAAGAACTAACATTGAATAAGTGTGTTCAAGACCAACACTCAAAAGGGGAAGGACCATTCGATCAACTTTTTACTTTCACTTTTTTCTCACCCAGCAAGTTTTGGAATACAACAGAAAATTAATCTGGTTTACCCTTTTTAACAGTAAGTTATGCAATGATAATTACTAGGCTCTGGGGCTGTAAATTATCTACAATGCTAAATGTGAGTTTGCATTGTAAATGGTTTGCCCATAAATCCAAAGTATGAGCAACTGGTGGTCCGTGCCCTTTGCCTTTTTTATTGAGTTTGTTCATCAAAAAAATATGAATTTGAGTACAAATCTTAATTTTCATGAAATGTACATTTCTCAAAATAATTATAGGGAACTGAAATCAAATTGTTTTGAAATGTTTATTTTGTTTTTGTTCCATTTTCCAAGGCTTTCATAAATGTCAATTTGACATTACAAATAACTGTGGCTTAAATGACATGAACAGGAAACCTTTGTTCAACCTTGATACAGGGTTGTGGCTTGAGGGCTGAATGTGTCATTATTTTAATTACTTGATAATTGCAGTTCATTTTTTATTCAAGTTTAATTAACACAACATATTTGAAGTAGAGTGATTGAATTTAAAATTAGCTGGTAAGTTATTTTTTATATTTGAAAAAATGTTATGGCCAATTGTTTTCATTTGATTCTCTAAATTTAATTTTACTTAATTCTCCTTGAATAAAACTAACACATTACAAGTCTTATGATCATATTTTGGATAATAATTTACATAAAATACTAAAACTAAGATATTATATTAGAACTTCTCAAACTGAGGAGAGTGAATGAAGGAGAGGAAAGGGTCATTTGATTTCCAGGAGATTCGTATCTCCTCCAGGAGACAATGGGATATATTTGCTATGACCTTATTAAAGGCCTCATGAACATCAAACAGTTTATAAAACACTAAGAGTGCAGTTATGACGATTTAAAGGTCTGAGGTTATGACTCATACCAAATAATTGAGGCTGAAGTTGACCAGGGGAGGAACAAAAAATGGTGGGTGGTCATCATTTGAAAAATCAACAACACCAGGAATATCCGTTGTCTAACATGACACACTTTTTGAGAATCATTACTTGGGAAATAAAAGAAAACACATAACCCTTTTAAGTATCAAATGGCCCATCCCAAGAGCAAAACCTAATAAAGAATTGAGAAGGCAAATAATTTTCACTGATATTAGTTTGCTGTTGAATTCAGGAAATTCAATAAATGGCGTACTCTTAGCAATGTTGACTAAATTCTGGAGAAAATTGGGATAGAATGGTTGGATTTTAACATATGCTACTTTGGGAATATATTCAAATCAATTCTTAAAATGACAAGTATGAGGTAGGTCAATAGAATTCTATAGAATGTGAAGTAAAGAAGGATATCAAGATGTTAGCTAGTTGATACTAGCTTTATCATTTATATTAGACTCTTAGCTGTTCAGCATGAAAATATGTGTATGAATAAAAAGTGTACGAAATGGCAAAAGTTCACAGAGATAAAAACAAAGGGCAATACTAAAAAACAAACAGAATGTTTAAGTCATAACCCATACACTCTCATTTATTCTCATTCTAAAGGGGCATAATAACCTAACCTTAAGAGAGTGGGTTAATTGTTCTGGAGAGGTTATAGAGGAATTGGATAGGTGTTAAAGCTGTTTTTGCAGAATAAGTTAATTATTCTAAATATTTATTTAACTTATCTCTCATATTCTGCAACTCCTTCTGAGTAATGCATTTATTAAGGCAATATGGTGCAAACAATTTAAAGGTCATTGTATAAATATTAGCATAGAAATGAAATGTAACAAGATTTGTGTACTGTTAGGGTAGAATGTATGTTGTAAACCTCTATTAGTATACATACCATGATATAGTCTAAGCAGGATAGACTAGCAACCCAGTTATATTATGTTATTTATTTATTCCAAATATTACTAAACTTTTGATGGGAAGTGTATTTATCATTAAAACTATTTTAATTGATCTCATTATAATAGTTTTATTGAGGCACATGTTATAAAATTATCTAGAACTAGTGTGCATGATGATGAATATAAACAACAAAGCACTGATATTAACAATAAGACTACAAACACAAACAAAATATGAATATTTTCAGTGATTCACCAGACCAGATGCAATGAGTTAATCAGCTAATAATAAGTTATTTTATATTGTAAATCAATAATAAATTATTTTATTTGGAATAACTGAAGTTGATTATTATTCTAATAATAAATAACTGTGCCATGTTGACCTTTGGTGAAATTGAAAATCTTTATAATGTTGGAAATCAAGATCAAGAGAGAGACAGAATTGACAGATGTCTAGACCTGTCTTAATAAATTCAATTAAGTGTATTTATCCCACATGTCCCAGGGTGTATCCTCCCTCTCCTATTTCAAGATCATTTCCCATTTCCAGGATCACACAGAGTCAATGATAAAAGGGGTGCTTTGTGTTAATTATGTCATCAGCCATATTCTAATTACCAGAAATAAATATTTATTGTCATATGATATCACTTCTCATAAACATGTGAGTAGAAATGGATTAAATACTTCACTGGAGATTGAGTTCTTTATCCTCCCATTAACTACAATTAACATTTTGTTGCATGACTGTTGAATAACAAAATGGTATGATAATTTCAAAAATATAGTATCATAACCAAATATGCAAACAATTACCTTTACCATCTTTATTTTTGTGATACATATATAGGTTAATATGAACTGATGCCTAACACACGAACATCATCCAAAATCGTTTCTTAAGTACAAAGTGGGCGAGTTAATGGATCTTTGAGATCAACAGAGTAAGAGTTTTGTTATGTTAAGTTAAAATTGCTAGGGGCTACCATTTTTCATGTCTAATACATGAACATATATTCAAATAATTGAGAGAAAAAGGTTTGGTTTTTGGCAGTCCAACAGTCCTAAATCATTCATCTATGTTACCATAGCTACCTTGCTGTCTTATATTGGTAACCAGGGCAACCTGACCCAGCAGTAAACATCACTACAGAGTATCTTTACAATCTTCTATTTGCCAGTCACAACACTGTGTCTACAAATTTCTGACGCTTGAAATACATGTATCTTGAAAATCTGATTAATATTAATAGATAGCTTCTAAAAAACACTTTTCAAAGCACAATGAAGAACATTAATTGACAGAGAGTAAATGAGTAACAATATTTTGATGGAGGCAAGCTTTCTAAAATTGTTCAATCTTAGAAAAATATTTTGATTGCATGTCATTCTGTGTTATTCCTATTTTCTAAAATTGAATCTCCAATGTGTATAATATTCCTAAAAAGCTTTGAACATTTACATTTGTAAGTTCATTTTTCTACAAATTTTGCGCATTGAATTTCAAACAACTTCATCAAATAACTTCTGCTTTTAACTTTTTTAGTTTTATAAATCTTCTGAAGAGGATTATTAGAAAAATATTGGGTTGATTTAAAATGTTTAACCTTAACCTTTTCAAGAATTGTTTTGTCCTAATTAGGCCTAGAGACAGAACTGTTATTAGCTCTTTAATTACACAAAAAACTGAAAATTGTAATTGATTGTAAGATCCATGTATTGTACCCTGTGGATCACTGCATTAAAACAATGTTGTCAACAAAAATGAGCTAAAAAGGGACAGACACTATCTTGATCATGATAACATACGATCCCATAAAAGAAAGTAAAGAAGACCACCAAAATATTTTGCTTGAAAATAGGAACAGATAAAACTGTATGTGAAGCTACTTGACTACACAGTAGGTTTAGTTGTGGAGCTGGAGTAGAGATCAAAAAATGGGTACTGGAACAATAAAATATAAAAGAAATCAGTTTCAGTTGAAAACCAGATAGAGTTCACCTTGCCACAAGGCCAATCTCTTGGAAAATAGCATTGTGACTAGCTGAGATGATAATGAAATATTACTAATGCTATTATAAAGGATGGAGTCGTATTAAGCTGCCTTGTAGAAGGGTAGAGTGTTGCTGAGAGATATAATATTGAGCAATATGATGGATGGTGAGTTGATCAAATGTATGCAAATGTAATGTTCTCTAACTCAAACAATTTGAGGAATATTTTCATAAGTATTTATCATTTCATTTGATGATTAATTTCAGTAAAGTACACAACTATCAAGGTCCAAATCTTTACAAAATATATTTCAGTTAATGTTTACAAAATGGTGATAGTAAACCACCTTCTCATCAAGTTTAGGAGAATTGGAGGCTCAACAATAAATATCACCAATCGGATAAATTATGTGCTTTCAAAGCTGCTTCGAGCAAGAGATGCAATAGATGGTCCCAATGTGATTACATAATTTATTAAAACCATCAGTTGTTATGGTGATACATAAATGAGTTCAGCATAATAAGTTTACTCTGACATTTTTTAGAACTATTTGGAGATAATATATAAGTAAAGGTGATTGGGTGTTAAATAACTACACATAGACAACTGCAATGGAAAGAACATTTGAGTCAAATTCCAGTAATTTCATATACTATTTAAATAATTAAATATTGGCTCCGTTTACTTCATCTATCACCGGGAAACATTCTTCATAAAACATATATGTATGACCGTGAAATGAGTCAATTTGGTTTTAAAGGCACTTGGTCAAACAAAGTCATTGATATATTAAAAAAGTGTGATTTATTATCTTATTGGGATACTCAAAAGATTGATGATGACAATATTTTCATCAAGACAATAACAAAAACACTGTATCAGAATTATAAAACTCAGTGGAAGAAAGATATATTAAATTACCCTGTCTTGAGAACTTATGTTAAATTCAAAAATGTCTTTGAAAGAGAGAGTTATTTAAATATCCAAAATAAAAATTACAGGCAAGCTATTTGTAGATTTAGGCTGAGTTCCCACAAGTTACATATAGAACTTGGTCGTCATTTGAAGCCAAACCCAAAACCTGTAGATGAACGTTTATGTAATATTTGTGGTATTTTAGAAGATGAACAACACTTCATCATGATTTGTAAGAAAAACACTACAGAAAGAAAACTTTTGTTTGACACCCTTACACAATTTAATTTTGTACGCAGCCCTGACATTATTTTTAAAAAACACAAAAATTCTTATGTCATTTTACATTTAGCAAAGTTCATCTATCATTCACTAAAAAATTGGATTAATTGGATTAAGTGGATTAATTTCATTTGTCAACGATACATCACACTGATATTTAAATTTCTGTCAAGTCGTATCTGTATTTTACAATTATCTTGTATTTTTGTATTTTACATTTGATGATGTAATTAGAATTGTATTTTACAAAAACTTTATTTTTGTATTCAGTAGTTAGTTTAGTCTTAGGTCAGTTTTGTAGATTGTAGTTTTTAGTTTTTTAGTGACTAATATGTCATTGTAATGACATCAGAAAGTCAATAAAAGATATATATATATATTTCTCATCATTTAACATTTAATCCAGTCCTAAATAATATCTGAAGGGCAATTACATTGCATGATTTGAACAGGTGTGTTGTACCTGTGGCATATACAAAATACAGACAATTAGACAGCTTCCATAATAAACATGTGTTTGGAATTGGAATTCAGGTAGATGTAATTTTTATAATTATAATTACCAGTACGACATCAAATGGCTAATATTTTTCACATTTGTAGATATTTACACATTATGGTAGAAGGGAATTGAATACAATACAATAGTATACAATACAATACCAATACAATACAATACAATACAATACCAATACAATACAATATATACACTGGCGGATCCAGAAGCTAACAATGGGGGGCCCAAATTTTGAGTCAGAAAAAAACTTTCAGCGCTTGCAAAAATAAAAAGTTTTGGGCCGGCGCAAATTTTGAAAATTTAAGCCAATTATTGATAATTAAGCCTAAAAAGGCCAAAATATGCCCAAAAAGGCCCATTTATTTGGGCCCTACAAAATTTTTGGGCCCTAAATTTTTTTCTGGGCCCACAAAGGGGGGGGAGGGCCTCATACCCCCTGGATTCACCAGTGATATAGATAAACGACCAAAGTGGCTTTCCCTCAAATTCTTCTTAATTTGTTTTACTTTACATAGAACTACAGCTTGTCATTTACTGTATATGTTCTCACCATGGAGGTTGTATAAAACATCTGAAATAGAAAACAGCTAAGGGCTACAAATGAAATGAACAATATTAAATAGGAAAACCAATAGTACAAAACATTTACAGTTGTACGATAAACATTTAATTAAATACATTATCAATTGAAGTTTTAACTCACAAACATTAATAAACAACATCTACTATATCAGATTGAAATATGTATTTCTATTTCACCAAACACCAATCTAAATCTAATCACTACATTTGCAATTGCTAACATACAGAGTGTCCATAAATTACTTTATACTTTACATAGATTTTGTACTGTATTATAACTGTAAAGAGACGTTGTGGACACCCTGTATGATATATTTGTTGTCAATTGTTATGAAAGAAATGTAATTAAGATTCAAACATTGACAGGCTTTGATATGCTGTCTCATGAAAACCTCCTGTTGCCAAACTAATGGAGGGGAGTGTAAATGTATAATAAACTTCTCCAGAAACGTTTTTTAAAAACTTTAAGTTAAACAATTTTAAATAATTATTTATTAATGGAAGTAAAATGATGAAATGGATATGCAAATAATTAAAAGTGTGGGAAATAGAATATTAGACTAGCTACTAGCCTTTGTGAACCCCGCCCACTACGCACCTCCCCACAATGTGACAAAGTAGATAGGGGGGCGGGGGGGGGTTGTCTTGAGACTTGCAATCAATCCAATGCACATTAACATTTTACAATTTTCTATAGAATTTGTTTTTGTGATTTCAGGATTTTGCTGCAGTTGATGAATAAAAGCAAAGGAGACTACTAAGACCAATCCAGTTGAACAAAGTACAACATATAAACAACAGAGATTCCACCTGTTTAGTCAGAGATATGCAAACTCATTGCATATATATAAAACAAAATTTGTTGATATGTAGTCACATTGTAAACATTAATGTCAATGCTCAGTGGATGAACAGAGTTTTAAATGCAGGTTTGAAATTCCCACCACCTATATACAAATGTATCAGTGGTACTAAGAGGAAAAGCAAGATTGTTACATGGAATAACAATGGATCAACGGACCCCCTTGATCTTGACTCAAATACTTTTAATATTCACAGGATTCATAATCCTAATCTCAGCTCAGACAAATGACCAAATTCTACTTCAGCAAAGAAGGCCAAAAATATCACGAATAAAAAGACAAGGATCAGTTTGTGATCCAAACCCTTGCTTCCTTCCCCCATATTGTGAAAATCTCTCAATATGCCGCCCTGACGCTCTTTGCAAGAAAGAGTGTATTTGTGCCAAAGGTTGGAGTGGTCCGCTATGTACAAAAGCAGTATATACAGAGGCTCCTTCGTCTGTTACAAGTTCTCAAGCTGAGGGCTCTGAATCTCTTTGCAAATTCAATCCCTGTCTAGGCACACAATGTCACAATTATGGACAGTGCAGGGTTAATTCAATCAACTGTACAGCAATTTGTGATTGTCCTAAAGGGTTCACAGGTTCACGTTGTGAGACACTAGCGTGTGATCCAGAATGTAAGAATGGCAGATGTGTGCTTCCAATTTCCTCGGGACATTTATTTGGTGAAGATTTTGGTGTGCCATCAATTCCAAAGCCTTCTTGTAATTGCTACAAAAGCTGGAGTGGTGCGGCTTGCGATGAAAAACTAAATGAAACAAAATGTCCGCTCACTTGTGAAAATGGGGGACTTTGTGAGGTCATTAATGTAAGTGTGGGTCATTCAACAATATACACAAATCAAGATGCCTACCAATGCAAATGCTTCAATGACTCCTATGTAGGAGATCTGTGTGAAGATTTTTGCAATATCACATGTGGACCAAATGGACACTGTGAAGTGTTGGGTGGAGTATCATGGTGCATTTGCAAGACAAACTGGAGTGGTGAATCTTGCACCAAATATGAGCCACTGAAGTATCCTGAGACAAGTAAGTTCAAAATAAGATTATGAGCCTCATCAGTCTTACACAAAGACACAAAAATTACATTCTTGTGGCTGTGTTATTGACTGTATTTGTGCAATTATCTTAAACAAATCATACTTCATGCTTTATAAATATAATGCCAAATTAAATTATAAAATGCAAGATAATGATAAAAGGATTTTCAGCACTTCAAATTTAAAATCTACTAATTTTCTTAATTTAACCTAGGGTCAGTAAAGTGACCAAACTTACATTCAATATTGTTAAACCAACTTTTAAAGTCTATGTCTACTAATTTTCATTATTTAACCTAGGGTCAGTAAAGTGACCTACATTACAACTAATATTGTTAGATGAACTTTTGAAGTCTACTTTTATTGAAAAAAATCATTTTAATAATTTCAAAGGCATTGTGTATCACATTAACATTTTTTATTATTATTAAATTTATTTCAATAGAATACAAAAAATGTAAATACAGACATGTAAATTCTTAAATCGCCACAATGGCATTATATAAGAATAGGGGGCATGTGGAAGTAGAAGTGGCAGAGCAGGCAGGGTCTTGGACTAGGGCAAGTGTGACGGGACTTGAGGATACTAGAGATGGATAAGAAGGAGGGAATTAGCTATTGTCTTTGATAAAATTAACAATGAGAAGTAGTATTTGGGAATTTGCATCTATGTTTAATTTGGGAATTCCTGTTTTCAAAATAGCTATGAAATCAGTTTGACAGAGATTATGACTGAAGATGTTTGGTTCGAGATCAGTGAGTTTGTCCATGAATTGCTGTCTTTGTATAGTAAGTAAGTCACATTGAAAGAGAAAATGTTTCAGAGTTTGTGGTTTTCCACAAGTGCAATTAGGGCTGTCAATAGACTGAAAGTTGTGAGCGTAGAACTGGGCTTTGAAGTATAGGTCAGCTCTCACTTTATTGAGAACTATTTCTTGAACCCTTGTTAGATTAAGCTGGCTTGTTGACAAAATCGAGGGCGTTTTTTGGAAATGTACTCTTTGGTGTTTTTTAAAATTCGAAAGAGTATTCTTAGATTTAATAGCAGGTGGAAGATTGATCCAATTTGAAATTGCAGCTGGTATTACTGAGGTGGAGAATCTATTTGAGCATCTTATGGGCATTTTAAATGCTTCATTATATCTCAATACTCTGTTTGCATGGTTTCTAAATTTGTCAAAAATATCAGTTACATAGGGAGGACTTGTACCATTTACAATTTTGAACATAAAGTTGTTAATCTGGATACTGCGTCTTGATTCAAGAGTTGGCCAATTGAGTAGGTTTAAAACCTTTTTTGAACTGCTCCCTTGGATACACCCAGAACAATAAAGTGCAGCTTTATAATAAAGACTGTCGAGTCGTTGTAATAGGAACTTTGAGGCTGTGCTGTACATGATAGCACCATAGTCAAAATGGGGTAAAATAAAGGACTTAAATATGGTTTCTAGATGCTTACTACCTAACTTATATTTAAGTTTCTTTAAAGGGTTCAACATTTTTCGTATTTTTGATATGATTTCTCCAATATGCTTGTCATATGATAAGCTTGGGTCAAAAGTAAATCCCAGATGTTTGTGCTCGTGATCTCTGGTAATTTCAACATTGTTTAACTTTGAAACAGAAACATTATCGACTTTAGATCTGGATGAGTGGAATATCATTTCAGAACTCTTTTCAGGTTTAAACTCCAATTTCCAGGTGTCAGACCATTTTTCAATTTTAATTAGGTTAGATCTGGCTATTGCATCTACTTCTTGTGGATGCTTAGGGTCAAAAGGATGATGTAGAGAAGTGTCATCCGCATAAATATAGCAATGCCCCTCCAGATTGCCTGGAAGGTCATTAATGTATAGGAGAAATAATATTGGCCCAAGTATTGAGCCCTGGGGGACACCACAATTGACATGGCTGATGGCTACTATCAAACTGATCATCAATATTTAGCACCACTGTGGTACTGCTATGTCATTGGAACAACTATAGGTCTACAGGTATTTATAATGTCTCCCCATTTTCTATATGTATATTTACACTGAAACATGCATTATGTTTGTTATTCAGCACCTCAGTGGTACTGGTATGTTGTGGGTACAGCTATAGGCCTAGCAGTGGTTCTACTGATCTTGCTATTTGTTATCCCATATGTCATGTGGCAGAAACGTGCCATAATCATCATGAAGATACGCCACTACTTCAAAGGTTATGAAGATGATGGTTAGTATTATCAAAAAATAGTATGTCTTAAACTCTTGATTAATTTTGAGATCCTTTTAGATATTGTCAATCAAAGCATTACATACATGTATATTCAAGTATATTTATTTATAATTATTTAGATGCTGATCTTATCATTTCAGATGGCAAAGAGTATGATGCCTTCATCTCCTACAGATCTACACAGCGTGATCAAAACTTTGTTGTTAACAAAATGTTCTATACTCTAGAAAACATTATGGGATTTAAAACATGTGTACATTTCCGTGATTTCATCCCAGGGACAGCAATTGCAGACAATATTGTAAATGCCGTTCAAACAAGTCGTCGCACAATTCTCATATTGTCCCCCGATTATATCAAAGGAGAATGGACACGTTTGGAATACCAACTCGCACAACAAGAAATGCTCAAGCTTAGAAATCGCATAATTCCAGTAATGCTTGAGGACATATTGGATGAGAAAATTGATGAGAATCTCAGATACATTATAGAATCCGTAACTTATATAAAATATCCTCTTGGAGAAGAGGACTCAAAGGCTGAGACAGATTTTTGGGAGAGAATCAGACTTGCAATGCCTAAAAAGAGGCCACATAAGGATGAAAATTCAGATTTAAAGACAATAGTAGATAACGGTATTGTTAATCCAAACTATGATGATAATGTTGTGACTAAACGAGCCACTAACTCTCGCACAGAGTCTAATTCAGAGTATGACACGCCAATGCAAGTCATGTCTCAATTGTGAACATTGCTTGCAAAAATTATTGAACAACTTGAAGTTTTTCCCATATTGTACATATATAACTAACATAAATATTGTTAGAAATCCGAAATAAATTGATTAGAAATCCCCATAGCTATCCATAACAGTATTACACAAGGTAAAATAACATCAGACAATTGCACAACAATATGCAGATCAGATTTATACCAATGCCTCATCTCCATCAGTCTGTCAAATAATAATAGCATACAAATGATGATAACGGAATAAACAATTGATGACACACACTTAATCCTGAATCTACAAAAATACTTTCAATTCAAAATATGGACCATCCTATAATTTACACCATCAATTGACTTTAAGACAAACCTTTTCTTCTTTTCTGTAAATAGAAGTTTAAAAATTGTTAAAGAAAGAATTAAGAGGTACATGTATTACTAAGGTCAAGATCAGTCTATTCATGGTAGAAATTGTTACATACGAGGGTATATCATAAAGTTCTCATAATATCTCTCTAATTTTTTTATTTTTCAATATATTCTAATGAAATTTTCATAGAATCTGCAGTATAGAATACTGTATTAATCTATCAAAAAATAGTTGGTATAACAGATATATTAGATAAATAATGGTTACCATAGTAACCAGAAATCAAGGCACCCGGGGCAAATAGAAATAATTGAGAGAATGAGCTTAATTAACCTTGTTTACATACATAATAAACTCTCATAAATCACCCAACACATTAAAATGTTAACTTGAATATGTTGTTAAATGCTTTTACTATAAAATAAGTTGATCATGTGGATTGTGTGGTGTCATAGGGGATGCTTACATACTTAATTAGATGTGATACCAAAGCTCGATGATCAGAAATGACTGAGTAAGATAATGCATAGATGCAGAGATCATCAGAAAATAATATTCCCACTGATAAAAAGTTTAGTTTAGTTCGAAAAATCCTTTGCTCATACTAAAGATGATCTAAAACAAATATGGTTTAAATATATCAACATAATTACACCCTATAGTGGTCTATTATTCATTTAAGATGAACTAAAGTGGAAAATTGACTTTCCTTGAAATATTTGACAAAACAGTTGTAGTGTCTAACATCACTTCTAATGAAGCATTACAATCATCCATTATGAGATCACACAATTCACATGACCATTATAATAGTTTAAAACAGTCAAGAATACATGGTATTTAACAATTTGATGTGTTTCATAGCTTATTTGATAACTTATTATGCATTTTAACATGGTTAGTTGGGGCTATTCCTGCACAATTATCTATTTGCCCTGGGTGCCTTGATTTCCGGTTAGTATGGCAACCATTTCTTAAATAATATTTCAGTTATACCAAATATTTTTTGATAGATTAATACAGCATTCTATATTACACATTGTGTGAAAAATTCATCAGGATATATTGAAAAATAAAAAATTAGAGAGATATTATGAGAACTTTATGATATACCCTCGTATAACCTCATTGATAAAATGATGTTGCACGTTGTTTGGTACCTGAATCATTTAAGTATATTACTATTGTAATTTTTTGGGATTGTTGTTGGAACTTGTTCTGTATTATTGTGCATTCACTTTTGCTTTTATGCCCAGTTAAAAACAAAATTGTACTAAATAAAAAAAACATTTTGAATTTTTGTTCTCCTTCATTTTTATTTTTGAGACATGCTTTCTTTTGATTTTTTCTGGATTTCCATTAAATGTTGCCTCATTGCTGATTTCCCTAAAATTAGGCACATTCTTAAACCATCCATATCACGATAAATAATAAATATTTCAAAAAACTTAAATATTTTTGTTTCTCTACCTGGAAATACGGTTGACTGCATGTATAAATTATAACAATTTTGGATTGTTCTGGTTCTGGTTTATTGGGTCACCCTGTAAATAACATGACTAATAATAGCATTCATGAAATTGACACAGTCTTATTTGGATATGTAATGAGATATATCTGAAGGGCAATTACATTGTATGATTTGAACAGGTGTGTTAATGAATGAATGAACACATGTGGGAATACCTGTGGCATATAATAACAAGGTACAGTTACTTCTACATTTGTTTCAATTGACATTGTGAAAGTGTCATACATTTTGTTATTCAGGATCTATGAATAACATCTGATTAAAAACTTTGATTAAATAAATAATAAAGAAAGCATATGACTACAAAACAAAAAACATGGTATATGATTAACATACATCTAAATGAAGTCCCTCCAGTTAATGATCAATCAAGGACGCCAAGCTGAAGTCTAACAAGCCAGATTCAAACCTTCTGTGCGAATGGATTTTATAACCTACAGAACAAAAGCCTGATACTCTACTGAACAGTGAACAAGTTACCAAACTAAAGTAGCTGGGCTGTAGTAGCAACCTGCTATCCAGGGTTTTTACATAAGTATTTTATTAAACATATTCAATTAACATGAATGAGTCAAAAATGTCAGTGTCATCAGATAGATGTGTCTATTTAACCCTTTCTACATTTGCCATGCATCAAAGTCTATTAATGGCATCTTTATTAACAAGGTTCAAATTGTTCCAACCTCATATACACTGAAAATGTATTGATTAAGCAAATCATTTTGAATATGTTCTATTCTTTATCCTCATTATATTGGCCTCGATGCAACAAAGAGCACAAGAGAAACATCCACCAGATGACAGAACTCCAAACTAGGATCTTTTCAACACCAATATATTCTTGCCAAGTACCATCTATATATGGATGGTTTGATGTATAGTTGTAGATTGGGCCTTCCCTTCATATTATAAAGGAATGAAAACTCTTCAGAAGTTTTTAAAGGTCTTAAATTAATAATCTAGAACTACATATACATGTATACATGTATGTATATTTCACTTACACTGCAATAGTCATGATAAAGACAGGAATATAAAGTTAAAGCTATAAAATTAATGACACTAATTTACAAATGGAAATTAAAAAGAATGATTGAATGAGTATTTATATCTAGTAAAGTTAACAATTATGTTTGCAAACAAGTCATGTGTTTAGCGCTTCATAAATGCCTCCTGAATAAATAATGACAATGACAGCTAGTAGTTAATGCAAACTTTAATTTTCTGGTATAAAAGAAATAGAATGTGTTATTGTGATTTCAGGATCTGGTTGCAGTTGATGAATATATGCAAGTGAGACCCAGTCAGTTGTGACGTGCATAAAGCAGATGAACAAGAGAGTGATGAACAACTAATGCAGATGGTTGAGAAATATGTAATTCAAATCAACTTGTTTAGATTAAATGATTTTAATGATGTTTAGTTAATGATGTTTTCCACTGCATATGGATTACCAACAATACAATCTAGGGAGTACTAACTTATATACAATATAGGGCTATATAGACAGAAATAACTTGTGTACAATCTAAAGAGTGTTAACTTAATATGTACATTCTAACATTCAAGGGGGTACTAACTTACGTACAATCTAGGGAGTACTAACTTATATACAATTTTGAGAGTACTAACTGATATACAATCTTGGGAGTACTAACTGATATACAATCTCGGGAGTACTAACAAGTATGAGAAAACAAAGGCAAGAGACACGACAAGACTGCTATATGGAAAAATAATGGCTCAACAGATTTTGACTCAAATACTTTTACTACTCACAACATGCATAACTCTATTCTCAGCGCAGTCAAATGACCAGCTTGAGCAACCAAAAAACACAAAAATATCACGGTTAAGAAGAGGCTCAACTGCTTGCAAACCAAATCCTTGCTTCCTTCCCCCCGTTTGTGAGAATCTCTCAATATGCCGCTCTAATGCTCTTTGCATGAAAGAGTGTATTTGTGCCCCAGGCTGGAGTGGTCCTAGATGTACAAAAGCGGTATCCACACAAGCTCCATCTTCTGTTACAACTTCTCAGGCTGAGGACTCTCCTTGCAAATCTAATCCATGCAATGGGACACAATGTCAGAATTATGGACAGTGCAGGATTAATTCAATCAACTGTACAGCAATTTGTGATTGCCTTAGAGGGTTCATAGGTTCACGTTGTGAGACACCAATGTGTGATCCTGCATGTGTAAATGGCAAGTGTATGCCTGGTTTAATAATGCCATATTGCGAATGTAACAAAGGCTGGGGTGGTAAAGCCTGCAACAACAAACAAAATGAAAGAGAGTGTACCCTCTCCTGTGAAAATGGGGGACGTTGTAAGTTTATCAACATAACTGTTGATGATTCAGTGATACCTTACAACAATCAAGATACAACCAATATGCAATGTGATTGTCTCAATGCCTCATATGTAGGAGATCTGTGTGAAGATTTTTGCAATATCACATGTGGACCAAATGGACACTGTGAAGTGTTGGATGGTGTACCAAGATGCATTTGCAAGACAAACTGGAGTGGCAAATTTTGCACAAAATACAAGAAGAAAACATATCCTGACACTAGTAAGTCTGTAATAGAAATAATAAATTATGGGGTTATTTGTCTCAAACAAAGACACAACAAATACATCTAAAAGTATGATCTTCTGTTCATATCTATGTTTTAATGTTTCCTTGTGGCTTTGGAATGGATTGAACTTGACAGTCTTAGAAAATCACATTAATAGCAGTGTTATGCCAAAATTTATAAAAATGCAAATTAAATTGCTTTTCAGCAGCTCAAAACAGTGTACAATTAAATGAATTTCATCATTTCAATCTAGATTCAGTAAAGCGATTTAACTTACAACCAATATTGTTTAACCAATCTTTGAAGTCTACTAATTTTGAAGACTACTACTAATATTGTTTAACCAACTTTTTAAGTCTACTAATTTTGAAGACTTCTACTGTTTATGATCTAACATAGGATCAGTAAATTGACCTAACTTACAACCAATATTATTCAACTCGATTTTGAAGACTTCTAATTTTCCTGAATTTAACAAAGGGTCAGTTAAGTGGCTTACTAATATTGTTCAACCAATTATTTAAGTCTACTAATTTTGAAAACTTCTAATTTCATAGTTTAACCTAGGGTTGTAAAGTGACTTGGAATACGGCCAATATCAATACAACAATTTTTGAAGTAGATTATTGAAAACCTTTTTATAAATTGACTAGTGCTCCATTTATTGCAACCAGTGAAAGGACAGTATCCTAACATCTCTTCAACCCATCTAATGGCCATTATAAGTAAAATAAATGTCAGTATATCTAGCTCCCCTTTGGTACTGGCACATAGTTAATCACTCATTGTTATTTGACTCAGAATGGTACTTGCACTCATACAACAACACTTATACCAGAATAGCACTACCCTTTGTAGTATATCCCTTGTTATTCAGCTCCTCAGTGGTACTGGTACGTTGTGGGTACAGCTATAGGCCTAGCAGTGGTTCTACTGATCCTACTATTTGTAATCCCATATGTCATGTGGCAGAAACGTGCCATAATCATCATGAAGATACGCCACTACTTCAAAGGTTATGAAGATGATGGTGAGTATAATCAAAACTGGTATGAATACACAATTACTCCTGTTGATGTACAGTATGTGTTGAAATGGTTGTCACTGGCATGCAATTTGGATGGTTATTTTGTTTGATTTATTGCAGCTCAGTAATGCCACAGTGCCCACAGAAGCCCCTCAGGTGGACACCACCCCATGTCATTCACCTACCTAGTCTCCCCTTTTCTCTGATCTAGGTATGACCCCAAACTTCTTCCAAGATATCATTTTTGTTAGTCCATCATATTTTCCCATAATCCTCATTCCATCTCTTTACATTCCATGAATTCCCTCTATTGTATTGGCCTATTCCCCAGCACTTTTATATTTCTGTGTTTCAACCATTGATACAAAATGTTCCTGTTGAATAACTCTCTTTTCAGCAACATTGATGTTGGCATCTATCAATCAGCAAAACTGGCTAAAACACTGGCTTTTACAAATATAGGGTACTATACTATTTATTTGCTTAATTTGTTTAATTAATTTTAATTTTAATTTTATTATTCACATGCTGATAATATTCTTTCAGATGGCAAGGAATATGATGCCTTCATTTCATACAGATCTACCCAGCGTGACCAAAACTTTGTTGTTAACAAAATGTTCTACACTCTTGAAAACATGGGATTTAAAACATGTGTACATTTCCGTGATTTCATCCCAGGGACAGCAATTGCAGACAACATTGTAAATGCCATTCAAACAAGTCGTCGCACAATTCTAATATTGTCCCCCGATTACATCAAAGGGGAATGGACACGCCTAGAGTACCAACTCGCACAACAAGAAATGCTCAAGCTTAGAAATCGCATAATTCCAGTAATGCTTGAGGACATATTAGATGAGAAAATTGATGAGAATCTCAGATACATTATAGAATCCGTAACTTATATAAAATATCCTCATGGAGAAGAGGACTCAAAGGCTGAGACAGATTTTTGGGAGAGAATCAGACTTGCAATGCCTAAAAAGAGGCCACATAAGGATGAGAATTCAGATTTAAGGACAATAGTGGATAACGGTATTGTTAATCCAAACTATGATGATAATGTTGTGACTAAAACAGCCACTTCCCGTAACTCTCGCACAGAGTCTAATTCAGAGTATGACACTCCAATGCAAGTCATGTCTCAGTTGTGAACATTGCTTGCAAAAATTATTGAACAACTTGAAGTTTTTCTAATATTGTACATATATAACTGACATAAATATTGTTAGAAATCCAAATTTAATTGATTAGAAATCCCCAGAGATATCCATAACAGTATTACACAAGGTAAAGTAACATTAGACAATTACACTACAATGTACAGTACAGATTACACCAATGCCTCATCTCCATCAGTCTGTCAAATAATTATAGTATACAAATGATGATAACAGAATAAACAATAGATGACACACTTAATCCTGAACCTACAAAAATACTTTCAATTCAAAATATGGACCATCCTATAATTTACCTCATCAATAGACTTTAAGACAAACCTTCTCTTCTTTTCTGCAAATAGAAGTTTTAAAACTATAAAAGAAAGAATTAAGAGGTGCATGCATTACTAAGGTCAAGATCAGTCTATTGATGGTATAAATTGTTACGTATAACCTCATTGATAAAATGATGTTGCAGGTTGTTGTTGCTACCTGAAACATTTAAGTATATTACTATTGTAATTTTTCTGGATTATTGTTGGATCTTGCTCTGTATTGTTTTGTATTGTAGTTTGTTTACCACCAATGAAGGTGAGCAATACCTCTTGGGTATGTCCCGTATATATACGGTCGTAATTTACGTAATTAACATGGAAGATAGACCCAGAAACCCCTCCTTGAAGGAGCCCTGTGTTCTTTTATGTGCACTTATACATAGACATATAAGTACACACCACAGCCTTTTTGTACGAGTTGCGGACCACTCAGTCAAACACCCTGAAGTACTTCACGCAAACAAGCAAATTTAGTCTTGCCTGAACCGGGGATCGAATCCGGGACCTATTGCGTAAGAGGTACCTGCGCTACCGCTGAGCTACACGGGTGGACTGACTGTGCATTCACTTTTGCTATTACACCCAGTTAAAAAACAATATTGTACAAAATAAAAAAACATTTTGAATTTTTGTTATTTATTTTTAATTCATGTTTTCTTTGGATTCTTTCTGGATTTTCATTAGATTTTGCCTCATTGCTGATTTCCCTAAAATTAGGCACAATCTTAAACCATCCATATCATGATAAATAATAAATATTTCAAAAAACTTAAATATTTTTGTTTCCCTACCTGGAAATAAGGTTGACCGCATGTATAAATTATAACAATTTTGGATTGTTCTGGTTTATTGGGTCACCCTGTAAATAACATGACTAATAATAGCATTCATGAAATTAACACAGTCTTATTTGGATATGTAATGAGATATATCTGACATGTCTGAAGGGCAATAACATTGTATGATTTGAACAGGTGTGTTAATGAATGAATGAACACATGTGGAAATACCTGATGCATATACTAACAAGGTTCAATTACTTCTACATTTGTTTCAATTGACATAGTGAAGGTTTCATACATTTTGTTATTCAGGATCTATGAATACCATCTAAATTAGAAACTTTGATTAAAAAATAATAATAAAGACAGCACACGAGGCAACAAATAAACATGGTATATGCTTAATATACCATCTATGCGAATGGATTTTAAGACCTACAGAACAAAAGTCTGGATACTCTACTGAACAGTGAACAAGTTACCAAACTAAAGTAGCTGGGCTGTAGTAGCAACCTGCTACATGCATCAATGTGCCCTTCTAATAAGTTTAACACATTAATCCCATAAATCCAAATCCAAAATAAACCTCATTACCCCAGTTTCTAACAATCATAAAAACTGCATTTGCGCATAAAACTAATTGACAAAATTGCTCATCTAGTAAGTCATATTTATGATAAGTTCCAGTTTGAAAGAGAAATTTGTTCCATCCTAAAGTATATAATTCACCAACTAAGCTCAAAGTCTATCAATGGCATCTTTGTTAACAAGGTTCAAGTTGTTACAACCTCATATACACTGACAATGTATTGATGAAGCAAATCATTTTGAATATGTTCTATTCTTTATCCTCATTATATGGGTCTCGATGCAGCAAAGAGCACATACTTAAAAGAAACATCTACCAAATGACAGAACTCCAAACTAGGATCTTTCCAACACGAATATCTTTTTTGCCAAGTACCATCTATATATGGATGGTTTGATGTAGTTGTAGATCGGGCCTTCCCGTCATATTATAAAAGAATCAACACTCTTCAGAAGTTTTTAAAGGTCTTAAATTAGTAAACTAGAACTATATGTACATGTACATGTATGTATATTTCACTTACACTGCAATAGTCATGAAAAAGACATGAACATAAAGTTAAACCTATGAAATTAATGGCACTAATTTACCAATGGAAATTAAAAAGAATGATTGAATGAGTATTTATATCTAGTAGAGTTAACAATTATGTTTGCAAACAAGTCATGTGTTTAGCGCTTCATAAATGCCTCCTGAATAAATAATGACAATGACAGCTAGTAGTTAATGCAAACTTTAAATATCTGGTATAAAAGAAATAGAATGTGTTATTGTGATTTCAGAATCTGGTTGCAGTTGATGAATATATGCAAGTGAGACCCAGTCAGTTGTGAAGTACATAAAGCAGATGAACAACAGAGTGATAAACAACTAATGCAGATGGTTGAGAAATATGTAATTCAAATCAACTTGTTTAGATTAAATGATTTTAATGATGTTTAGAAGGTAGAATGAAAATACTCACTGCATATGGAGTACTAACTTCTATACAAACTAGAGAGTGCCAACTTATATACTATCTAGCATTCTAGGGAGTACAAACTGATACACTATACAGTCTAGGGAGTACTTACATTTGAGAAAACAAAGGCGAGAGACACGACAAGACAAGACTGCTATATGGAAAAATAATGGCTCAACAGATTTTGACTAAAATAATTTTACTACTCACAACATGCACAACTCTATTCTTAGCGCAGTCAAATGACCAGCTAGAGCTACTAAGAAACACAAAAATATCACGATTAAGAAGAGGCTCGACTGCTTGCAAACCAAATCCTTGCTTCCTTCCCCCCGTTTGTGAGAATCTCTCGATATGCCGCTCTAATGCTCTTTGCATGAAAGAGTGTATTTGTGCCCCAGGCTGGAGTGGTCCTAGATGTACAAAAGCAATATCTACACAAGCTCAATCTTCTGTTACAACTTCTCAGGCCGAGGACTCTCCTTGCAAATCTAATCCATGCAATGGGACACAATGTCAGAATTATGGACAGTGCAGGGTTAATTCAACCAACTGTACAGCAATTTGTGATTGCCTTAGAGGGTTCACAGGTCTACGCTGTGAGACACCAATGTGTGATCCTGCATGTGTAAATGGCAAGTGTATGCCTGGTTTAATAATGCCATATTGCGAATGTAACAAAGGCTGGGGTGGTAAAGCCTGCAACAACAAACAAAATGAAAGAGAGTGTACCCTCTCCTGTGAAAATGGGGGACGTTGTAAGTTTATCAACATAACTGTTGATGATTCAGTGATACCTTATAACAATCGAGATACAACCAATATGCAATGTGAGTGTCTCAATGCCTCATATGTAGGAGATCTGTGTGAAGATTTTTGCAATATCACATGTGGACCAAATGGACACTGTGAAGTGTTGGATGGTGTACCAAGATGCATTTGCAAGACAAACTGGAGTGGCAAATTTTGCACAAAATACAAGAAGAAAACATATCCTGACACTAGTAAGTCTGTAATAGAAATAATAAATTATGGGGTTATTTGTCTCAAACAAAGACACAACAAATACATCTAAAAGTATGATATTCTGTTCATATCTATGTTTTAATGTTTCCTTGTGGCTTTGGAATGGATTGAACTTGACAGTCTTAGAAAATCACATTAATAGCAGTGTTATGCCAAAATTTATAAAAATGCAAATTAAATTGCTTTTCAGCAGCTCAAAACAGTGTACAATTAAATGAATTTCATCATTTCAATCTAGATTCAGTAAAGCGATTTAGCTTACAACCAATATTGTTTAACCAACCTTTGAAATCTACTAATTTTGAAGACTACTACTAATATTGTTTAACCAGCTTTTTAAGTCTACTAATTTTGAAGACTTCTACTGTTTATGATCTAACATAGGATCAGTAAATTGACCTAACTTACAACCAATATTATTAAACTCGATTTTGAAGACTTCTAATTTTCCTGAATTTAACAAAGGGTCAGTTAAACAGGCAATGCGCCTATTTTTGAAGGAAAAAGGACAAAATATTATTTGAGACATGTCACTCACACAGTCAATCAAATATGATAAAAACTTTTATTTGGGATAATACTGATGTGAAAAAAAATTACTTGCATAGAAAAACAGCATTTGAAGTTCAGAGATTGAAAAAAGTGAATTACCACTTTTCACAAAGTGTATATTTTAAATAACTCTTGGATTAAAAGATGGCGTATGCTTGAAAATCCTATCAAAAATGAATGGATAATTAATGCAAACAACAATGCCATCTTTCTATCGCATTGCTAAAAACTTGACATATAAAAATTGATAGATCAAAAATATTTTTTCATGATCTAGTGTCAATTCTGATGTGGTCTGTTTGAGCTGTTTTTGGTGTCAAATGAAAGATCAGGTACTTATTTATCCATTGGAAATACTATAAAGATTTAAAGTGAGACTTCATTTACGCACCTTATCCCTTTATGTGGCTTACTAATATTGTTCAACCAATTTTTTAAGTCTACTAATTTTGAAGACTTCTTATTTCAAATTTTAACGTAGGGGTGTAAAGTGACTTGGAATATGGCTAATATCAATACAACAATTCTTGAAGTCGACTTCTATTGAAAACCTTTTTATAAATTGACTAGTGCTCCATTTATTACAACCAGCGAAAGGCCAGTATCCTAATATCACTTCAACCCATCTAATGGCCGTTATAAGTAAAATATATGTCAGTATATATCAGAATGGTATTTGCACTCATACAACAACACTTATACCAGAATAGCAATACCCCTTATAGTATAATCTTTGTTATTCAGCTTCTCAGTGGTACTGGTATGTTGTGGGTACAGCTATAGGCCTAGCAGTGGTTCTACTGATCCTACTATTTGTAATCCCATATGTCATGTGGCAGAAACGTGCCATAATCATCATGAAGATACGCCACTACTTCAAGGGTTATGAAGATGATGGTGAGTATAATCCAAACTGATATGAATACACTTACTCCTGTTCATGTTTGTGTTGAAATGGTTGTCATGGTATTTTGTTGGATTTATTGCAGCTCAGTAATGCCAATGCCCACAGAAGCCCATCAGGTGGATACCACCCCATGTCATTCACCTACCTAGTCTCCCCTTTGATCTAGGTATGACCCCACACATCTTCCAAGATATCATTTTTGTTAGTCCATCATATTTTCCCATAATCCTCATTCGATCTCTTTACATTCCATGAATTCCCTCTATTGTATTGGCCTATTCCCCAGCACTTTTATATTTCCATGTTTCAACCATTGATACAAAATGTTCCAGTTGAATAACTCTCTTTTCAGCAACATTGATGTTGGCATCTATCAATCAGCAAAACTGGCTAATATACAGGCTATACAAATATATACTACTTATTTGCAATAATTGTTTAACAATTTTGAATTTCATCATTCACATGCTGATAACATCCTTTCAGATGGCAAGGAATATGATGCCTTCATTTCATACAGATCCACACAGCGTGACCAAAACTTTGTTGTTAACAAAATGTTCTATACTCTAGAAAACATTATGGGATTTAAAACATGTGTGCATTTCCGTGATTTCATCCCAGGGACAGCAATTGCAGACAACATTGTGAATGCCATTCAAACAAGCCGTCGAACAATTCTAATATTGTCCCCCGATTATATCAAAGGAGAATGGACACGTTTGGAGTACCAACTCGCACAACAAGAAATGCTCAAGCTTAGAAATCGCATAATTCCAGTAATGCTTGAGGACATATTGGATGAGAAAATTGATGAGAATCTCAGATACATCATAGAATCTGTCACTTATATAAAATATCCTCTGAGAGAAGAGGGCACAAAGGCTGAGGAAGATTTCTGGGAGAGAATAAGGCTTGCAATGCCTAAAAAGAGGTCACATAAGAACAAGAGCTCAGATTTGGTGAATAATAGTATTGTAAACCCCAACTATGATGATAATGTAGCAGCTAAAGCATCCACTCCAATGCAAGTCATGTCTCAGTTGTGAACATAACTTGCATAAATTATATTGAGCAACATTTTTCCATATGATTCATATAAAACTGACATTTATTTTTGAAATCCAAAATGCTTGTGAGCCTGTGGCACCTAATTATGGATAATGTCTTGCTAAAATTGTCAGAATATTTATAAGACATTTAAGAAAAATTGCCATATTCACTTTGGATGGTTCAATTAACAAATTAGGCTAACAGAAATGCTGTATTTGTCAGAGAACTTGTCTATATGGTAGCACTAAAATGCATGGACTCACCAACTACCTGAAAGTTTCTTATGTAGCACACAAAAATAATCATATTTGTTTGAAAATAAAATAGCTTTTATTGAATCTTTAAAGATGACATGAAGTCATTCAATTAGTTTACTTCCACAATTAATGTTGTTTGTTTTGTTTGTTATTGGAATGTTTGTTGTCATGGAAATTGCTTTCTGGAGTACAAAATATAGAACCATTATTGTCATAGCTATATAAGGTCTGCCAACACACCATTGTATCTGATACACTATAGTATGAGAGATATAATATTGATCATGACATATTTACGGGATGGCCTCCACAAATTGGAACACTCCAATTCATTTGTAACTTTTTCACTTCAACTGAAAAATGTTCTGTTATTTTGTCCCCACCTATACTATGTATTTGTAGACTTGGTCAAAAATGTATCGTTAAAATGGTATAAGTGCATTCACACACTATGATGTATCTAAACAATGGCACCCTCTACCAAACTCATATAAATGTACATTGTTTAATTTTACATTATACTTATATATTTCTCCAGGTTCTATATTTGTACATAAAGCTTCTTGGAAAATAGACTCTGTCGAGGTATGACATACATGTTTTATCCACATGCATTTGTAAATAAATAGATAAATAAATGAATAAAAGAATATCCATTATTTGATCTCAATTCCAGTCTGGTCCTGTATAGTACTGTTATATAACGCTGCATTATGATATATCATGGCATATTCTTCACATAGTCATGCCATGTGCACTGCATACTTCCGTCAACATTTTGCAACTTTCCTCCACTGGGGAAAAGATAGTACTTATGTCTATTACCATAATGAACCTGATTTCTTCAGGTAAACTTCTTATTTCCAATTTCATCAAATTGAACAAATTAGAAGGAGGGAGAAAGTTGCATTTTGGTTGTTATCGCTCTTCCATTTAATATTCCTCCTCCCACTCTTCATGGACTTTCTTAAAGCCTGGACCTTCCTCAACGTATCCTTGGTAACCTGGCCCCTCATATTCGCGGAACTCTGGAGCATCATAGCCACCTTGCCCAACTGTACCTATCTCTTCAAGGAGCTGTAGGAAACGGTCTTCCATGTCCTCACGCAGTCTATCAACGTCATTCTGGGTCTGTTGTACCATCTTACGTGTGGCATGGAACACCTACAAGAAATAATGTAATCTATTTTGAATGTACATCTTTGAACTTGACGGTATTAGCATGTGTACAGAAACCCCTGTGAGAGATTAACATGAGTAAACAAAGAAATATAAGACAGTAAAACGTTTGAGTGGAACATCTCTGAATTAGATCTCTGTTTTTGGAAGGGGTAAATTGAAATATTTCTGAAAGTGAAACAGCTCCATTAGTGGTGGAACACTTTACTTTAATAAACAAGGCATTGACAGAGAAATGCATTAGAGGGATATTGAATCTGCCATACCTCATTATTATTAGGGTCAGTGCTGATGTTTTTGGGAAGATTTTCCAAGTTCATGAATCCTTGGTCAAAATCCTCAAAACTCCAAGATGGTGGTCCCATGCTCCAGCAGGAGTCCTCTTGTGGCAAAGTTTTTCCATCAACGTAATACATCATGTAAAAGTTGCACATTTCATCCTTTTGAGTTGACCTATAAACAAGACCAGGTTAATAATCATTTTCTATATATTATTTCTTTCTATATACTGAAGAACATGCATATCGAAACACCTCTCTAATCTGAACACCTCTCAATGTGAAGGATTTTTTCGGCCCCATACACAATGCAAAAATCTGCCATAAACTTTCATTTAAAAGAACTCATATTGAGAATAACAGTTAATTTGAATATTTTTGGTTGACATTGTTGAAAAATATATAAAATTCTTTTTTTACTTGAATACTTCATACAAAATATTTTTTTAGAAAATAGACATTACATTAAGGATTCTCAAATTGAGACAAGTTTTGGAAAAATCGCTTTCTTTCTTTGTTTCTGTACATACCCAATTTGGACATCATGGTCCAGATCATTCTTCATGGTACACCTAGCAGCTAAGATATCCCCTGGTAAGATCCTGATTCCAGGCCTTGTAACATTGTAGAACATCTGCAAAGGTGACATCTATATTTAATGTGAAGAGTTTATAAATAGTGAAAATGTGGAAAATTACATGCATAGATGCATGTGCCAACGGGACAGTCAGGACTGATTTGAGTCCAGAAAAGAACTGGGTCATTACAGAAGACATACATACCTAGCTACCTACAAATTAAATGCATCATTTTATTTTCAAAAAACATTATATGAATATACCTCCACCACATGTTAACATTCCAATATAAACCTAAATTACCACCACCACCATCACATTTTAACAACTTTGCTGTTCAATGATGCGATACCCAATCATACTCAAAAAATATCCCCACTTCACTAAAACAAACCTTAAATACCCCCGCCTCACTGACACAACCCTAAAATACCTTGAATACCCCACCTCACTCAAACTGCTCTAAATACTTCATCCCAGTCAAACAACCTTAAAGTACCTTCACCACATTTTAACAACCCTAAAATACCTTCACCACACACAAACAACCATATAATGCCTAAACAACCCCAAAGCAATGAATTAATATTCACCTGGCCACTCAATGCAACTACCTCAAACATATTTTTTCTGAAATAAAAATCAAGTTTGAAGCAGTAGCTTCGATACTCATCACTACATCTTACACAGAAATCTGAACCATCTAACATGTAAATAAAAAACAGCTGATATGTACATGTTCTCATATACCCATTGATTATGTTTCCATTTCAATTGGTAAATACTTTGAATTTACTTTAAGAGATTGTGAGACCAATGTTAATGCCTTCACTTGTCAGTATTTCCCTACTTAAGTATAAATAAATCAGGTTTTTACCTGTGGCTTTTGAGGACTCTGACGACCAATCTCTGTCCATTCTCCATCACGAACTCTGTATCCCGACACAACTTGACCTGGAAGTACATAGAAGGTTACAACATTTATTGATGGGGTGAACAGAATGAGCAATCTTAGCTACATTAAGAACTTTTAAATTAATTGTCTGTTCATGAGGGGGGTACTTACTCCTCTCAAAACCTTCCTAGTCACCTTTTGCTTATTTGAGATTATAGAGTTTTTTTGATTTTGATATTTATTTTTGTCATGTATTGGGTCAAATAAAAAGTTAGATAAGGTCATGTCACTAGGCTATTTCTCCCCCCCCAAAAAAAATTCTGCTGACCAGAATATTCTAAGATATATAAATTCATTGTTGTATCACCAAACTCATGGAAAATGTTCATGGCTAATAAGGAATTGTGAGGTCCGATTCAGAATTCTCCCATGTTTCAAATTAACAATGTTAATACTAACTAAAACGACTTGCTTGATTACCTATAGCTTAGTAGTAGTATTTTTATGTTTATCTCTCATTAAGAAACAGTAAAAGTGAAACTTTAACAGCTCTCAGGTAAACACCTGAGTTGTATTTCCAATAGTTTCTGGTGCTATATGGCACCAAAGAACTCACAGTTGAATACTGGTACTGTGGTACACCTTATCAACTGATTAATCAATGTTTAAAACCAGATCTATGTGGTACAACAATCATAAATAAAAAGATAAAAAATGACCTATTGTGGGAATATTACATCATGTTGATTTCAACAACAATGTCCTAACCATAATAAAGAACATATAGTTGTTTAAACTGTAACTGAACATCAAAATGGCGAAGATTTTTGAATTGCTTATTCTGACTGCCTTATGTTTTTCTGTTGTGATCTATGCTGATGACAAAGATATTGTTAAAGATATAAGTGAGATAGAGCAGAAGAAAGAAACGAAAATGCAATTGACTTTGATGGACAAACATATGTTACACAAACTTGATGGATTGGTGAAAAAGGTTAGTGATCTAATGAATGAAAATTATGAAATGACATACTACATTGATGAAATGAAACACCATAATGATGAAATGAAACACCATAATGATGAAATGAAACACCATAATGATGAAATGAAACACCACATTGATGAAATAAAACGAGATAACAATGTAATGAAACAGAACTATGAAACCAAGATCGAGAATTTGAAAATGGAAATCAATGACTCAAAGCTATTGAATAATGCAGTGACTGAACCGCCATTTACTGTTTATGTTAGATGGGGACGTAACTTGTGCCCTGCAGGGGCTAATGAGGTCTACAGAGGTTATACTGGAGGGTCACATTACACTGATCAAGGAGGAGCCTCAAACTACCAGTGTCTCCCTACGAGACCACAATATGGCAGGTACACATCTGGTTTCGCAGAATGGTCAGCAACTATGTATGGTGCAGAGTATGAAGTTATACCTCCGGGTCAAAGAAATCCATTCCTTGGAACAAATGCTCCAAATCTGAATGACCCAAATTCCCTACATGACCAAAATGCACCCTGTATAGTTTGCAGTGTTCCAAGACAACAAATATTGATGATTCCTGCATGGCGAACATGTCCCCGGGGTTGGAACTTGGAATACCAGGGCTATTTGATGGCACAGCATCGGGCCCATGCAGGGAAAACACAATTCATATGTATGGATGAAGCCCCAGAAGCTATGATTGCAGGAGGAAATAATGATAATGGAGCATTGCTTTATGCAGTAGAAGGTGTATGTGGGTCACTACCTTGCCCATACTATATAAATGGGGCAGAGCTAACATGTGCAGTTTGCTCAAAATAAATGCAACTTTGCAATTTGGTATAATATATTTCTTATGAAATGTCATGATACAATAAAAAGTAATTTTGCCTGAAATAAAGAATCTTGTATTGGTTAACTTGCCTTCATACAGTGAGGGAGCATATAACTTAAATCCTGTAAAATGCTTTTATTACATCTTGATTGGTCAGGGGTAGAGCATCAGACTCTGAACTGGAAGGTCCTGGGTTCAATTCCCGCATGGGGCATTCAATTTAGCACACATTCCATTTCATGTCTGTATTTTAATTGTTATACTTCAGCTTCCTGGAGCTGCCCTACAGTTGGTTGGCAATGGGTGTTGTTTTTCAGGGAGGATGTTATAGTGATCTTACTACAGCTCAGCTGTGTTGACTTAAGTCTTGTTGGCACAGGGTAAGAGCATCGGACTCTGAACCGAGGGGTCCTTGGTTCGATTCCCGCATGGGGCATTCAATTTTACACACATTCCCTTCAGACTGTATCTGTATTGTTGAACTATGCTCAGCAGTTCACCATTCCCCCGAAGCAACCTCGCATTGTACCAATACTCTTTTTTCAATTTTTTTTCGTGGAAAATCAGATTTCCTTAGATCAGATACATATGTGTCTGCCTAATATTACGAAATCAAAGTCCGATGTCTTCTCAACATTAAGATTTCTCTGTATTTAATTTCAAATCCTTGGTTTTACACGATACGCTTAGGATGTCTTGGGAAAAGCATTGTAGAGTTAAAACATTTTATAAATGTAATGTAAATCCATATTTTCTCATTGTAAATTACCATTAAGTTAGAGTCATCAATCGTGAGCATCATGTTGAATTAGCATCATTGTGAATTTAAGCTAGAATCATCCTTAGTGAAGCAGTTTTCTTTAAAATTCTCCAATACTTTGGGTGTTTGAGCTTTTGTTTGTATATGTTTACAATTGTAACTTTATTAGTTTGCATGGCAAAACATTTGTAATCCAAATTCAACTTGGTTTAACTGAAATTGGAGGTTTATCGAAAATGAAATAATTTTGTCTACCATTATGGATGATACTTACTGTTAGAACAATAGAACAGTGAGACAGTAAAAGTGAAATTTCATCTCTTTTGCAATGCCAACACAATAAGTCAAAAGCTATCAGAAACTCTAAAGAAGAAGTCAGCTCAGTGCAAAACACAAAACCCACCCAAGTAGCATATCAATTTGTTAAATCAATATTTACAACCAGATCTATGTGGTACAACAATCATAAATAAAAGATATGAAATGACTAATTGTGTGAATATTACATCATGTTGATTTCAACAAAATTGTTGTAAACCCTTAAGAACATTCAGTTGTTTAAACTGCAACTTAGCATCAAAATCATGGCAAAGATATTTGCTTTGCTTATTCTGACAGCCTTATATTTTTCTGTTGTGATCTGTGCTGATGACAAAGATATTGTTAAAGATATAAGTGAGATAGAGCAGAAGAAAGAATCGAAAATGCAATTGATGGACAAACATATGCTACACAAACTTGATGGATTGGTGAAAAAGGTTAGTGATCTAATGAATGAAAATTATGAAATGAAATACTACATTGATGAAATGAAACACCATAATGATGAAATGAAACACCACATTGATGAAATGAAACACCACATTGATGAAATAAAACGAGATAACAATGTAATGAAACAGAACTATGACACCAAGATCGAGAGTTTGAAAATGGAAATCAATAACTCAAAGCTATTGAATAATGCAGTGACTGAACCGCCATTTACTGTTTATGTTAGATGGGGACGTAACTTGTGCCCTGCAGGGGCTAATGAAGTCTACAGAGGTTATACTGGAGGGTCACATTACACTGATCAAGGAGGAGCCTCAAACTACGAGTGTCTACCCACGAGACCACAATATGGCAGATACACGTCTGGTATTGGAACATACTCAGCGACTATGTATGGTGCAGAGTATGAAGTTTGAATTAGCATCATTGTGAATTTAAGCTAGAATCATCCTTAGTGAAGCAGTTTTCTTTAAAATTCTCCAATACTTTGGGTGTTTGAGCTTTTGTTTTTATATGTTTACAATTGTAACTTTATTAGTTTGCATGGCAAAACATTTGTAATCCAAATTCAACTTGGTTTAACTGAAATTGGAGGTTTATCGAAAATGAAATAATTTTGTCTACCATTATGGATGATACTTACTGTTAGAACAATAGAACAGTGAGACAGTAAAAGTGAAATTTCATCTCTTTTGCAATGCCAACACAATAAGTCAAAAGCTATCAGAAACTCTAAAGAAGAAGTCAGCTCAGTGCAAAACACAAAACCCACCCAAGTAGCATATCAATTTGTTAAATCAATATTTACAACCAGATCTATGTGGTACAACAATCATAAATAAAAGATATGAAATGACTAATTGTGTGAATATTACATCATGTTGATTTCAACAAAATTGTTGTAAACCCTTAAGAACATTCAGTTGTTTAAACTGCAACTTAGCATCAAAATCATGGCAAAGATATTTGCTTTGCTTATTCTGACAGCCTTATATTTTTCTGTTGTGATCTGTGCTGATGACAAAGATATTGTTAAAGATATAAGTGAGATAGAGCAGAAGAAAGAATCGAAAATGCAACTGATGGACAAACATATGCTACACAAACTTGATGGATTGGTGAAAAAGGTTAGTGATCTAATGAATGAAAATTATGAAATGAAATACTACATTGATGAAATGAAACACCATAATGATGAAATGAAACACCACATTGATGAAATGAAACACCACATTGATGAAATAAAACGAGATAACAATGTAATGAAACAGAACTATGACACCAAGATCGAGAGTTTGAAAATGGAAATCAATAACTCAAAGCTATTGAATAATGCAGTGACTGAACCGCCATTTACTGTTTATGTTAGATGGGGACGTAACTTGTGCCCTGCAGGGGCTAATGAAGTCTACAGAGGTTATACTGGAGGGTCACATTACACTGATCAAGGAGGAGCCTCAAACTACGAGTGTCTACCCACGAGACCACAATATGGCAGATACACGTCTGGTATTGGAACATACTCAGCGACTATGTATGGTGCAGAGTATGAAGTTTGAATTAGCATCATTGTGAATTTAAGCTAGAATCATCCTTAGTGAAGCAGTTTTCTTTAAAATTCTCCAATACTTTGGGTGTTTGAGCTTTTGTTTTTATATGTTTACAATTGTAACTTTATTAGTTTGCATGGCAAAACATTTGTAATCCAAATTCAACTTGGTTTAACTGAAATTGGAGGTTTATCGAAAATGAAATAATTTTGTCTACCATTATGGATGATACTTACTGTTAGAACAATAGAACAGTGAGACAGTAAAAGTGAAATTTCATCTCTTTTGCAATGCCAACACAATAAGTCAAAAGCTATCAGAAACTCTAAAGAAGAAGTCAGCTCAGTGCAAAACACAAAACCCACCCAAGTAGCATATCAATTTGTTAAATCAATATTTACAACCAGATCTATGTGGTACAACAATCATAAATAAAAGATATGAAATGACTAATTGTGTGAATATTACATCATGTTGATTTCAACAAAATTGTTGTAAACCCTTAAGAACATTCAGTTGTTTAAACTGCAACTTAGCATCAAAATCATGGCAAAGATATTTGCTTTGCTTATTCTGACAGCCTTATATTTTTCTGTTGTGATCTGTGCTGATGACAAAGATATTGTTAAAGATATAAGTGAGATAGAGCAGAAGAAAGAATCGAAAATGCAATTGATGGACAAACATATGCTACACAAACTTGATGGATTGGTGAAAAAGGTTAGTGATCTAATGAATGAAAATTATGAAATGAAATACTACATTGATGAAATGAAACACCATAATGATGAAATGAAACACCACATTGATGAAATGAAACACCACATTGATGAAATAAAACGAGATAACAATGTAATGAAACAGAACTATGACACCAAGATCGAGAGTTTGAAAATGGAAATCAATAACTCAAAGCTATTGAATAATGCAGTGACTGAACCGCCATTTACTGTTTATGTTAGATGGGGACGTAACTTGTGCCCTGCAGGGGCTAATGAAGTCTACAGAGGTTATACTGGAGGGTCACATTACACTGATCAAGGAGGAGCCTCAAACTACGAGTGTCTACCCACGAGACCACAATATGGCAGATACACGTCTGGTATTGGAACATACTCAGCGACTATGTATGGTGCAGAGTATGAAGTTTGAATTAGCATCATTGTGAATTTAAGCTAGAATCATCCTTAGTGAAGCAGTTTTCTTTAAAATTCTCCAATACTTTGGGTGTTTGAGCTTTTGTTTTTATATGTTTACAATTGTAACTTTATTAGTTTGCATGGCAAAACATTTGTAATCCAAATTCAACTTGGTTTAACTGAAATTGGAGGTTTATCGAAAATGAAATAATTTTGTCTACCATTATGGATGATACTTACTGTTAGAACAATAGAACAGTGAGACAGTAAAAGTGAAATTTCATCTCTTTTGCAATGCCAACACAATAAGTTAAAAGCTATCAGAAACTCTAAAGAAGAAGTCAGCTCAGTGCAAAACACAAAACCCACCCAAGTAGCATATCAATTTGTTAAATCAATATTTACAACCAGATCTATGTGGTACAACAATCATAAATAAAAGATATGAAATGACTAATTGTGTGAATATTACATCATGTTGATTTCAACAAAATTGTTGTAAACCCTTAAGAACATTCAGTTGTTTAAACTGCAACTTAGCATCAAAATCATGGCAAAGATATTTGCTTTGCTTATTCTGACAGCCTTATATTTTTCTGTTGTGATCTGTGCTGATGACAAAGATATTGTTAAAGATATAAGTGAGATAGAGCAGAAGAAAGAATCGAAAATGCAATTGATGGACAAACATATGCTACACAAACTTGATGGATTGGTGAAAAAGGTTAGTGATCTAATGAATGAAAATTATGAAATGAAATACTACATTGATGAAATGAAACACCATAATGATGAAATGAAACACCACATTGATGAAATGAAACACCACATTGATGAAATAAAACGAGATAACAATGTAATGAAACAGAACTATGACACCAAGATCGAGAGTTTGAAAATGGAAATCAATAACTCAAAGCTATTGAATAATGCAGTGACTGAACCGCCATTTACTGTTTATGTTAGATGGGGACGTAACTTGTGCCCTGCAGGGGCTAATGAAGTCTACAGAGGTTATACTGGAGGGTCACATTACACTGATCAAGGAGGAGCCTCAAACTACGAGTGTCTACCCACGAGACCACAATATGGCAGATACACGTCTGGTATTGGAACATACTCAGCGACTATGTATGGTGCAGAGTATGAAGTTTGAATTAGCATCATTGTGAATTTAAGCTAGAATCATCCTTAGTGAAGCAGTTTTCTTTAAAATTCTCCAATACTTTGGGTGTTTGAGCTTTTGTTTTTATATGTTTACAATTGTAACTTTATTAGTTTGCATGGCAAAACATTTGTAATCCAAATTCAACTTGGTTTAACTGAAATTGGAGGTTTATCGAAAATGAAATAATTTTGTCTACCATTATGGATGATACTTACTGTTAGAACAATAGAACAGTGAGACAGTAAAAGTGAAATTTCATCTCTTTTGCAATGCCAACACAATAAGTCAAAAGCTATCAGAAACTCTAAAGAAGAAGTCAGCTCAGTGCAAAACACAAAACCCACCCAAGTAGCATATCAATTTGTTAAATCAATATTTACAACCAGATCTATGTGGTACAACAATCATAAATAAAAGATATGAAATGACTAATTGTGTGAATATTACATCATGTTGATTTCAACAAAATTGTTGTAAACCCTTAAGAACATTCAGTTGTTTAAACTGCAACTTAGCATCAAAATCATGGCAAAGATATTTGCTTTGCTTATTCTGACAGCCTTATATTTTTCTGTTGTGATCTGTGCTGATGACAAAGATATTGTTAAAGATATAAGTGAGATAGAGCAGAAGAAAGAATCGAAAATGCAATTGATGGACAAACATATGCTACACAAACTTGATGGATTGGTGAAAAAGGTTAGTGATCTAATGAATGAAAATTATGAAATGAAATACTACATTGATGAAATGAAACACCATAACGATGAAATGAAACACCACATTGATGAAATGAAACACCACATTGATGAAATAAAACGAGATAACAATGTAATGAAACAGAACTATGACACCAAAATCGAGAATTTGAAAATGGAATTCAATGATTCAAAGCTATTGAATAATGCAGTGACTGAACCGCCATTTACAGTTTATGTTAGATGGGGACGTAACTTGTGCCCTGCAGGGGCTAATGAGGTCTACAGAGGTTATACTGGAGGGTCACATTACACTGATCAAGGAGGAGCCTCAAACTACCAGTGTCTCCCTCCGAGACCACAATATGGTAGGTACACATCTGGTGTTGCAGAAAGGTCAGCAACTATGTATGGTACAGAGTATCAAGTTATACCTCCGAATCAAAGAAATCCATTTCTTGGAACAAATGCTCCAAATCCAAATGACCCAAATTCCCTACATGACCAAAACGCACCCTGTATTGTATGCAGTGTTCCAAGACAACAAATATTGATGATTCCTGCATGGCGAACATGTCCCCGTGGTTGGAACTTGGAATACCAGGGCTATTTGATGGCAGAACATCGTGCCCATGTAGGTAAAAAACAATTCATATGTATGGATGAGGCCCCTGAAGCTACAATAGGAGGAGGAAATGATGAGAATGGAGCATTGCTTTATGCAGTAGAAGGTGTATGTGGGTCACTCCCTTGCCCCTACTATATAAATGAGGCAGAGCTAACATGTGCAGTTTGCTCAAAATAATAATGGACCATGGTTTTGCAATTTGGTGTAATTTCTTGTACCAAAAAGTTATGATGCAATAAAAAACAATTATGCCTGAAACAAATAGCATTGTATTGATCAACTTACTCACTATGTTCAGTAATCATGTGTTTTGCAACTCATGAATGCCAAAAACTTTGAAGCAGAAGTAGGTAGATGAAAGAAAAACTAAATGAAAAGTTCATATAAAGACATATAAAGTATACCCATATGTTTGCACCAGTCTATTATTACAGTACAGTTTATTCAAAAAAAAATTTTTTCAAAACATACTCTCAACTCATTTCTATTCATTAATTCTCCCTTTAATGATTAAACCTTACCTAAAGTGTGAGCATGGGTCCTAAAGGCAAATGGGTGTAGTGCCATATCCTCATGGTACAAGCAGGCAGTCTCCATAAACACAGTAGAGTGGGCAGGTATGTTTCCCCCTGTACCCAAAAGGTAGACTCCAGCTTCTTTGGGTTGCCTGGTGACATGAAACACAACAAAGTATTATTATACAAGAAATTAATATTTTTGAAATATTGGAAAGTTTGCTTTTTTGCCTATTCTTTTAGAAAGCATATGCCATTTAGTGCATCCACATATGTTTGGGATCACCATCCACATCTATAATTCACACTGCACACTGAGTTATACATTTAATGAAATTTTCCTGATCAAAGAAACAAGGTTATATATCTCAATGCACAACAAAAAAATTATCCAATTTTTCAACCAATTTTTGTTAAAAAATAATTAACTAAACTTATTAACAACTTTCTGTTGTGGATGGGATCTGAAAAGTTATGTTTAGGACAAAATTGAATTGAGAAGGTGCTCACATTAAACATAACACTTGTGTCTCCCGAGGAGACACGAACAAGACAAGAGAGGAAGCAAAAAGCAAAAGTTGGAGAATACAGAAAAAAGATTTCAATCATCTCATTTTCAAAAGTTTAAACCACTTAGAGTTATGATTTCATATTTACCCAATGTTATCAAAATGTGATATGTGAAACCTTTTTTTCTATTTCAAAAAGTTATTTTGAAGGACTTTTTGCTGGAAAAATCATGAATTTATCTGAACTAGATTTTAGAGGTCACATATATCAATTAACATTAACATGCATTGTGTCACCCACCTGCCAACAGACACCAAACACAAACTGCCAAATGCCAAACACCAACTGCCGAATGTCGAATATCCACAAAAAGTTGGAGACTATAACAATACGTGACCACTTCTGGTGGTGATACAAAAATGATCAGTACATCTTTTCTACATTGGTCATTTAGAAACTTACTGTTGCGTAGTGGTCTGAAGAGTGAGGCCTGATTGGTCAGTCTGGTTGTTAGGGGCAACAAATGGCTCTACATTCTTGTAATGAACTTGAACGACTAAGTATTTGATTGCGCTGTCTCCACCAACCTTGAATCCAACATCTGCAAATACAAACAAATATATAGCACAAAAGTATTTGATACATACAGGGTTGACCAAAAATATTGATTTTCAGCCCTGAGCCTGTACATTTGCCATTTGAATATCAAAATATTAATGTCTGGAAGTTTTCAAACACATCTTGATTCAATTTAAATATAGCAAAAGTTTCTTCTATACTGTTATGTATCTGGTTTCAGTACTGGTCATTAAGATATCTGATACCCTTAACTGAGATTACCATGCTGATAGCAGACACTTGTAAGTCTGGCTTCCTACTAGAAACACATTAACTATGTAGTTCTTATATTATGTTTGATGTATAATAAAGTCTTGATACAAAACACAACATGATGTCAGATGTGGTCTCACATGAATAAGTAGATCAGAGACAATAACAATGGCAAGTGGATACTCAAAGATAGTGAAGGAATTAGACTTTTATGGCCCTAATCTCTCAGAAGATTGGAAGAGATGGAGAGAACTTATTGAATTAATGTTTGATTCTCCTGATGCCACAAAATGGAAAGAGCAAGAGAAAGCCGCTCAAATTCTCCTTCTCATCGGCGAGAAAGGAAGGGACATTTGCAGATCGTGGATTGCCACTGGGGTACTTTCGGAATCACAAAAGAAGGAGTCTAAAACCCTCCTTGATAAATTTGAGGAATATTGTACACCCAAGAAAAACAGGTCGATCCAGAGGAAAATGTTCTATGAATGCTACCAGTCGAAGGATGAGTCTATTGACGAGTTTGTTACAAAACTTAGACTTATTGGCAGAGACTGTAAATTCCCCGATCTTGACGAGATGATCGCCGACATGATATTGACACATTGCCATTCAACACAAGTCCAAGAGAAGCTACTAAGATACGAGGAGGACCTCACATTGGACCATGCTCTAAAGATAGCACGCTTATATGAGCAGAGTAACGTCCATAAGAACTCTCTAAATTCCCGCACAGAAAGTGGACATGAGGAAGTCAGTATTGTAAAGAAGTCACAGTCACAAAGTTGTGACAACTGTGGACTGATACATAGAGGAGGCACGTGTCCTGCGGCTAATGAGCAGTGTAACGGATGTTTAAAATTCGGGCATTTTAAAAGATGTTGCCGTAGTGGGAAATCTAGTGAAAAGGATTCTAGACAACAGAGGCAAGGCAAATCTGGAAAACGTAGAAAACCCCGAAAAGTGAACCAGGTGGAGGAATCAGTATCTTCAGAAGATGAAGTGTACTTGGGATCTGTAACCACTGAAATCCCAGACACCCAGACATCAAAGATAGCCCAGATTCCCGCCAAAACCCCAGATACACCCAACTCCAAATCCTGGATTATACAACTAAAAACAGGTGGGCACACCCTTACTGCTAAGGTGGACACAGGTGCCCAGGCCAATGTGATCTCACATGCACTGTTCAAGAGGTTAAGACACCCCCCTATGAAAGCTTCTACCACAAGGCTATTTACCTACAACAGGCAGCCCCTGGACGTCATGGGTGAATGTGATATGCCTTGTAACTTTGAAGGGATAAACTACAAAGTGAGATTCATAGTAATTAAGGAGAAAGCTGACACTTTAATTAGTCTGCAATCAGCTATTCTCTTTGGCTTAGTATCCAGAAGTAACATTTCTACAGTTGGCTCTGACAGCACACTGACCACAGACCAGTTGGTGTCGAATTACAGCTATTTATTTGAAGGCCTAGGCTGTCTGCCTAGCAAAGTGCACATTACCCTTGAAGAAAATGTCACGCCTGTAGTACACCCCCCTTACAAGGTAGCTGTTCATCAGAGAGACAAATTGAAAACTGAATTAGAGCGAATGCAAAAACAAGGAGTAATTGCCAAAGTGGATGAGCCCACTGATTGGGTGAATAATAAAGTTTTGGTTGAGAAGAGCGACAAATCTCTTAGGATATGCCTTGATCCTGCAAACCTCAACAAAGTTATTAAAAGGGAACCGTACCCTACTGCCACAACAGAAGAGATCAGCACAAGATTGAAAGGTGCTACGAGGTTTACCAAATTGGATGCGACAACCTCATTTTGGCAACTTGAGCTTGATCACGAGAGTTCGTTGCTTACTTGCTTCAACACACCCTTTGGACGATATCGATTTACACGTCTGCCATATGGACTAAACATATCTACTGAAAAGTTCCAAATGGAAGTTTGTAAAGTTCTAGAAGGAATAGATGGCGTTGAAGTCCAAGTGGATGATATATTGATTTCTGGCAAAGATGAGGAACAGCTTAAGCATCGAATGGAAGCAGTGTTCCAAAGAGCAAGTGAGAACAACCTCAAGTTTAACAGGAAGAAATGCCAGTTTAATGTGCCATCAGTCACATATGTAGGACATACATGGTCGAGAGATGGACTGAGTATCCCGGATGATCGGATAAAAGCGATAGTTGAGATGAAAACCCCTACAGATAAACAATCACTGAGTCGATTCCTTGGCATGGTGAATTATGTTGCCAAGTTCGTACCACGCTTATCAGAGCTAAATGCTCCCTTGCGAGAACTACTGAAAGAGGATATTATTTTCGAATGGAATAAGCCACAGATAGAAGCGTATGAGCAGCTGAAAAAGCTTATAACTACAGCGCCAGTTCTCAAGTTTTACGACCCCAATAAGCCATCAGTGCTGAATGTAGACTCTTCGAAAGATGGTCTTGGAGCTGTCCTACTACAGGATGATATGCCTGTATGCTACGCGTCGAAATCGCTAACCCCTGCCCAACAAAACTACTCCCAAATAGAGAAAGAGATGACGAGTATATGTTTTGGAGCAACTAAGTTTCACCAATACCTCTATGGTAAGCCCTTTGTCGTGGAAACTGATCACAAGCCCCTGGAGGTGATCGCAAAGAAAGCTTTAAATAAAGCCCCAGCTCGATTACAAAGAATGCTTTTGCAAATGCAAAAGTACGATGTCACAATCAAGTGGAAACCTGGAAAAGACATGGTTATATCAGACACTCTCAGCAGAGCATGCGTAGACAGTGACACAGAAAGCTCGAAAATTATCGCTTCTATCATGAATGACATTTATCAACAAGCAGATGGATTACTTCAAGCTTTACCCATGTCTAAACCAAAACAGCAAGAGTACAGGAACGCGACCTCGAATGACCCTGTACTGCAACGCATTATGGAATATTGCAGAATTGGATGGCCTGAAAAGACTGATGTACATGAGTCAGTCATGCCATATTACACCTTTCATGATGAACTTAGTACAGTTGATGGTCTCGTGTTCAAAGGCCTGAAACTGGTAATTCCCACATCAATGAGAGACGAAGTAAAGTCACTTATCCATGAAAACCATATGGGAATCGTTAAAACTAAATCCATAGCAAGAGAGACACTCTATTGGCCCAACATAAATTCCCAGATCGAGGATATGATAAAAAACTGTGACATTTGCAAAACCCACAGAAATGCCAATCAAAGAGAACCTATGATTCCACATGAGGTTCCTATGCGCCCCTGGGAAAAGATAGGTGTTGACCTATTCTCACATAATAACAAGGATTACTTAATTGGAGTAGACTACTACAGCAAGTACCCTGAGCTGTACTCACTCACCAGCACCAAGGCAAAACCCATCATAAATTGCCTAAAAGCCTCGTTCAGCAGAAATGGTATTCCCCAAACAGTATTCAGTGACAATGGTCCACCATTTAAATCATCAGAATATGTAAAATTCAGCGAAGACTACAACTTCGACATTGCTACATCGAGCCCGAATCTAGCAAATAGCAATGGCCAAATTGAAAGGACAATTCAGACTGTAAAAAATATTATCAGAAAATCAGATGATATTTTCACAGCCATGCTGAATTTGAGAAACACCCCAATTGATGCGAAGATCAACAAATCCCCAGCAGAATTACTTATGGGTAGAAAACTGCGATCTAAAATTCCTACAAGTGATGTTCTACTGAATCCCCAAAGCCCAGATCCCAACGTTCGCACAAAACTTCAGCAGAAAAAGCAGATGGAGAAGAGAAAGTATGACCTCCGCGCTCGTCCCCTTGCCCCTCTTCAACCTAATACCCCTGTCAAAGTCCGTGAGAAAAGGAACAATAAATACATCTGGAGAAATGCAAAAGTGACTGAGAAACTAGATTCGCCCAGATCATATCTAGTTGAAACCCCAGATGGAGAACCACATTTCCCATGTTATTTCCCCATAGGGAAAACTCATGCTATCCATTGTTTTCAGCATGATTTTGGTCATCGCGAAAATTAATATCTTCAAAACTAGACTAACAATACCATTCTACTTTTGAAGATGTTTTAGTCCCCTTGTTAAATAATATTTTCATGCAATAAAAATCAGAAAAAGAAGATCCTCTTTTAAGCAAAAAAGTTCAACATTTTGAAAAAAAATTTTGACGTGGGGTCCCTATTTATAATTTTTTGAATTGTTCGATTGATATTTTTATCATCATGTGGACTTCACTTGAAAGAAAACATATTGTTTTAATAAAAACCACTGTATTTATGCCCAGAAAGTTATTATGGTGAAAGATATGACCGTCTAAAATCACTTGCCATTGCCATACTGCACATGGACCTTTTAGACATACCTAGCATAAGAATGTATCTTAATTTGGTCATTCTACCATGGCCATATATGTTCATAGTTTAGGTCTGTTGGTCAGTTAAAATACTGGAATCTGATGAATTGGTTCAATCAAAAATTAAAAATAAATCTTTTGAATACATTTAAAGTGCCAATGAATGATATATTCAATATCATAATATGTTGAATGCAAAAATAATTTCAATGAAGTGATATGAAGTCAAGATATATTGCAGAAATTTCTTGCGGAATGGTTCTTATTGAAATGGCATTTAACCCAAGACATACCTAGCAATTAGAGTATTCTAGAATTGAGGGAGAAACTGAATAAAACACACCAAAACCATAAGACTACCTTGTGCTCACCTTTAGGTAGATTTAGCTTGGGAGCATCCATGGCCCAAGCATATAGAATCTTGGTGCCTGATTTGCAAACAGGGGCACTGGGATAATCATTGCTCTTTTCTTTGGCCTCCATCTCTCCACAGTTCCTGTAGCAACACAGAAACAATGTAATATATATATCATGAACTATAACAATACACCTAGAAATCATTTTCCAAAATGGGTACCATATATAAATGAATTGCCAAATGATAATTTGTCATTCTTGCAAGTACTTTACATATATAAAATAGCATCCAAGATCATTACTTTTTGAGTTATAACAAAAATGTTAAGAGATATCAAAATCTATTCTCAATCAGTTACAGAAAAAAGCAAAATAACACATATGTATGTAGAAATGGCAGCCATTTTTCAAAATGGTCCCCTATTAGCCAAATTGTCATCAGTACTGGTGCAGTATATAGTATATAGTCATGTAGTCACGTTATTGAGACAATAAAATGTGAACCATTCTCTTACCATACGGATTCATCTGCAGCGCCTGGCTCCTCACAGCCATATAGCAGAATGTGGTGGGCAATCATAGACTCTCCATGTGGGACGAATCCAGCTGAAATATACACATGGGTTAGATATTACAGTAAAATATGGTGGGCAATCGTAGACTAATCCAGCTGAAATATACACATAGGTTAGATATTACAGCAGAATGTGGTGGGCAATCATAGACTCTCCATGTGGGACAAATCCAGCTGAAATATACACATGGGTTAATATTACAGAAGAATATGGTGGGCAATCATAGACTCTCCATGTGGGACGAATCCAGCTGAAATATACACATGGGTTAGATATTACAGTAAAATGTGATGGGCAATCATAGACTCTCCATGTGACACGGATGCAGCTGAAATATACACATGGGTTAGATATTACAGAAGAATATGGTGGGCAATCATAGACTCTCCATGTGGGACTAATCCAGCTGAAATATACACATGGGTTGGATATTACAGTAGAATATGGTGGGCAATCATAGACTCTCCATGTGGCACGAATCCAGCTGAAATATACACATGGGTTAGATATTACAGCAGAATGTGGTGGGCAATCATAGACATTAGATATTTCAGAGAAATGTGAAATATTTTATGTTAACTTTATGCCTCTATCATAATATATTATATCTGGGGGTAGTGAATTACTTCAAATTAATATCATTTTATTTTTCAAAGAAAAACATTAAAGAATGTATGTGCAATCTTTGTCTCTTGAAAGAGAAATAATTTGTGTGTAACTTAAGCTTTGTCTCCTCAAGGACAAGTGAGCTATTATATACTTACTGATGTATTTAGTGTCATCTGTCTTCATGGGATGGCATAGGTAGGTATCAGGCTGCAATATAAAGAACATGGCATTTAAAATATAAAACATCTACATGACATATTAGGGAGCTTAAGCTATATGTTTTAAGACCACTTAGGATTACTGCCTCCTCCTGTCTCAATCGTTTCTTCCAGGAACCTAATTAAACCAATCTATCTTCCTTGTAACTTCATACTCATTCAGGCAAGTAAATATTATGAATGGGAGGAATTATCCCTTCAGCTCAGCACCATTATTCTACATGGTACAAACTCTCTTAAAAATGACATCTAACTTCCCTAATGTCACCAACTGGTTGAATGAAATATTTGAGTGAAACCTTCACTAAGTGCAACTCCTTTTATTTGTTGTCATGGTTACCACTATTGCCAAAAACCTGAAGATATCAATAATTTTAAGTCAATCTGCTAAACATGCCTTCTCAATAAAAGGCAATAAAAAGATAGATATTTTAACATCTCTATAGGCACTCCATACATTGCAAGTTAACTCAAATTGTAAAATATCTTAAAAATGTGGAACGAGTTTTATGCAATTATTACAAAACATTAAAATGTCAAAAAGGAAGAATCAAAATAATTTCATGATAATTCACCATCATGATTTTTCATACATTGATATAGTGTTGGGCCACTTGTATAAGCATTAGATTTAATGTGTTCATTTAGTCTTATTTTAGGTAAGAGTCAATGGCCTTCCTTATTACATAAGCATCTTTTTAAATGATAAACATGAAGATTTTCTGTTTCATTTGTCTGACTGATCTAATCACGTGGCAAATCTCACGTTTATACTCTAATCAGCATTACTTGACGTGACAGGTACATATTTGACCTTTAACTGTATTGATTAATTTTTTATCCCCAGGACTTGAGCAGCCTGAGCACCCAAAGAGCATAACATATAAAATCTATAATCATATTTATAATTACTTTCAGTGGTTTACTTCCTTCTTTAATCCTCTTAGATGTCATCTCAAATGACACTTTGGAAATCAATAGCAAGTATAACATGAGAAATATTTCAATAGTAATACCAGTTGCTCTGTTTATACAGTTCTGTATGTTATATCATATGACAGAGTAACTTTCATTTTATTTTATAGTTGGAATATATAACCCTAAATTGATTCTGCATCAAACTTCAAAACAACATCAAAGTAGGCAAGCTATCATACAAAAAATTAAAATTTTATTTCTATTTATCATGCTATCTTATTTTATGGATTTTGATTTGCAATAAAAATCTGCAAATGTACAATAAAAACTCTGTTTCTGAAGAAAAAATGTGACTTCTAAGAAGTAATAAAATTATGAAAAGGGGTTATGATACTCTGAGATACCTAAGAGACAAATAACATGATTTCTATAATTCGGATTCTTAGAAGACTATTTTGAAAATCTGATAAGGATTGTAAAATGATATATTCATTCAGGTTGCGGTTATGTAATAAGTTCATATATTGCTTCATGACTTGAGTAACATGGTGGATATATGACGACAAAAAATCAAAAATGACCACTTTAATACCAAGCATGCCAAAAATCAAGTGGCAGCAATATTGTATTTCAGTGAAATAAAATAAAACCAATAGACAAGGAAACATTCTTAAAATAAAACATACTTGAAAATACTCCCGTAATCATGGAAATGAGAAGTTACCCCTAATATAAGACATATCTATGCAATACCATTGTGATACTCATCACATCTTTCTGTTACACTAAAAACATTACGGTTTATCATGATGACGCAATATCTATAAAATCAGAGGTTTTATAGCAACGAAATAGGCATTATTAACTCAAAGGGTATCATGGTTTTTGCAATACCTCTAATCAGGCCTATCCTACTTCTGTCTATTTAGATCCCAACATGCAGATATGATGCTATTAAACATTTTCATGTTTTAACTTCTCTATAACCTCAGAAATATATCTAATTTTGGTCATTTCTTTACAATTTAGAGCATATACCACATGCCAGTTTACTTTATTCCTCATTAATTCCATTAGCTTTCACCCTAAGGTGAATTTCAAACATGCATGCCATGACAATTTTTGAAAGGGAACCATCATACACTCCTGTAAGATGAGACAGAAATATCATCGCAAAATGCTGATTGAATGAGAACATGCGATGCTTTGAATGAGGCAAAGCATGAAATTGCCACTCTATTGTCTAAAACAGAATCACTGATTACTTTATTTATACACAAGGAAAGAAAAACAAGAAATGGTTCGACAATATTGAGCTATTTTGGTTAGGTAAAGAATAAAGGAGGTGCGTGGGTGTGTTTTATTATGAAAAAATCATTAAGCAAAGAATAACTGATAGACCAACACGATTTGTTGAATAGAATTGCACGTAACAAGGGAAAGAAGATAGCCAAGGACATAATATTCAAATCATGGGGATGTTTATACCATATGTTTCATTCTATATTCCCTATTTTAGCACTTTTATATGTGACTAAATAGAAATTTGAAAATGAGCACATTCAATGCTATTTACTAGATATATATGACCCATCATTCCAAAGCTTTTCACCCTATGATATAAATGTTTTAAAGCATTCAAATTCCTGATCCATACACATTTAATTGTATGAAGTCAGATCTATAGTTTTTGAGATATCATGCTATGAATGAGACTGATGATGATGGGCTGATGATGGGCTGATGGACAGACAGACAGATGAAGGGCTTGACTATACTGTATAAGTGGTAATTTTGCCTAATCATTTAATTTGCCTATTTCCTAATTTTTGCCAGGTTCGGAAAATTAAATGTCGGAAATATTGTCTTGATAATGTTATCCAATGGGAGGTTTCTTGTCATTAGGAAAATTAAAAGTAGGAAAATGATGAAATTTGACCATTTGGAAAATTAACCACTCGGATTAAATACCACTTATACAGTATCTCTACTGAACTTTGTTTATAAGATTACAAATCACTGTGGAAGATAGAGCTACCCAGAATTAATATCTTCAAATCGAGTCAAATCCAATCAAACCCTTGAATGCATTGTAGTGTAAATTCAGCAAGTGATAATGAATTGAACCTGACATTGTGTTGAATTAGACCTTGGTTGTGACAAAGAGTGATTTGAAATCATTGAAATTTGCTCAACTCTAAGGAAATCAAAGAAGCATCCAAGCATCTATTATTTTTGTTGGTAATTGTTCTCAAACAGGGATATGTAAACAAGGATTTTGCATGCATCAATAGCATTTCATATTCAATTGATGATGTTGTTTTTAAACATTCCCAAACAAAGTATTACCATTGCTTGCATAACTAATTCTTCAAGACATATGACGAGGGTGGGAGTAAAAGCCTATTTTATTTTAAGAAAGTATCAATTTATTGTACTATCAATGTACTATACTGTATGCAGTATATGTGTAATATCTATTGAGATCAGTCACAACCTCATAAATCAACAGTGAAGGTAAAGGTTTCATCTTAACGGAGCAAAGTTAGGGTCAAAAACAAAATCAATTATGTTTTTAACGCATATTGATTAATTGTCCAAAACCCTTATATTCTATAAATGTCAATTGTATTTTTAATGGCATCCAGATAACATTACAAAACTCTCAATATTTTTGAAGTAAATTACCATGGCAACGTTTGAACAGTGATTAAGTACATGAGTAGAATATGATGATAAAAGGCTTCAATGCTAATCTACTTCCACCATGTAACATTAGAAGAACATTATAAAGCCTAGCTATTTGTATGAGGAAGACTATTGTGTCTGACATGGCTAATTTTGCTCCGTGTGAAAATACATTTAAGAGGAGCTAAATGAAAGATGATGTCATCTTACCAAATTATGAGCTACATATATTGAAACACAGGCCCTTAAATAGGTTTGCTTCAGTTTGCTCGCTTAAAATTGTTCAGAATTATTGGGACAAAACCCATCGCAATATATCAAAGTGGGCCCTAACTTTATTACCATTACTATAATGCAAAGAAAAAAGGAGAAGAATCAGAATATATTCAAATGTCACATCAAATACCATATATTAAAGTGAACTTACAGTTTGGGGTCGTACGTTGGGCATTCTTAGGTCCACATTTTCTTGAGTCTCGTCCTCGATTGGTTTACCATATATGGCAACCAAACCAATCAAGCAGAATATGGTGCATGAAGCATGCATTTTCTACTGAAAAATAAATTTTCATACACTCTATATGATATGGTGGCAAAACTTGGGGTAACTCATACACATATTAATATATCAAAGATAACATAAAACAATAAATATATAAAGAATAAAGTGATTTTAGACAATGCAATCAATTGTCAAAGTACATGCCTATTGCCACAAATTCTACCAACTTAAATTCAATTGTTTCAAATAGAGTGTTCCATCATCTAAATGACTATGGATCACATAATCAATTATGGCAAAATCAATGAGATATGATATGAATTATATATATACCATTGGAAAGACTGAACCAGAATATAATACACTAAACAGCTGTTTTTGGAAGTGACCCCAAAATACCCATTATTTACTCACCAAATGCTAAAATCCTTCTATCTGCTAAGACAGACTCTCCAAATTGTCAATTAGGCTGTCTGTCTGATGGGGACAAATATAATATCTCAAAAACGTGTCAACAAATCGTGGTAGAATCTCTAGTGATTGAAGCTCTATGAGAGAAATATTCCTTCGCTGTATATTAATTACCTCAATTTATTCATGACGCAAATTGCAGTGCCATTCTAGCCCTCATTCTGTAGAGTAAATATTGGACTGTTCCATTCTTGCCAGAAAGGGGTGATAACTTAACAGTATAATAGTGCTTGCACTGCTAGAAAGGAATAAATGCTGAAATAAAATTTATGACAGTCAATATGATTGAAGCATAAATATAACTAAATAAAAAGAATTGATAAACACAATTAATAGAATTTTTATATAAGAGCATGGTCTTTTTAACTAGAAATAATGCATAAAACACATCTAATAATTTTTTGTTAAATTTTTCACATTGAACATGAAAAAACAAAATAAATTTTGCATCACTTCTAATTCACAACCCCAATGATAAAATGATTCATTACAAAGAATGTAATTTCACTGGCCAAATCATTCATTAATAGAAAATCAATCAGCGCTTAATCCTAACTCACCTTCTAGCAATCACAATGGACCCATCCAATCAATGTCCCTGAGGTAGAGTGCTAACTATTGATTTCTGGGGGGTGTTAGGCTATATTACAGTCCAGTTACCATTGATACTACCAGAGGCAATATCATCAAAGTGTAGTAGACTGGAGATATGATACAGGAAACAAATGCAAATAGATATACTCTCCAATATGACATCACTTTAAATTATGCAATGGGGAAATTGTGATAAGGCAATAAAAGCTGCTGATATGAAGTGAAATTGATAATACCAATCAAATCAATATAATGATGTGTACTTCTTTCAAATTTTTCAGAGATAGGGCCTCTTAATTGATGATTCTCTTGTTGAAGATTCAATATTTTCCCCATTGCTTCTTATTGGTCAATACCCATTGTTAATTCATCTATATAACTTGTAAAAATTGTGAGGTTATTCATTGTTTTTCTTTGAGGACAAGTCATAAAGAAAGTATTTTGTTTATTTTCCCAAATTCAATGTTCAATTTTCCTTGTTAATTACATTATTTTCATTATGATTCCTTAATAATCTGGTAATACCATAAGATCCCATATGATTAATTAATACATATTGCAAGGGATCAAGTGATACTGCCACTCGTATATTAATATAATGTAAATATCTAAAGGACATTCTATTGATGTTCTATACGTATTATGATAGGCATTTGTTCTGTTTAACAATACACACATTCATAATTTAACACAGTATTGTATCTAAAAATCAAAATGGCCACCTTAAAATATTGTGCCATATTTAAGTATGATAAAATTGGAAAATACAGGTTGGGGCAAAAAACCACCAAACTATGTAATTTAACTTTGCGATGTTCATTTATTGTATCTAAAAATCAAAATGGCCACCTTAAAATATTGTGCCATATTTAAGTATGATAAAATTGGAAAATACAGGTTGGGGCAAAAAACCACCAAACTATGTAATTTAACTTTGCGATGTTCAATTCATTCTAAATTTGTAGATTGGTTTTGGCTCACCCTGTAATTTTGATACCTAATTTTATCATGGGCTTTCAATAGATATTGAATGCCCATGGTTTTATGTCCAGTGAGAAACAGTTTACTGAATAATTAACAACATATTTCAACCAAAAAGTCAACAATACAAAAACTTACATTAAACTAAAATATAACTAATTTTCCACTGATAAATGGCAAAAATGGATATTTAGTCTAAGAAAAATAGCCTTATTTCTAATCAAATGGCTTTTTCTGGCTGGTCATACAAATAAAAAGAAATGACCAAAAATCAAAAATTTTTTGAACACATTTTCTCCAGTGTTGTTGTAGTTACGTCTAAACTTTGAAAGACTGTTGACCAGAATGATGAATTGCTTTCCTGGCCTAAATAAGTTACATAAGTAACAAGAAATAATAGACACTTTCTTTATGAGCAAGTCATAAAAATAGATGTACATGAAAGATGATGTACATTGCTGATTTTTAATACCATTAATGAAAGTTTGGAAGTCATAACAAATACATTATAATAGCACTTATACACAATGCTCAGAGGTAAAATTGATTCAAGTATAATACAAATCTTGTTATTGTAAACATGTCGCACCTGAGCTACTATATATTTTTGTTGAACTCAAAAAAGCAACTCCCGAGTCGTGAACCCCATTGCAAAATAAGCATATAAACTTTGGACTTTTGATAACTGGTATTTGGGTTATCAGTGATTAAATTTTTCTGGAAAACGGTGGCCAGCCATTTTGAACTCAACAGCCATCTTTAAAATCCATCCTTGAGCACTGAGCATTCTCCCATGTTGAAAGGCATCAGCACATAAAAGCTGAACCAAACCCGACACTGATATTTGAGTTAATAAAGATTATAGTTTTACTGACAAGTAGTGGCCATTTCGAAGCAGCCATATTGGAACATTCTTTACAGTAAAATTTTAAATGTTTGTAAGTACTTAGAATTTAAAAAAAAGCAATCAGAGGACCATATTGAAACAGTATATGTAAAAATAGAAACATTTATACATGTCCTAACTTTTGTATACTTTAGTATATTTTGTAGTTTAGCTATCATACATCTATGTATCTCTGACCTCTTATATTTTGATGCTTCACTGCCATATAATTTTCTGAAAAATTAACTGAAAATTCCTAAATTACAAAAGGGCACAGCTTTGCTGCACATTATACATAACTATCTGAAATATACAAAAGTTAGGACTTGTACACATGTTTCTATTTTTCATATACTGTTAATGTTGCAATATAATCATTTGTTTGCTTATTTTTTAAATTCAAAGTACATGTTCTTCCAAACATTTAAAATTTTACAGTACAAGCAGATGTCCTAGATATTTAGTTTTGGGATTTTTTCATGAAAAATTCTTGAGCAGAGCTTCCATGCCTCTAGAGCATATAAAATCTAAACGAAATCTAACAACCAATATTTGAGTTATCAATGATTCCATTTTTATGAAAAATGGTAGCCATTTTGAATTGAATGGTCATATTGGAAATTTCTGCTTGAGCAGAGGTCCTATGCCCATCAGACTCTAAAATATGAACCAAATGCATCGACTGGTGTTTGAGTTGTTAATCTTACAGACAATTGGATGGATGATTGGATGACTTTTATATATCCCTACTTGTTCAGAGGGATAATTAGCATAAATAATAGTACTAGTATGCCTTAATTTACAACTTAACTGTAAACGAGGCAATTTTCTCCAAATAACAAAATTAAACATGTCTTTGGTTGTATTTAATCTAGTGAAAATACAAATAGATTTTTTATTTGGGGTGGGGCAAAAGCCATTTTCAGCCCTAATTCAGTAAAATCAAAAATCTATAATACATCAAAACAACCAAGAATACAGGATTTAAAGCTTGCACTCATAAGGCATTGTTTATCTCAAAAAAATATATGAGGTCAAGACCAAAAATGGACCTTGACCTTATTCAGTTTTAATCACAATTTCAAAAGTGAAATTGATTATGAACACAAAGATATCTTCAAGCTTGCAACAATGCAATTCTTTACAATTGGAAAAAAGTATCTGCAATCATTAATACATCCTTCAGCATTTCAATGTGTAATTTAAATTGTTCTTTTACTTGTCCTTTCAGGTTTGTTTCCTCGTTCTATATGATAATGATTTGATTTTCCAAAAGTGTAATCCATCCTATAAACTCTTCTACAGCAACTACTCTGTATGAACTTTAACTGTGTAAATATCTCTCAACGAAACAATGAGGTTAACCACAGGGGTTAACAAGGCAGTCACGATGGGCACGCTATAGTATTGCAAGTAGTATAAAACGTCACGTAAAGTCACAATGCCGAATATGTTCAATGTTCCATGAGTGGTTGGAGGAAGGCACAACGTCTGCCAATAAAGCAGAACGTATTTGTAGCGTGTCAGATCTAAATCTGTGTAAACTAGTTCAGCCTGGAAGAAATAATTGGGTTGGTTAAATGGAGTAATCATATATATTCTCGTCACAGAAACAAGAGGTCCAGGGTTCAGTTCCAGTTTCAGCAGCTTCTTGTGGTGGATGATTGTGACTGTGCTACTACACTGTATTGACTATTACTAAAGTACTGCTAAGTTGACAAAAGGTCGGCGCTGGTTTAAAGTGTCTTTCTAAGACTTAGAAGGAGAAATATAAGATTTCGAGCCATATGTCTCAAGAAAATGCTCTTACCTTTCTAGTAGGATGAGTTCAGGTGCCAAAAACAGCTGATCAAAGGATATATATCATTTTCTAATTGAAAATTTTTGTTGAGCCCTGCATTTTTAACACTGTTTTGACAGGAAGTCATACCCAAAATGAAAACTGAATAAAACAACATTTATCCTAAATGTAGATCAAAATACTTACTCAGACATGCAAAATGTTATTATAAATAGTAATACTGATCATTTCTAAGAAATTTAAGCATATAAATAAGACTTTTTTCGCACATGATTATATAGATGAAGAATTTGTTCTTAGGAAACTCTGGCTATTTGGTGTAGTGGTTAGAGCTTTGGACTCAATCAGACTTTTATTCCAAAAGGTCTGGGTTCAAATCCCACAGGTGGAATATGTTTTTATTCTTTATTTTATTTATTTTTTATTTTGATCCACAATATTTCTAAAATAAATTTTACATATGGCACTCAAACCATATTTAGTATTTCCAATGGTTTTAATTTTTATATGAAATCATGGAAAGTTACTTTAAACTGTCTATGGCCCTTGTGAGGTTACAGATAAATGGGTACATTTCATTGTATAAATTAAATATGGCCTCAAAAATATGGGATATACACATATATTGCTCACTTTCATAAACAAAATACAATTAACAATTCTGCTGAAAACTGACCATCTGAAACTATGGAGCTTTTAACTGTATAAGTAACCATATGAAACACAAAAGGAAAGTAGGGAATCTAAGTAAATGCCTGTTAAAGACTGCTAATCATTATTCATTTGGAATGACTTTTATTTGTAAATGTATAGAAAAACACATGAACAATTGTTGCCGATCAAATACAACAATGTATTAAAATAACCTGTTGATTATATCTCATAGAATTTTGAACTTGAACTTTTTAATGTCCACCTGTATAGCTCAGTGGTAGAGCACATGTACCAATTACGCATAGGTCCCAGATTCGATCCCCGGTTCAGGCACTTTGCTTGTTGCGTAAAGTACTTCAGGGTGTTTGACTGAGTGGTCCACAACTCGTAAGAAGGCTGTGGTGTGTACCTGTATGCCTATGTATGAGTGCACATTAAAGAACACAGGGCTCCTTCAAGGAGGGGTTCCTAAATCTGCCTTCCATGAATATGTGTTTATATACAGGATATACCCAAGAGGTATTGCTCACCTTCATTGGCGGTAAACAAAATCAATACAGTGAACCATTTACAAGTACATACAAGTACACCACTCCCCAATGATGCAACATAGTAACTGCTGTGGTCCTATATGGGACACTGAAATATGGTACAATAGACTCAGATAGTACCATATTTACCATAGATAGAACATACATACATGCTCAAAATCTTTACCAGCGAAAATGTGTAGTCCCACTTTAGACTGGGGGCATACTCAGGGAGTGAAGCCTTCCATTTTGAGTTGATGAAATAGCAATCAACAATATTAAATATTGAATAAAATAAGGACAAGCCTCATACTTACCAGCTGTCGATTTAACTTATGTACTGTTTTTTCCACTTTGTGTTCAAGACGCTGTGCATTGAGTAAAAGGTGGGCCAGTAGCACTGTCCATGTGCCTATCACTACCAACAGGGACACCCTGTAGATCAAAACATTAGATATTGTCTACATTACTGGGACACCATGTAGGTCATTGCATGATTATGATATATTAAGGGCCTATTCAAAATATTGAAGTCTTTTTTCACACAAAATTAACAACTGCATTGATTGAAAATATATAGGCAGATTTTCTTCGGTTGTTTTGAGGAATTTTGGCAACTTTTTATCAATATGTTGAAATTGTAATTGCTAGTTGTTTTCATTCATTTTGCCTACTGCCAGAATTTATACCAATGAAAACCCAGTCTAAATTCTACTTACCAAATTTTGATTCTCCTGGGAGTGAGTTTACTTTGAGCAAGTACATTGTCTAGTAGGTAGTAAAGAAGGACTGCCACTCCCATGATATATCCAACCCCACAAAGTTTGTAACTCCAGGGACTCTTCACCCATTGAATATCAAATGCACCATGGATCTCGTCCTAAAAGATAAGGTAGGAACATTGTAGTTTGCAATTTTCTTCCCAATGGAGAGAAACGATTAACAAGGAGATATACAATAGCCAATAATTACTCAAGTATGTCAAGTCAGAGGCATAATAGAGTTGGATACATATTTCTCAAAAATTTAATTTCTGATATTTTCAATTTTACATCCTATCGTTCAGTTATGAATCACAAAGATATCAGGCCTCTAAATAATAGCCCATTCATTTTGTTTGGCACTGCTATACTGTGGGAGTCAAAGTAGTAGGTGTACATGAAGCTCTTTTTAAAGAAGCAAATTGCACATTTCGTAAACATACCATTAAGTTAGTGAAACCAGCATGCCAGTTGAGCACTGTACTGACAAACACATCCTGGCCATTATGGAGCTGGATGGGGTGGCGGAGGGGAAATTCATCAAGCTCCACACAATAGTATTGTAAATTTTTTAAAGTTGTACCTAAAAAAGAATCATGAAAAAACTGTATTATTTTTATTGTCGTTTTGAAGTGAGTGAAATAACAAATAAAGTGAATGATTAGTCTTTTGAACATAAAGTCCTTCAAGAACAACTTTGAAATTAAAAATCTATTATATTTTGATTAAGTAATTTGAAATTTAATATTCAAGTCTTTAAAACATATTGTGATTTATTTTTAAAATGAATGAGTAAATAAAAGATTTGAATTTTAGAGAAATGTTCATAGACAAATTGTTTTGCCACAGTGAGCTGCATCCATTTTTTTGAATGTTGGTTAAAACACATTGATTGAGTGGAACCTACCATGCAAAAACTGGAACAATGCGAGGACTGCAGTTAACATGAAAACACAAGCGACTATAAGCTGTGCTGTTTCTCTTTTAGTTAGTCGCATATTTTCCATTCCTGGCCATAGACTAACTCCGCCACCTATATTTAGTTTATCAGCTTGATTTTTGGCCTCTTGGTGTTTTTCTGTCAGAATCTGTTGAGTCTCTCTCAGCTTCATTTTACCTGTAAAATATTCTATTTCAGTTCACAATACTTCTCAATGGTTCATATTTTTGCTATGTTATGTATTGTATTGTATTGTATATTTATTTACCTCTAATAACTAGAGAGTTAGAATTATAAAGTTACAAATTGAAATAATGAATAAAAACACACATATTTAAAATAGTGAAGAAATGTATATCCCAAGTTAAGATGAAACCTCTATAGATACCGATGCCATCTTCCCCAAGGTCGATAGCTCAGGACCAAAATAGAGTTGGCACACCAACAACGAATTTCTTTTAATTTGCATAGCCAGAATTATGTCTGCTGTTTTTAACTGAATTTCGGTTGTACTTTCACCAAATATTTGTTTTACACGTAACTCATTGCTCATATTATAATCGTTGTCAAATGTTCCATGATATAAATTATTCATTTGCAAACGCTCGAAGCTGAATGCATCACATTGAAACAGGAAATGTTCCATTGTTTCAGGTTCCTTTTTACCACATAGAGTACACCGTAGATTATAATTTGATCTATTCCATTTCTTACAGGAGTTCAAATTGAATTGACCCGTCAATAATTTGACGACGGCTTTAAAACTGTTTAACCTATTTGGAAACTCTTGAGCTAAGATCCACCATATGTTTGGTGTTTTACATTTATGAACAGTTAGAAAATGAGAAAGGCCTGGATGTAACATGCACCTAATCCTGAAAATTGTCTCCTGAAGGTCTTTCACACGACTACAGATCAAACGTTTCCAAGCAGCCTTTGGGATATGTTGACCGTTAAGCATAAGTTTTACATTTTCAATTAGGTCGTATTTTAAAGCTGTATACCACATCTGTGCAATTGGAGAGGTCATTCGTATACGGGCAATTTTGAATTCCATAACTGTCATTCTAAAAATCATCACCCGTTTGTATATATTAGCCATTGGCAGGTTTAAGAGCATCCATATAAACATTAATTTTGAGATGTCAACTCTGTATTCCATTCCCCACCAACCGAGGGGTTCGTAAGCCACGGGGCACTCTGCAAAAGCAGGGAGTGATTGAATCCTCCTGCCTACTTTACGCTGTGCAGTTTCCATCTGTGATATGTTATTTGACGAATACGGAATTACATTAGAGCCGTATGTCATGGAATGAATTGCAAATGTTTCAAATGTTATGGAATAATTCATTTGATCATTAATCCACATGATAATCAAAAATGGCTAATCAAATGTCTTCCTATTTTGTCTTGACATCATCAAGGTCAAAGGTCATTTAATGATATGGACAAAGGCACTCATTTAACAAACATGATCAACCTTTTATGACTAATCGTATTTTGTTTAACATAATGTTAATGGTCTTTTTCACACTGAATCTTTTTCATGATGGTAATCAGTCTTTAGATGCCTTCTAATCAAATGTGAGAATATAATATGAAATATTGTTGGGATATGTAGTGCTGTGAAACGGCCATGTACCTAGTTGAAATAAAATATTCTACCTACCCCCAGGTGTCATTCTGAGCCTGGCGAGACCTGGACTTGTACGCTCTGTGGGTTCAGCACTCCCTATATGCAGTTGCTCAAGACGTGATTTCAGGTCAAACACCAGCTTTTGTTGGGCCCTGAAATATTGGCAATTGTTTCATCAAAGATTGTTATTTTGTGATAGTTTGCCATCTAAGTTCTAATGGTCAACTTTACCCACATTTCTTATTGCTCTTATACCTTATGTTTTTGAGGCTTTTATATCTCAAAGTGTTGTACAGTTGTAATTCGCCAAATTTGAGTCACAAAATTCCAAGGAAATTCCCGGGGATTTCAACGTTGACAAACTAAATCGCACGTGAAAAATACAAGGAGTACAATATGCATATGTGAGTAAGTAAGCATGAGAGGATTTAATGCAAATTAGCACTTTTTCAGGAATTTTCTATCATATTTTTTTGGTAAAAACTGTCCATGGGCGTAGCACTTATTACGCAAAATATGCACAGGCGTAATAAATGAATTTGAAAAAAATTAAAAATGTGTTAAAATGCATTAATTTATTTGCAAATTTATTGATACTTCCTACCGTATTTGTATTTTTACCATTGTCACCATTTAAAGTTAATAAAAACGCTTAGATTCTATCAAATAACGTCCTTGAAAAAGAATTTGATAAAAAAGCTTAGATTCCATCAAATAACGTCCTTGAAAAAAAAATTCCCGGGGGCCTGAGCCCCGGACCCCCCGTGATGCACGACCTTCAGCCACGCAATCAGGCATCCCGAGTGTGTGTTCCAACTCAAAATATAGCCCTACGCCCATGCTGGCGTAATCCTTCAGAATCCTTCATAGATTTTTGAATGTCCAATATTGCTAGCCGGGATTCACAGTCGAAAAGAATGTTATGGCGAAAGGAGATTGGGATTCCAATTTTTTGAAGTTGGGAAACAGGAATGAAAAAAAATGAAGTTACCTTTTCTATTTCCCGAATCTCTCCGAAGTTAGCTCATCTTGGTGACTGTAAATTGCACAGCTGTATTCAATGGAGTGTTCCCGTATTCAATCATCCTCAATTTTAAAGTGTTTATTTTATTTTTAACGTGTTTTCATTGTTTTTTGTCGACTGGTAAGATCTGGCCGAGCAAATGGCAAGATGGATGACCCTTGACCTCACCTTGACCGATGGTGATCACGTCATCAATATTACCAAGATGGCGGTTTCAAAATTTTCTAAAATCGCTTCAAAAAATATTATATTAATTTCTAGCGAGTAAACCTATTTCATAGTTTGCGTTTTCACAATAAGATAAAGAAATGTGTTAGGAATTCGCTTTTATCAATTAAAACATCACATCGACATGTGGTATTCGTAAACTAGACGATGAAGATTACGGGCGGGGGGGGTTTTGAAATGATGTCACTTCTCAAATGGAATTCTCAACGAGCTGCATAGCAACTGTGGAATAAACAATTTCTGATCGCTAAAGATCAGTCCCTTGCAAAATACTGAGTAATTACTTTTTTCTATGGTTCATTACGAATCACTTAATAATTATCTTACAAATGAATTCTTCTTACATTAAAAATTAACATCTCATAAAATATGTCTAATTTAATAGGTAGGAAACACAAAGACATACAGTTTTTAACGATCATTTTTTTAAGTAGGTCGAATTTTTTAGAAGGATAACCTTCCCGGGAATTTTAAGATTGTCACGTCTTGTTTGAGAATGAGACCTTGTGCCAAAGGCCCGTTTTTAGTCAGTTGATCTGTTCAAAGTGACAATTTAGGGAACAATATTTTCTATCTACGTCGATTACAAAGCATCTGAGGTATGTAAATTTATATGAACAACTGAGTCAATAGGGATAAATAGCCCAACGAGAGTAGGTGCTCTTGAAAAATACTTGGATCTTGTTTCCGATCCTGGTATTCAATTGATATCTTATCTCGTTCGAAGAACGTATTTGACGTCCGTGCTGGGATTGCTAGTAACAGAGATTGTTACCTGAATGGTGTGCCTTCACGAAGAGGTGTGGACTCGTGATTTCCTCTCTGTGGTGTTTCATCACCACTTAATCCTGGAACATGTAACTCCCCATTGGAACAATTTTGGTTAGCATTCTTCACCGGAGTGTGGCCAAGTGAATCAGCGCGGCTTTGTGATCTAGTCCGCACTCTTGGTCTTCGTACAAATGCACTCATTTTGATATCACATTATAATTTTATGTTGATAGATCTGCCATCAATGCTGAGAACAAAACAAACTGCACTGCCTAGACTTTGAAATCTTCTAAACCTGATACCTGGAAAGAGAAAAATGATAAAATTTTCAATTCTTCCATTTCAAGTTGAAATTCTCAGCTTTGACCAAATTGTAGTTGCACAAACTTTGCTCCATTGTACCCAAGACTTGACTTATCACATCAAAACTGTAAAATTAATTATACAATGATATATAAGTCCCTAAATACAAAAAGAATGCAGTGGCTTACCTTTAAAACATGCGCCTCAGGATTCTGGTTGGAACTCAAACTCCTCGCGAAACGAAATTACTCGGTCAGCGAGGGAATATTAAAAATCTGGCAAAATTTCGTTGTTTGATTGTTAAATTAACAGTGGTTGGAAAGAGGGATGGTAGAAAGAATATATAAAGAAGACAAACGGCCATCTAATGCCAAGACTTAAGAAGTCCGCTTCAGTTTCTGGAGGTAAGTAAGACACGAAATACTGACTTGAAGATGGAAATCTTTACTTTTCACTTATTATCGCCCACCATCTTTGTTTTTATTTTATATTATTTACTCAACTTTACATATTACGGATAGTCCACATGGTGAACTATATTTTAACGTGTTAATTAATTAGTTTAGTTATTCTAAACATACTGGAAGTGATTATGATGTACACCATTTCACCTTATCCTGTGTCAGGACTATAGTCCTAGAGAACGGGCTGATCTTTTGCCTGAATAATTATCCCATCGAACGAAGTTCGGAGGGATATAGGGAACGCCTCTGTCCGTCCCTACGTCCGTCTGTCCGTCGGTCCAGGCAATAACTCAAACACTGCTGGCCCGATTTTGTTCATATTTTATGCATATACCCTATGGGGTAGAAGTTCTGCTCGAAAGCGGATTTTCAAATTAGCCGCTCATTTAAAAATGGCGGCCATTTTAGTGCTGAATTTACAGTAATTTAGGTGCAATATGTAAAACTGTAATAGCAATATGTTTTAAATGTAAAAAAATATATACATGTACATGTATATACATTAATAAAGCTAGAAATGTAGATACTAAAGAAGCACATGGCAGCCATCTTGAAAAATGGCGGCCTTTTTTGTATTGTATTTTGTTTACCACCAATGAAGGTGAGCAATACCGCTTGGGTATGTCCCGTATATGTACGGTCGTAATTTACGTAATTAACATGGAAGATAGACCCAGAAACCCCTCCTTGAAGGAGCCCTGTGTTCTTTTATGTGCACTTATACATAGACATACTTACTCGATATTTTACGATATTTGCTGTAACTCGAAAAATAGCGATTTTGTTCATATTTAGTATGTGAATACTATAGGCATGGCACACTGTCTAATGACACTTTTGGTAGAGGGTGGCCATTTTGAAAAATGTATGAATTTGCTATATACTTTGTTTGTAAAAATGCCAACCATGGCTGTTCGATGGGATTTTCTACACTTTGGCGTTGCTGTTGTCTAGTTTTTGTACTGGCGGATCCAGGAACTAACAAGTGGGGCCCAAATTATGAGATATGAAAAAATAGTCCGCATTTTTGCAGGGAATAAAATTTTGGGCCCCTAAAACCAAAAATTGGGCCACCATTTTGAAAAGAGGCCCATTTTTGGGTAGTTCAGCCTAAAAAGGCCTAAAGAGGCCAAATTATGCCCAAAAAGGCCCACTTCTTGAGGCCCTACAAATTTTTGAACCTTAACATTTTTTTCCGGGCCTACAAAAGAGGGGGGGGGGGCACCATGACCCCCCTGGATCCACCAGTGTTTTGTGAACTAACAATTCCTCAAATAATAATAATTTTGTGGATTATTTTCACTGCAATTTCCAAAGGAGAGTACATAAGGTTGACAGACTGACTAGGTGCATAGGAGAGGCAGAGACAAAAACATGTTCTACTCCATCTGATTTTCACAAACTTTCTCTTATTTGAGAGCCTTCATCTCAGTGTCTGGCTCCTGTTAACTACATACTAATCAGATATCTATGAAGCAAATCAAATTGCTACATGTAGAGTTTTCAGTTGACCACTCAAAATCATCAGTAATATTTGAAAATTTTGAGCAGACTCCCAGAATCAATATAATGAGTTTTATAGCTTTACCCATCTGAGTGCGGATAAAATATAATTATTGTGTCATATAATGTAAATAAACTTTTAACATCGAGGATACATGTATATTTATGTGATGAATATTTTTCAATGAAAGTAATCATTTTATTCAATAGAAATCACCCTTAAGAGTTCTGAAATACATATGAGTTTCGAAAATTTCTAGACTTTGAATATTTTCAGAAGTTGGCTTAGGCGGAGAACTTCCCAACAGTCCTAAAAAGAGGAAAAGAAGGAAAAAATCTAGCCCGGTAAGAAAATGGAAAATCTTTTACTTTCAACACTGAACAGTGAACAATCATTGAAATTCAAAAAGAGTTTAATTATTTTCAAATTAGCTTGTTATTTCAATGAATGATCAAAGTTCAGAGGTATGGAGAACATTTCTGTCATGTTAGCCCGGTAAGAAAATTTTTTGCTTTCAATAATGAACAGTGAACAATCATTAAACAAATTCAAATTAGCTTATTATTTCAATGAATGATCAAAGTTCAGAGGTATGGAGAACATTTCTGTCATGTTACTGCAAGTTGTTGCTTATGATGTTGTTTAAGTTCAAAATTCATTTTTTTCCGAAGAATATGGCAGTTAACCCCTGAGAAAGAGAATGGGTTCACTTGCTGATTGCATCATTGCATTTTTTCCAGGCTGACAGCGGAAACATTCCAGACCTTGTGTCCCCCTTAACTGGAGGTTACCTCAATCATCACATGGTAGCACATAATCCATTTGACGATTTTACTGGACGTGTTCCCCATCAGTTACCTCCTTTAAACCCTGACCAGGGATACCAACAGACTCAACAGTTGCATCATTTCCCCCAGGGGCCAGGAAACTTCCCCCCTCAGCAGTTGCCTGGGGACCCTTCTATGATCAACAAACCAAGGCCTGGACTGCAACATATACCAGGCCAAATACAAGGTCAACCATATCCATCTCAGGGCCCTTCACCATCAGACAAACTTCAAAATATGCCAGGTATCCCAAGCCAAGGTCATATGCAAGGACAAGGTCAAATGCCTGGCCAAGGTCAAATGCCTGGTCAAGGTCAGATGCCAGGCCAAGGTCAAATGCCAGGCCAAGGTCAAATGCCTGGTCAAGGTCAAATGCAAGGTCAGATGCCAGGTGGAGTACCGCAACAAAGACCTACTGGGGTTGGTAAAACATACCCCCAGAATCAACCAATGGTATTTAATCCATCAAACCCAAATGCACCCCCTATTTACCCATGTGGAGTGTGCCATAAGGAAGTTCATGATAACGACCAAGCAATATTATGCGAGAGTGGATGTAATTTCTGGTTCCATCGGAGCTGTACTGGACTCACTGAGGTGGCTTATCACATGTTAACACAAGAAGTATATGCTGAGTGGGTCTGCGATAATTGTCTCAATACTAAGAAAATACCCCTCATCAAAATGAAACCATGATTCAGATGTCCTAACAGGCAGACATTACTATACATGTACTTAAAATCTCCCTTAAAGCTATTTTCAGATATACAAATGGTGACAAAATTACAATCAACATTTAGATTTTCCTTCCAATCTTTTCATAGATTAACTCAAAATGGCATTCCAAGATAGAAATGTATTTGTATTTGAGGAGAAAAATGTTTAAATCTCTATATCTCAAAAGCATTTTTGGCTTGTCTGTAAAAATTGCAAAATACAGAATTTTGAAATATTGTATATCTGATATGGCTTACTCTTGGTTTGTGGACTAATTTTTGCATTGTTAATATGGAAAACATGTGGTCGTAAATGAAATATTTGCATTAGTATTATTAAAGTATTTTGATAAGTGATTAATGAAGTTATTTTAAGCATAATAATCATGTATTTATGAATACAGTACATTTATATTGGGATTGAAGGTTGATTGTTGAAAGTACATGTATACAATTTTATATACTTACTGGCAAAGTATGTACTTGGTATAATAATCTATTAAATATATTGCAATTGATTATGAAAAATGACAAAAAAGTCCCAGGTTTGTATATATTATCATATTTTTATTACGGACATTTACTTATGATTTTTCTATCATATTAGTCATGCATCAAGCTTTTATGGAGCTGGAGAATACTGGGGCTTGATACAAGACTACCATTTACAGTATGTTCAAGTAGTTACTGCTTGTGGTATTTCACAGAGGTTTGTTAGAAATATAGCGCATTAAAGGAATTAGAAGGAGTAGAGAGTGCAAAATGTTGGGAGCAATTTTTTTCAAAAATAATGCCAATGTTTCCTTTGCAAGATTGATTGGATTTTATGAAAAAATGACAATTTTTTGAAACATAATCCCAACTGTCTCTGTCCCTTCTAGTCCAATTAAATCAATGTAAATTTGTGACAGGATGTGAATTAAAAACTAAAGAAGTGGCTGAAAGAGGAAATTACATTGCATCTGGTCAGTTATGTCATTTTGTGTCACTTGTTTGCAGCTCAAATGTTGTTATGATGTAGAATACAAACTGTATACAACTCTGTGATTTATTACAGGCAACATGTATCTGCACCTTTATGCTTTGTAATACAAACAGTATTAATGGGTAGTCAATTTACGCATTCATACAAAATCAATTGTTTCATAAAACAATTTGATTTATTTTATGGAGAAGCATGTATAAATTATTTGTGATTTGTTTTGTTTGTATTATAGATCTTGCATTGGTCATTGGTTATAAGGAGAAATTTGCGGGAACCCTCAACCAAAATTGCCCTCATAACATGTCAATGGAATATACAATTCTTAAAATCGCGGATTCGGTAGTATTGAATCTCTAATAAAGATGGCGCGAAAGTTTTTCCTTATAAGGTCAAAATATTTCCCATGATGCAGTTCGCGGGGGAACAAAATTTTTCTACCTTGTTTTTCCCCGTTGGTTTAACATGGGGATTTTCATACCCATTTTTCAAGCGATAATTCGATCGAATCTCCATGCGATCGGAGAAAACAAACTATCAGAAACAATTAGTCTTTTAATAATCTTTATATAACATATATTTTTTTTCATTTTATTGGCTCCTAACGGGGTGAAAACAATGATTGAAAATGGGAGTATATTCCGGAAGAGAAGAAGTCACGTGACTAGTCGCCATATTGGAAAAAGCAATTCCATTCGACTTTCAACACGTTCATGCCAATATTACCGCACTACAAACTGTAACATCGATGCAACAACTGAATAAAAGTACTCATCTTCATATTACATTATAGAGTTACGTTGAAAACCCACAAACAACTGAGCATTTGACCAAAGAAGACACGTCGCTATTATCTAGGTCAAGTTTAGTGGTTCGAAAGCAAATCTTACATACTCGTTTCCGAATTTTGTTCTTAATTGTATAATCTTTTATTGATTAAATCTGGTATACTGACTATTAATTCAATGACAAAGAAGAAGAATTCCGATGGTGTCATTTTTTTATTTAGCTTGCGGGTGTAAAAACAAAATTGCGTAATTAATTTGATTTAGAACTTTCGGGTCTCACAAATAGCTACACGAAATGCATCGTTGAAAAATATTGACCAATCAAATTTTGTCCTTTTTGAGTACATATATGCACCATATATGCGAACGTTCTGATTCAAAGAGCGAACAGCGAAATGGAGAATTACACATGTGGTTGAAAAATGTTCAAAATTCAATGGTGCTTATTTTGAAGAGGACTTTACTAACTGTACTTCAACTTATTTTGGCGCTACTTATTTTGACAGATTTCAGTTTTAAACATTTGCCAGCTACTTAATTTGGCGGACTTGCAACATTTCAATGTACTTATGGTACTTATTTGTATGTTACTAAAATTACTTATGAATTTGGCGGTGACTTAATAATGGTCTTCAAATTAAGTAGAAGTACAATGCATAGGTATTGTAAAGTAACACAGGGTTACTATTTGAAGACAATGCAAGGATACCTCCTTGAAAAAGTAAGGAAATACACATGACTGTATGCCTTGATACTTTATTTTTTACCAGAAAATGATATGGGCGGGTGTCAACATTTTATAAACTGGACAGATTACTTTCTGCATCACAGAAATATTTTGGTATATGGTGTATTTTCTATTCCTTAGATATTTATTCAGTCATTTATGATTAGTTAAATGAAAAATCAATACCAAAACCACTAGTATAATTAATACACATAAAATAGATATTTATACTCTGATGTTGTAAAATATGTATACATCATGATTTTATTTGTACAATGTTATTCCTTTATCACATTGCGGTGTCTGTTTATAATATAGAACTAAGGTAAAACAAAATCATATGTCAAGTAATTTGTAGTTGATAGTTCGACTGTGTTACCACCATACTGTAATTTGGGTTAATTTGACATTTTTTGGTTAATTTGACATTTTTCGGGGTTAATTTGACATTTTTTGGTTAATTTGACATTTTTCGGGGTTAATTTGACATTTTTTGGGTTCATTTGACATTTTTTGGGGTTATTTGACATTTTTTGATTTGGTGAGATAATTTTTTTCATACTTTCTCGACTATGTCTTTCCATTTTTTATATTGTAAAAACTGGTCAGAAAATGATTTGTCTTTTATGAGGTTCAATACTATTTTTAAATTTTAAATGTGTTATCGAATATTAGGCAAAGTTCTGAACTGGTGAATTTTTCAAATAAAAAATAAAACAGGCGCCAAATTAACCTAAGTTACACTAAACTTATATATCATGTGATTTATAGTATTCTCATTGTAAAAATTGTGTACTTAATACTTGACTAATGGAATAATGGCTTTTACATATCTGCTTAATGTTGCATAGATGTAGTTCTAGGATACTCATTTAGAGGTTAAATGAAATGATTGTATATTTTGAAATGAAAAATTGTATATAGTTTTATGAAATACTGAAATCAAAAATGTCCATAACTGTATTATGTGGAGTGAATACTGTTTTAAAGTACCTTATCTAATATTTAGATTTCAGTAGGATAATTTATAGCTCTTTTTGAAAATAACATACATGTATATAAATAATACTTCTCTGATAAAATGTACAGTAAAACATGTCTAATCTGAGTCTCTTTGATGGACCAACCAGCTTTGGATTGGTCGGTGTTCACTTTCAAGGATTTTTAACATAAAAGTCAATGTTAGAGTAAAAAATGGACTTGAGAAAAGTGTTCACATTGAGAGGTGTTCAGATTAGAAAGGTGTTTGATAACAGGTTTGACTGTACAGATCTAACAGCTGTAAAAACCTGGTTCAAAAAACCAGAGTAGAAAAATGAAAACTTCACTGAAAAGGTAGTTCTAGTAAAACCAGTAAGAAATGGAAATCTTGATTCCAGAATTTCTTTAGAAGATTTTCTTCAGAAATACATAAAAATTGGTTGTGACAATATATGTAATTGTATATGACTGCTATTAGAAGTAGGTTTAAAATGCAAGTATTTGAGCTTGTATAAAAGTTTGGGCTAAAATATTCAAAATTAACAACCTACAATTTCCTTAATATATGAGAATTATATGTATTGTATTTTGATACATAGCTTCTTTCTTTCATAAAAATACCAAAGGTTGAAAGAGAATGCCCACTAAATGACTTGACATGTGCAAATTACATTTAAACAATGCAAATTACATGCACCCCTTAAAATTTCCAAAAAGCAATTACATGTATCTCTAACTATGTGACTGGTTTTTCAAGTTCTGACATCTACAAAAAGATGATTTGTAACAAAGTGTAACAATCATGATTTCTCAATTTTTGTGTATTTTAAGATCAGAAACAAGAACTGAAACCCATGAATAGAACAGAATTTTATATATGTATGTAGATGTATAAATATACTTATATTATACAATGTGAATGGTTTATATGATTTAATGAAACATATATGTTATATGGTATGTTTCTTATTTTTTGTAGATATATGTACATGTTAGTGGTCTTATAGGTAGATTAATATGTCAACCTATTTTTTGTAAAAACATGAATTTTATCAGTAGAGTAGTCTTCCATATGAAGGAATAAACTTACATTTTTTCAGTTGCAAGTAAATTATTTTATGTGTGTATTTTTGGGAGTTATGTAACATTCATATCCTTGAGGGAAATAGTTCTCTCTCCATGAGATATATCAATTCGTTATATTCCATGATAATGTTTTAAAAAGTTAGGATAGATTTTGGAATTATGCGTCATTAAAGATTATAGAATGAATTATATTGTAATCTAATTGATTCTGGAAGGTTGTGTCATCAAATCTGTACACATGTATCTCGGTTTCACCATACAGTTCGATGGAACCATGAACAAAACTTGACCTTTTAGAATTGATAGAAAATATCTCTTCATAAATCTTTCTTATTGTCCCATTTTCGTTCAAAATGATGACTGATGATAACATATGTTCTAATTGTTTGATGGGATTTGATGGGACTTACTGTCACAAAATTAATGAACTGATACAAATTCCAACTTAATTCCAATGACAATCCTATTATCTTTAATTTCCTGACATTGAAAAACTTGCATATGAAAGTCAATCTTCCTCCCAAGTGTTCTGAGAAAATAGAAAATGAATTTATTTTTTTGTTAAGATTGATTTCGTTTCACAATCTAGTTTGCCACATGATTGTTTACTAATGAGGTCAAGGTCACTAAACCCGGAAGTGATTGTTTGAAAACAAGCAGAACTCGGATACATCACAAAATGTCAAGTTATCTTAAGTTAATGATAAACTAGACTGTCATATGATATGGAATAGATCTTTGGACCACCATGTTTAGGTTAGGGGGGAAACTAAAGTTAATCTCAAAGGTAATTATTTGTTATTTTGCTCTAAAATAAAAACACGGTGCAAGTTGAAAGAAACTTCCAACTGTTGCAACAGCTGACAAGTGACATCCACTGAGATGGCATACCTTGGAGAACAGTGACCATGCGAATCTGACCCGAGAGAATTACACAGTTAGTCTGTTTTCTGTCCATGTAATGTCCTGTTCATAAATACAATCAAGACACAGTCAAGATCATTCAAGATTTGGCACTCACTTCAATAGCATTGGATAAAAAGCTCCAAAATTATGGTCATATAATATCCCGTAGCTTATACTATATCATTTGTTTCTTTTTCAGATCCAAGACTTTGTACCAGTTCGTTGGAAAAGCCAGTTTGAAATTAAGATGACAAATGTGTCCTCGCACCTTATCCTGCGCAAAGTTCCCGATAGCTTAGCTAAGCAATCACAGTGTTCACGTCCATTGGTGCTACTATTTCCTTGGTTAAATTCCAAACCCAAAGCAGTGGATAGATACTGTGGTTTATACCATAAGAATGGACTCGATGTGTTAACAATCAGGAGTGATGCCAAGCATTTTCTATGGCCATCCAAGGGTGTAGAAATAGCTCAAGAGCTCCTTGAGTATTTATCAAAGGAAAAACCAACAGTACCTTTAATGGTCCATGCTTTTTCGGTCGGTGCATACACTTACACAATTTGCTTCATGGAATTGGTTAACAATGCCAAGAAATATGGAAATGTTAAAACTAGAATATGTGGCCAGATCTTAGACAGTTTTACTTATGGTGGACAAAAAGAACAAGGTCTATCCAATATGGGTAACGGGATAGCAATAGCTGCTACCAAAAAATCATTCCTGCAGTCCATGATTCGTGGTGGAATCGCCTCTTACTTTACAATCACAAGACCATTTACTGTCAAGTTCTACGCAGATGCACTTGAACAGGTTTGGGAGATGCCAATCAAGGTTCCAACGTTAGTAATATATTCAAAGGATGATCCCATGTGTTGTCCTGAAGAAACAGAAAAACTTATTGCTAATTGGACTGAGAGAAACGAGTTTGATGTAACAACAAAATGTTGGGATAAATCCGTACATGCTGGACATCTTCTTAGTCACCCAAAAGAATATGTGGATACTTTGAGCCAGTTCTCGAAAAAAATTGGGATATATTCCCTTCAGGCAAAACTTTAGAGTAATAAAGGGATACATGTATTCAATTAGGGGGTTATCAAATGCTAAATGCTTATACTTGTTACTGTATCAAGATTCAAGATTTTATAACCCTCCTCCCCATTCTATTCAAGACATAAAGCTCACAATAGCTCAGTTTGTAATGATATGGTAATTTATGTTTACAAATAAATATGATAAAAATAAGTCTTGGTAAATTGTGTTACAATGGTTGCAAACCCCAAACCCTCTAAATTCATTTTATTAAATATATATGTCCTGTATATATTTAAAGGAATATTTGGACATTGAGGAAAAAGCTGTCTGTAACAGTTAAATTTTGTCTTAAAATTTCTCATAGTACTGAACAACATTTTCAAAAATGATTAAATTATCCAACGGAACAAGTCCCTTACTGTATGACAGGCCTCAAACTGAGAGTTATTAATGATGTTGTTAACAAACAAGTAAACTGACAACCAAACCCTCATTTTGACTGGAATTTTTCTGGCTATTAGGCCAAGAAAATAATTCTTATGCATTAATAGGGCCTATTGCAAATGTTAAACACTAAACAATTTACAGTACTTTTAAATTATATGTCAAGTCCATGGCCTTCTATATACCTGTCAGTAAAAATGGGTTATTTTGTCCTAAAAATCAGGGTTGTTTAATCATATACACCATGTGCAGATAGTCAAGGTCAATACATCTGTGATTATGGCATGGATATAAAATCATATCAATATTTCGCTGTAGATAACTGTAGATGGACATTCTTTGTGAGTGCTTCAAAAGAACTGCCCATACTAAATAATTAATTCCAAGTGAGCTCTCATGAGTCTAATACCTGGTTCCGGGTCTAATGGGGCTCCTTCCAATAGCTGAGTGGGTGTTACCCCAGTTAGCCATGAACTCCTTGAGCCTAATAAGACTGAGTGTATTGGAATAAGGAAGTTATTTTGGATGCATTTTGTGACCTGTGGAGGGTTTGGAGGGGATGTGAAATTTGAAATGTCAAAGGCAGTGCCCCTGCTGGGGAGAGGGATGTTAAACTGAACAAAATGCAATATCAAAGTCAGTGCCCTTCCTTACCCAATCACGTGACGTGTCACGTGACATTGTATTCAACATGGCGGACAACGTGGCAGAAAAAATGGAGGAGCTGAAAATCGAAGGACAAAAGGCATGATTCTTCCTAATATTTAATGGTGACAGTTTAACGTTTGAGATCAACATTTCCACATGATTTCCAAGTTTCGATTTCATTCCTTGGTGAAGAGGCTTGGCCCCAGCTTCTTGAGAATAATGAGCACGGTTTGCAACTTTTTTTTACCGGTAAAAATTTTCTGAAAAAAAAAATAAACAAATGGCAAATGGCTGTTGCATACTTTCCTTGATTTCGTAGATTTCTGTTAAATGTTTAGAAATCTAAATAAAATGTTTAAACGCAGTTATTGTCATTTATAATTGCATCAGTTGTATGTAAGCTTGTAAAACTTATTTTCATCGTATTGCATCATCATTTTATTTGACTATTTGGTGACATTATTTACTCTCGAGATCAGTGCTTTAGTTCTTGACATTGGTAAATCTGCAGGGTACATCGTACATTCCATCTCTCGAGAATATGCTGGTGAGTAGTTTTTCTTCACTTCATCTAAATGTGTGAGTAGCTTATCAATTACTGCGATGACGAGTTTTGGGATAGTCCTGTAGTGAGTATACTTTTATGTACAATTACTCTTGCTGTTTGGAGCATATCTTTCACACTGAAATATCAAACCTCAATAGATTCTTGGATTCCTAATGAAAGTCCTGATTTGGTTCAAATCCCAATTGGCTGGGTTTATTGGAACAAAATGTTAGTTTTATAGTGGATTACATCGCACCTTTAGTCAAGATGATGATAGACACTAAGGAATCGGATGATCAGTTATTAATTCTTTATCTAGTGCTGAAGACTTTTGATGGTATTAATAAAATAAAACTGCTTTTGAAAGGGAAAATTTTCTCATTTTGCCTTTCAACCCAAACATTTAGAGTTTCAGATACTGTACTCCCACTAATATAAATTAATAACGATCTCTCTTCTAATTTCTCTTTTTCAAAACTGAAAATGTCATGTTTTTACCTATTATTGCCCAGCACTGGACGAAAATATTGTCAACATTGAAATCCCTGGGAATTTCCTTTGGAAATTCGCGACTATCAAATCTGCTAATTATCCCATCGAACGAAGTTCGGAGGGATATAGGGAACGCCTCCGTCCGTCCGTACGTACGTCCGTCCGTACGTACGTCCGTCCGTCCGTCCGGGCGATAACTCAAATACCGTTGGCCTGATTTTGTTCATATTTTGTACACATATACCCTATGGGGGTAGAAGTTCTGCTCGAAAGCCGATTTTCAAAATGGCCGCTCAATTCAAAATGGCGGCCATTTTAGTGCCGATTTTACAGTAATTTAGGTGCAATATGTAAAACTGTAATAGCAATATGTTTTAAATGTAGAAAAATTATGAAGGACATTAATAAAGCTATAAATGTAGACATTAAAGAAGCACATGGCAGCCATCTAGAAAAATGACGGCCTTTACTCGTTATTTTACGATTTTTGCTATAACTCGAAAAGTAGTGGAGCAATTTTGTTCATATTTTGTATGTGAATACTATAAGCACTTTTGGTAGAAGGCGGCCATTTTTCAAAATGGCCGCAATTTTAACGTATATTACTATAACTCGAAAAGAAGTGGAGCGATTTTGTTCATATTTGGTATGTGAATACTATAAGCATGGCACACCGTCCTATGACACTTTTGGTAGAATGCGGCCATTTTGAAAAAAAATTTGAAAAATGGCCGCCATTTTAACGTATTTTACTATCACTCGAAAAGTAGTGAAGCGATTTAGTTCATATTTGGTATGTTTCATATTTCATATGTGAATACTATAAGCATGGCACACTGTCTAATGACACTTTGGGTAGTAGGTGGCCATTTTGAAAAATGGTCACCATTTTTATGTTTTTACTATAACTTGAAAAGTAGTGAAGCGATTTGGTCATATTTGATATGTGAATACTCATGAGCCTTGCACACTGTCTCATGACACTTCAGATAGTAGGCAGCCATTTTATAAAAATGGCTGTCATTTTTACATTTTTTACTATAACTCGAAAACTAGTGGAGCAATTTTGTTCATATTTGATATGTGAATACTTTAAGCATGGCACATTGTCTAATAAAACTTTGGGGAGTAGTCAGCCATTTTGAAAAATGGCCACCATTTTTATGTGTGTTATTTTACAAGTACATGTATGCGATTTTTCAAAGATTTTATAGGTGGCTACTTAAAAGCATATTATTTCTTCTGATGACAACTTGGCTAGTGAGCAACCATTTTGAAAATGGTGGCCTTTCTGGTGTGTTGTTTTATGATGTTTGCTATATATTTCGTTTGTAAAAATGCCAGCCATTTCTGTTCGATGGGATTCGCTACGCTTTGGCGTTGCCGTTGTGCTGGTTAAAACTGGAGGAATTTCGCGACTATTATATTTCGCGAATTTTCCAAAACTCATGAAAAGCGCGAAATATAGTAGCGCGAGAAAATTACTGAGAGTACAGTATACATGTATAAATGTAATAAGAATCCTAAAACATTATGAATTGATTGCATTATCATCATCATCATCATATTCTGAGCTTATAGGTCAATATAGTCCTGTTGGTTGCTCAGATCTTGAAGTTTATAGCTTATTTACATTTAAACAAAGTCATATTAATAATTATGCCAATATCTGTCTAACATTCCCTTAAACCTATCTAAACTGTCTGCTGTCATCCCAGGGAAGCTGTTCCAGTCTTCAATAACTCTGATACAAAAGGCATTTCTCCTAAGTGTGGTTTTACAGTGGTGTTTATACATTTTTAGGGAGTGACCTCTCAGCTCTAGTGTTTGTAGTTGTAGACATGGTAAAAAGAGACCTAGGCTCAATAGTGTCAATTCCATTCAATATTTTGTATACCTATATCACATCGCCTCTTCTTCATCTAGATAAGGCATGTTTCTCAATTCTGTGATTAGTTTTATAGTGGCTCTCCTCTGAATTTGTGCCATTCTCCTGTTTTCACCAAGTAGTCTTGGGCACCAGATACTATTACCATAGTCTAAGATTGATTGAACCATGGATTTGTAAAGTGGCATTATGATTTCCTTTGTGTGTGTTAAGGTTCTTTTGATTATGCTATTTTTAACAGTTATATGTGCCCAAAACTACCAAATCGCAATCCAATAGGTAGACTGGCACTAGCCCTTAAGAACTAAATAGTCTTGGTATTGGGTAAGGAGATATTTTAGGAAGCTACCTGTAGACCTGTCATGATAAATTCTCTATTTCCTTTAGTTTGTGAGCTGAGCAGTGAAATTTGCATACAAGTAAGGCAGTATTCTTCAAGGAGTTAGACTGACCAAGGCAGTACTTGATTGGAAATATTAAAATTGCTTCTTGATCTCTCACCATGGCCGTTTTGTATTGCAAGTCTATTCAATGTCACAAGGGGCTAGGCAGCACTATCAAATATATATCAAATATCATATTTCATTTCACTACTACTACTATTCTCTACCCAAATATGTCTTATTCTCTACTCCAATGCTTCTTATTCTCTTCCCCAGTGGTTCTTATTGTCTACCCTAATGTTTCTTATTCTCTACCAAAATATGTCTTATTCTCTACCAAAATATGTCTTATTCTCTACCCCAATGCTTCTTATTCTCTTCCCCAATGTTTCTTATTTCCTACCCTAATGTTTTTTATGTACCCCAATGTTTCTTATTCTTAATGCAATATATTTTCATTGCAGGGTAATGAAGGAGGAGGGGAGGGAGGGAAAGCAAATAAGAAAGCTAATAAAAAACCAAAGAAGAAAGAAGATGGAGGTGGATCAGCATATCCAGTAGAGGTATAATTTTCAATATTGCAACTTGAACACGGGTTTCACTAGAATTTCTCACAAAAGGCTAAATGAATGAAAACAACAGGCAAAATTAATGGAAATCATAAATTTAACATGGAAATGATGAAAAGTCCCTAAAAACAACAGGTGATCTTGGGAAAACAACATGTGAAAATCGTCTGTTGCTTGCTGCTAATGAAACCCCTGTTGAAGTAGGGTGGTTGAACTGCCTAATTTTCTGGATCAAATACTTTTTTTTGCCACATTTTAGATACCCTTTAGATTTATTCAATATATAGATATGTTGCGTTTTGTTAAAATTATGAAATTCTGCTGAAGTTACATTTTACGATTCTATTTGGTACCATTTGCAGTCAATTTCATTATGGTCCTCTCGTTGAATAAAAGTCCATTATTTTATTCAAGGCGAGTCAATACTCAGAGTAGGGCTGTGCCGGAACCGGTTCGGACGGTTCGGAATCGGAACCGGAACTTGGTCTCACGGAATCGGAACTTTCGGAACCCCTTTTGGTTCACAAATGAAAATAATTATGTATGAGTGAGTTCGACGGCGATCATGACGATATCGTCGTCCAAGTTTGTCAGGTTAACACTTACCTTTCCTGTCAAGCAAGTTTGAATGTTTTTACGAAAGAAATAGACTCTAAAATCTGTAAAAAGAGAGAAAATTCGATCTTTTTTCTACTTGTTTTCACTTCCGGCTGCTCTGACCATAATGCGCATGCGTAATTGAAAAAGTTTTGAAACGAAATCAACGAAATTGAAAAACTGTGAAACCCAAGGAGGATTGGGTCCCAACTCACTAATTGAAGTCCTTCTAGGTTAATTAATTTTAAAATAAAATAGACTCATCGCTCATCTCAAGATTTTGTAGTCTAGTTGGAACTTGGAACCAAGAAAAAACTGGAAAAACGAACCTGCTTCATAGGGAAGTACTGTCTGACATACTTTACAGATAGTTTTGTTTTTATTTTTTTCAACTGGTAGAGGTATCCCAAACAAATTCCACACCATAGACTTTTTGCCTGATACTTCGGCCCACAGGCCTGTTTCAGATTTGGCGGCCATTTGCACTTCGACGCCAAGTATAAAAGGCAACCAAAAATATAAACGAATACGAAACTACTCGAGGAAAATCTGTCATGGGGAAGATAATTTCTTCTAAATCAATTAATCTGATATTGTAAGAGTTAAAATGTAATTAATTAACGCTGTTAGATTGTAAGACGTCATGGAAAAGTAAATTTATTCATTTATCTATGAGTATTTTCGCCCCGTCGATTCCTACTTCCAATGAAATCCGAAGGTCAAAGTTCGTAAAACAAAACTTGATTTCTGTTGATTTCTCCGCTATTTATTTTGTTTATGCGAGTAATACACATGCAAATTGGATGTAGTTTGAAGGAAAACATCACTGGAGGAACAATGGTCACGGATATTAACGATTCAAAGCAAGTACTAAGGTAAGGGTCCGATATTGTTCCGAAACCCTTCGGAACATGATATTAAAATTCCGAATTCTGGTATTTTAACAAAAGTCCGCGGTTCGGACCGATTCCGGTCGAATGGCACGGCCCTAAGTCTCAGAGGGGAATAAGTCATTTTTAAATGTAAATACAATAGTATTATATTACTGTTGGTGTATTAATGAATTTCTTGCAGATAACTCCTCCCCCAGAATTTATTGAATACAGGGAAAAACTTTGGCAGAAATGCAAAGCAGAACGTGATGCATGGGTAGCTGCCCAACCCAATGTTGCAATTAAAGTTACTCTTCCTGATGGCAAACAAGTTGATGGTGAAGCCTGGAAAACTACACCTTATGAAGTTGCCAGAGGAATAAGGTATGTAGTTCCATCCATAGAATAACTAAATCTGGTGTAGGAAATTCCAGATCATGTAGTTTCCTTCCTATATATTCATGCAATCTGGTGACATCTCAACATACAGCATATTATCACATACTATGTAGAAATCTAGTGATTTGATTGGTTGCTTTCTATGACGTATTTCCCGTATCAGATTTTTATTTCATAGTCCACAATTCTCTGTGATGCAATTTAATCTTAAAATTCTGTTTTTCTAGTCAGGGTCTAGCTGATGCAGTTGTTATAGCAAAAGTTAATGGAGAACTCTGGGATTTAGATCGACCACTAGAGGGAGACACAGAATTGAAGTTACTTAAATTTGAAGATGATGAAGGTATGCTTCACAATCTTATTCTCCAATCAAAATGTGTTCATATACAGTATCATTTCATTGTACTTTGAAAAAATTTACTGCTGGGTATGTGAGCATGCATCTAGATGGACAGGTGGGTACCACACACATTTTCTCAAAATTCCATTCAACTAGAAGTGTTTACAGATGCAAAGAGCTGACGAGTGCCAAGATCTGAATATGTATTGGGCCTACTCGATAAATTACACGATCTCCAATTTGCTTTTCAAAGTGCAATATTTTGTCTTGTTTTCCTTATAGTAGGGGCAAATAAATACAAAAATACCTTTCCTCATAAATTAGTGAAATTAGTTAAGCTGTTGTGAAATATACAACTGTATTTTAATCCCACATAAGTATCCCCAATATTTTTTAGGCCAATATGTGTTCTGGCACTCCAGTGCCCACATGGTTGGTGAGGCTATGGAAAGACATTATGGAGGACATCTATGTTATGGACCACCAATAGAGTCAGGATTCTACTATGATATGCATTTGGAAGGAAGGTTTGTTACATGGAGTTCATATTATATCATGTGTTTTATTTATTACAAAAGCACACATTGAGGCAACGCCAGTAGTACTTTGTATATATTAACACGACTCTGGATGTGTACATTATAGGTGATATTTTTAGCAAGTGTATATTTCTAATAAGGAGTACGAAATTGAAATGTTTGCCCTGAGCAGTTGAGACAAATGGGAATCTGTCAGTGCATTTAAAAATATATTATAATGTCAAAGGTGAATAATTTATTTACAATTTTTTCTTGTAGATTATTGAATTGAATTTCAAAGAATGTCTATTTTTTTGTTTTTTGACCAGTTTAATCAGCTTACAATTGAATTTCACCCAGGATTTCATTAACATTTGATTTGGATTTGTTTAATCATAGATATATGTACATTTGTAAAAAATCATTTATTCAAACTTTTGTTTCAGACAAGTCACCCCAACAGACTTCAAACCTCTGGAAACCATAGTGAAATCAATACAGAAAGAGAAACAGCCATTTGAACGTCTCGAAATGAAGAAGGAGGATCTCTTAGAGATGTTCAAATACAATGAATTTAAATTAAGGATACTCAATGAAAAAGTCACAACTCCAACCACAACCGTTTACAAGTAAGCATTTATATTTTGAAAGTTTATTTAGGTATGGCATCCTGGAAAAACAAAGATGATATGATATACCGCCTCCCATTATCTAAAGAAATCATAAAATGTTGATTTGTATTTCATTTGAATACTAAACAACTATTCACTATTTGCTAACGAAACCATCATTTATCCCCTGACCGAACCTAACTTGGTTATTCTGCAACTGTTGATAATTGGACATGAGGGATAATCAGAATAGTAAATAGTGAAGTATATATAGAAGGGGAGGGGGGGGCAATAATGCTTCTTGAGCCTAGACCCTTCACATCATTCTAAAGAGATGTTTATTATGTTTTTAAATTAATAATCAAAATATATAATAGGCTGCAAAATTAAAGTTTTATATTGATAGAATATCTGCATCAGAAAAATGCATGTACTGTACTTGATGATAATTTCAGCCCTCAGGTAGTTAATCCTGAATTTTCATTGTAGATGTGGTCCATTAATAGATCTCTGCAGAGGGCCTCATGTTCGACATACAGGGAAAGTCAAGGCTATTGAAATCACTAAGGTATATAAGTTTTATATCTATGGACTTGTGTATTATAGTTGAAGAGATGGTTTAGCCAACCAAATGATTTTTTGGGGTTTGCAAAAATCACATGGTAACTGTTCTGTTATTAAAATATGACCCGAATATCGAAGTCCTGATATGTAACACACTTAGTTTTTGAAAAATATTTTCACTTCTTTAGAATTCCTCAACATATTGGGAAGGAAAAGCTGATGCTGAATCTTTACAACGTATCTATGGTATATCTTTCCCCGACACTAAACAAATGAAAGAATGGCGAAAATTCCAAGAAGAGGCTGCAAAACGAGATCACAGAAAAATAGGAAGGGTATGTATAGCTTATTATTGTGTGGTATTAATTTGAATTACATGATTTTTTATTTTTTATTTATTTGCCAACACTTAATAACAGTGGCACATGGATTATTATCCAGTGCGGCTACATACAACTATACAATATGAATAGAATACAAAGTCATGTATAATTTCTTTAAAGATGTTAATTTAAGAGCAAAAAAGGCTCCAAAACTTAATGAAATATGTAGTTTGGATGTTCATTTATGTTTGTGGATTATATTTTATACCACAAACACTTTATAAATACCTGAAATTTGCAATAGAAGTGCCCAAAAATTGTTGTTTCGAAATTCCCCATTTTTCCTGTATCGCGCTAGTCACATGACCATTACGCGTAGCAGGCAATGTACATATATTACAGTACATATAATATGTTCAATATGGCAAACATCAGCGATTCTGATTCCCGGGTTCTGGGAAATGGCTATATAAATCGGCGAGAGGGTGTAATTTGATTGAAGCCTATTTAAGGAGGGGAAATGTGTGCAAGTATGGCAGTAAGAGAGCAGATATGGGGACTTTAGACAAGAACTATGACGGAGAATCAACTAAAAATGTGAGTTCTGGAATGAAGACCCGTTGCCATTGACTGAAGATTCCAGCGATCCTATTATCATACTCAGTTTGAATCTAGACGCGGAAAACAGATTATGAATACAGGTTTTCTGCAAAGTTATCAAATTTAGAAAATATGGATCTTGTTTTTGAGTGGCTTAACAAGCATTTAGATACAAGACTTGGCGCTATCTCTTGTCAAATACATGCACTGGACTTGCAGTAAATTGGCCATTGCAAATTGCAAAATCAGATCGTCAAATTAATCGCTTCGTTTTTAAACCTACGCTTCATATCTTCTTCCAAAACTTTAGGATTCGATAGAGATAAGTTATAACTTGTACAGTAAAAAAATGGCAGATTCTACCTTAATTTAGAATCGCTGATTTCTCTGGACAAATTCCGAGAAGAAATTGTTCAACATCGCGATCACCTCAGACAACATGTCGCGTGCGTGTCACTCTGAACTCACGTGATAAAATACGGCATCTTGATTGGTTACTACTCGTGTTGTCATGACGCGAAAAGCAGTAGTAAGCACTGAATATGTTAATGAACTGCCATATATGGAACAATTGTCTTTCTGATTGGTTAACTTTACACGCGTCCTAAATGAATATAGTAGTCGTAGTAAATGATTCATTGATAACTCTAAAAGTGGGCATGACCAGCTTCATTTTGACACCAAATTCAAGATGTTTCAAATCAAAATGGCCTCGCAAGACGAGGTTGAAATATCAGCAATTTGATACTGATATGGTCTACGATAGATCAAAATTGCCTGCCCCGCGTCACATGTCACGTGAGCCTATATTTGTTGAAAAGTGAAAGAGATAGTGACAGTTTTTAATCTTAAGTTTATACCAATATTACAAACAGATATCTATTTTTTCATTATATATTTATTTCTTCATTATACATACATTTGTTTTATACTACATTGATTTATTTTTGCAAAACCTTTGCTATTAGATCTTTAAAACAATGTTGCTTATTCTAAAATAATCAAAGACATAAATCTCTGGGCTTGTACACTTGGGTTAAAAAGCGTTTTACAATGCTATCAAATAATCTAAAATAGTCTTGCCCCCATTTTGAAAAAGTCTCATCACCAAGAATAAAGGTCAATTTTTCAGTCAAATTGCCCTTAATGAAATCAGAAAATAAATTGGAGGGACATTGCTTACAAACAGTGTGGAAAAAGGATTCACGTTCTTCTTTAAAATGTTCACACAGCAGCAACCTATGCTGTAAGTCTTCATGTACATTCAAACTACAAAGTTTACATTTGCCATCACTTTTGCCCCATACAGAGTAATTTGATTCAAGGCAAAAATTGTTGGTTCTTGCAAGAAATTTGAGTCTAGAACCATAAAAATCAAAGTCTTGTTTTAGATAATTTTCTTGGTATGGATGGTTCTTAAAGGTGGAATAAGTATTTAGAGATTTATAATGGGAAATGTCATCAATAAAATTAGTGGTGCGTTCCTGTCTACAAATGCCTTCATAGCATAGATACTAGTATTCCGTAATTCCGCGGCGTGGACGGAATTTGACAAAACTTCAATTTTTTGCAGAATCCCTGATTTTCATGAAAATCCGGCGGAATTACCAGAATTTCCAGAAATTACATATTTTACGATCTCCTACCTTTGCGGGGTATTTGAAGAGTGTCTGTTTATGTCCAACAATCAATCATTATTGAGTACAAGTACGATTTCACAGTGAAATTCAACATTCTATCAGGTTTAAATTCGCTAAAGCGAGTTCGCTAATGACACGCAGTTCTTACCTAGAAAGTAGCCGACTTCCGTTTCTGTTTTCGAAGATTGCAGAATTTGGACTTCTTTGAAAATTTGTGCAGAATTTCGATTTTCTCCTTGCAGAATTTGCTTTTTTCTTGCAGAATTTTTTGCAGAATTTTGATTTTTTTAATGCAGAAAACTAGTATCTGTGTCATAGGTATTGTACCACTCACAGTCATCTCGAAAAAGAACGTCATCAAGGCCCCTCTTGATTAAAATAGACTTTATGTTAGACACATATTTCCAAGGGGCTTCATTACCTTCACTATGTTGGTTTATCAAATGAGTTAAAACCTTATGGGGTAGGGATGAATGGGCTAGGTCAAACTTTAGGTATTTAAAGTAGGCAATTTGTAGTTTTTCAATTGTGAGGTCAATGGGAGTCCAATCGAGATCTCCCAATAAGGCTGGTCTTGCGGGTTTACACTTTAAGGATGCAGAACCGGGTCGGTTTTCACGTCTGTTTGCGCAGGTTTGACTTCTGGTTTGAGAAAGCTAGCTCCCAAGAACGTCATTTTCGCATTTAGTCTTATTCAAAAATTATAGTTTATTTCGATAATGGTGTTTCCAGAAAAGAATTAAATTGCAAACATTTTATCAAGCATATTTTATCCCTTTCACTTTTATGGGAAAACTTGTTCTTGAGTCGCAATTAGTGGATACGAAAACCAGGGTTCGAAAGGTGCCAGCTCTATTGAAAACTCAAAAAAGTAAAAAGATTCTTTTTGGGTGGGTAAAATAATTTTTTATTTTGTAATTACCAGATGGTCAATCCTCTTCATATTGCACTTTGATGATGATAACATCATAGTGATACATTGTAAAAAATATGAGCAAAATCTAATGTCTGGAACTTTTTTCTACGCTGACCTGGTACTGCATCCTTAATTGTAAAACAGCTTGCGCTGCTCTGTATTGTATTGACTTCATCAGAGCTATGTTACTTTTGGTAAGTGTCCATATAGAACATCCAGATAAAATTGCAGACTCAATCATAGAGTGATATATTGTTTTTCCGAAATTTACTCTCTTAACATTGCAATGTTTAGTAAGAGTTGATGATAGGTACCCATTTAACATTCGTGATTTCTTAGATACATGTACATCAATGTGATGAGAATCTTTTAAGTTCCTGTGGAAAAAGGTTCCCAAGTATTTATATACATTAACTTCAGAGAGTTTTAGGTCGCCAAATTTCCACAGTTTAGTTGAATCGACTTTTTTTCCAAAGACCATGAAGAGGTAACTGAAGTGAACAAGGTTTGGTAGTCACATTTAGTTTGGCTGGGCAAAATTTTCTCCAATTTGAAAACTTATTTCACACCTATCACTAATTCACAATAAAATTTTACTGACTTGTTTACTTCATTGAATTATTGCTTCGGAATGCATGGCTGATTTTTAACTGTTCATTTGTATTTTCGCATCTGTTATCAGTGCTTTTGTATAACAAATTTTGATATTATATTCAAAACCTTATATCTTCTTGAGATTCATCTATAACATTGTGTAATGATTTTTCAATTTCAGGAGCAGGAGCTGTATTTCTTCCATGAGCTAAGTCCAGGTAGCTGTTTCTTCATGCCAAAGGGAGCCTTTATCTATAATACGCTAGTAGACTTCATTAAAGTAAGTATTTTTTGAGGGATCCAGGTGTTTCTTCAGAATTCTTTACATGGCAATATGCAAAACAAGTGTAAAAAACAGGAAAATTGTTCGAAACCATAATTTTAACAGAAAACTATTGGCGATAACAGGTCATACTGTAAAAGGCTTCGTATACATGTATTTCATTTTCTTATTTGGTTTTGTTTTCTAGGTAGAATACAGAAAGAGAGGTTTCCAGGAAGTAGTCTCTCCAAACATCTATAACAGAAAACTATGGGAAATCTCTGGTCATGCGCAGCACTATTCAGTAAGTGAATGTGATTCACGAACCATCCTCCTATCACAGGGCTTCAAAATCCAGAATATATTCTTTCTTTTTACCCCTGCGATAAGCAGTTAGCATTTCCCCGATTAAGAACTCGCAATCTAATTGGCTGTCGCAACACTGCGACAGAAATCATGTATAAGTCATTGCACATAATTAGATCACGTGATTCAATTTAATCGGGCGCTTCCAAATTGGTTATAGCAGGGGGAAGGAGGTACGGATTCTGGATACCTGCTTAGGAGGATGTTTACGAACAGATCATTGAATTTATTCATGCCTTTTGTAACAGAACTTTGTCACCACCGACATATTGTTATAGTCTCCAACTTGACTGTGGACAGTGTTTGTTGTTCGATGGTGGATGTCTGTAACAAATGGCAGGTTGTGACATTTTGCATGTTAATGTTAATGCTTCGTTTGAAATAAGTATAAAACTACCTGATTGGAAATACTATCAAAATGTGTTTTGTTACAAATGCATAATGGCACATTATTTATGCAAACACAGAAAAAACATTTATATTACGAGGGGTGATCAATAAGTAATGGCTCCATGCTCACATTCAAGAATCGGCACTAAAAAAGTTTTTTGATGTCTACACAAGATTATTTGTAGTTTTGTACTTCCTTAGTGTCTGCCTTTATGTTTGGTTTGTAGACATGACTTAGAATCTTTGTTTGTAAAATATATATTTCATCACATACCATTTTTTTGTTGCAGGATAACATATTCCAGTTTGATGTGGAAAAAGAAAGGTTTGCTCTAAAACCAATGAACTGTCCTGGTCACTGGTAAGTTGACAGATTTTTGACATTTAAGAAAAAAATCCTTTTGACCTCTTAAGAGCTTAACATTGTAATGGCTTCTTGACTGTACTAAAAGCAAATATAAATGACAGCAAAACAAACGATCCAAGAATCATCTAAGCTGGCTTGTGTATGGCCAACTGATGGCATCGGGATAAGCAGGCTGTTAGTACAAGCCAAATAACTTAGTAAAGGATTCACATTTTCACCCTACTAAGTACAAATAATTCTCATTTTCAGTTTGATATTTGATCACCGGCCCAGATCATGGCGGGAACTTCCAATACGCATGGCTGACTTTGGTGTTTTACATCGTAATGAATTATCAGGTGCCCTGTCAGGGTTGACCAGAGTTCGACGATTCCAACAAGATGACGCCCATATATTCTGTAGACATGACCAGGTCAGTAACTTTGTAAGCTTTCATGTTGAGATAGCGGGTGGAGAATTTTATGATTACTTTTGGAGGTTTTTCAAATTTTACTATTGGATTGGATATTTTTCATTCGGAAGCTTTTTCTTATTGAGAAACACTGCAATTCAGCAGCCAGAATCGTTTTAGTCTAATTTTGTCAGTGAATATCTTCATGTATATAATAGGGAGATAACATTAAACTATTAACTCATAAAACATTCCGCGTTCCGTCCTGTACAAACATAATCCACAAGGTTAGACATAGCCTGACATCTATAAATACAATGGAAAACTTATCAGCATAGTACATGTATAAAAGTCTACTATAGTCGACTTCCCGCAGTTACCGATAGGATGAATTAGTCGACTTCCCGGTCAAATCGTTATGAATAGATCAGACTATCTATACTTCAGTACTGCTACATAAAAAGGCAGAGTTCTTAACACATTGACCTCATTCTGTTTACGTTTGAGTATTTTTCTGGTATCGCACCTTTTATACTAAACAGTGAGCAACACCAACAACAAGCGTTTAATTTGCTAAATGTTATGAACTACCCTTTTCCCTTTAAGGGTACTTGTTCTGTATCTTTAAAGGTTGAATCTGTCCTGCAGGTATGGAACAAATTGCAATCAATATTGTTTTTACAATTAAAGCAGATATGAAATGGTATTTTTAACCTAAAAGGAATCAATATAAGTTTTTGATAGATGTATTTGGACATGTTTTCTCATCAGTAGTGTGAAAATTATTTTACTCTAACAATCGTTATTAGCTGCTTAATAAGCAATATTCGAATTGGTTGTGACGTTATTGGCCCCCACGTGATCTCTCACTGGTCCCCACATGGCCCGTTTTGGTCCATTGGATCATGACGTCAAAATGCCGAAATGTTTTGTTATTAGTTTACACAACAATCCTATGGTTGCCGTGACGTTGCGATTACTAAGAAACCAATAAACCAAAGCTATATTTTGTATATGACGCTACTAATCACGTGGGGGCCAATTTGATTAATCAGTTAGTTTTATTTCGTTATCTATGACCGTTAGCAGTTATCTAACATTTATTTTATAATGGCTATCGCAAGAACTCTACGTTAGGCTTACAATGGAGAAAACCGCGTTTTTGTACCTGCAAGTTGAGAAAAGTTATTTCAGTTGTCCTTTAACTAATGAATATGCTTATACCCTCTCTTTAGTGGAAAGGACGATTCTCGGTTTGGAGAACGAAGTTCATCAATCTAAATGAGCATTATCCCTGCTTCGGATAAATTTGATAAATTTTTACATAATATATATTTGAATGTCTTCTTTTGAATAGTCATAATTTAATTTGGGTAATATTTCTAGATTTTTCGAAAAAAAATATTAGCGCAGTACACTGATGAACTTCTTTCCCCAAATCGAGACTTGTATTTTATTGAATCGGTCTAATTGAGCGTTATCCCTGCTTCAGACCAATTTGTTATTTTTCAATCTTGTAGATTTAAATGTCCTCTTTTGAATATTCATAGTTTAATTTGGGTAATATTTCTGTATTTTTCATGAAAAAAATTATTAGCCCAGGAGACTGTTCTCCAAACCGAGAATCGTCCTTTGATTTGTATTCAAAATTTCAATATCAGCTTTCAATTTAAAAATACAATCATTGTGTTTATGTCACCACCAGTATAGTCTCCTCCTTTTTTTGTGGATGGCGGTTGGTGTTTGGCATCTGTAATATGGCAGTTGGTGTACGGTGTCTGTAACATGGTGTCTGTAACAAATGGTAGGTATTGACATTTTTCATGTCCATGCCTTGTATGATATAAAAAAGTGTAATCTTTGATAAATCAAATACTGATTGGGTTCAGATTTTATATGCGGATGGCTTGGAGATGTAGAACCTTTGCCCAAGAAGAAATTTTCAAAATGGCCCCAGAAAACTAGAAATTTCAATATGGCCACTCATTCAAAATGGCCAATATATACAAAATGATTGCCATTTTTCACAAAAATGTAATCTTTGATGCCTTAAAGACACAGGACTTCTACTCAAGAGGAAATTTCCAAGTTAGCCACTGAATTCAAAGGTTTCCATTATGGCTAATAACTGTCATTTTTCAGAAAGATGTTTCATTTCATTCAGAAAATATGATACCAAAAAGGAAGTGTCTGATGTGTTTTCTAACACAGTAAAGAGAAAAGTGTTTATATTTGTTTCAAATTATATTGTTACCATTCAAAAGATGACCATTAAATTGACGATGTGTAAAATTTTCAGAATTTTTTAATGATTGGTTTAAGAGAAGCGTTTAAGAGAAAACTTCACCATATCGATACCAATCCTTTAGTGATGTTTTGAAAAAATATTATGTGAATCACAATGTTATTGGTTACATTGGAAACAAAAATTGGCAGTGATCTAATTAACTAATAGCAGCTTGAATTCAGTGTATTGAACTCCCGATCAGCCAACTGGTCAGCCAACTGAATGGGGCTCCAAACGTTTAATACACATGGCCTGTACTCAGTAGTTCCCAGTCACATGAATTTTACTCCTTCAATATTATGATTTTGAGAATTACTATGATATAGTGCATGTAAAAACTAATAAATTATACCAATGGTCATGTACTATTATATTTATGGAATATATTCAACTTGGCTACACAATACAGTTAATGTGAACAACAATTATTCCTGTTGGGAGCTCCTGATGCATATATAGACCAGGTGCTGTTTGGAAGCTGTTTTTACTGAAAGCTGCCTTTTTCGAAAAAAACGCAATCTTGGGTTGTTCCCGGGGTCCCGAGTGATATTTTGAGCTATAATGAGAGAATATACAATAATAAACAAATGGGGAAAATGCTGTGCAAAAATACTCATGATCAAGGTGTTATTATGATGATTGGTCCTTCGATTGCTCGGATGATCGACCGGCCATTTGATTTTTTCGAAGATTTCTAAATTTAGAATGTCACGTGACTAGCTACTTAGAAGTTAAGATAAGATCTGTTAAATTACTCCCGCTAATAAGTGATGTCAGGGTAGTACACCTGTAGAACGCTCGCCTAGAACGTGGGTTTGAATCCCTGCCTGATTTTTCATTTTTTTCTAATTATTTTCTAATTATATAGTTGGCTTTGATTTTACGCTTAAAAACATTTATAACTACGTCAACTTTATATTAAAACATTTATTATCTTGTCAGTTGTATGAAAATGTAAAAAATAATATATGTCGTCGGCTTATTGCCTTTTCGAGAATAGTCAAGGTTTAATGATTGAAAAAAACACATGATTTCCATAAGCAATTTGGATACATGAAAAATATGTATAACAGATGATAAATGATGGCTATCACAATATCCGACTCTAAGCTTTAATCAAGCAAACTAAGGATTGAATTTAAATTAGTAAACGAGGCCCATTTTAACTGCATAAATTATTTTTGCTTGAGGCGGGTAACAGTACAGTGGAATTACATTTGCAATCGTTAAATTGTTTACTATGTCAGTATGTTAAATATAAATTAATTTTGGAACTAATAGATGTACAACTGCATTGTTAAAACCCTAAAGGAGATATGAACATGTTTAGAAAACTTAGATGTTGGACTGTAGGTTTTGTATTCTTCATGTTTGCCATATTATTGTTACAACATATTTTCAATGACAATGAAAAGACATTAAAAAAACATTCAAAAGATCTGACAAGATTGACAAAAATAAGCTACAAATGGAACGACACTGAATGGAAAATTTGGAACAAACATTTAAACATTGAATTGGATGAAAAAATCTTGCAGGATAAAATTGAATATTGTAGGCTTTTCCCTTGCAAAAATAAAACATCTGCATCAAAAACAACAAATAAACCTCTGAAAAGAGAGAAAACTATTTTACTGTACAACTCATTTTGGGGTTTAAAAGGATGGGAATTTGGTGTGGGCTCTGAACCCTTCAAGGAGAAAAAATGTCCATATAATCAATGTAGGATAACACATGATCGGAGTCTTCTAGAATCTAGTGACGCTGTTCTATTTCACATTACACAGTTAGGGCAGGACAAACCAAAAATTAGATTCCCACACCAACGTTGGGTGTTTTTCCAAATGGAAAGTGCAGGCTTCCAGTACTATCCTATAGTAGAATACAAAAACTGGAATGGACTGTTTAACTGGACAATGACATACAGGAGAGACTCTGATATTCACATCAGATATGGTGCAGTCTTGCCAACATCTGAGACGAAGGACATGTATTTCTATCACAGCTCAAATGCAATAAAACTGAATGCTACCAAGAAGACCAAACCACTTGCATGGATGGCTAGCAACTGTAACAGCCCAGGTAAAAGAGAGCAGTTGATGAAGCAGTTGGAGAAATACATGCCAGTTGACATCTATGGTAGATGTACCAACAAGAAGTTAACATGTGCAAAAAACACTAGTGCACATGATAGACAGCATGACTGCTTCACAATGCTAGAACAGAAATATAAGTTTTACTTTGCAGCTGAGAGCTCCATGTGTAAGGGCTATGTTACTGAGAAACTGTTCAACACATTGGCATATGGTATGGTTCCTCTTGTCTATGGCCTAGAAGACTATTCCAAAATTCTCCCGCCACACTCCTATATTGACATTACCAAGTTTGGAAATGCGGAATCTCTAGCCAAATTCCTAATAGATTTACATAATGATGATCAACGTTATGAGGAGTATTTTGCTTGGAAGAAGAATTATACTGCGTTCAGCTACAGTGACAGTTATCACCTCTCATGGTGTGATCTGTGCAAGAAACTACATACAGATACAACACCCAAAGTGTACCAACACATAGACAAATGGTGGAATAAAGACTCTGATTGTGTAGATCCAAGACATTTGATGAAATCATGGAACATTCAATAATGGCCCAAGCAATAGTATTACACTTTGCCATGTAAAATTCTCTCTGATTTTTAGATCAGTAATTGAGTTTATAGCTTTATTTGCTGACTTAAAGGAAAGGCCTAAACTCGACATATTCAGATTCAGTCAATTTAAAAGATATTTTAGAGCCTGAGTTTTATTTATTGTGTACATGAATTAACAATGCTCTTGCAAAGTATAGAGTTTCAAACCATTGTTTTGAGATTGAAATAGGAACACACTGTAACATAGGAAAAATACAATAGAATACATGTGTAGATATTGTACCATACTAATCGGGGATGAGTACATGTAATTTGTAATTAGATTAAATCTTGACAATACCTTTTTAGAAAATTATAACACAGACGATTCATCCAATTGATGAAAGCAAAAAAATGCAATCCTTCTTTAGAAATTATCATTGTTATTAATTATTGAAGCAACCAATATTATTAATCTATTGTAAACATAAACACTTTGTACACATTGGAGTGAAAGGCCTTATATGAAATAAATCTTATAAATAGAATTATCATTAATTTAAAAAATTGTACCATTTTTATGGTTTTACTGCAAAAAAAGATTTATAATGTTCATTCAGAATATATTTTGTAATTTATTGACCTCTTTGACCATGACCTGTTAACCTTTATAATCAACATGGCAGCCATACAGACTTTGCTTTTTGTAAATGTTATTCAATGTCTGTTGGGAGGAGATGTAACAAACATGATGAATAAACTGTGGGCTCATATGTTTGAGAAATATGTCTTTCCATCTTTTGAGCCGAAATGCTTATACAATTTTCAGACAAATGGAACTACCATTCATCTAAATCAATGATTAATCTATTTTATGAGGGCCCATACTGTTTATTTGCACCATTGATTCAGCTCAGGCTCCTATTTAAGGGTCCTTTTGGAGAAATCGGCTTTTTTCACATGTGACCCAACCAAAAGGTGATTTTTTTATTATACATATATTGTGAGCCGCTATATGGAATGACCCACTCGTCCCTCTGTCTGTCCTTTCATGAGGAGACCTTCATTGATGGTCAATGTGACCTCGTACAAAAAACAGTTTAACTTGGTACATAAGTTCGGTCCCAATTAACAATAGTACAATGAGCTGTTGCGTTATCTAATCTATAAATCTGTGTAAAGCCCTTAACAGACATTATAACTACATTATGTGGTATTTTATGATTCCAGATCAAAGAAGAGATGGCTGGTTGCCTTGACTTTTTACAGCATGTCTATGGTGTATTTGGCTTCACTTTTAAACTTGTCCTTTCAACTAGACCTGAGAAATATATGGGGGAGCTAGAGACTTGGAATCAAGCTGAAAAGGTATGACAAGATGACTTCAGTAAAATATGTACACGTATATCCGAACACCTCTGTAATCTGTTTACCTCTAATTGTGAACACAAACTTTTTGTCCCTCCTTTTGATTTTTCATTGGTTCGCAGATTATGAACACTTGAAATGTGAACACCAACTAATCAGAACACTTGACCAATCCTATCAGTGTTCAGATTAACATAGATACTAGTATTCCATAATTCCACGGCGTGGACGGAATTTGACAAAACTTCAATTTTTTGCAGAATCCCTGATTTTCATGAAAATCCCGCGGAATTACCAGAATTTCCAGAAATTACATATTTTACGATCTTCTACCTTTGCGGGGTATTTGAAGAGTGTCTGTTTATGTCCAACAATTAATCATTATTGAGTACAAGTACGATTTCACCGTGAAATTCAACATTCTATCACGTTTAAATTCGCTAAAGCGAGTTCGCTAATGACGCGCAGTTCTTACCTAGAAAGTAGCTGACTTCCGTTTCCGTTTGCTACGTCAATTTTCATCGTTTTAAAAGATTGCAGAATTTGGACTTTTTTGAAAATTTGTGCAGAATTTCGATTTTCTCCTTGCAGAATTTGCTTTTTTTGCAGAATTTTGATTTTTGTTTCATGCAGAAAACTAGTATCTGTGGATTAAACAGGTGTTACTGTAGTACCCTCTGCAAACTTCAATTCAACTGCAAAATTGAAATGTTCAATTTTATAGCTTTCTTAGTCTATTTAGCCAATTCTTTGGTATACTCAATTGGGCAAGTACTTACAACCAAGGGAAGAACTTATCCCTAGATATCCACAATTCTATACATTCACATACACATTCTATTTAAAAAGTGGAGCTTTATAACGTCCCAGTAAATGCAAGGACTATGCCAGGGTGCCATTGTAAAATAACACCACGGATGATATTAATACTACATAAATCAATAAAAGGATTTTGATTAATTTTGCACACATAAACTGTTAACAGTTAATTGGACTTCATTACCATACCATGATAAAATGAAAATTTTTGCTTCTTTTTACTAAGTGTAGTGTAGTATATAAAATATGTTATTCTTTTATACTAACTTCAACTTGTAATTTCAATATACTATATAGCTGTATATGAATACATTACATGTGCACTAAAAGTGACCACCAAATAAGCTTAAAGGGTCAACAAGGATTAGAGATATTCAATTACACTCTAATCTTTGCTGCCACTTTAAGTATGATTAGAAGGCAAGCAGTTAAATTAATTTTACACTGATTTTATTTATATCAATATCCTTCATTTATTCCAGCAATTATCTGAGAGTTTAGACTCATTTGGACAGCCGTGGTCACTGAATCCAGGAGATGGGGCTTTTTATGGGCCTAAGGTAATACATACACTTCTATTCACTCACTGTGATTTGTGTGATATATTTTTCTACTTTGTATTGTAGAAACTGTTCTTATTCTGTAGTCTTATTAAGTATGAGTTGCTCCAGTTCAATTTAGTTCCAACTTTGATTTCATTCAAATGCTTCATTGCATAATAATCCTATTTCTCTAATGGCCAGTGCCTGAGTGAGAGGGCGGCAAAAAAGAATTCATTTGTTTAGAACTTTAATTTTCAGACAATGTGCAGAGATATTTTTATTGTAACTTTTGAGCATGTGGGAGTGATTTACAAGGGAACCATTTTGATATTATGTGTTATATTGATCTTTGTTTTGATATTTATATAGATTGATATCACAATTATGGATGCTTTGAAGCGTGCTCACCAATGTGCAACTATTCAACTGGACTTCACTCTTCCAATCCGGTTTAATCTCAATTATGTAGGGTACGTACATGTAATTCACCCATTCAACTCAAGCAACTTTCAGATGCAATTTTATCTTTTTGAATGTAATTTGTGATTATTTTTTGTAAAATTTCAAATTAATATTTTAGTTTTATTTATAAAAATGTAAACTGGGTACCACTTACCCAGTGTTCGCGTTGACGCCGTTTTTTGCCATATTTACGGAAATTTCAGAAGGTTGGACGTAAAAATCAAAATCAACTTACGTCCCTAGGACGCAAAAATTATAAACTGCTTCAAGATAACTTTTACTGCAGCACAGTAGCGGTGAAACATGATTTTCATCAAGATTTTCAAACTCACTACCTTGATATATGAGCAATGATCCAGGTATATTTATATCGACAAATCTGATTGGCTATCATGACTACCCAAGATTAACAGGGTTTCCAGTATGAGACATGGATTTTGATTGGTTCCGATATATTCCGGAAAATGCCGCAATCGAAATGGAAGATCAAAACATACAATATTGCAGAAATCCCCTGTGGTTCCCCACAAATTGAAACGATTGTTTTTCACGATTATCTTTATCATTTCCACTAGAAACCATTATGATCTAAACATCAAGATAAATGTTTAATGATAGATCGAGGTTTTTCATCTAAAAGTCTTCAGAATAAGGAGAAATGTTAATAAAAAGAAGCAAAAGTTCACGACCTTGACATGACCTTCAAGATCGCAGGTTTGTAAAATGTGAAAACAAAACTCTTAATTTGAGCATTTCCTTTATTCATTTCGGACTATTTTGGTATAACATTACTTAAGAATTGTGTAAAAAGGACCCAGTGATAGATATTTATCGGGAGGATGCATCAAATTACAATATATGTCATTTTTATCCCATTATAGTGTAAGCACTCTATTATCGCCCACTTTATTTTCACTTTCACAATATTTCTTGAACTTTGTGAAGAAATAAGAGGGACGCAAAAAAATTAGATGGGGACTCAAATTTTTCAAATGGGTTGCGTCCCTGGGACTCAGAAATTTTAATGGCCAGCGCGAACACTGCAGTTACCATTACCACCTGCAGATACCATATAATTTATACAGATATGAAACTGGATTTTAACTTTATGTAATCTTTATGTTCAAAATCCCCTTATGAGTTGATACATTGCAGGTAAGATCCTGTTTCCAGAACTCACACCATCTATCTAATGGCCATCTGTTTGCATGAGAAAGACGGAAGCTCCTGTTAATACACATGTAGTGCTATAATAAATGAGCCAGGCCACAGGAAAAGGGGTCTTATCACAGATTTTCTCAATGTTTTGATTTTTTGTTTTCATTAAAAAGCACAAATAGACCTTTCAAATGAGCCACGGCTCGTGTCTTAACAATTTTTCCTTGCAGATATAGACCAAAAAGGTGGATTTGAATTTAGCACATTTTCCTCTTAATCTTGGGCACTTTTTATCGCACTTTGAAAAAGTGCTATATTGCCGTCGTCTTGTGCTGTTGGGCGGGCGTGCGGGCGGGCGTGCGGGCGGGCGGGACATAAACCAAATCTTGTCATCATATTTCCAGGATAACTGCTTACCTGTTCAACTTGAATTTTTTACAGATGCAAGAGCAGACTAGTACCAAGATCTGATTAGGTTAAGGGCATGCTGGGTAAACTACGTGGCGGCCATTTTGAGCAAGAGCAGACTATTGCCAAGATCTGATTAGGTTTTGGGTATGCTGGCTGAATTACATGGTGGCCATTTTGAATTTTTCAATTTGGCGGCCATTTTGAATTTTTCAACTTGCTCCAAATTGACCAAATTTTTTTTTTAAAAACATCTACAAGTTCTCAAAAGTTCAAATCTGACATAAGATTTTAGATTTGACCTTTCATTCACCTTCAGTGACCTTGAAAAGGTCAAAAAAGTTGATTTTCTAAATTGATATTTTGGATTTAAATTTAGGTCAGCTTAATTACAAAACACCTACTGAGGTCTGAAAAAGTTGAATTTTCAAGGTCGAAGGTCAAGGTCATTAAACTAGGTCACAAATGATGTTATCCAAGTTTCTCAAAGTTTGAGACTATAAATCAATTCTTGTCATCAAAATTCCAAGAAAACCTCTAACCTGTTCAACTTGAAATTTTTACACATGCAATAGCAGACTAGTGCCAAGATCTGATTAGGTTTAGGGCATGCTGGGTAAACTACGTGGCGGCCATTTTGAATTTTTCAACAAATCTTGTCATCAAAATTCAAGGAAAACCACTTATCCGTTCAACTTGAAATTTTTACAGATGCAAGAGCAGACTATTGCCAAGATCTGATTAGGTTTTGGGTATGCTGGCTGAATTACATGGTGGCCATTTTGAATTTTTCAATTTGGCGGCCATTTTGAATTTTTCAACTTGCTCCAAATTGACCAAATTTTTTTTTTAAAAACATCTACAAGTTCTCAGAAGTTCAAATCTGACCTTAGATTTCATTCACCTTCAGTGACCTTGAAAAGGTCAAAAAAGTTGATTTTCTAAATTGATATTTTGGATTTAAATTTAGGTCAGCTTAATTACAAAACACCTACTGAGGTCTGAAAAAGTTAAATTTTCAAGGTCGAAGGTCATCAAATTAGTTCACAAACGATGTTATCTACATTTTCCCAAAGTTCGAGACTACAAATGAATTCTTGTCATCAAAATTGCAGGAAAACCGCTAACCTTGTCAACTTGAAATGTTTACAGATGCAAGAGCAGACTAGTGCCAAGGTCTGATTAGGTTTTGGCCATGCTGGGTAAATTGCATGGTGGCCAGTTTGCTCTTCAAAGTGCGATATTTATCACTGTGTGTCTTGTTTGGTTCTGTGATAAGACCGGTTTTCCTATGGCGAGGCTCAAATATTGATTTAGTATACCTTCTAAAATTGAAACTAAACAAAGCGTGAAAAAATATTTTAAACAAACAATTCAAGCATTCCTGATTCAAACTACAAATTTGTATCCAGCCATACGTATAACTTCGGCACACTCTGAAATGTTTTGAACTTCAAAAATAGATGACGGTTTGAGCTGCTTTAACCATTTAGTTGTCATAGCCTTGGAGTTACGCTGTGTTAAAAACTGACTTTTAAACGCCCTATAAATAGAATCCTTTGTATTATTTGTATTATTCTTAATCCATTGGGCAATATTTTCAGGGAATTGTAAACCAAGATATTTGTATAGTTTCTTGGCCTCTTGTATGGTGTTGCAAGCAACATCTTCATATTTTACGAGTTTTATAAATGGCATGTTTTTCTTCTGCGTGGTACCCAGGTTCTGAATGTATCTCATATTTGTCACAAAATTCCTGCACGTGAGAGTTAGAGCTTCAAGCCTGTACTGATGATCTGATTGGTTAAGTGGATGCTCTTTGCGGACACTCAGATGGGCTCTGGAGTTTAGTATACCTCTAGGATCTCGAATTAATAACAAAATTGCAGTTTCATTACCAAAGATGGATGCCAGTCTTTCTAAATTATCTTGACGAATAATCTTAGTTGCGGAGAATTCCCGCTTATGACACATTTCAAATATATCATCAAATGTTCTGTCAGGATATTTGATTGCCCAGTTGTAACCACGGTAATACAAAACCAACAATGTACTCCAGTCACAATTCAAAACTTTTCTTACGATTCTCGAACCATTCTTTTTATCTGTTGAATATTCCGTTTCTTTGGAAAAGAATTTTAGTGGTTCATATGTGTAATAGATGTCACTGTTCTGTCGAAAAAGTTCACCAAAAAATGTTGATCCACTTCTGTACGCTGCCATAATAATGATCTTTTTGATGCTGATCTGTCTGTTCGTCTCTTGATTTTCATCACTGTACTTTTGAGCAAGGCTGATTTTTTTATTAACCTGAGTGTTCAAATTACTGCATAAGAAATGACTGCCGAGAAAGTACATAAATTCCAGGCATGCGATAGCCAATAAGATTGTCCACATATATCGAAAACGATAATAACGCAAGTTAATAAATTCCATTTTCATAATTTTGTTATTTGTTTCCCTTTCTGAACCAACTAGAATTATAATCAAAATCAATGAACATATAGCACATATAATAATGAACAATATATGCATACATCACTTGTCAGTAATATTTTTATTAATTGTTGTAAATGATAGGTTGTGACCTCAATTGTGTTAATGTTATAAAAATGATTACTTGTTTTGGTTAATCAAGCATTTCAAGGATACTAATTAACACAGTTGCTTGATGTTTAGCTTACTTTAATTTACCGTAAAACTTAAGTTTGTGTAACAAGTAACCTTGGTAACTCAAGGTCATGAATAAAAAAAGATAAGTATGATAGAATTTTGTTTTTACAATTCTTGGCTTTGCAGAGTCATTGAAATGATTGTCTCAATAGATGCCTTGGTACCTGAAAGTACACCTGTCCATATACTGTAATTTGGCGCCCGCTTTAATTTGGCAATATTGAAAAAATGCCAATTTACATCTTCACCAAAATTAAAAAGATCCTGGGAATTTCGTCTGGTGTATTTAAGTCATTTCTGGTTTAGTTTTTACAAAATCTGAAAAGTATAAGGGTAATAATCAGAACATATCACTTCTGTACAGTACAAATTAATCCTTTAATGGCTTAATTTGTGTTTGCGATTTTCCATTAACTTGTATATTATGTGTTTCAGCAAAGAGCAAGATGAGCTGAGACCTGTCATCATCCACAGAGCAGTTCTGGGTTCTGTTGAGCGAATGATCGCCATCTTGACTGAAAGCTGTGGAGGAAAATGGTCAGTATATGTTAGGACTAGAAGGAGGTTCCTATGTGTTACAACTGTGAAAAACTGATATTTAAAATTACATGTAATATGGTCAAAATTCTGACAACAGGAAATATGCATTTTAAATGTCCCTACTCCAAGTACAAAATACTGTCAAAATCCCAACACCTGGGACAATAATGGGTGTCAAATTCCTGACTCTCCCCGAGTGGGGGTCTCAAGGAAACCTTTGAATGTCCATTTATATTTTTCAAGTTCTCTTGCCAGGAGCTTTTTACTGAATTTTGTAGCAATCTTGAATTTATCCATTACTCTCTTGCAGGCCTTTTTGGTTATCTCCTAGACAAGCTTTGGTGGTACCAGTAGCTCCACCTTTTGATGACTATGCCAAAGAGGTGAAGAAACAGATTTGGGATGCAGGATTCCAGATAGAGACAGACTTAGATCATGGCACTACGCTGAATAAGAAAGTCCGCAATGCACAATTAGCTCAGTACAACTTCATCTTTGGTTAGTATATTCATTTGATTATTGAAAAAATGGGTATGGGTTTTTCTAGAAAGTCCCAATTCTTGGTTTATGTTCTTAATATCATCCTGGACATGCTGTTTTCATAGAATTTTCCTTATGTAGATGAACTGCCTAAATTTCTTGCTGTTCTGTACAAGAATGTGGTCTTCACATACGTTCCTCTTTGATTTATTCCAGTTTGATTTTGTTCTTTTCCAAGGATGAAATTAAGGTACGAAATATGTACGAAGTTTTGTCCCTTAAAGGGTGACGCATATCGTTTAGCAAATCGAACGCTCGTTTCTGGTGTTGCTCACCGTTTAGTATAAAAGGCCCGATCCCGGAATAATACTCAAGGGTTCACAGGTTTGAGGTCGTTGTGTCAACACCTCTAACTGGTATATAGCATAAGTATATTATAGATCGTCACACATTTATAAAAGGGTGATTTTTATTTTGACAAATCAATTCCACATTTATGGGCGAAGTTTCAGGATCATCTATTTGTGTATAATAAGGAAAAATTGGCATCTAAATTTCCCCATAACGTAATAGCACACAGCTTGGCATATGCAATATCCTACAAATGAAACAAAGCAAGACAAACCGGTTTCTAATGCAAGGATTTATATTGGCTGTTGTACATGTATTCTTTGAACGCAATCACTCTTTGGATAACGTTTTCAAAATCATTATAAACGGATTACTTTATCTCAAAGACAATTTCAATAAACTGGATTTTACAGAACTCCCCTTATTTCTTAAAAATGGACTGATCCAGTTGATTCGCCTAGAGCCGCCATATTGTTTTTATACGGGATGCTAATCGAAACCCTTTAAGGTGGTATCAGGGATCAGGGAATATGACAGCCATTTAGTAATTGATATTATTCATTGTTGCAGTGGTTGGAGAGAAAGAAGTTGAGAACAAGACAGTGAATGTTCGTACGCGAGACAACAAAGTACATGGTGAACATTCAATAGAGCATGTCATCACACGCTTTAAAGAGTTTGTAGACGTTAAAATACAGGACGCTGAAGAGAAGTTCTAAAACGAAAGGATTTTACGAATAGAATATAATGTTAATCTCAACCTTGGCAATATAACTATTTGCCAAAGGAAGATGAAAAGTATGGAGAAACAATCTGTTAAAAACAATGCTTGGACTTTTTAACTTGTAAGCTATTTACTGCTTTCAAATTTGTTATGCAGTTAAAGGGCCATTCATGTTCATTCTTGACAATCAAAGTAACACCTAGTTACTGATTGAAATTGTTAAACATGGTCCTTGGATTATGATACTTTATTCTTGAAAATACCTTCTGAATGGCAAAGTTGCAATTTGAGGAGAAAATTAAATGCCGAGTGGGCCTATTTGCAAGAAATTCGGGTAACCTGTTCTTGAAACTGTGTTCTTCAATAGCTTTCATGTTTTTAAACCTGAGTAACTGAAGTAAAATTGAAATAATTATTATGTCACCACCACAGTGTTTGGAGGTTGGTGTTCAGTGTCTGTAACAAATGGTAGGTGGTGACATTTTGCATGTCTTGTTCTTTATAATTGTAACCAATCATTGCACACTTCTATCAGACTATCAAAATGTATCTTTAATGCATTAATTCATGCCTATTATGAGCAGAATAACTGAAATGACATTTATTAACAGTCCTTCATACATGTATCCGAATTTTATCTGACTAGTTATAAGTGAGTATAGTGAGTTATGGTCCCTTCCCTTGGTAATGGTAAATAAAGTATGAAGTTTCCAAATAGATATACATATATAGAACATACTGACATACATTTTGAGTTGATTTAGACAGTTGAATGAGTTCTGATAACTAACCATTTTACATGAATCCATGGTATAAGATTGGAGACATCCAAATGACTGAATTTACTCAGAATGGGCAGGGAGAAATTTCTGACTCACATTCGAATCTTGTGTATTTGAGAATAAGACTTGGTCTGATTATTGCAAAAACTGCTTGTGTCGGAATTTTTTTCCAAGTCTATCCATTTATTGTCTGACATATTATTTATTAATCATTAATAAAATTCTGATATGAAAGTCTTGTTTTTTGTGATTATTACTGTGTTTCAGGCCATATTTTTTTTTACAATTTCAGGTTTCACCATACACTGTACATGCCATAAAGTGCCTCTTTATTGACTAATTTCTTAATTTTTTAACCGCTTTTTTGAAATTCAAAACAAAAGTTTTACATATCACATTTTGATAAATTAGGGTAAGACAATATAAGCCAAGCCTTTATAGCTAAGGTAGTTGAGCTGTAGGAGCAACTTGCCATCAAGGATTGCTATACTATCCCTCCATTTTAAAAACCTGTTCCTCTGTCAATCCTGCTTTCACTTACGGATATTTCTTAAGTTCATATCTGACCTCTGCTTTGAGATTTGACCTTTCAATGACCTTCAAATATTTCACAGAAGTGTTTTTTCAACAGTTCGTTAACTACTAGAAGTCCATATATTTCAGTTTTATCTGGATGTCCCACCAAATGAAAAAGGAAGGAAAGCCATCCATCTATCAATTCTCAAAATTGACTCAAGTCTAGAAACAAATTCATTATTACAGGCATTTTGGTTTAGGACCACTGCTGGAGAAGGAAATTGTCTCGAGTGCTAATTTCCACAATCCCTATAATGACTATATTCATGGGCTTTCAACTAGATGTATTCAAAATGGGTGCCATTTTTGTTAAAAATTAGACATTGAATGAATTTTTGTGAATTTCAGAAATAATGATTTGATAAATTTACACAGTGCAGTTTTTCTCATATTTCCAATGTGAAACACAGAGCCTTTGTCTCAAAATGAACTGTAGGGGTTTTGCAAATCAAAATATCCATTTACACTAATTAAATTAACAGAAAAATAATTTTCCCTCATATAATCTTGTTTATTATACAACTTCCTTCTGTACATATAATATATAAATCCTATATCCCGAATTTAATTTAGTTTTAATAAATATACAATATTACATACCAACATAAACTTAAGTTGTGTAATGTGCTTTGAGATAGTAAATGTTCTTGTAACCATGAACCGCAGATTCTATTTCCATTATTTGGCCTGTTTTTTACAACTACTTAAATATGTTTTCAACGGGCGGTCATATGACCCACCATACTTAAACTATACTCAGAATGGGCATATTTTCAAAGTGCCAAAAATAAAAATTATCCCCATAAACTATATTTAAATCTTTGTTTAAAGGATTATGTGTAAATATACTAGATGTTAGAAAGCCATATTTTCCAACAGAAATGAACCAATACCAAAATAGGCTACAGTTTAAAGTAAATACTACCTGTACACGTCATCAACAGTATTTACAATTTAAATGCCCATTGGCTTTTCGATAGTAGTCTAACATACAACCCAGAGATGTCCAATTTGAGGCACCCTTCTATGAACTTGCAAAGGCAATTTCTAGAGGCTGTGTGCAAGACTACAGATCAAAGTATATCTTAAATCTCCAATTGCAAGCTCTATAACTTATACACTTTACATCACTGGGAAATCAATAGGTACCATACATATACAAGTTATACAAACCGCGTTTGGAGAGTAAGACATTTTTTAGCAAAATTCTCCAGTGCCCAAACCTCCATACTATCATTGGCATGAGTAATAATGGACCTGCATCTGGAGAATGTCACGTCATTAACAAAATCAAAAGCTTACAGCATCATGCTCAACATAATGTGAATATATCTTAACAATAATTCTCTCAAATGAGTTAGTTACATGAAATTTTCATCATCAATCCCGGAGCTTCAAAACTTGATCTTAAGACACTTCACTATTGTGATGAAGTATCAGAAGTTCTATAGCTCTCAGAGAGGATGATCTCCACCTTGCCTTTACCCCCAATCAGTACTCTGAAATCACAGTACCATACAGTACAATAAGAGTATGATACCGTATGATACTGTTAGAGTATGGTATTGTAATGATCATACTGTATGGTACTGTTTTAGTCTACACTACCACATTTTACGGTACCATACAATACTGTAGCCAAAATGGTACTGTACAGTATGTTGGAGATGTGAAGTCATTGAAGTTTCATTCGACTGAAAGCAATTCAAATTGATAAATTTACCACAAACTTTTATGTGGCGATTCACTAATTCTATACAAGAACTCACAAGTTAACAATGTAAAAAATCTCAGACAGGAAAACCAATTAACAATGCATCCTATGATATTTTAAAGATTCTTCAAAAATATCTACCAAACACTTTCTACAATAATATAATGAGAATCTTAGCCCTTATCAGCTAGGATATTTTTTTAGAAAAAATATTATGATTATAATGTGAGTATAAATTGATTTATGTGTTGGAACTATTCTCCTAAAATATTGTTTTAGTTCTAATCTAAGTGCTTTGTTTCAATTATTAAACATCATGATATAATTTATTACTACCCATGTACATGATTATAGACCATGCATAAGATAGCCTATATGGATAGAAAATATGAAATAAAGTTACTTTCGAGTGATAATGCAAAACGATGTTACACTGTAAAACGTTCTAATTTTGTGGTGTTTCCTTCAGAGGTTTACTGCATTTTCAGACTTGCGACTTCATCAATGCAATTTCTCCCCAAAAATCACTAGATTTCTGTTCTTTCCACATGACAGCACACTGAATTGGGACATACCAGTTCAGTGATTTGACACAAAGAAACTGCAATTAGTACAATGATCTCCCCAGGATTTTTCTCAAATGGGTTTACGAATTATACAAAATTTGCTAAGTCTGTTTTTCAATTCATAAATGCACTTGCGTCAATGCAAGGAGTTCACTGATGTACATATAGATTAACAAGCAATCATGAAAATAAGCTACTTATGATCATCTTTCACAAATGCAACATTCTATTCAAAACAAATAAAGTCTATGTGGATTATTACGATGATAAACTAAATATTTGAACTCACACGTATTAACATATTTAGAAAGCAACTATTGTTACATGTTTATATAATCAATTATTAGGGGATCTGACCAGAACATTTCAGTATGTGAGGGGGGGAATGTTAGTCATCATCTGAACGCAGGATCCAGTCATCAAATATGAGACCTCTGTGTTCAGACATTTCCAGTGTATAGATAGCATCAGTGTTTGATAAGGTCAATAAATCCTGGACAAATAAACATAAGAAGTCATGGGGGCCTGTGTTTATAAACACTGAGGGAAACAACATGGAATTAGGGCTTGAGGTCACAGAATAATTGTTGCAGTTATTAATGGTGTACATCTGGAATTTTGACTGGAGGTAGCAACCAGTTACTGGGGAGACCAACGACTACAGAAGTACAAGGCTCTTTACAACTGTACCCAAGAATTGTGTGATCAAATAGCAGACTGACTAGTCTGAAAGTAAATATAATATTGCCAAAGAACTACGCATTTAATTTAGCTACCACAAAGTAATATCTGCAAATATCATCACTTAACATACATGTAGCATACAGCACATAGCCATTCACAGTTATAACATACATAGAATCAATAATATAATCAATAATGTACAATATGTGTTAGAATGTTATCAGCATACACAGCAAGAAACAACAGTTAACCTCTCAACTAAATAATATGAAGAAAATAATTATTTGCACTTGAAACTTTAAGAATGAAATACAACAAAACCTATATTATCTGAAAACCTCTCTTATCCAATTGGCTACCATGTTATGAAAAACTTAAAATGTGAATACCTTTGGCAGCTCGCAGTAGGGTTCAAATTAGATTTTACTGTAGTAGATTAATGCCAACTTAATGGTACTGCATTTTGCATTAGCATTTAGATTTAACATGTGAACTGAGGTGAAGTGAGAAGGACATGGCTTAGGGATTTTGTTGAAATAACCCAATAGAGTTAAGTGATCTGATCTATTGGATTTCCATCAATTCAAATTACCCTTTTTACGCAACATGTGTTTTAAAATAATAATGCAAATTAAGCCAATATTAAATCCTACCTATGGTAAGTACAGTGTCAATATAAAACTGATGTTTTCAATCAAACAAACCATACTAAGAGAAAGGCATAATGATTCTGATCAGTTAGAAATGAAGCACAAGTTCTGCTGGTCTGCAGGTGAAAACAACCTAGGAAACCTTGTTTCCACTCATGATAAGACACATCTTTTTCAATGATATATTACTCCAGAATACCTTAAAATGCATTAGGACAAATGCCCGTACTATTGCAATACAGCGTAAGAATCCAGGTTTCGTAGGGTTCCAATTAAAATGATAGAAATCCACATAACTTCTTAAAATCTTGCAGATATATTTTGTGGATATATCGTAATTCAAGAAATATTTATTGGTCCCTTGTAACATTTTAACCCTCATCGGATTTAAGCCAATTGAATATTGTTACGGGATGAGATGAAGTGAATGCGACATATGATAATAAATGTTAATATACATATTACATTTCTCTTCTCAACAAGCTCCAGGCAATCTGCCTTAAATTATAAGTGCAGTAATATTATATTTTTTGATCAATTATTAATTGGTATCAAACATCCTTTTGTGTAAGATCAGAACATCAATCAATATTTATTGGTTTTAATTTTGATATTTAATCGGTTAGTTTAATTAGGCTGTTAAAATCAACTTTTTTGTAATTGTTATATTGGTTTATGAACAAAAAATCAATAAATTAAACTCCCTCCCGTGAAAAATAAGCAACAAAAACCCCTTCCGTTTCTTATGATTAATAGTCCAATGACCTTCCAAAATTTTGTCCCAGTACGTACATAATCCTTAACTTTACCATTATGGTTAAAAATGGCAATATTCATCATTTCATAAGGATTTTCAACGGAGAGGCATATAATTGTCATTTCCAAGCAGTCGGTGACTCTAATGGAGGGGAGATTACTGCATAAAGTATATGTACAAATGAGGGTGAGGAAATTGGGGTTACATCCCTTTATTGATATTTCAAACAAGACTTCATGCCTTAAAGTTACCTGTATCAGTACTGAATTATTTGCCCTGTGAAAAAATTACCTGCATTTTGTTATCAGTCAAAATCTAAATCAATAGATACAGGTGGAAAATTTAAAAACAAATGGCAGTTTGGAAAGGTCAATAATTAAATTAGCTTACTAATCAAATCCAAGGATAGCAGAAGGTTCAATTTAACCCTTATAACTTTCAAAAATGTTACATAAAAATCATCATAGGGCATACACACAAGACAGCAAATACTTTTTTAAATCATGTAACTTGACACACCAAATCCGGTAACTCAAAACGCTGCTATTGATGATAATGCGGTCATTTTTAAAAATCATCCTGTAATATACTGTCACATGTGTCAAATGAAGAGATCAAACTTATCAGAGAAAAGCAGATACCAGACTGAAAAGCAGATATAACTTTCATTGTGCCTAATAGCTAACAGAAGGGCCAAATTGTTCAGAATACCCCTGTCTTAATGAGAAATGTTTCACACCCCTTTGTGCACTGTCTGTATGATGAACACAAGCACATTGAATTGTTTCCAATTGTGCTCGCGTTTACTGCATATAATAAAAAAAGCGTTTTGCTTTTTTTAAGTCCACCATCGACAGCCCATCTGACTGAGGCAAAGCATGTTCCCTACCCCAAAATAAATTTAGTCATGATGTTTACACCACCAACTCTGCATGTATCTTATACTGTATGTTTGTATATGTGTGTTAATCCTATTTGATGAATGCTGCAATCACAGCCCACATGAGCTCATTAGCGCCATCTTTCATGGCCTCCTGATCTAGCTCCAAATCCAATAACTCACGCACCCTCTTCATTGCAACTTCATAATCGTCGTCTGATAATGGCGCAAAAGCATTTTCTAACACATCTGAAGCATGTGCTAGATATATCAATGAAAGGGTACGTTTGTCCATCCTCTGAGCACTATTGGTCCACCTACTCAAAACAGAGTCCTGGACCCTTTTCACTAATTTCTGCTTTATTGTGGAATCAGTCAAAGGGTGTGTTGTCATATCAAAAAGCAGGAAATTTTGTTTTTCTGTTGTACATACTCCTTTTTCAGCAAGATTTTTGGCGAGCCGTTCTCTCACATTTCGTAGTTGGTATCTTAATTTCAAAGGGTTCCATGTCTCTCCTGAAATTGAAAAACTAAAGTTAACAATACAACATATTAGAACACCATTTGTATCAACCAAAAAGATTCTTTCACATGAATGAGATTTGGAATCAAAAAAGGTAAGTATTACCTTTAAAAGTTGAAAATAATATTTGAATAGTCAAATTAAATTTTTGGTGTTTTATTGGATCACAGGTCCATTTTTTATTCATAGAATTTATTTTACAAATACATATACATTATACATTGTACACTTGTAGTGGTTTTGCTAAAGGCATTATCAACCACTTGATTAATAATTGCAGGGTGAAGAAAAAAGAAAAATTTAAATATGAACTAAGAGTGAAGTAGAGTGGTGGCAGAGAGTCATACACATTTGCACATTTTTCTAAAAAAATGATGCAGCGAACTTGAGGATTTTAGAATTGGTGGTCCAGATCACAGGTCCATCTCAATTTAACACTTGAAAACCACAAGGGATATGTTGGGAGGTGCCACTAAATGTGTTAGATAATCCCAACATTTTGTTCTGGGTAGGCTCCCAGAACACATGTTTTACTATTAATATTATACAGTACAATCCAATTTGACAGTACACAAGTATTTAATTTTGCTACCTTACCTAAACTGAGTATATTACAATTTTGGTAATTACCCACTTAGTGCATAATGCACTACTACATGCATTATATATAATAATTGGAAAGATTTCAAACATGTTCAGCTTGGTTAGTTCCTAACCATGACAAACACGTTGATCTCCATTGAAATGCTTTAAAGCCCTAATATTACATTTTCTTCAGTTAGACGCATGATCATGCTTATAATACACATTCATACCAGTTCTTTTTTGAGTGTTGAATACATATAATGTTTAGTTTATTTTCTGCCCATTCAACTTTTTACTATAGAGTTTAGTTTTATGCTTTGTCACGGTGGTTTATGTAAAAACTCTTGAACTATACATACTGGGTTCTTACATGTCCTAAATGAAGCCATTTTGACCCCCTCCAACCCACTTTATGTCTCCCCTCCACATTGGAGATGTGGTAGAACTAAATATTATTTGGAAGGAGCCCTTATTTTATTACTACCAAGCCTGAACAATTTAACATGGCTGAAAATCATGAAACATTCTATTCGACACCAACTGTTATAAATGTTTTCAAATCAATGAACTCATCACTGTTCCACAACTAGTTACTTTGACGGAAAGTCAATGTAACAAAATGGTGAACTTCCTGGTTACGATTTTTTTATTTTCTCGTTTTAAACCTACTTAAAAGTCAAGTTGTATATGAGTCCCAACTGAGAAAAAAAATGCCGGAGTTTCACTTTCAGATTAGAAAAAAATTGGAATTGTTTTTTATTTTTGCAAATTGGGACCGACTATTTTTAACACATACTGAATTGAGATGGCTAGATTAAAGGAAAAATCACAGGTAGACGTCAAAATAATGGATATGGAATTGAATTACCTACATTATATTCATCTTATGGTGAAAAGAGTGACATTATTCAAGCTGGAATACCTTTTGAAGAACTGCAAAAAGTAACTAAAACCAGCAAGTACTCTATTATCACCCACTGGATGTCTTACGTTTGACCCTACTGATCGTTGATTCTCTACCCAGGGACTCACCCTCGGGCCTCCAGTCTGGGGGGGGGGGGCGCTAATAGCGACATGGGTGCCAATTACAGCTAATACGGTGATGTTTATCTGAGCCATTTATTTCTATTTATATATGAATATACCATCTCAGGAAATCAAAATACTATTTGGGTAAAAGCAAATCATTTTTATGCTCGGCAAAACCAGTTTTATGCAAACAATTGAATCATGTAACCATGTTATGTTTATGTCTTCACAGGAAAGCCTAAACTACATAATAGTAAGCACAAACATACAGTTATAGTTCAGACTGCACAGTGCACACTTGATTGTTTTCACTGTTATATAACTGTTAACTAATTGGTAAATTTTATGAATGAATCTATTGACCCACTGGGCCAACAAAGTGTATACTATGAGGTTATATAATGGTTGATTCCGTATATCATGTTTATACTTTAGTGAATATATCATATACTCATGAGAGTATACAGTAACGATATACAGAATCAACCATTATATGATCTTATTATCCCACCCCAATCTTTAATCAATAAAAGTTTAGCAGTTGTATATCAAGTCAAATAGTTGTATACGCTGCCCAGGAGTTGTATACGCTATCCAGGAGTTGTATATCGTTCTCAAGAGTTGTATACGATGAGTGTTGGTTTTATATTGCAGTTATACTGTAACAATGCTATTATACAATCATATAAAGCACTTAGGGTGGGATAAAACTACATGTTTAATAGAAATCATTATTTTAGTCTACCTGCCCATATGACCCCCCCCCCCTCCCACTACGCACAGGTGTGAATTGAAGTGTGTAGTGGGAGAGAGGGCACAAAGGCTCCAAGTTAGACTATCATTATTTATACATTTTTATACATATTTGTATATGTCATCTACTTGTAATTTCAAAACTTACCACTCAAATATTCTATCCAACCTTGCACAGATTCTGGGGGATCAGTTTCTTTTATGTGTTTGAGAGCCTCGTCTATAAGGACATCTCCTGTCGGTGAATCTGATTTACATATCACCTTACGGGACAGCAAACTGCGACGACGCATACCTGTTTTTTCTAACTCACATCTTCCTCTTATGGCCAGTTCTATGAGAATACAGCCTCTTAGACCTGATGATATGCAGTCATTCCAAAATGACGTATATCCCTGGAAAAATACATAATAAGTTTTTGAAAGGTTATATTTATGTTCACTTAACCTCTTGACTACCCAGAATGACGAGATTTCTCGTCAAACCCAGAGGGACGAGAAAATCCGTCACAAAATTGTTCACAAAAATTGCTCTTATTTGAACAATTTTCATCCAATTTACACAAAAATTGTTTTAAAACGTGTAGAAATGATCTCTGCCATCTAATTTTACTAAGTTGAGCATCTAAAATTGTAAAGGTATGTAGTAAAATATCAAAAGGTGGCAAAAATGAAAAAATTCTCTGGTTTCAACCAATTTTAGAGCCTGGGATTCAAGAGGTTAATCAAGGCTTGATGAATCTGGTAGTGACATAAAAAGCGGACCAAAATCATTACCCCTAAATTAAAAGTTGCCCTCCAGCCTTTATATTCTCTACATTTGTCCAACACCTGTATTTACCTGAAACAAGCGCAAAATTTGGCTCCCTATTGACATAAAATTACGAACTAAGTGGACCCTTTGTTTGTGCAACAAAAGTGTGGTAGGTTATTACGCGTTCAAAAAATTCAAAGGTCACCTTTTTGTCCCTATATCGCTAGTTTCTGTCAGTATTTCTATCAATTGTCAAATCATTGTTTGCGCTGAGACGGTGATACACCAGCTGACTTTTTACCTAACAGATTCTTTAATTGAGTCTGTTTGGTATACGACGAAAATGAGATATAAGAACAGAATATTACTGTTATATTTTATCATATAAACTACATATCAGACCAATCAAGAGTTATTTTTATCATGTTATTTGAGCAAACCATGCACGCGCGAAAATAAGTAGGTAAATAAAAAGATCTAGAAGTCTACTTCACAAATAACTGCAAGAATTATATAACAAGGCATTAACATGCAATTTGTCACCACCTGCTATTTAATACAAACGTTGAATGCCGACCGAAGCAACACAAACCACTGAAAACTAAATCAAAACTATCAGGAGTTTCCTTACCTTTTCTCTTCTTTACAAAAACTTTTTCAAATGTAATAAGCAATCGATCACTCAAAACGATGTTTCATAAAAAATATTCACTGAAATTCACCATTTTTGAATTTGAGCATTGAAACAGATAGAAAACTTTCGATGGAAAACGAAATTATCTGTCAAGTGACATCGCTAATTAGTGATGTTTCTGGAAAACATTTTTACATGGATACGCAATACCAGTCTACGCTTGTCCAGAAATAAATTGGTATCCACATAAACATCTTTGTTACAAGAGTAAATAGAACATTAGGCTCGTAATGTTATATTGATGAATGATCACTTGTAGAAACGAACATCCTAATTTGAAATTATGTTGATAAAAATTGAACTTTTGTCTCAAATCTCTTCCTAAAGTGGGGGACAAAAATAAATCTCAACCCTCAAAAGTTGTCACAATGAGCTAAATTCTAAGTTTTGTGTCTCAAACTATCCCAAGCGATAGAAAAATAATTCCCATTCACTTCAAGTATCACAATAAATAAATTCAAAGCTTCATACCTGCAAATGATGGATAAATCCCTACCAAATCGAACGAATGTTTTCATGAATCGCCATGTTTGTGATCCAAGGAGGATTGACTCCCAGAATGCAACATCAGGTAACTTTATTTACTCGTGACAGATTTCAAAATGGCGGAATGGCATTTTGAAAGCTGACACGTGTCATGTTGCATTCTGGGAGCCAATCCACATTGCGGCGCAATTGGGCTCCAAAATCACCTCAACATTTGAAGAGTCGGCATTAACATGTGAATTCCACTTCAAATTTTTAAGTTCTTATTTGTCATTATGGACACGAATTCCACTATATGTGGACTTACTAGGACGGGACAAAATAGAGCACTGAATACAATGAGGTAAGAATTTATTAAATGTGCGACAGCATGTTATTTCCATAGCTTTTGTAATTCTTTATGTCCCCCACTGTACTAAAGAATTTTGACAAGAAGAAAAATTGAATGTCAAAAATAATAAATAATACAAATCGACCCCATATTTTTGGGGGTAGTGTGCTCCTACTTGCACTGAAACTAGTTATAGGGCAAAGGGGTATAACTTCGACATCATTTTGAGGTTATTTCGACGAGTGGGGTAACTTCAACACCTTGTTGTTTATTTGCTCTAATTTTCAATCTAAAGGGAAGCCATGTTTTTTTCTCACATAAATCGAGATTTTTGTCAAAGTTACCCCATTCCTCATGTTGACATTACCCCAAACGTTGACAATTACGTCAAACGTCGACGTTACATCCCTTTGCTCTATACAAGCGAAATAAACAGACCAGGAATAACATTTTCCTCATCAACTATTAATTTTGAAGTGGTCTTTCCAGTCCTTGGTGAGAATACATGCAGTTTGGACTCATTATTTTTCCAGGAAGATGTTATTTGACGATACAAGTTTGCTTATAATATGAAACATGTCAAATTTTCAAAAAAAGTAGGTCAACAAATTAAAGTCAAATATCATGCACTTTATCTTCATGAACATAGCTCTACCATCCATCAAAATAAAGACAGGTGTTAATAGTTTTAAAATTGCCATTATACCTCTCTGTCCTTAAGACCAAGAAGCAATACTTCTTCCATCAAAGTGAGTCTAGTTTCCTTGGAATCGTGATCATCTTCCTCTTCGGGCAGAACTTGATCCTTCTCAGGGTCATTGTTTGTGATTGTCTGGTTATGAGAACTCACGTTACGTCTTTGTACGAGTCCTCCCGACCGATCCATTTTGATAAGGTTAATGGAAGACCCCTAATCAGAGCAAAATTTCGTAGTTTATAGTTCCACCCAGATTTTGTTGACTCCGTCACAAATCCAAAATGGTGGCCCCAACTTTCGTCATCAAAATATGCGGAAATAGACGAGTAATAAAATCACTTCAAATAATCATAAGAAAAAGACTGTTGAATAAAATAAATGTATTGACTCGTAATCATTATATATATATGTGTGAAATATAATGTTATAATCCAATATAGAGGAAAGACATCTTCGTTAAATTCCGTAGCACTTGGGGCTTGTCATTTTTGTCGGCCAATCAAATCAGATTTTATTATCAGTCCGTAGAAGGTCGTCAAGGAAAACAATTTTCTTCCAAATATTCTTGTAGATCGTACATTTAAGTCATTTTCTCAGCAATAAATCATACATCTACCCATAAATCATGACCCACGTACGGACATATAATCCATCAGTACGGGTTGCGAACTGGAATGAAGATATACAATTGGAAGAGGTGAGGAAGATAAAGTTTATTTTGTGTACTGTAAATTCTTATGAAAACTCAATGCTCACTGAAATAAAATTGATGATTTTCATTTTGATTACTCAAAATCATTGTTTGAAAATTCACTTTTGTTACTTCTTCAATGATCCATATTAGGCCTAATTGATTTATAAATCTACGACAATCGATTGCATTGCATTGGCGATACGTTTACGGCGATGTTGTTGATGCTTCTACCTTTTCTTGTCCTCGTTAATATTGTCCCTTTGGACCATGACTCTCATGTTCTCATTAAACTGTTTAAATATTGAATATACTATTTTCAGGACACATTGAAAGATTTTCTTGAACGCAAAGAAAGAGGTGAACTGCTCATACAGAAAACACATGGACTTTCAGAGACCTTTTTACAAAATACAAGTCTTAGTGTAACAAGAGATGGAGAAGTACACTTTGGTGATGTTGTTATGATAATGAATAAAGGAGCTAGAGACCAGTAAGTATTATACAGTAGGCCCTACTTATGAAATATGTCCATAGTTGATCGCAGGTTTAAGGTAATTCTGTATGTTCAGAAATTTTAATGGCTTCCACATTGGAGGGGCATGTTATTTTCAGCAACACAACTCATTCTATTTTTATAGAAGGTCTACATCTTTCAGTTTTGAACATTTGTACCTAGATCATTCTCTAGAAAGCCCATGGTCAAATGTAATCATTTTCTACTTTGAAAATTCGACGACCTACTTTTTAAGAGTACAAAAAGTACTGATTTTTCTCTTTTATATGATATTTATGCTCTCTGTGCAAAACTGAACATTGAAAAGAATGATTAATTTGTTCCTGAAAATAACATGTGACTCTTTCTGTCGAAAGCCCATGAACATGCGGATCAACCTAAATATTGTTATTCTTCATTCACAAGTTCCATAGCATGTCTTTCAACTTAACACTTTATCTATTCAAATGATGTCTGCTTCTAGGGACAACAAATAATATATCAGATCTTACTTAAAATTATTTAATCTACAATTCTATTTTCATAATTTTTTCAGAACAAAGTACTCAACATCACAAGACCCAAGAAAAGACAGTGTATTATCTGTTTGCCCTGACTTTTCCGGTGACAGTTCAAGAGTCTCTGTGTCTGGGTCACAATCTGGCACACCAACTAAACGAAACACATTTATCATCACCAGCATAGATGGCACTCCGAATGGACAACCTCTCCGATATGGTCAACCCTTTCATTTCCAAGCAGTACATAATAATGTAAGTGGAAACATTTAACACACTTATTACTAATTTATTTTTTTTCATATTGAAAACATTTTTTACACATTTTAAGCATGGCACTTGGTGAATATTCTTCAAATGATATACAGTAATAATGACACGTGTAAGTCAGATGTAACCCACACCCAGATACATCAAAATTGAGCCTCTGGCACAGTACAACATTTCAGGTGTCCAATAACATTCATTTTGGTCATGGTATGGGAAAAGAAGTCGATAAAACACTAGCAGTTTTCTACTTTTATTTGTAGATCAATGACAATAACAGAGAAAATAATCAAGACTTAAGTTTATTTCCTTTATTTTCAGTTTCTTCTCCATAGTGACCGTGTGTCATTCCAAACATGTGCCAAGAGATCACGTCACCAAGCTGTCAGTCTAGTAGATGCGCCATCTTTCCTCACACAATGGCAAATTATCAATTTCAACCCACAGTTAAGAATGGAATATGAAGGAGCCCCTGTACCTGTAAGTTTTCAAAATTCACCAAGGATTTGAATGATGAAAATCAATTGCTGACAACTTTGACCTAATAACATTTATAATTCTGATTAATAAAAGTAAAAATGTCCTTTTTGAGTATCTCTTATAGATTAAAAATACATATTTTCCATATTTTTGATATTTAATATTTCCATTTTGAAATTAAATCCTCCCTGTTTTCATATTGAAATATTCTCATGCTTCTCGCCATTTTGTTATGAAATGTTTAAAAATGTAATTTTCCTCTGAATTTTAATTCTCATGTTCCGTTAATAAGTTTCCTTGATCCACCATGCTCCTGTTTCTATGTGGTATTTCCATTTACAGTAAAATGTATACAAGTGGAACACCTGGAATTGGTACCTCTAAAAAGTGTTCCACTGTTTGACTTATAGAGGTTCATTTAAAATTAAGCCAGTTGAAGAGTGTTCCACCAACAGAGTTATTCCACTTCTAGAGGTGTTCCACTTAACAGGTTTCACTGTATATTCATTTTGCAGTCTTGAACATATAGAAATATATTACTATCCTATAGATCATAAAATAAACAACTTTATCATGTCTGTCAAACAAAGTTCAATGCATTTTTCAGGCTAATGAACCCATAATTATTAACCACGTCAAGACAAACCAGGATATTGCCATAGAACAGGATTTCACAGTCAGGTAAGAGCATTCAATGTAAAAAGGGTGAGATTAAAGTATTTTGTATGGATAGAGGGCAGGTCTCTCATATGCAAGCCATGATGCATCTTCATTCTTTAACAACCCAGTTACTTTTTTTCAAGTTTTTGCTGGTCATATTGGATCATTAATCTGGTCCCTTATGCAAGTACGTATTTTTTATTGATTTTATCAATTTTTGGTGAAGACAAGACCCCTTAATGTTAACAAATATTCAAATTAAATTATAGATAAAAACCATCATAAGTTGTTTTTATTTTCATTCAAGGAGTCCATTTGGCAGAGAGTATGAAGTTTCTGCCAACACATATCTTGATTCACATAAAGCTGAAATGGAAGTCAACCACTTTATGCTGGTTCTTGGAGCACCAGGGAGTGACGTGTGCAAAGTTGAGGATGCAAAAGCACAAGTTTTAACAGGTCCCCAGCCATCCATGGGAATAACAGACAGTTCAGGAACTTCAGCAGGAACATCTGCTTATACATCAGAGCAATCCTCTCGACAACAAACTGGAAATATATCACAATAATATTACCCACCTGACTGTTAATATATTCTAACTGTAAAAAGCATGTTCATGGAATTTTCATGAGATAAATCAATCCTTATCTTTCATTATCAAGATGTGACTATATATATATATCAATTTCTGATATATTTATTATATCTAGGTCAGTTTCTCTCCAGTACTTTGCAATTGTTTAATTTTGATCTAAAGGAAACCATGGGCAATATAATGTTTTAAAATGATACAGTTCTTCAGAAAAAAAATTAAGGGGACATACTGTAAACCTTTAAAAAAATTGCAAAATGTAAAAAAATATATAATTTTTTTTTATCAATTCAACTTCAAATTGTATGTTGTTCTTCTGAAACAGTTAGCATGAAAATTCAGCAATACAGCAATATTTTTGTACATAAATATATTTAAAAATCACAAAATTATCAGCAGTAGATATTTTAGTGTCACTTATCATGGATCATGATCTATAGCAACATTTTTGTCAAACAAACACTGTATTAAGATGTTCAATTTCTCGATATACAACATTCACATTTTAAGGAAATCTTTGATTCATTTTTGGATATATATGTTAACTATGAAGTCCATGTATATAATTAACTGTATATAAAAGGAAAGTAATAAATTGATCAAGAAATAATGAGCTATATGTTAATGTTCTTATATATTAAAAGCAGACCATTACCATTATAAAAAAAAAGGGGGGGGGTCAACATTTTAAAGTCAAAAAATATTCAGGGTAGAAATATTTTCCGCTTGGTTTAGTCAAACAAATAACAAGTATGCAACCACTGATAGTTTTATAATGGAGCATGTTGGAAAATAATTCCTGATACATTTTTGGGGTCTAGTTGGAAATACTAGACAGAGACTTTATGAAAAAATGTTTGTTCTTGCTAACATACCAACTGACAATACGAGTTTATTCTTTCACATTACACCATTATACCATCGTCATTCTGGTTATTTAAAGATCATTAGGGATGATTTTGCGAAGTGAACAACATTCCATACAATTTATCAGCAACGGTGTATTTGGTTCGGTGACGTTGACATCGGCAAGAGCCCTCCATTAATATATGTTGTCAGTGGAAAAATGATGATGATTTTGACCCTAACGGGATTTTCAATACAACAAAGTTATTCTAACATCTAAACAAAGGCAGATGATGTACCTTATGCGAGTCATTCACACCTAGCTCACCTTACCGGGATAAGGTAGAGCGATTCTAGGTAGACTATGTCTACTAATTATAAAGGAGGAGCCATCCCATATTGCATGCTAAGGGCTTTCATTTTTGATTCTTGTTTCATTCTGAGTGTTAGACAACATTATTACCAGTTTTGGAGAAAATGGCATCATTGAAACTCAACCATAGCCTCTTAATTAATGAGTTTTAAGTCCCAAGAGAATGAGAACATTGGGTATTCTTAACTACAGTCTGTTAAACTGTTTCAAAGGCAAGCAGTTGAACCTGAAAAAATACTATTTTGCAATTTTTCAGGTTCAACTGCTTGCCTTTGCAGTTTAACAGACTGTACATCTTCTCCTTTACCTAAACTGTTGACAGGTTGAAGCTGGATGGAATGAAATAATGTCAATCATGCCATTCAATAAGGACTGTAGAGAAAATAGGAAAGTTTTTTTCATTTTTTCTGAGCTATCAAGGCAACATTTGGTTTACATCTTCTTTGACATACCTATTTTCTTAAAATGTATGGATAAATTATCAATTTCAGCATTAAGAAGCATTAAATTCAGTTCAAAGCTTCAAAAAGGGGACTTCCACTTTTATATTTTTAAGATCCACCATGTTTCAAGAGGAATATCAGCTAAATTAATGTTTATCAAGGGGGTTTCTTTGTAGATAATAAAAATAGATGTTAGTCTTGATGAAATATCCAAACTTAAATATATTTTGACACTGGTCCATGATCGTTGAATGACCCCTCTCGACTAATCATTGCACCTTTAAACAATTACAAAGACGATTATTGCTTATGAAGAAGTAATAAAAACGATACCTAGCTATCGGGATGCTTAAAGGGTACAAGCGAAGAAAGTTTTGGCATAGCCTTCCTTTAATTTAGAACCCCTGCCTGGATTCACGATCTGTTGACAGAAACGTATGTGATTTAGGTTGATTTGTGAGTTGTTTACGTTCCACTAAGAATTGGATAAATTACTTGTATTGTGTTTTATTTCACGTCGGATGACTTGTTTTTAAAGTACTCTTCTAAGAAGTAGTTGAAAGGGCAGTTGTACCTTTCTACCCTTAATAAAATCACTCACACATAGAGGATACAGTACTTAGACGAACAATCACAAACCCAAATGAGAACTGAACTGAAAATAGAAGAATGACTGATATGATAGAATATCATAGGCAAATTAATCAAAGAAAAAAATACAGAATCCTCAATAAGTTAAAAAATCCCCTTGGACTATAACTTAATGATATGATAAGAATTTTTGAAAATCTAATTTTCGTCTACAATGTAAAACAACTTGTATGACATTAAATAGTTTCTTGTACCTGAAAATAGCCTGAATCAAATTAATTTTTGTTTATTTTTTAATGTCCTCATACAATAAATAAACGCACACGCACATGGTCTTTGAGTAATCTGGAAAGCATGATTTAGACACGATGACAAAAGTCAGCAGCACAATGGATTAGATACTTTATACACTTTAAAAATATCGATTTTCATTACTTAGAAAAATTATGTCTTTTAATTTTCAAATATTTGAATTTCCCGCGATTCTAAGAACAACAGATGCATTCTTGTAAATCTTAAACTGGTTATGTATAATCGACGTGAGTATGGACGTGTCATTTGTTATCAATGAAGTCACGTTTTTGAAAAACGAAGGAGAGAAAAACAAACCCCAACTATCCCAAAACCATTATCCAAAGGGTCATTTCATTCATACTAAGGTCATAAGCTAGTTTCACATTCTTGAGTTTTGAAAGTTTTGAAAGATATATTTATTTTTATTTTTTAAATCATGTATATATTTCTCATTTTATAACTTTGTATACAAGTACATCAGGTCATTTTACAATATTACAATATTTGTGAAAAATGATATAATTTCAATTCTTGAACATTATTACAATAGTTTACAAATATAACGTACCATAAGTTGTTTAACCATTCATTAAAATAAGTATAGTTAGTGTCTTGTACCTTATAGCCAAAGACAAGAGTTTTATACTTTTTCAAGCTTAATTCAATTTTAAAATGATCTAAAATATAATTTTCAAGTTGGTCTATTACATTAAGTACTCTATGACATTGAAAGAACAAATGTTTATAGCCTTCTACTTGTCCGCAAATATCACACTTGTCATTAACACTTATTTTCCATCTTAGAAGTAATTGTTTGCATGGTAAAATATAATGTAAAAGTTTGTATTTAAAATTGGCCACTTTTTTATTTTTGGATTGCTTTAAAAGTATCCAAGTCTGTTGAAACAGCATTTGACTATTTTGAATTTCACAAAGATTAATCCAAAATGATTCCAAATATGTTTTAGTTGCTATATGTTCCAACAAGATTGAATATACTAGTATGTCTCTAGAACTTGCATGTTTATCCAAAAATCTATAATGCTTCAATTTACTGTCAAAAAATCTTAAACTTACATTTGTATTAACATATGTACATCTGCTTGCCTCACTAAATATTTTAACTCTAATTTTAACACTAATATTTGAAATGGCAAAGATTGCTTAACAGTTATATATTCTGCCATCCAATTGACCCTAGATTTAAGCTTATGAAGAATTTCATCTTGGGTACACATAAGATCATTAACATATAATATATTTGAATTTATCCAGTTTTCAAAATACAAACACTTGTTATTGAAAGTTATGTCTTTATTGTGCCATATCACCATTTGTCTAATTTCTGCAAATGTTATGTTATCAATTTTGGATTCTGAGCCTCCAAGAATACTCCAAGCATGGAGTAAATCTTTGTAAAATTGAGGCAAGATATTAAAATTACAAATATTCTCTGGTTTTCCATAAGTAGATTTAAATATCAAAGTATCTGGGAGTCCAGTTTTACTTAATATCTCTCTTGCTAGAATATTCCAACTTGCATGTTTATTCCCATACTCAATGTCTAATATCCATTTAATTTTAAAGGCCCTGAATTTAGATTTTAAGTCAGGCATTGAGAGTCCACCTTTAGACAAAGTATTAATTAAGACAGATCTTTTAATTTTATCTCTTTTTCCATCCCACAAAAATGAATAAAGTTCTGAAGTAATTTCTTTCAAAAAAGTTTCATTTGATGTGTCAATGCTTTTTGCTAAATACATCAGTTTAGATAATGCAAGTGTTTTAATGATAACTATTTTCCCATAAAGAGTAATCTTGCGTTTTTTCCACAAAGACAATGACTTTCTCATTTTATCTGCTATACTATTCCAATTAAGATCATGCAATTTAGTTTGATCTATTCCAAAGTAGACACCTAATGATTTTACTTCCTGTTTCCAGGAAATATTACAAAATGTAGTATTATTATCATTTTTAAAGTTACCAAGTTTTATACCTTCTGTTTTTTTAGTTAAGCTCTAAATTAGAAACAGTTCCGAAACGCTGTATTTCTTTAATAGCTATATTAATAGAGTTTTTTCCATGAACAAAGAGAGTGGTGTCATCTGCAAGTTGACATATTTTGACTTCTTTGTTTCTTACTTTAATACCTTTGATTCTAGAATTATTTCTAATATTGATTGCCATTGTTTCTGCTGCAATGAGATAAATCAAAGCAGAAATGGGACATCCCTGCCGAATGCCCCGAGATACATCAAAATATGGTGATAAGTAACCATTATTAGCTACACAGCTTTGTATTCCATTATACGAGGTTTTAATCCACTGGATAAAACTAGTGCCAAAATTAAATTTCTTTAATGCTTCTAGAGTGAAGTCAATTTCCAAACAATCAAAACATTTTGAAAAATCTGCAAAAATAATAGCAGAATCTAATGTTTTTCTATATTTATTAGCATAATTGATTACGTCATTTATTAGCCTTATATTATATCCAATAAATCTTCCTTTAATATAGCCCTGTTGATCTTGATTTATAATAAGTGGTAATATTTTATGAAGTCTCTGAGCTAAAATGTGGGCACATAATTTGTAATCTACATTAAGCATGGTTAAGGGTCTCCAGTTACTTAATATTTGGTTATCATTTTTCTTATGTAACAACTTTATAATGCCTAATCTCTGAGAGAAAATTAATTGTCGTTTACTGTAACCATAATTTAAAACATCAGTTACCATTTTACCAATTAATGGCCAAAATGTTTGATAGAATTCAACAGTTAATCCATCTTGCCCTGGAGATTTATTAAGCTTCATGCTAAAAAAAGAATTTTTTGCTTCATCATAAGTAAGCTCTCCTTCACAGAGATCTGCTTCCTCTTTAGTTAATGCCCGTTTAATATTAGTATTGTCTAAATAATTTTTGATTTTATCCTTTTGTATATTTTTTGAAGTATAAAGGGTTTTATAGAAATTCTCCTGCATTTGTAATATTTCATTCTGATTACTGACTACAGTTCCATTGGGACGTTTTAAATTATATATTGTTTGATTCTTCTGTTGGTGTTTTTCAAGGCCAAGAAAATTTTTTGTGTTACGTTCACCTTCCTCTATCCACTGTACACGTGACCGTATTTGGGCAGCTTTCGCTTCATACTCAAGTAAAGTATTATAACGAAGTTGATATATATCATTATCATCATAATTACTAATCTTACTAAGTAAAAATTGTTTCAGTGTTTCACGTGTTTTTGCTTTATGCTTAGCATACTTGATAGATTCCTCCCTTATTTTTACCTTAAATAACTCCCATTGATCTCCACAGTCAAGAGAAACATCTGGCTGAGAAAATATATTAGTTATCAAGAATTTGAAATTATTGTCTTTAAGTAGACTATTGTTTAGTTTCCAAATACCACTACCCTTAGCAGGGCAAGATGACAGTTTTAAGCATATTGCCTGGTGGTTACTTTTATAGCTAGGTCTGATATCACATAATTTAACTTGTGACATAAAAGAATCAGATATCAAAAACATGTCTAATCTACTTTTCAGAAAAGGAGTTTTTTGTCTATATGTAAAATGTTTTAGATGAGGATGTAAATCTCTCCATACATCCTTTAAATTGTTGTTTTTCATTAATTTATGAATTTTGTTATTTTTGATAACTGAGTTACAGGGTAGTTTTTTAAGACTTTGTCTATCCATTTCGGGATTGACAACTGTATTAAAATCACCACCTATGATTATTTCACCAAGTGCATGTTCATTAATAACTTTGTCAAGTTTAGTTAAAAATAAATTGCGGTCTTTTTCCCCATTTGGGGCATATACATTTATAAGAGTGAAAATTTCTTTTGAAATTTCAATATTAGTCAAAATGACTCTTCCATCATGAAATAAAAATGTATCTATAACCTCTAATTGAGCACCATTTTTAATAAATATACTAACACCACATGATTTATTGTCCTTAAATGAGTGTAAAATAGAATGTCCACTCCATTCATTTTCAATTGTGGGAACTAAATCTAAAGTAAAATGAGTCTCTTGAAGAAATAAGATTGAGCAATGCTGTTGATTGGCCCAGTGAAATAAAGTTTTTCGCTTTGTAGCGTCTCTCAAGCCATTGGCATTTAAAGATATATTGATAGTTTAAATTTATGTGCTCGGAAAAGCTCAGCTGCGCCCAGAATATAAGATTTTCTGGTTTTATATGAAAAACATTTCGGCCGTAAATCCTAAAAAATGTATAGAGGTGAATTACAAATGTCAAGAGATCATCTTCAGTCTATCTAGGTCTCGTATAACGAGGATGAAGAAAAAATTATTTCCAACTATAAAATATAACATGTTCGGGATATAATTTTTTAGCAACACCCAATCGGAGAATTTGAGTAAAAACTTTTAAGTGGGAGTATACATTGAGCTAGCCTATATACCCAGTCACCTCAACAGCGTCAACGACCAACCATTCATTATCCGCCATCCGAATCTACCATGAAGAAAACACCAAGGATTTTTGGAATGCTCCTGTTTTTATTTTTTATCCACGCAATTAAAGCTGTAGACACCAACAGAACGTGTACAAGACTAACTTGTCCAGTCAACACATGCGTGAAACAGAAGATACAAACTGTTAAAAACGTAACTGATGATCTTAAGAAAACTATTGCAGAACAAGGAAAGGTACTTACAGAACAAGGGAACAGAATTGCAGAACAAAGAAATATAACCACGCAGTGCAAAAGCATAACTGATGATCTTCGGAAAAATATTGCAGAACAAGGAAACATAATTGCACAACTGATAGCAAGACAAGAAGGGACAAATGTTAATATTACATTTCAAATCCAAGAACTATACCAATATCTTCACCTTCAGCTAAATGGTAAGTTACGTTTATGTTTTATTACCGCTCTATTCATTTTTGCTGCTCTCTGATTTTGTAAAAACATTATCTTCAATGCATGTATGTTTACAATAAATTAATGTGTGCAATAAATTACAAAATAGCTAGTTTTCTTATTATTCATTACCACGGTGTTATAGCATACGGTTACGACAAGGCGATTTGCAAAATTTTGCGGTAACGATAACAAAAAATGGCGGATTTGAAAGACAGAATGTCCTCTTTCTCGCCTGTAGGCAAGATTCACAGATAAGATTTCCTTTTCAACAAGTTCATTCGGTGACATATATATGGATGGTAACCCTACTATCACACCAAACTAGTTCTCGCTACGTTCTCGAAAACGGGCTTCAACTGTGTACGAACGGACTGGACGTACTAAGAACCGTTTGGGATCTATTTACAAACTTCATCGAACGTACTCGAACGGGTAGGTCCTCTAGAACTTAGACAATGCTCAAAATGTTCTCGTGGTCGTCACGTTCTACAATTAGAACGAGTGACAACGTACTAACGACGAGCTGGACGTACTACGAACGGAACCGTCGTACTTCAATCCTACTAGGGACGTTTTAACAACGAGTTGAACTGTCTGAGGACGTGTTGAGAACGAGGTAGAACTCATTGCAAACGGGTTTAAACTGATTAAGAACGTATTTAACACTGCTTATGAACTAGTTAGCAAAAATATAGCTATCACACCAAACAAGTTGCCACTGCGTTCTTCAAAACTGGTTCTAAACTGTGTGCGAACGGAATGAACGTAGCTGCAACTTTCTAAGGTCTATTTACGAACTTTATGAACGTTCTCAGACGGGAATGTGATTTTAGAATTTTGAATCGATTCAAAATTCGATTGCGACCATACCGTTCTGTTATCAGGTCATGATGACCTTCTAGACTAAGGGACACGTTCTACGGCGTTGCACACCGACGTGGTGCGACCTGAACGAACTGCGAACGAGATGGACGTATTGAAGACTGTTTAAGAACGAAGAAGCTAATTATTTCAGACATATTTCCCGACCACAGACAGATTGAGCCCGTTTTACGACGTTTTCGTAGGACTGGCAAGAACGGGTAAGAACGAGTTTGGTGTGATAGGGGGGTTATAAAGACTGGGTCAAATCTGCCAGGTGGTTTACTAGAAGCGGAATATAACTATAAACTTACCGACTGAGATGCCCAAGTTCATATTTTTTAGTCCATTCTCGTGATTTCTCAGTATATGTGCCTCGGAGCCACTCAAACTATTAACAGTAAGTAAACTGTGTATAAGCAAGCCATAAAATGACAAATCCAGAACAGGAACGTGGTCATATTGTAAATAATAAGGTTTCAAACAAAATATCGTTAGCCGACTACGTATGAATTCTATAGACGGTAACGTATTGTATTAGATGTACATTAGATATTTAGCGGACGGTTACGTGCATGTACATCTTTCAAGTTAAGGTTGCTAGTTCTGATAGCCTCTATCCGTGTTATTGTTATAATGGGTAAGAAATGGAATATTGAATTGCTTATATTTGTTTTCCGGACTCGCAAGAGACGCTCTTGTTTGAGCCTCTATAGGACAAGGAAAAAATTGTGTCTTGCTTTATTTATGAAACCAATTCAAGTCAAAAAGATAGCAAATGATGAAGAGGCAAAAGAAGGATTAGCATCAAGTACTGATGAATATGACAAAATTAATAACAATGAATCTGGGATACATATTTGAACGAGGTTCGCGTAACCGTCAATCAATTTTTTGTGTAACCGCAAATTAAAAATACAATATTATGGCTTAAGTAGAACATATTAGGTGGTTTCCAATGCTCAATTGGCTTTTTATGATCGTATGCAGGTTACATCTATATACCCCGAGGTCGTTAGGCAATGTAGACCATGCCCTAACGACAAAAATAAACAGATTACTAAATTTTGTGTAGTTTTGAATTTCAAACTCAACAGTTTTTCGCTTATTTCATGTTATCCTCGGGCATCAATTTGCAAAGAATACGTTCAAAATGTACATTATGAAATGCATCACCGAATGCGATGCCTACAAAATATCGTCCATCCTTTCATTGAAACAAAGTAGAAGAAAATAATGCACCAACCTTCAACCTTAGTTTTCTGTTCCATCGCGGCCATTTTATTGGATAAATCAGTGATCGTAGTCGTCTAATCTCGTTTTCAGAGGTGTCGTAACCGTCATGCTATAACACTATGATTACTATTTTTATGCCACAACCATATTTGAAGTACAGCGTGAAATCTAATGCAACCAAGCTTCTTATCATCGTATATGTGATAGCGATTTCTGAAATGCAAGTCCACAGAATTGAACGTTGCTCGCACACATTGTTTACATACTCATAAGAGCCAGATTAATTGATGAATCAAAAGGTTTGATCATGAGAAATAAGGAACTGTGAAGAATCTGAACATAAAAAATGATACTAAATCAATAAAATGATACTATTGCTGTCCCATTCTTTGTTTACAATCACAGGTGCCCTCATAAATATCGTGTCACCTGTCGGGATGATATGAGAAATATCCCTCGGATATCAATATTTCCCTCGGCCACTCTCTGGAAATATTGATATCGTCCTTGTGATATTCCCCATATAAATTCCCTCCTGGTGAATAACTTCTTTATTCTAAAGCTGATGAAGATACAACTATTTACAAACCTGCCTTATGTACCTGAAACACGCCTAAAACCCCCAAAATAAAGTGAACAAATTAATAACTATGAATATTAAAAAAAGATTTCATTTATTTATAAAAGTGCAAGAAACATACGGAAACATACATGTACCTCAACATCCGAACTGATGTTCAAACGTAAAATCGTGTCAATTGTCCCTTGTGTTATCTTGATTTAGGTACACTTGGTCCCCCTGGTCCTCCCGGTGCAACCGGACAAACTGGTCCCACTGGAGCAACTGGACAAATCGGTCCTCCTGGTGCCGCTGGAGAAACTGGTCCGACTGGCGCAACTGGGCAAACTGGTGATGGTGGTATGCTTCTAGGCATACCCCAAAGAGTTATCTATGGTATGTACCTCTTGAGAAATCCTTTATCAATATTTTAGATTAAGATCAGGAAAGTAATTGGTGCATCCTGCAAATTGAAGGATGCGCAGAAGGATTTGTATCCAAATATTGAATTCTTCTTTTTTTCTTTATCACGGTGCTTACAGGTTCTGACAGTGGTCGTCCTGCGTGGTACTTTTATGGAAACAATATAACAGACAGGGAAACATTTTTAGAAATTGGTGGTAGAAAATCCTGGGTTGACTCTGAAACTGATTTACCACGAGCTTGAGGGACATTAACAGGCTTTGTAGTATATTTAGAACCTGGGGCCACTAGAGATACTAGAGCACGACTTCAAATATGGCGGGCGATACCTCCAAGTGATCGCAGATTTTTATTAGTCTGGGAAAAAGTGACATTTTTGAAAAACTCGATTAACAGAAGTGAGTATACAGGTCATTAGAATGCTAATTTACTTTTTTTACCTCCAGGTCCTGCAGCGTGGTATTTTTATGGAAACAATATAACAGACAGAGAAACATATTTAGAGAGTGGGGGTAGAAAAGCCTGGGTAGATTCTGAAACTGATTTACCACGAGGGACATTAACAGGCTTTGTAGTATACTTAGAACCTGAGGTTCCTGAAGACACTAAAACTAGACTTCAGATATGGCGTTTGATACCTCCTAGTAAAGAAAGATTATTATTAGTGTGGGAAAAACAAGTGACATTTTTGAAAAATGAAACTGGATTAACAGAAGTGAGTACTACAGTAGGCTATTGTGAAACGATGCCGAGATTCCATTTTTATATTTAATTCTACGTCTGAAGTATAATGTTTTTCTAACATAGTATTGTTTTCCTGACATGATAACGTGTTTTTTGGACCTTATACAAACAGCAGTAACGTATGGCATATTTCCTATTCAATTTCGTGTCTCATTAATAAGAGTAAACATATTTTCCAGATGTATATTCACACACTGGAAATAAGTCATTAATTTATTTGAATTTTAGGTTTTCCTCTCAACATCTGAAAGATTTCGTACGATTAGTGGAGACAAAATAGGATGGACTTATGAAGGAGATATTGGCCCTATTAGTTTATCCTCCGTACAGAACCATTTGACATACTTCTTACCATTGGATAACGGTCCCAACCCACAAATAGGAAGCGAATATGAATTTGAATCTCTTCCCTTGGAAACTATATTTTCAATAGGAGTATTGATCGATATAAGTAAGAGGCAACGTTTTGTGCCATTAGAGTGGTCGCAAATATTCACTCTCTGTCTTCTCACATTCAGCGATGACTGGTAGGGCACCTAGCGGGGCACCGAATATTTTCACGAAGATGGCCGAATATTCTCCAAGGAACCAATCAAATTCCTTGAATATTTTCACGAAGATGGCCGAATATTCTCCAAGGAACCAATCAAATTCCTTGAGGGTTAGGGGTAGATCTTCGGCCATGTTCGATTGTGGTCCAAAAATCGTTATCCATTCAGCGACCGTATTATCAATTTTAGCAATTATCTATTTAACGATCGATATGTTTGACAATATGTCCTCTGAAAAATTAAATTCAACTACTTTCCCGTCCTATCTATAATCAGCCATGTATTCAATGTATATTAATCATACTTCCATGGATTGTTTTCAGACCCTCGAGGAGCTACTGGAGCAACAGGCCCATCGGGACCTACCGGATCTACTGGACCATCTGGAGCAGCTGGTTAGTCCTAAGCTTGTATTTGCGAATGCAACTAACGCCTGACGACTACAGGATTAACCTCCTATTTTATGGCCAACTCATTTAAATATGAATGGAATAGTGGCAGGTACTACAGTATTCATAACTAAATGAGTTGGTCATAAAATAGTAAGTTAATCCGGTAGCTGCTTGCCGTTAGTTGCATTCGCGAATGCAAATAGCGGCTATCGGCTATTGGGTTGATTGCAATTAGATGGCAAACTCATTTAATATGAATAGAATCTGTCGTGCATCCCGTTGGTTGCCAGCTTTCGCCTCAGAAGCAATAGCTGACCTAAATAACGATTTAATATGGTATTAAAGCAGCAACTAAGACCGACTATCGAGGTGTTCGGAATTAGTAAATAGCGGAAGTGCATCTGGCGCATGTGCATGGACGCAAAACACATTTCAAGTATGTTCGATCATGTGACAATGGCATAAAATTCACGTGATCACTGTTAGTCCACAAACTGGTTGATCGTGAACTTTGAGTTCAAACTGACGGGTTAATTTATGCAAATTAATAGGTTAATCCGGTAGCCGTTAGTTGCATTTGCGAACACAAGCTTAGTCATCTCATACAATTGCACGTATTTGTAGCTAAGTCACATTAACTTGCATTTACATTCAATGTTGTTGATAAACTACCCTGCGCGCAGAGTGTAGTTTTAAACGAAGCTCTCTTTTGAGAAGTAAAGTCAAACGAATGCAAAGGGTATTGAAAAACTGATTACTCCAACTGTGCTTTCATGAAAAGCTGGTGATGGCGAAGTTAACGAGGTTAATAAATAGTTATTTTCAAAGATTTTAATTCAACTAAGATAAACATAAAAGTAGTCAATGTACTTTTTTTGAATAAAACATACTGTACACTGTAATAGATTTCAACCCAATGAAATATGGCTGTAAACAGTGAGGAGTTATTCGAAGATCTTCTTGGAAGATCTTCTTTTATAGAAAAACATATTTCTTTTAGCGGTTTCTTGAAAATGCTTAAAAAAAACTGCTTAAAACAAGTGAGGCTTTGTAGAATTGAAGTAAACAGTTTTTTAGACTGCTACCTTTATTTACGTGATACAGACCTTTCTCTAGAAACAACAAAAGCCAACCTATATTTGATATAAACGTATACTGGTCAGATTTTCCTTAATTTGCGAAACATTATGTTCATCGACCTTTGCCGTAGTATTTACTATCAGGCAAATTTTAAAAAGAGCTGAAATTCCTATTTCAATACTACAACAATGATCATTGTTTACCCATTTTACAAAATGGAGGTGGCAGGGGCGGATCTGGGAAGCAACAAGGGGGGGGGGGGGGGGGGCAAACTTCTGGTCTGAGAAAAAACTTCCGCATTTTCTTCAAAATTTTCTTCAAAATTGGGCCTTTAATTAAAAAATAAGGCCTTGGAAGGCCCATTTATGACCAAAAAGGCAAACTTTTTGGGGCATTAAGGCCTTTTTGGCTCCCCCCAGATCCGCCAGTGGGTGGAAGGAATTGCGAAAAGGAGAATTCAATTATCCTTAAAGACTTTTTAATCCAAGCATTCTTTGCATTCACATTTTGATAACTAAAATAAGATCTTAATTTTTTAGGTTCAACTGGGCCTTCCGGTCCTACTGGAGCTAGTGGAGGAGGTGGACCAATAGGACCTGGTGGTCCCCCTGGAGCTACAGGACCATCTGGCCCTACTGGTGCAACTGGAACTAGTGGTCCTGCTGGAGCAACAGGTGAAACTGGCCCTGCTGGAGCAACTGGACCAGCTGGACCAACTGGATCAACCGGACAAACTGGGGCTGGTGGTCCCCCTGGAGGTAGAGGACCATCTGGCCCTACAGGAGCAACTGGAAGTAGAGGACCATCTGGCCCTACTGGAGCAACTGGAACTAGTGGTCCTGTTGGAGCAACAGGTGAAACTGGCCCTACTGGAGCAACTGGACCAGCTGGAGCAACTGGACAAACTGGGGCTGGTGGCCCGCCTGGAGCTACTGGACCAAGTGGGCCTGCTGGAGCAACCGGACAAACAGGGTTTGGTGGCCCACCTGGAGCTACTGGATCAGGAGGACCAACTGGAGCCACAGGCCCTGGAGGTCCTATTGGAGCAACAGGACCAGGAGGACCAACTGGAGCTACAGGCCCAGGTGGTCCTACTGGAGCCACAGGCCCTGGAGGTCCTACTGGAGCAACTGGACCAGGTGGGCTAACTGGAGCTACAGGACCAGGTGGGCCCACTGGCCCAATTGGAGCAACTGGAGGTCCTGGAGCCACTGGACAAACAGGTGAGCCTGGGCCAACTGGAGCTAGTGGTCTTACTGGGCCCCCAGGAAGTACAGGATCAACTGGACCCTCTGGCCCAACTGGAGCAACTGGAGTAGCAGGACCTTATGGAGCAACTGGAGTAGCAGGACCCCCTGGAGCAACTGGACCAAGTGGCCCAGAAGGACCATCTGGTCCTACTGGAGCAACTGGAAATCCTGGTTCTCCTGGTGCAACTGGACCGACTGGTCCTGATGGACAAGGTGGAGCAACTGGACCAGCTGGTCCACCTGGTTATACTGGTGCTACTGGGCCTGCTGGACCCATAGGATCTACAGGTATGTATTAGGATAATATATCATAATATTCTATATTACTAAAATAATAAGCTTTATTTACATGTAGATGCAAGTAGTCAATTATTATCATTTAATCACTCCCCGATTCATTTCCCTTAATCTGCCTACTGTACTCCAAATTAAATGCTCTCTACCACATCAAAATGTTGAAGAATTGATTTGCTGCATTGGCAATTGTATGTATTAGTTGATCGGCAGGAGTGATTCCTTACCACATTTCTTGTACCAGTTTACAATTTTGGCATATTCTCATTCAGTTTTTTCTTCAATGAATAACAATATATTTCTTTAATAGGACCTGTTGGTCCAGGTGGCCCAACTGGGGCCAAAGGGTCTGCTGGTGCAACTGGACCTGGAGGGCCCATTGGGGCAACTGGAGCAGGGGGAGTTGACGGATCAAACGGATGCTCTGGAGAAACATGTGTAATTGTAAATATTGATAAGAAAAGATTATCGGGGCCTCCTGGTCCACCTGGACCGACTGGCGCTACAGGACCCGGAGGACCTACTGGCCCAACTGGTGCAACAGGTCCTAATGGACCAACTGGCGCAATAGGACAAAGAGGACCTACTGGCCCAACTGGTGCAACTGGACCAAGAGGACCAACTGGAGCCACAGGCCCAGGTGGTCCTATTGGAGCCACAGGCCCTGGAGGTCCTACTGGAGCAACTGGAACAGGAGGACTAACTGGAGCAACTGGACCTGGGGGACCTACTGGCCCAACTGGTCCCAGTGGACCAATTGGCGCAACAGGAATCGGAGGACCTACTGGAGGTACTGGACCAACTGGCCCTGTTGGAGCAACTGGAGGTCTTGGAGCCACTGGACAAACAGGTGACCCTGGATCAACTGGAGCTCATGGTCCCCCAGGAAGTACAGGATCAACTGGACCCTCTGGCCCACCTGGACCAACTGGAGAAGTAGGAGCAACTGGAGTAGCAGGTCCTACTGGTGCAACTGGTTCAGTTGGCGGATCAGATGGTTGCTCTGGTGAAACATGCGTCATTGTAAATGTTAATAAGAAAGGTTCTGTGGGGCCTCCTGGTTCAACTGGTGCCCCTGGACCAATTGGTGCTACTGGTATATCTGGTCCAACTGGTCCCAGTGGCGCAACTGGACCTGGAGGACCAATTGGACCTACTGGAGCAACTGGTCCTAGTGGATCAACTGGAGCAACAGGACCTGAAGGACCTGCTGGCCCAACTGGTGCAACGGGTCCCAGTGGACCAACTGGCGCAACTGGACCTGGAGGACCAATTGGACCTACTGGAGCAACTGGTCCTAGTGGATCAACTGGAGCAACAGGACCTGAAGGACCTGCTGGCCCAACTGGTGCAACGGGTCCCAGTGGACCAACTGGAGCAACAGGACCTGGAGGACCTACTGGCCAAACTGGTCCAAGTGGACCAACTGGCAAAACTGGATGCTCTGGCGAAACCTGTGTAATTGTAAATGTTAATAAGAAAGGCTCTACAGGGCCTCCGGGTTCAACTGGTCCAATTGGGCCTCCAGGCGCTAGTGGTTTATCTGGACATATGGGTGAAACTGGTTCAACTGGTCCCAGTGGACCAACTGGCGCAACAGGACCTGGGGATTCTACTGGCCAAACTGGGGAAACAAGTAAGCATATCACAACTGAACTAGCCCCCCCCCCAGTCATACCAAAGTAGTTCTTATAACGTCTTATCCTGTCCAAAAATCGTAAAACGGAATGTGGTTGAGCTGAAGTGTTCTAAAATACTATGCAAGTTCGTTCATAGAGATCAGACTTATACCATATGGATGTAGAACTGTTTGTAACTTGATGCACTAAATGTAAGGCATACCCATAATCCGATTTGTAATGTTAGAATGATTCTTAGAACCGGACACTTTATCATTTATAATTTATCATCTAGTCTATACGAATAGGTCCTTACATAAATTGTGGTATTATTCTTATTTGATACCGTATCCATTTAGAAATGGTCCGATGTCTCCGTATTTTTATAAACGTCTAGAAATCGTTCTTTCTGCTATTTTTGAACATATTTGATTGGAATAACGACTGACTGAGGATGTAATATTCAGTCAAGTTTTTTTTCAAAAACGTAGTGAGAAATTAGTATGGTGTGACTGCTGTTTGTGCTCGATTATAAATACTCGTTACTTTATGCGAACAAAGTTTCCAAGCAGTTCAAGCCAATCTATACCCCCTATCACACCAAACTAGTTCTCAACCGTTCTTTCCAGTCCTACAAAATGTCGTAAAACGGGCTAAATCTGGTTGTGGTCGGGAAATATGTTTAAGATAATTAGCTACTTCGTTCATAAACAGTCTTCAATACGTCCATCTCATTCGCAGTTCGTTCAGGTCGCATGCATTATGTGCGTTCCTAAGCAGTCTTTAATACGTCATTAATCAGTTTAAACCCGTTTGCAATTAGTTCTACCTCGTTCTCAATACGTTCGGACAGTCCACTCGTTCTAAAGCGTTCCTAGTTGTACGTTGTACGTAGTTGTATGTAGTTGTTCCATTCGTAGTACGTCCAGCTCGTCTTAAGTACGTTGTCACTCGTTGTGATTGCAGAACATTTTGAGAATGCTGTAAGTTCTGGCCGACCTACTCTTTTGTGTACGTTCAATGAAGTTTGTAAATAGACCCCAAGCGGGTCTGTACGTCCAATCATATATACGCAGTTTAGGCCCGTTTTCGAGAACGTAGTGAGAACTACTTTGGTGTGATAGTAGGGTTAGTGATCATTTTCAATCACAGAGAAACTTATAGAAACAAATAAGATAGTATAACTTTTCAATGACATGTATAGTAGCTTTATATACTCGAGTCATACTTGAATATATTTCATTCTGAATTTCACTGAAGTTCGCTCTAATTTTCTAAACCATTAATTGTGCATGTGGAAAGTGATAATTGCCTTATATTATTATATAATACCCAGACAATTGTGGATTCAACTACACGAAAAGAATGCTAAAATACCCAGGAATCTATCGAAGTAGGTATCTTAAGTGTAAGGGGCGTAGATAATTCTCCCAAGTTGTAATCGCACAGGCAAAAGATTGCGCTCGGTCTAGGACTAAAGTCCTGGCACGGGATAGGTTTTTCACGTTTATAGTTTCAGCCTGGTAGACACCATTATAAAAGACAATAGTCCCCGGGCTCAGCGTAGGTGCACTGTAAATACACACCTATGTAATAAGTGTGGACGATTTTTTTTGTTGTACATCTTTTAAGTCAGTTCGTTCGAAAATTCGTTAGTTAGTAACTTTGTTTGTGAAATAATAGCATTCGAATTGGTTTTGCTCAGGAATAGAAAGAAGTGCAACAGCCGACTCAACCAGTGCTCTTGGAAAAAGTGACGTTACAACAGGAGATGTAGTTACTGAATCAACCGAGAGAATCGAAGATGCATTGACTAAACCGTTCGAATATTATAACGATTCATCTGGTAAGATTTTATACTATATCGAAGTATTTATTTTTAATATGATTCCGTCATTCCATCAGTTTTTGTATGATAGAAAGATGTACAATAGACTACACTGCCATCTTTCAATCAACACGAACATCGTCCCTAAGTTCTGAGTACATGTTAGCATGGCCTTGCTTTGTTTTTCCCATAGAGAGGGACAGGGGAATGAGAGATTTTGTTCAGAGTATACCCGGATCACATGACGGTGAGAACAAAACATACATGTGCATGATGTTAAATCTTTTATAGAAATAATGGGGAACTGGACCGGCTATTTCACGTGTGCTAACGTTGGTTACAATGCAACATTAAAAATAATAAGAATGTGGTATACTATCAACAAATGGTGTTATATTATTGGTAACCTAAGTTTCTCAAACTCTTCTCATGGAATAGATGGCGTTCATGAAGTCATGGGCACGTTCAACATGGAGACCATGAAGTTCTCTATGCTTGGGTTGAAATGGATGAAACAACCTGAGGGTTGGGTCTCAATGTTTCAGCTTCGGTGTACCTACCGAGAAGATTCTCAGACGATTGAAGTTCAGTTTAGTAGGCCAGCCGTTTGTACAACTCTATCAGTAACAATGACCAGACCTTTAATGTAGAGAATCATACGGAGACATTACCCAAGAATTGAGTCGTCGTTTACTGTGTATACAGGGACCGAAGAAAAGTTAATTAACTCGGTCAATCTTGCATATTCCTTCTTGAAACAGAATCATTCAGCTCATTCAATGTAAATTTTATTGTGAACGTTTGATGACAATGTGCTGATTGAGTCAAACATGGATAAGCGTGATAATCTCAGATTTCCAGAATATTCACTACCTACAAATTGTAGTGTACGTTATGGTTAAAAATCCTCATTGACTCAATAAACGAGAAAATTAAGGGATACAAACATATAAAATTACGTGAATTGTTGAAGTTTATGTTTTGCCTGATGTCTAGCTATATGGTACGAGAGGTTTGAAATAATGACTTAGAGGACTGACGATAGATGGCGAAGAATTGAGTTGATTTTATTCAAGTGTATTGACTTCCATACATAGTCCATTTGTCACCCCTATACATACTATAGTGAACATATGAATTGTTAAAAACACGATGTTTTATGGTTAATTTATAATAACAAGGGTTTTCTGAAGTGATTTAACTGGGTTGGACAAAAAGTTAGTTTGGGGAAAAAAGTATATCGACTAATTAGGGAGGGGTGCATTGACTTAACATGGCGTTGACTATTGACTTAGCGTCGGGATACCACCATGTACCTGGAATGTTACTATGGTGATAGACACAAAAAATTTCCCCAACGTTAATTTTTTGGCGACCCAGTTAAATCACTCCAATAAACCCTAATGATAGTATTTGCACAGAAAAACATCGTGTTTTTAAATATTCATACGTTAAGAAAATGACAAATGACTTCCATACAAATGCTTCGCTAGGTATGAATAATACATGGTAGTAAACAAAGTGATTTCGACTGCAATCGGGTAAAATGTTGGTCTTTTTTCACGCATTTCTACATACAGGGTGTTCAAAAAAATGCAACCCAAAGAAATCGCTATATCTTGAAAAATACTGGTTCAATTTTGTTCATATTTTCAGGAAATAAAGAAGAGACTGTGTATGTATAGCTACTGTAAATGGTTAGTTGTAAAACATCATGCCTTGGACACCTGCTCAAAAGACAGTTGTACTTGCAAAATACGGAAAACGCAGTCAGGGGTGACTGCAACCGGAAAAAAACTTAATAACTTCCTAACCATAGTGTTTTGGCTCCTCAAATTTGGCACAAATCATCTTCAATTACTGTATGGTAAATCTGTAGAGGGAAATCAAAATCACTTCAGGGACTTTACAGTCATGGTCGAAATGCTTTCAAATAGCAGTCTAACGCCCTGGTTCAGGGAGACTTAAGAAGGCATTTTGACTATGACTGTAAAGTCCCTAGAGTGATTTTGATGAAACTCCACAAATTCATCACACATTGAATGAGGATAATTTGTGCCAAATCTGAAGTGCCAAAACACTATGGTTAGAAAGTTATTTGGTTTTATTGCTGTGGCAGTCACCTCTGATTGCGTTTTCATATTTTCCGAGTATAACTATCATTTGAGCAGGTGTCCAAGGCATCATGTTCTACAACTTACTGACAACAGGAGATATACATACACAGTCTCTTCTTTATTTTCCTGAAAAAATGAACATAATTGAATTAGTATTTTCAAAGATAAAGTGATTTTCCATTCACGTTTTTCATATTTTGCTTGTACAACTGTCTTTTGAGCAAGTGTCCAAGACATCATGTTTTACAACTAACTAACAACATGGGCTATATATACACAGTCTCTTCTTTATTTCCTGAAAATATGAACATAATTGGATAAGTATTTTCCAAGATATAGCAATTTCTTTGGGTTGCGTTTTTTTGAACACCCTGTATGATCTCCATGAAATGTTACGTAAATGTACTTTAGGTACTGTATGTAATACAACAATTGTGTCCGTATCATTGAATATGCCTTCGGTCCGTCGTCAATATAACCCTCGCAAGCCCGGGCTATATTGACGTCAGACCTCAGGCATATAATCAATGTATTCAAGGATATAATAGGGACATAATGGCTAAGTATATTGTAGCAGAATCAGTGCTACAATGGGATAGGTGCGAAGAACAATTCATTGGTGACAAGAAGTGATCCGTCATCTGACCTTTATATTTTGCAATAATGTTATCAATTGATCGAATTCGATCGAATTTGTGACACTTATTTGTTGAAGGTAACTGCACACAAGCTCTTGTAACATTACATTAATATTGATGCATTGTGTCATAACCACCACGATATTTTTGAAACTACATAAAAGGAAGGCCTTCTTACATAAAATCATTCTCAGGGCTCAGGGCTGAGAAGAAATGAGATGTCATGGTATATCATGATGACATAATATAGGCATAATTCAAGCCAGATATTAAAAATAATCTCCATTCTTAATTTTCAACAAAGTGCATGGCACTTTTTGATTGAAAGAATCACCTTCATGATTTCATAATTTCAAGTTAGCAGTTGAAACCAGTTGAACAGTATTATCAGAAATAGCAAGGCAGGTATTCATGCAGGTCAAAATGTCAGACCTTGTTGTAAAACAGTTACCCTACAAAATCATTCATTTAAGTGATACTGTACAGAATCTTTTGCAATTTGTGAAAATAATTTAAGCACATGATGATGACTCGATGAATTAATCATGTCTTGTATCCTAAACTTTACATAGAAGGCAATCATACATGGATTAATTAATCTACAAATTATTGATTCCTGGGATTATATCCTTTATTGAGATATGTCTTCTCATAAAAGCAAAACTGGATTCCCTTCCTCGGGAGAAGTGATAGTACATTGAAAATAATGATCATGTCTATGTAATGTCTTCGTGACTGCTTAAAACCATTTCAATTTTGAATCACAAAATGGTTCTCATCATCCGAGTTTAAAATTTTACATCCTGGTTGTATTATATTGGGTAAATATCTGTAGGCCTACTCCCAGGGGCCTACTATAATCCTACGTCTAACTGATATTTGGAGTACATTTCCAATGACAAATATATACCAAGAACTCCTCATGACACGCTTCATGAGCATATTCATCGAAGAACAAATGATACACTCAGTAAAATGGAATGTCACGATTTAGGCATATATATTTGTGGATGAAAACTCACTTAGCATTCCCCTATAATAACGTATAACTTATGAAGCGTTTGATTACGTCATAATTTATATCATCGCGGTGTTTATATCATTCCGTATTAGTCGTTTTGATTACATTAATACGGAACAAAACATACCATATTCATGAAAAATGGTGACCTTGTCCTACTATACGGAGACTGAGTTGAGCAAATTCCCTAATACGTCACTTCCGCAGAAAAAGTAGTTTAAAAAAATGAATGTTGTCCCAACACAATTGTGATCATGACGAGTCAGTAAGCTAGTATGTAGGTCCAGTTGTCATCTTTTTGCAATGACAACATGCCATTTCTTCTGAAAATGCGTTTATTTGGGTTATCTGAAGGAAAATCTCGAGTCAAGTGGCGTATTAATTTTGCCTTGATTTTTGTGAATTTCAATTTCTGTCGGCAGAGAGAGGGGGTAGTGTCACAATTGACCAATTATTTCAAAAAGTAGATGTTTGGCCCCTATTGAGTTTAGTGTCAAAATGTAGCTTAGACATAGCTTTAGAACCTCAGATAGGCCAATGAGGCCACATAAATCCATAACTCAGATAAAAAGTCAGTCGTTTGCCCTTTTGGCCATTTACTTGTATGGTGACGTGAATTAGGGCAGTTTGGCCATTGTATATAGCACGTGCTCAAAGTAATTGATTCTACTCTCTACAGACACCAAATAACACCTCTGACGATAGAAGAATGAAAAGCCTTGGGGTCCCAACCTCCTTTATTACATACTCGAAAATATGAAAAATTAGGAAAGTTGCATAACTTTTTGAAACTCTCTATTGTCGAAACCTATTTCACACGCCAGCGACGGATATTTTAGCCCCACACGCATGCTAATGCGGTTCGTAATATCTGCAGAAGATTAAAACGGTTTAAAAAGTCCGAGTGTTAATACGGAATGGGTCGAATCATGATTCTACCAATTCCTTATTAACATATGGACAAGCATCAAGTTTTTTAAATGTTGAAATCGTTCATTTGGAGAATTATCTGACTAAACTGACATTTTCGGGTCGTAAAGGTCTAAAAAATCCGCCGTTAATAAATGAAATCGTTAGTTTGAGTTTCAAGAAGTTAAGACAACTTTTGTAATTTTTCACATTTTTGACAATGTAAACCGGGTCGCTAAGACTTTTTTATTTCTCTATCGTGAGGTGTATTTGGTGTCTATAGAGAGTAGAATCAATTCCCTTGAGCATGTGCTATACAGTTTTGCCGTCTGAATTCGCTATAAAACATAATCCCCAATCCCGTAGGACAAGGTCACCATTTTTCATAAAATGGTATGTTTAAATGATTTAATTGAGAGTTGAGAAATGTTCAGGATTATTCATTCTAGCAAATAACAATACTGTTGCATATCTCATAATTGACTATTGGGAACAGAAACCCCGAACAAACTATAAACATATAGTAATGAGTAAGTTATCGCTCTCTGATTTCTTGCAACGGCCAATCGTGCCACGAGCAAAAACGGACCACTTCCTGAAATGTTTTGCCACAAATGACATACATCTTTGGTTCAAACGTAGCAGCTAAGCCCGATCGTGAGGGAGGAATGACATGGAGCCGCGCATAAAAACTAAGATTGGTCATGGAGACCTACTTATCTATCACTTACTGATCCTTGACGAGGAAAACAACATTCAACTTCATAAAAGTAGATAGAGAGGTATGCAGTTAGCTATATCTAGCTACGTCAGCAACTCGACTTATTTTCCACGCATTTTAAGATGAAGACGCCACTTTGGCTTATGGTGCTCATCTTTTTACCATTTAGAATCCAAACACAAGTAACAACAGATCATGGAAGAACGTGCGAGAAGTTAAATTGCTTTAATTGCCCAAAGGATAATATGTGCTTGAATCAAAAGATTGAAGACGTTTGGCAAAAGTGCAAAGCCATAACAGACGGCCTGACTGAAAACATAAACAAACAAGGAAACACAATTGCCCAATTGACCACGACAATAACCAGACAAGAAGAGAAAAATCTGAATCTTACAATTCAAACTCAAAACTTGGAGGCGTCCATCGTTGAACTTTACCAATATCGTCAACAGAATCGTAAGTTATGTTGATATCTTGCTTTTAACAGCCACATATGCTTCGCCTTGTTATTTATAAAAAATGTTATTTATTTCACTAGTGGTTGTACGGGAATGGAGGGTCGTCTCATGTTGCTACAAAACTTGCTTCGTTCGTAAAATAGTCTTCTAAACGTACGAGGGAAGCATTTGCTTTGTTTTTGGAGGGTTTGTTGGAATGGTAATATAACCTCTGGTGCCAATGGAGATGGCGATATTATTCCAAATGAAGGTTCTGTACATTTGCGTGAAATTCTGTTATTAAAAGTTGTTATATTTTTTTTCAGGTTCAAACATAGGACCATCTGCATGGTACTTTTATGGAAACTATATAACAAACAGAGAAACATATTTAGAGAGTGCAGCCAGAAGGGCATGGGTAGATTCTGAAATTGATTTACCACGAGGGACATTAACAGGTTTTGTAGTATATCTTCAACCTGAGTTCACCGAAAACACAAAAACGAGACTTCAGATATGGCGCAGGATACCTCCAAGGAATGAAAGATTTTTATTAGTCTGGGAAAAAGAAGTGAGATTTTTGAAAAGTAAAACTGGATTGGTCGAGGTGAGTATTATTGGCAGGGTCATATACCACCATGGACAGAGGTAACGCGTTCCAGCCTAGTTTTGAACAGCCACGCGTGCCTTGAACGCGTTATCTATGTCCATCTTGTTTACTGGCACTCAGGCCTCACTTCTGTTTCACCTAATCATTAGGAGGTTTCGTGATACAAAGACACCGTGTCTTTGTATCATGATACCTCCCAGTGCTAAAGGTGTACGACATTGGCGTTCGATAACTATTGACATCATAATATAACTTTTGATATAAATTCCATGCACCGATGTGTCACATATTTTCAATGCGATGCCAATATACCAGATATTTTGTAATTTCAGGTTTACCTGTCAATATCAGAACGATTTCGTACCACTAGTGGAGATAAAATAGGATGGACTTATGAAGGAGATATTGGCCCTATTAGTTTATCCTATGGACAGAACCATTTGACATACTTCTTACCATTGGATAATGGTCCGAACCCACAAATAGGACGCGAATATAACTTTGAATCTTCTCCCTTGAAGGCTATATTTTCAATAGGAGTACTGATCGATACAAGTAAGATATACAGGGTGGTCCAAAATATCATTCACATTTTTGACTGCCTAGCATTTTCTAACAATATGAAGATTTCACGATTTTTTTCATGGACCTGTCCTATAGACATAAGTCTTATAGACATGTAAGTTTAAGTTAACGTTTTAAACCATATACATGTACCACCATACGTATACCACCATAATATGAGCAAAGATTAATAGTTTGTAATGTGCTCAATCCAATCTCCTTGCACATATTGTAATGTCCCTGTCCAACATAAGGAATTCTCCTGATCTCAATTGTTTAAAGGAATATTCCTTGCCAAACCATCTCTCTCCTCATATGGTAGCTATAACCATATCTATGCTTGCCATGTTTAGCAAAACACGCAAAAATGTTTTGATATGGTAAAATTTGATCACTTAGAAATGTGATGCTCAATTCCAGTAAGCTGCCATCTTTTAAAATTTCACACAGGAAGTGATGTCATCGACTCTCAACTTTGCATATAGCATTAGGTGAGGAGCTATTAAGAATTACAAAACCAGCTAAATATTCTTTTTCAACTTTGTATCTTATTTAATCCTTCTGAAAATCTCTTCTTTTATTCTAAGTTGACAAGCCCTGAAAATATTTTTGCACAGAAAGTAATGATCACTTGTCTAGAAGTGATTTTGTGCTACTTTCCTATACTGTTATGGGCAAGGTTATAGAAGTTGAGAGTTGATGACATCACTTCCTGCAAGAAATCTTAAAAGATGGCAGCTCACTGGAAATAAGCACTAGATTTTTAAATGATCAATATTGACCATATTAAAACATTTCCCCATGTTTTGCTAAATATGGAAACTATACGTATATATGATTATAGCTACCATATCAAGAGAGAAAGGGTCTGGCAAGGAATATTCCTTTAAGCTTATCAATAGTTTGAGGATTGTTTGCATAGATTCTGCTTTTAAATTATCCCAAAAATGTATAGGGATATGTCTTGTGCAGGGTGTGATCCATACAATGGGAGATACGTTTGTCTCAGGGAAGTAATGATGAAGGTATTCAAGTGAAGCTTTGGAGCAGGGCAGTATTGCTTCATCTTACCAATGGATAGTATCCATGTCAACCCCTTGCTTCCGTCCTATGGCCAGGATGAATTTTATTTCCATAACTTCACTGTGTCAGTCGATGTTCACAATTAGTAAACGTCCATAAGCAACCTCAAACCAGTACGGCCCAGTATCACTATTATGGCCTAAATTTTCTACAAGAGTCACACGTGCATTTTCTATTTGTTGAAGGCCATTACACTGTATCAAAATAAAACTTACAACACAAAAAACTTGTGTTTGTAGGACAGGAATAGGAATAAATTGTTTAAATCTTCCTATTGTTAGAAAATGCTACGCAATCAAAAATGTATTTTTTGGACCAACCTGTATAATGGAAAGATGACAATGGGTTTGTGATTTTCATTCGATATATTAGTGTAACGGTTTTGTCATTCCCCTTCACTGATGATATGTTCGGAAAGGTCAGATAATTTGATCCGAACGAGACGATTACGACAAAGTCCAACTGGTTTATTCTAAAATATCAATCCATCCATCCATTTATTCATCTCATCTACGTTTAACACATCTGCACAATGCCTTGGAAGTGAACATCCCCTTGGCAAAAGCTTATTGTAGGCCTGCGTATTGTCGAAGATTGATCTCTGCGTGAAGTAAAATCTGGAAATAACCCTTATACAAATTTACTGGCTGTCACAGCGCTCTCACAGCCCGCTGTCACAGCGCTCTCACAGCCTGCTCTCACAGCCCGCTCTCACAGCGCTCTCACAGCCCGCTGTCACAGCGCTCTCACAGCCCGCTGTCACAGCGCTGCGACAGCGCTCTCACAGCCAGCTGTCACAGCCCATCGGAATGTACCATGCAAATGAGGCTGCGACAGCGCTCTCACAGCATTGTCATATATGGCATTGATTATGCATCCTTCCTACACATAAATTTGAGTTACCTATAGCATCAAGACAAGAAGATAAGGGATATCAGAAAACATTTAGCTACCAAGACCCTGCATTTCCATCTAACTGATGACAATATATTTGCACCCTAGATCAAGTTTGCATTTAATTAGAAACTTACTTTATGGATTCAAGCACTCCTTATTTGGTTTTTGCCTTGAATTCCATTGTTCAGTTTGAAAGATGTGTAATAGCTGTTATTGTACATGTACATGCAAATTGCCCCAATTGTATCAATTTTATCCTTTATGATGCACTATAATGTCTATATGTGCTAATACATTGATATTTCAGACCTTTAGTTTTACCATGCAGTATGTGCTAACTTGCATAAAATTCATTTCATTTGATCCTTTTTCTTAGATCACTAGAACATTCCAAAGGTATCTATAAATAATCAGTAGTACAATACCTTACATATTCTTTGTAAATTAGTAATGATATGATGGCCATTTCAACATAACTCCTTTGTTCTTTCCTCCTACAAAATTCCTGCTCTAACTGATTTTTAGTTTGAATTTTTTAACCCACAATGCATTGGTACTTCCTGCTGTGAGAGGGCTGTGATAGCGCTGCCACAAACTGTGGCTAAGAGAGCATGTTGCTGTAATTGATCCAGCCACTTAATTACTGTCACATCCCTCTCGCAGCGATGGATGGAAATAGAATGATGTGACAGCGCTCTCACAGCGTTCTCGCAGCGTATGGATGTGAGAGGATTGTTGCTGAAATTGATCCAGCCATCATTTTAAGCCTATATGCTGTCACAGCGCTGCGACAGCGCTGTCTTAGCGCTGTCGCAGCAATTATTTTCCGTAAGGGAATCTTTGCTCAATTTGGTTCATTCTCCACTCACACCGCGGGAATAGCCTGACTATGTTGTCAGAAATGGCGGACATAACCGTCGCTTCAACTCTTTAATCACTTTGTCCTCATTTCATTGGATTTTATCGTCGCAAATTCTGTGCATGCATTAAGTTCTTGTGATAATGTATCATATGAAATCCCATTTTCGATCAAATTGGGTCGTGAATCGCCACAATATAGCGTCTTGATAATGTATCATATGAAATCCAATTTTCGATCAAATTGGGACGTAAATCGCCACAATATAGCGTCTTCGATATCGTCAATGACAACGGAATCTGAATTTGAGTAATTTAGAAACACAACTCATATGGTAATAACAGTGTCCGTTGTCCCTTAACTCATTTTGATCGGTTAAATTTAAGACTTTATCTCGATGCCAGTAGAACATTATTAACTGTACAATATGTAATAAGACACTTTGATTGATTGTTGTTCCAAAGGAATTTAGTCTCAGTGCTCTATTTAACATACAGTTCATGAAAATCTAATTGAAGCGACAGTTATGTCCGCCATTTGTGACGGTATCTGACTTTACCGTTGTCAGACTATTCTGGGGTGCCAGTGGGTTTCAAAGTTTCTCATAGGAAATCCTCGTGTTCTTTGTATTGCATGCAGTTCCACAGTAGTACTCGTCAAAATGCTGATGATAAACGTTTACAAGTAATATAATCCTATTTCAACACAATTTAATCCAATCAAACCATTTTGTAAGTTATTTCCATGTCATGGGATAGACCAAAAATGCATATTTATCAGATCATATTTGTTTTATTCCTACTCACTGGAAAAACTATGATCAAGGTTAAAGATTGTATTATTTACCATTTTAAACCCTTTGCCAGTTTAAAGGCTATCTTTCACATACAAATGTTATACCCTACTGCATTTTTGCAACTCATGATGGTCTAACAGAACACCAATTTGACGGTTTTCAGACATTAAAGGTCCTACTGGAGCAACAGGACCAAGTGGTCCCACTGGAGCTACAGGACGAAGTGGACCCATTGGAGCTACAGGGCAGTTTGGCGGAGTTGGGCCAACTGGAGCAACGGGACAGAGTGGCCCCACTGGAGCTACAGGACCAGAAGGACCTCGTGGAGCTAGAGGATACTTTGGAGATCGTGGAGCTACAGGACGAACTGGACCTCGTGGAGCCAGAGGATACTTTGGAGATCGTGGAGCTACAGGACGAACTGGACCCATTGGAGCTGCAGGACCGTCTGGGTCAACAGGAGCAACAGGACCGAGTGGCCCCACAGGAGCAACAGGACCGATTGGCTCCACAGGGGCTACAGGACCGATTGGCTCCACAGGAGCTACAGGACCAGGAGGGCCAATTGGAGGTATAGGACCAACTGGACAAGCAGGTAATTAAATCTAAGTGATGTTCCTTTTGTCATATTCTGTCCTTTGATTACTCCTATTCTAGTTTTGTGTCGTTCACAAAAATAGTGCAAGTTGATCTAACAAGTCCGACACATATTGAATGCAGAAAGGTAGCATTTTCCTGTTTCAAACTAATCCTCTGATAGACAAAATGGGACAATTTGGACCAAAGATAACGCATGCGCAGGTTCCCCATGTTATTAATTGCCTCTTGCTTACCGTTTTCATGGACACGTATAATCATTAATGGTCATTAGGATTGAGAAAAATACATTAAACTATTTGCTAACAAAATGTTATCAGAATACATGGATCGCCCCTTTATTACTGATTTTATTGTTAATAAAGACTATTCTACAAGAACAACTCTTATTTGTTTTACTTGAAAAGTATAAGGTTTTTGCCAGAAAATGGAAAAATGCTAAATGTTACAATATTTCCATATTTACTTGTAGAAATAACAGGGAACTGGACCGGCTATTCCATGTGTGACGGGCTGGGGTACAATACAACGATGGAATTACAGACAATGGGGTCTTCTGTCGCACAGTGGTTTTCGGTTTCGGGCAATCTGAGCTTCTCAAAATCGCCACATGGGAAAAGGGTTATTCATGAAATAACAGGTGTTTATTACACAGAGACAAAGATGTTCATTATGTATGCTGGTCCCAGGTGGATTGAAAAACCGGATGACTGGTCCTCGATGTTTCAATTCCAAAGTTGTTTCTACAGGGAGGAGTCTCAAACGATTGAAGTTCAGTTTAGCGCAAATGCTGTTTGTACAACACCACCAGTAACAATGAACAAACGTATATAGTACACGCAATTTAACATAATGATTGGCTGACTGGAATGTGTATCAGGGAGCTAAGGACAAATAATTTTAAAAACATGTTGTATCAGTGAACTTACCGTCTGCGAAAAGCAGAAATTGAACAATTAATTAATCCGTCTTTGTACAATAAGTTACTATCATATGCCTCGTGCTTATATTAGTGCGACTGGTGTCATTTATTTAACAATAACATGGTTATGATAACAAGGTATCTATCCAGGAAATAAAAAAAATTGATACGATCACAAAACTGGTATTCCTCAGTCACGGAGAAATATTTTTGCCAACCTTACAAAAAAGAATATGGGAGTTAAGTTGGGGGAGGTTTTGGATACGGGTATACCGTATGCTGAGGGAAATATAGATATCTTGTTGATAGCCTGAATGATTCGAGGTAAGCTATCTTATATCGCAAGGGATCTTAGATATGTACGCACAATTGCCAAAGGGAAAGGACCAAAACTTGTTACAGAACCCATCAAGAAAAAGAGCCATCTAAGTGTACACAGTCATAAGGAAAACAAATCCCAACTATCCTCTTTAAGGATTTAGGCCATGGACTCAGTGCATTGTGGACTGAACCATTCCCCTAAAGGTATTGTTTTCAAATCTTTGCATGACCGTGCAGCGGGAATGCAGAGTTAAGGAAACAATGCTGAGTGAAATGAATAGGCCACAATGCATCAAGTCTTGGGCTTAAATTATTTTCACACATCGCAAAATATTTTCTACGAAATCATCTAAAAGATCCGAAATCACTAAAAGATCATAATTTCAATGAAATCTTTTGCAAGGATTAAGTTGGCAAAGCATCAATTTCAATCTGTAGATTCAAATTGTCACCTTGACAACCATTCAATGAATTACCTTGGGTGCGGCGATTGGTTATATAATGTACTGCAGTTATACTTGTATGAAATAATGTGTTCGGATTGGCTGGAATCGGACACACCTTGCCTAGCTATGTGTGAATAAACAATAATCCAATGTAAAACGAAACAATGTCTATCCAATTCTTGACTATTCAAGTTCCATTATCGCAATCTAGTACCACAACACCAAGGAACATTTTATTCATACTGAAGCCATTACAGCACATGTTGAAGAATAAATATAAATTGATAACCATAACATCAAAAGTACTTGTAAATACTTGTATTCATAGTAAAGTAGTTTTCATTCAGTTTTTATCTCCATAATTTATAAAAGTCCATTTTTCAACTTTCAAAACTTTATTCACTTAAATTCTGACACCAAGACTGTATTTCAGGGGAGCAGATTGCAGATCACCTAGGATAAACTAAGTATACTCTACCTAGCACACAATGACTGAGTCCTGTGGTTTGGGAAAGCTTAGGCACTAGAATGTCTCCCTGCAGTTCCCCTGAATGAGACCATTCACCATTTGTAACAGGTTGCATGATTTGATGCATGTTCATCAGAGGTTAAGTCTCCGAAACAGCTCCAAAACATCATCAAAATTGCCATAACTGTGCACTACTTACTGCTAGCTGGTTACTAGGCAAAATGAATGTTGACATATAATAAATGTAAGCAACAAGACGTATGATGTGACAGTCGTTTATTACGAACAAACAGAGCCAGAGAGGCTAAAAAAATACAAATGCAAATAATAAGTATTTCGTATTATATCGTAAAATACAATATGGCATTTTGCATAATATGGCATTTACTCAATATGACATTTTACACTGTGGCACTTCACATAATATGGCATTTGGCACTTTACAATAATATAATATGAGGCATGTTGAGAATCAGGATTTAAACATTTTGCAACCCGACTAAATAACTTACAAAACTGGCTCTTTCTTGGGTATTGTATTCAGGAATGGATAGTGGGTTGCAGAAGTAGGAACCAGCCAGATAACTGTATGAAAATATGAACACATTTCTAAGTTGATAATATGTGATAAAATGACAGAAAATACCCAAAATATATGCTGTAATTGATTAATAAATGTGAAATACATAAATGTAAAATAAAGAATGGATGGCTTACCATGTTGAACTATTGTGGTTGATTGTGTTGAGATAAAAACCTATGTGTACAGCTTTTGAAGTGTGGTAGAAAGAGGAAGTGGAAATCCCCTTTCCAGCTATTTATGTGAACTGAAACATGGCAGTGCTGGTAACTGGTAACTGGCTGTGCTATTTGTTAAACCGAACGGCATTCTGTTGTATTCATAGAGTCCAAACTGTGTAGAAAATGCTGTTTTCGCTTTGTCGGCTTCTTCAACTTCGATCTGGTGGAACGCTGATTGAAGATCGAGTGAAGAGAAGTACTTTGCTCCTCTCATAACACCCATGCTTTCTTCTATACGTGGTAGGGGAAATGCATCATGGTGAGTTTTAGAGTTGATAATTCTGTAGTCCACACAAATTCTAAGTGCACCAGACTTTTTCCGAACGCAGACTATGGGACTGGCATAAGCACTGTTGCTTGGGCGAATTATTCCTTTCTTTAACATCTCATTTATTTGTAGTTTGACTTCCTGGATGTAGTTGGGAGGGATCCGTCTGAATGGTTGCTTCACAGGAATGTCATCAGATAATTTTATGCCATGTTTCACTGTAGTTGTATGTCCCAGATCTAAGTCATCAGAAGCAAAGACATCCTCATATTTGTGTAGAAGATTTTGGAATTTTTCTTTATCGTCAGATGTGCCGTCAAAATCAATGAGATTGGGCTCCGATATCTTGTCTATTGTGACTTCATTTTCAGGTTGTATCTTATTTACTGTGACAATGACATCATTGTTTCCATCTTGGAAGAGACTAGATTCTTCTTGAATATCTACTTTGGAGAATTTTCCTAGTTTTGTTCTACAGGGTGACTGGAGATTGACTGGAGATTGACTGATATTGATGAGTCTAGCAACAGCTTTGTTATTTGTAACTTGAACTAATGTGTTCATAATTTTGATGTTTCCGGGTGTAGGGGTGTTGATATTCTCGATTAGACCAACTCCTGTATGGCCATGGACAGTCAATACAACATCAGCTTCACAGTTTGCTGGAATCACTGTTGTCTCATAGACACGTACTGTTTGTGGTTTAAGGTTGAAGTCCTCATCTGGCTTCCGGGTATCATCGGTGCACAATATATGTTTAAACATTTTCAGATGTTTCAGGATATTTGTTCCAAGGATTCCAACCCTTGCAGTTGATTTATTGTTCTTGTTTTCAGGATCCTTTTGCACTATTATATTTGCATCTTTGATTTTTGTGCCAGCAACCTCAATATCGACCACGATGAAACTAATGTATGGAATAGGAGTATGGTTGGCAGCTACTAAATTAATGAAGCAATTTTCTATGTTTGATTGTCCTTTTAGATGATGATTATAGTAGCTTTCATATATCAATGAAACTCGGGAACCTGTATCAACCAACATTGAAATTGTGTCATTGTTATTAATGCTTGTATGTATAAGGGCTTCATTACCAATAAGGTTCTCTGAGAAGGAGGTCTCATTATCTGATTTATGGTGCATTTTGTTGGATTCAATTGAAGACTGCCCCTCCACTTTTTTGTTAGTTGGGGCAAAACTAGTTTTTTGGCTGCTGTTGTGTATATGTACTTTGTGTTGTGTCCTTGTTTTTATTGTAGAAACAGCGTTCAATGGTGTGCCCCCATCGACCACAATGTGTACACTTTGTTCTGCTTCTATTAGTTTCCTGGCGAATCTCTTGCTTCAGTTCCTGAGTAAGAGATTGGAGCTTTGTATTAAGATCGGTTGTTACTTCAGTTTTGATATCATCTTTAATAGTTTCAACGTAATTCTGCATGCCGTCAGTGAGTTTTTTTTATTTCCTTGAAGTTTTGCTCAATCATGTTGCTCATCTTCGATTCAATATCTCTCAGGGATGTGGCAATGGCAGATACTTCGATGTCTGGGTCGTCAGTAGAAACATCATTACATGGAACATCCTTAGTATATTGTGATGCAAATATTTTCATATCTCTGAATGAAGCATCAGGATGATCACGTAAATATTTGTGTAGTTCCCACTTCAACTGCGGTACTGAAAGGTTTTCGATGAATTGTTCTTTGAGGATGTTGTTCTGTTCTGTTGCAGTAAGAGGTGTTTCGGTGGCTTTTTGCCATTTATCCATCAACTTAGTGAGGGACAAAATATACTGCATCACACTTTCATTTGGTTTTTGTTTTCGGGTGTAAAATTTAGATTTTAATACACCAGGTGCCTCTTTTTGATCAAATGTTTCATCTATGGTTTTCAGCTGATCATTCTTGACTGCTAGTTTTGCTTCCCCCTTTAGGTGGTACATCAATAGGTCTATGTGTTCTTTTCATCCTTGTACCTCAGGTAATGTATCGCATCTTCCTTCCACTCCTGAAAGTCTGTCTTGCCTTTAAAAAAGTCTATTTTCCGTTCCGGAATGACCATTTTATATGGTTTACTTATATCTTTCAATTGGGTTTCGTTCTCCTTTTGTGATTTTTCAAACTGTTTAGCCTTGAGTTCAGCTACTTTTCTGATGTGGTCCAGTCGGAGTATCTCCTCATCTTGCTGTTTCTTTTCCTTTTGCAGCCTCATGTACGCTTCTTTGTATTTGTCCTCACTTGTTGGTGTAGCCATCCTTATGTGCGTATTGTACTCAATTTGTATCAATAAAGTATGATAGTAGTATATGTACAATTAACCTATTTTTGTTATACCAGGTATATGTTTAAAGATGTGTAAAATAATTTGAAACACTCTATAGTTAAAATATAACTCTATAATTAATAGAGTTAAAAACTATTAAAACCAGGTATATGTTTATAGTTGTATAAAATATTTTAAGACACTCTGTAGTAGAAAGATTGTAAGTATAACTCTATATTAACAGAGTTAAAAATCTACAACACCTGGTATAAGTCTATAACTGTATGAAATAAATTGGAACACCATGTAGTAATAAGGATGGTAAGTATTTAGAGTTAAAATCAGCAACACCTGGTATAAGTTTATAATTGTATGAAATAAATTGGGACACCCTGTAGCAATAAGGATTGTAAGACTACCTCTATATAAACAGATTTAAAAATCTGGGATATCTGGTATAAGTTTATAATTGTATGGAATAAATTGGGACACCCTGTAGCAATAAGGATTGTAAGACTACCTCTATATAAACAGAGTTAAAAATCTGCGACACCTGGTATAAGTTTATAACTCTATGAAATAAATTGGGACACTCTGTAGCAATAAATACTGTAAGTGTATCTCTAATATAAACAGAGTTGGAAATGTGTAACACCAGGTAAGCTGTATGAAATAAATTGGAACACCCTGTAGCAATAAATAAAAACCAGTACCAGCTCTGCAAAGAAAGATCATCTGATGTCAGTTGCATATTTTTGAGTAGCTTATAAGAGAAAAGCTTGCTCAAAAATTGCATGTCTAACTTAAAGATGGTTATTAACCTCCAACATATAATTTATTCCTATTCTGTTGCTAGAAAAAATGCAAATAATTTATACAGCAACTTGTCTGCAAAGAAAAATCCTCTGCACTGATATCAGTAGTAAGTAGCTTATGGGAGACAACTTTGTTCTTAAATGCATATCATATTGCAGTCTTTGTGGCTGTAATGTCTGAATTATTTTGGTTGCTATGGTGTTGCTATTTGTTCATTAATTGCTACACCATGTAATTTAGACTTTTTTATTCGAAAATGTTACTGAAATATTTGTATATAAGGATTATGGAGCCGTATTATTAACGAATAAAGATGTATATACATTTTATGGATATTATGCATCCAATGAAAAATTATACTTTTCTCGAAGCCCCCATATAAATTTTAAACCACTTTGGCTTGTACCAGATCATTCAATAAGTTCACGGTAAACTGCTCTCATTAAAAAGATATTTCATATTTTCTCATGAATTTTTTACACAGTGTGTAAAAAATGATTTCCAATTGATCGCATCTCTAATTTGACTGGACAAAAATGATAGTTACTATGGTAACTTGACTTTTAGCTAGGTCGTGCACTTTTTACACAATTTACCATTACAGAAATATATCAATATGTATTGTATTGTATTGTATTGTATTGTATTGTATTGTATTGTATTGATTTATTTCCTTCATTCCTTCATAAATGAATGTTCGATTTGTTCTTATTTAAACGTAATGAGGGAAAATTGATGTTCATAGTTTTCATAGACATTTCCGGGATCATGCTGGTCAATGCTGTACCGAAAGGACCAAAAAATCAACAAAGAGTATTATACTATGGTGAGTTAATAAAACTTAACCATTCCACCATGATAATGCACCCAATCACACTGCTACATACCTGTCAAGTAAAAAATAAAAATTGGGATGTTTTCGTTTTAAAAGTCGGGATTTTTTAAAGAACATCGGAAGAAAATCGGTATTTCTATAAAAAATCGGGATTGTTTAGGACAATCGGAAGAATCGGGAGAAATCGGGAGTTTACAATGAAAATCGGGAGGAAATCGGGGTTTACAAAAATAATTGGGAGAAAATCGGGATTGATTACGATAATAGGGAGAAAATCGGGAGTTTACAATAAAAATCGGGAGGAAATCGGGGTTAACATAGGGCCCGATTAGGGCCGCTTACTATCTTTGTTATTTTATCAATATATCCATGAGATATCATCTGCATGAAACCAAGTAACACACCATAATTAATTATGTGAATAATGTGAATACACCCTCAAAACTTGACGTTATGATCCTGCAATTTAACATAGCTTAATGACGGTTTCCGTATTATTCATTTGGAAATGATGAAAGAGCTTTACAAGTATATGTATGTGTAGTTAAATTCTGTATTTTGTTTTGTAACAATTTAAAACCTGTCGCATACAGTACTTTCATTTATTGCGAGGGCATCTCGTTAACAAATCGGGAGTTTTGAACGAAAATCGAGAGGGTACCGTTTAAAAATCGGGATGTCTCGTTAACAAATCGGGAGTTTTGAACACAAAATCGGGATATTTTATGAAAAAATCGGAATAATTTACGAAAAATTGGAATATATTTTTTTAATCGGGATATCTTACAAAAAATCGGGATATTTCCTCAAAATCGGGATACAAATCTGGATTTTGAAAAATAAGTCGGGATTTTACACGTGAGCTGCTTCTAATGTGCAGGAAACCATCACACATAACTGACAAATTAGATGGCAAAGCTGCTCAGAGCACAGTTTCAACAATGGGTGGGGGGGGGGGAGATCTCACAAAGTTCAGCCTTCGTATTCGATCACGTGGTACCCATGTGCTACCTGTATATCCAAATTAGGCTTACATGACCATATATGGCCATTTTGAATATCATGTGATAGATCCATATAGGGCTTGTATGACCATATAGGATGGCTAAGGGGAATCCCCGAATAGGAAAGAATATGATAGTATTATGAGAGGCCTCCCAAAAGTCAATTTACCATGGTAACAATTATTTTAGACCAATCAAATTAGAGATGCTGATATTTAATGAATCAATGACAAAATGTATCAAAAAATATGAAAACTCTTTAAAATGAGAGCATTTTTCCTTGGACTTATTGAACAACCCGGTATTGTAGTATTACCAAATGTTATCAAAGTGTGATATGTGAAACATTTTTTATTTCAGTGTTTTTGAAGGACTTTTTGTTCGAAAAATCGTGAATTTGTTGAAAACTAACTTTTAGAGTTCACACATATCTTTTAATTTACTCCAATGCATAGCATTCATCATCGTGAGATATCACAGTCTTCTCTCAGTGTCCTTCTAGTCTTGTGCATAGCAGAGATGGTCTGAGTATCAGAATAAGCATTCATCCTCCCATGTTTTTGGCGAAAAAATTAAGAATATTGGTTCATTAAACTCATCCATGCATGGATATTGTTCAGAGAAAAAATGCATTGAAAATTGGCGGGAAATATTTGAGAAATAAAAAATGACAACTTGTTTCATTTTTTTCCAAAACCTCTAAAATAACTTTAAAAGTCATGACAAACAGTAAATGAATGATAAAAACATATTTTCAAACAATACATGGGGACCTTAATGCAGGTACCCCATGTTTACACCTCATGGTTTCATTTTCTTCATCCTAGCAAATATCAAGATTGTCACATATCGTATATATTTTCTATTACCTAATTCATGATACCGATGCAGCAACCCTTAACAAACATGAACATTTACACCCCCATCAACTGGAAAAATATAGTTAGCTGCATACACTGATTTTTGCAACGGTCACTCGGGACTCGGCTCAAAGCTATGTTAGTCGAAGCTGAAATGTATCGCTACAAATGATAGGGGCCGCGTATAAAGACTCAAGTTCATCAATACATACCGTTTTAACGTAGAAGGCAAGCATTTAACGAGACAAAACACAGGGTTTTAATGTTAGTTAGCTGTATCCACTAACACCAGCAGCTTGGTACATATTTTCCGAACAATTCATAATGAAGCATGCAAGGTGGCGTGTGGTACTCCTAATTTTACTAGCAAGAATCCATGTACTAGCAACAGCAGAAAATGGTAGAACGTGCGTGAGGTTGAATTGTCCAGATGATAACACTTGCTTGAAGCAAAAGATACAAAACGTTTGGCAGAAGTGCAAAAATGTAACAGACGGCTTGACCGAAAACTTGAGCGATCTCACAATAGGTGCTGCTGATCTCAGAAAAATTGTATCGGAACAAGGAATTGTACTTACAGAACAAAGAAAAACAATCGCTCAGAGCAAAAATGTAACCGATGATCTCCAGAAAGCTATTGCAGATCAAGGAAACACAATTGCGGATCAAAGAAAGGCACTTACAGAACAAGGGAACAGAATTGCCGAACAAAGAAATATAACCACGCAGTGCAAAAGCATAACTGAGGATCTTCAGAGAACTATTGCAGAACAAGGAAACACAATTGCGGATCAAAGAAAAATAATCACGAAGTACAAGAACATAACTGATGATCTTCGGAAAAATATTGCAGAGCAAGGAAACAATATTACCCATCTGATCACGACAACAGCTAGACAAGAAGAGATAAGTCGGAATCTCACAATTAAAATTCAAGACTTGGAGGCGTCCATCAATGGACTTTACCAATATCGTCAACAGAATCGTAAGTAATGTTGATATCTCGCTTCAAACACTCAAATATAATTCAACATCTGGTCGCGATAGATATGGTGTATGCTTCTAAATGAAGATTACACATTCAAAAAAGGTTCATTTGTTTCTTTTCAGGCCCAAATAGAGGACCATCTGCGTGGTATTTTTATGGAAACAATATAACAGAAAGAGAAACATATTTAGAGAGTGCAGCTAGAAAGGCATGGGTAGATTCTGAAACTGATTTACCACGAGGGACATTAACAGGCTTTGTAGTATATTTAGAACCTGACGTTACTAGAGATACAAGAGCAAGACTCCAAATATGGCGGGCGATACCTCCAAGTGATGAACGATTTTTATTAGTCTGGGAAAAAGAAGTGACATTTTTGAGAAGTAAAACCGGATTGGTGGAAGTGAGTATGATTAACAGCGTCGAATATTGGCACTCACGTTCCTCTTCTTGTTTTACCTCCCCGAACCAAAAAACAACAATCGCGTTTGGTTTATATCAATTTCATGTACAAACGTATCATATATTTTCAATGCGATGATCACATACCAGATGTTTTGTAACCCTTTTGAAGAATGAAACTGGATTGATAGAAGTGAGTATGATTAAAAACGTAAATTTAAGCAATCGGGCCCCTCTTTATTTTACTTTAAATACTTCAATTACAAAGTTCTCTTTTTGTTCATTAAAGTTTATTTCACAACAAAATAAAACCAACCAAAGGTTCAAAAGGATCTTATTTTATTCTCTGAACCGAAAAGCAATAATGGTCTGCGTGACATTTCTTTTTAAAAAGAAGAATATACAAGATCGTGTTCCATAGTGTATCATTACAAACAAAACATAAACAAATTCTATTTATTTGTACACGTAGTTTTATAATAAAAAAACGTTTCTAATTTTAAGTTCATTTTTTCAGATTTACCTTTTACCACCAGAAAGATTTCGTACGATAAGTGGAGACAAAATAGGATGGACTTATGAAGGAGATGTTGGTCCTATTAGTTTATCCTATGGACAGAACCATTTGACATACTTCTTACCATTGGACAACAGTCCTAACCCACAAATAGGACGCGAATATGAGTTTGTTTCTCTTCCTTTGGAATCCATATTTTCAATAGGAGTACTGATCGATACAAGTAAGCGACAAAATCATTTTGGTTATTAAGAGGTCGGTCTTCTTTACATTTGATGGCGGCGAGAAGCCAAGTTAGAAAATTGAAAGATCAAATGTTTGTTTCATTTTAATAAACTTGACTAAGTTGACTTTGTCAACATGCAGTTCACTCTGAATCATAAAAGTTAAAATTGAATCATCTTGATTGGGCCATTCACGTTGAATGTCTCGAATATTTTCGAAGCTACTTCCTGGTTATACATTAGGAATCAGTAGAGCATTCCATAAAAATAAAAAGAATGAAAAGAGTAGGTTTATCATTCGAGATAATGTGTAATGGTGTGTCATTTGCCATACACTGATATTATTTGTAAAAGGTCAGGTATTTTGATCTGAATAAGACGATTATCCGCATCAGAGCGATAGCTATTTTATTAGACTCCAGATGAAATCTGGAGTCTATTGTTTTCGTCAGTTTTCTTATTAGACTCCAGATGTCAATCTGGAGTCTATTGTTTTTGCCAGTATTCTTCTTATTAGACTCCAGATTGAAAATCTGGAGTCTATTGTTTTTGCCAGTATTCTTATTCTTATTATTATTCTTTGGGAGTTTTTTCAGTAACTATGAGGTATCCAGTAAGAACCATAATACAGTTTATTTAGGTTCAGTATCTAGTTGGTGGGAAATTGGGTCAAATTTTTATCTAGGTCAAAGGTCAAGAACTAGGTCAAATCCAGTACTTTGTCACTTTTTTCGATTTTCTCAGTCGTCCTTCAATATTTTTGATCCGGGTTTTTTTCATTGTGTTCCTCATAAAAAAGTAGAAAACCTAAGGTCGATTTAGTTTTTTGGTATCTCAAACCGATTTCGAGATATCAGTGTCCGAAAACGAGGTCCAAAAATTCGGTTCTCCGAATCCAATGTCCAGGATATCAATCTTATAGGAAATTTTCTCAGGATTCCGAATCTGAAAATTTCCAAATTTCGATCAGACTTCCGGTTCAGAAGTTATGGCATTTTGAAAATTCAAAAATCGCTAAATTTGGTGCCTCATGTTAATTCAATGGGAAAAAATATTTTTTTGAAGTGTAAAATAAGAGATATAGACTAAGCACAGCTAAACATAATGGAAGCCCATAAAAGAAAGGGACCTCAAAACCTTCTTTTCATAAAAATGTGGACACCAAAATCCCTAGGTCAAAATCTAGGTCAAATTCAAAGTTTTTCCTTATTTTTGCAATTCTGACACTACAGATTAATTATATTCTTCGAAATTTTGTATAGATGTAGCCAAGAGTGTGCTAATATTGTTAGCCTTTTGCCGTCAGAAAGTATTTTGACCCACTTTTGAGATATGGTGTCCGAAAAGTAGGTCAAAATAAAAAATTCTCCAAATTTAACGTTTGAGTAATGAATTAAGTATAAAATTTTCTCAGGAATCCGAATCTGCAAATCAAATTTCGATCCGACTTCCTGTTCGGAAGTTATGCCATTTTGAAAGCTCAAAAATCGCTAAATTTGGTGCCCCATGTTATGTCAATGGGAAAAAAGATTTTTTTGAAGTGTAAAATTCCAGATATAGACTAAGTACAGCTTAAAATGAAAGCCTATGAAAGAAGGGGACCTCAAAGGCTACCTAACTTCAAAATTTGGACTCCAAAATCCCTAGGTCAAAATCTAGGTCAAATTCATAGTTTTTCCTTATTTTTGTGATTCTGACACTATATTTAAATGATTTCCTTCTAAATTTTGTATACAGGTAGGAAAGAGTGTGCTAATAGTGTTAGCCTTTTGCCGTCAGAAAGTATTTTGACCCACTTTTGAGATATGGTGTCCGAAAAGTAGGTCAAAATAAAAAGTTCTCCAAATTTAACATATTAGTTATGAATTAAGGGTAGAATTTTCTCAGGAATCCGAGTCTGCAAACCAAATTTCGATCCGACTTCCGGTTTGAAAGTTATGGCGTTTTGAAATTTCGAGAAAAATCGATCTGATGGTATCCTGATAGAAAGTCAAGAGTAGAGAAGAAAATACTGAAAACTGCATCCATCCTTCCTTTGTGATCCTATCGTATCCTTCTAATCTACCTTTCCTTCGTATCCTCTCCTTCCTATCCTTCCTATTCTATTCCTTCTTCCTATTCTATTCTATCATTCTTTCCTATTCTATCCTATCGTTCCTTTCTATTCTAGCCTATCCTTTTTCATCCATCCATCCATCTTTTTCTGGATGACTCAGCTTATTTTGGATGACGGGGCTTATTCTGGATGACTCGGCTAAAAAAAAGTCTAGATCTGGAGTCTGAAATTGAACTTCGTTCAATTTCCAAAGTCTAGTTATTCTTCTTATTTTTCTTTTTGAGTTTTTTCAATAACTATAGGGTGTCCAGTAAAGACCATTATACAGTTTATTTAGGTTCAGTATCTAGTTGGTGGGTAATTGGGTCAAATTTTTATCTAGGTCAGAGGTCAAGAACTAGGTCAAATTTTGCATTTTCAACATTCTATCAATTATCTTCGTTGTTATTTATCGAAACAACTTTGTCTTTTTTTCATCATGTAGCTTAGAAACAGCCCTTTCATAAGTGTGCCATCAGATTTTTGATTACTGTTACCGATTATGAGATATGGCGTCCGGAAAGTAGGTCAAAACAAAAAGTTCTTCAAATTCAACATGTGAGTTATGAAATAAGTGTAGGATGATCTCAGGAATCCGAATCTGCAAACCAAATTTCGATCCGACTTCTGGTTCGGAAGTTATGGCGTTGAAAACTCAAAAATCGCTAAATTCTGTGCCCATGTTAATTCAATGGGAAAAAAGATTTTTTTGAAGTGAAAAATACGAAATATAGACTGGGTTCAGCTTAATTTAATGAAAGCCTTCAAAAGAAGGGGACCTCAAAAGCCATCTAGCTTCAGAATTTGGACACCAAAATTCCTAGGTCAAAATCTAGGTCAAATTCAAAGGTTTTCTTTATTTTTGCGATTCTGACACTACACTTCAATTATATTCTTCGAAATTTTGTATACATGTAGCCAAGAGTGTGCTTATAGTGTTAGCCTTTTGCCGTCAGAAAGTATTTTGACCCACTTTTGCGATATGGTGTCCGAAAAGTAGGTCAAAATAAAAAGTTCTCCAAATTTAACGTTTGAGGTATGAATTAGTAATAGAATTTTCTCAGAAAACCAAATTGGCTAACCAAATTTCGATTCGACTTCCGGTTCCGAAGTTATGGCATGTCCGAAAAGTAGGTCAAAATAAAAATTCGCCAAATTTAACGTATGAGTTATGAATTAGGGGTAAAATTTTATCAGGAATCCGAATCTGCAAATCAAATTTCGATCCGACTCCCGATTCGGAAGTTATGGCATTTTGAAATTTCAAGAAAAATCGATCTGATGGTATCCTGATAGAAAGTCAAGAGTAGAGAAGAAAATATTGAAAAATGCATCCATCCTTCCTTTCTGATCCTATCCTATCCTTCCTATCTACCCTTGCTTCGTATCCTCTCCTTCCTATCATTCCTATTCTATCCCTTCTTCCTATTCTATTCTATCCTTCTTTCCTATTCTATCCTATCGTTCCTTCCTATTCTATCGTATCCTTCCTTCCTTTTTCATCCATCCATCCATCCATCCATCCATCTTTTTCTGGATGACTTAGCTTATTTTGGATGACTTGGCTTATTCTGGATAACTCGGCTAAAAAAAAGTCAAGATCTGGAGTCTGAAATTGAACTTGTTCAATTTCCAAAATCTAGTTATTTTGTTGTTGGCTTCAATCAGTTACCATTCTGTTCTTCTACGTTCAACACATCTCGTCTTAATCTCTAAAAAGCACGTTTCTCACAGGAAATCCTCATGTTATTTTGTATTTCATATAGTTGCACAATAGTTCAAGTGAAGTCGATGTTTTTTGTACACTATTTAATGATGAAACATTGCCTGTATCAAAGATGTAAACCAACTATGTACTTCCTCCATGCCTATTAATTAAACATGGTATATATTTCAAAACAATTAAATCCAGATAAACCATTTTCAAGTTTTTTTCTAGAAAGCATTTGATAGATTGATATTTCAATTTATTACCTCACATCGGTTTTATTTAATATTCACATGAAATACAGATACTAACAAAAGTACAAGTTTTCATTCCCAACTCTTTCCTAGTTTGGAGGTTGCATTTTTTCACCTACTACAAATGTTTTTTTACCCTTCCGCGTTTTTTCTACTGATTGATAAATTGACGATTTTCAGATATTGAAGGAGCAACTGGAGCTACAGGACCGAGTGGGCCAATTGGAGCTACAGGACCTAGTGGACCTGTTGGAGCTACAGGACCGAGTGGGGCAACTGGAGCCACAGGACCAGAAGGAACAGCTGGAGGCATTGGACCAAGTATAGTACAGTTCTTCACACTAAATAAAATTTGGCTATCTTATCTACCGATAAATTTCACTTTATCGGAAAATATGACTTTTTAACTAAACGTAGTATATATCACAGTACATGCTATGAATCGTCCCTTACTTATTGTATTCTGGTAGTTAAAGCACTAATCTACCAGGTCAACCTTTGAATCCCAATAATTAGGAGATCTATTGAATGTAATGGCTATATTATACGGAAATATTACATTGTGACATGTTTCAGATCAATAATAATTTGTTCGTTGGGATTCGCTTCTCCGTGAAGTTGCCTTTTTCTAGTTATTCAATCCGTTCTCCCGATGGTGTATGGGAGGTGAAGGTAAATATGGAGGCATGCATCTATGCTGGGCATTCAAGATAAATTTTATTGTTAAAAGTTGTTTCTTTTCAGGTTCAAGCGGACGTCCTTCTGCATGGTACTTTTATGGAAACAATGTAACAGACGGAGAAACATTTTTAGAAAGTGGAGCTAGAAAGGCATGGGTAGATTCTGAAACTGATTTACCACGAGGGACATTAACAGGCTTTGTAGTATATTTAGAACCTGGGGCCACTAGAGATACTAGAGCACGACTTCAAATATGGCGGGCGATACCTCCGAGTGATGAACGATTTTTATTAGTCTGGGAAAAAGAAGTGACATTTTTGAGAAGTAAAACCGGATTGGTGGAAGTGAGTATGATTAACAGCGTCAAATATTGGCACTCACGTTCCTCTTCTTGTTTTACCTCCCCGAACCAAAAAACAACAATCGCGTTTGGTTTATATCAATTTCATGTACAAATGCATCATATATTTTCAATGCAATGATCACATACCAGATGTTTTGTAATTTTAGGTTTACCTCTCAATATCAGAACGATTTCGTACCACTAGTGGAGATAAAATAGGATGGACTTATGAAGGAGATATTGGCCCTATTAGTCTATCCTTTGCACAGAACCATTTGACATATTTCTTACCATTGGATAACAGTCCCAACCCAACAGTAGGTCGCGAGTATGAGTTCGAAATGCTTCCCCTGGAGAGCATATTTTCAATAGGAGTATTGATCGATACATGTAAGAGACAAAATTCGTTTTATTTGGGTTCCTCTTGGTCGGTCTTCATCATATTCATTTTCGGGACATTTTTGTGTTGTGTTCACGTTTAGGGGTGACCTTGTACATTTTCTGTCCATCGTTCGGTCTCGGCAGCCTCATAGTAAGTCAACCCAGTTCCTGTATGACGGGGGTCTTAACAGCCATCTTATAATTTAGTCGTTAGTCTTCGCCAATCAGCTACATACTAGTTTAGTCTAATATCCATCCATCATTCTACGTTCAACACATCTTCTTAATGTCAAGCCGATTCATTCTGCAGACATCGCAGTTGGAGATCGATCTCCGCATTGAAAGGAAATGTGAATTTCTTTTCACTGTATGTAATGGTCCATTTTCAAAAAACAACCAGTTTGTCAAAGGATATCGTCATGTTTTTTTTGTATTTCTTATAATTCCATGTGGTTCCAGTGAAGTCGCTGATAATGAAACATTACGTGTGACATGGCATATATTTCAAAACAAAATATCCAGACTAACCATTTCTAATTTTTTTTTATCACGAAACCAAAGAAAATCGGTCAAACAATTCATTTTCACTATATCACATCGGTTTTATTCGTATTCACAGGACATACTAGCATGATCGAGGTCGAACATTGTACAATTTACCATTCTCAAAGGTTCCGTAAAACGGGTGTAACGTTTTAAAATATAGTTATATCATTCAAATCACTTTTCATGACTTGAACAACTATTTTAAACATTGATAATGGTTTTAGAAAAAGGTTGCTCATCTTATAATCCTCAAATATTTGAATATCCCGCCATTTTAAAAGCAAATGTTTAGATTTATAGATCACCAACAATGTAAATTGAGAACTAACATTTTAAAATGCTTTTTTCTCTGAACGACTTTTCTGCGCTATTTTTCAACCAATTTTTTCAACTCAAACTAGTTTAGGATGTATGTTGGTTGGTGTTAATTTTTTTAAGAATGTGTATGCGTGACAACTACAATTTTATTTGAAATAAGTTCACAAAAAGTCCTTCAAAATTAACTTTTTGACATTAAATTGAAGTTTCACATAGCACATTTTGATAGCATTAAGTAACACTTAAATGTAAGACAAAGTGGTTCAAACTTTATAAGGGGCCTTATAACCATTTGCCAGGTTGGAGGTTGCATTCTTTCACTTACAAATATCTTAGGTATTGCAACCTGCAATATTCTAACAGATAAATTGACGACTTATTTAAGCCAATGAAGGAGCAATCGGTCCTACTGGAGCGACGGGACCAGGTGGCCCCATTGGAGCTACAGGACCAATTGGATCCGTTGGTGCTACAGGGGCAAGCGGACTCGTTGGAGCTACTGGGCCGTACGGATCCACTGGAGCTACAGGACCGAGTGGTCCCACTGGAGCCACAGGACCAAGTGGACCTGTTGGAGCTACAGGACCAGAAGGGCCAACTGGAAGTGTAGGACCAAGTGGACAAGATCGGACAACAGGTAATTAAAAAGCGATTTCACTCCATCTGTTATTCTAAAATATGTAATTATGGAATTATATGCTAGCATCATTTTATCAGAATACTAGTATATGGTTCACTGCCTGCAATGCATGTTGTATTGGTAGCAAGACTGTTCTACAAGAACCACTATCGTTTGTGTTATTGCCCGAAAAGCAAATATTGTTGGTGTTACAGTTCTCCATATTATATATTATTTACTTGTAGATATAACAGGGAACTGGACCGGCTATTTCATCTGTGACGGGGTGGGGTACAATACAACGATGGAATTAAAGACAATGGCGTCTTCTGTCGCACAGTGGCATTTTGTTTCTGGCAACCTAAGTTTCTCAAACTCGTCACATGGGATAAGGGGCATTCATGAAATATCAGGTGTGTTTTATAGAGGGACCAAGAAATGCATTTTGTATGGTCCCAGATGGATTGAAAAACCGGATGGCTGGTCTTCGATGTTTCAGTTCCAAAGTTGTTTCTACAGAGAGGACTCTCGCACGATTGAAGTTCAGTTCAACAGGAATGCTGTTTGTACAACACCACCAATAACAATGAACAAACGTATATAGTATCCAAAACCTAGCAAAATGATTGGCTGGGAGGCGTCAGCTAAGGACAGAAAACACGTAAAAACATACGTTCCACGGAGTGAACTTACTGGTCCTATAATATATGATAGGTTATATGTGACGTAATATGTTCCACTAGTGAACTTAGTATCACTACGTTCATACGTTTCATATAGCCTAGGTTGTGGCTATACACCAATAATTAGAATACTTTGGACAAAATATGTAATCATACTTTATACAAATGGATCATTATTCCATTATTTTCAACAGATATACTATCATGTCATTCCAAAATGACAGGGAAATAGGAGGGGAGGGGAGCGAAAGCACAAAGAGGTTGAACACTCTTTATATAAATTGTCATAACAGGACTCATGTTTATATTATTAGTGCGGTTGGTGTAATTATAGTATTTAACAATGACATCTATAGGATAACGAGGTAACTATCCAAGAAATAAGCATTAATACGGAAGATTTTATGTCATAAAAACGGTATTGTTGTAAGGTATTGAGAAATGCTTTTGGCCAGCTCACAGTGAATCGTAAAATATGGGGGTTATGTCCAGGGATTATGTTAAGGAAGGTTTTGGATACGGTAATATGCCGAGGGAAATATGGATACCTTGTTGATGGCTTTAATGGTCCTCATTCCTCATTCGCTGACTTATACTGAACTTTAGTAAGTGTTTCTGTTTTCTCGACCCCCTAACACTCCCTTGGGGTCAGAATATAAGTGAAATACTGATACCAATTACTTTAGTTGAAATGAAAAAATAGATTTTCGAGAAAAGAGAAAAATTCAACATCAGGCTCTTTGAGGCCAATATATCTGCCCGAGGGCCGTAGGTCCCGAGAGTAGATATATTAAATTACCCAAGGGATAATCCCAATATCCTGAACCGACTATAGGATGATCTGTTTATCCCATACCAATCTTGGTCATTTGGCTTACATTGTTCAATTGGTTACAGTTCAGAAAAATTTCCAACCAGCCGTTGAGTTATTACAAGCATATGCATGTTCAGTTTTGTTTTTTGGCCGTGGCCGCATTTTCCTGTTTATTTTCTCGAATCTTTGATTATTAACAGGGTTCTTTAAACCATCAAACAGATCGCGATTGTCTGCGTTTTCTCCATTGTCGTTTACTGTTATTGTGCGAACGTTACAAAAATGAACCAATATGTACGGCGATTATGACGAAGCGGGCAGATATATATCTGCCCGCTCCGAGCGGGACGTAAAGCTATATCTGCCCGCTGATGAAAATATAAGTTTATACAAACCGGCTGTATGTACCTGTAACACGTCCAAGTATGGGATAAATGTAAATATATTATATGGATATTAAATATACTCAAGACATATCTATGATATGTGAGATATATGAGCAATAATAATTGGATATCATTAATTGTCTTGGCGAGAAACCTACGTATACTGCATCTTTAACGCGTTATTGGACTTCAGCAAATCGAAGTAAACGTTATACACAAATGGATTGCATATAGAACAGAGTATGTTATTTTCTTTTGTATAAGGAAATATTTTTGTTAAAGAATTGTAGGGTTTTCTTAATAAATATTTATAAGAAAATAGCGGACAAATCTTCTGATCCCATCCCTAGGTCCAAAGCCGTCAACGAACCAATCTATATTGCCAGGCTACCTTATCGTGATAATTCATAATTAAACTTTAAGGAAATGTATCATCTGAATGAGTGGGGATATTTCCAAACATGAATGATTGACAAAGGATAGCAATCACATGTGTTAATATATACTCAAAGAATCCAATAATTTGAATAAAAACAAATCTCCATCTGATAATTGCAATTATTGGAAAATGATTGTCCCCTCGTCTTAACAGTCGCAATTAAGGAGTTTGCGTGGGACTGTTGCGTAAAGCCACGTTGTCCGGAAAGTGACCCTTACAGGGCGGCCTCAAATAAATGTTACTGTTTTTGTTTTGGTTGTTTGTCGCTTGCTTTTGTTTTGGTTGTTTGTCGCCTATTTTTATTCTAGTTGTTTGTTTGCTTGTCTCGTGTCTACTTTAGTTACTTACTGCTTGTGTTTATTTTTGTTGTTGGTCTTGTGATTGATATAGAGTGTTGATTGTCTACAACATGTCTTTATTTTAATTGCTTGAAATGTCTTTTTTGGTTGCTTTTCGCGTTTCTTTTATGTTATTTGTGAGTTGCCTGCCCAGTGTGCCACATGTTTCTATTTGAAATGTTTGTCACGTTTGGTTGTTTGTTATCTACTTGCCACGTGTCTTCATTTCGGTTGCTTATCACCCATCGTCTTTATTTTAGATGCTTGTCACGTCAGGTATGTTCATTTCCAAACCATAAATTACAAAACACATAAGAAGTGATCGGGATAATTCAAATCTTTTGGATTGCTGATCATGAATTTATAACCAGTTCATGATGTCAGACAAAAAAGAAATTTTAATGTTGCCGTCCAGATCGGCAAAGGTCACTAACATCTCCTTGACGTTCATTCGTGTAAATTTTGCCGTCGAAATTTATTGGCGATTTAAAATATCGAATTGGAACCGCTGGGGCCAATCCTTGGTCTAAGCTGCTGTTGAAAGAATGACTAATATAAATGTTTCAATATGAACGCATCAGACAGGTAAACAGAAGACTTTTCTGAGAATATGAGATGGCCCCTTGAGATCTTATTACGTTGGAGTACATACATACATGCATACATATATAAATACACATTTAGCAATGAAAATCACTATATAGTATTCTGTCTCCTAATTGTGATATGAAACAAGCTCACTGGCTGCAGTTCAGATAAAATCCAAAATAAGAAGACAGAGTAAAAAGAAACAACAATAAATTAAGGTAAATACGTTGAATAGATTATAAAGTAATATAATTGTTGTTCTTCAAAATTATAAAGTATTCACATTCTACAAAACAACAGGACTTTATTCACTGAAGAAACTGAAATCTGATGAACCATTATTGAAAGTAATAGATCGGGATTTTGAAGAAATGGATGAAAATTCAACACAAGAACACAATGTGAGCCGCCACATGTACACCTGGCAGAATGAACCGGACACAAGTGCAGTCCAAATTGGACTAATGATAGTCGTTGCAGTCATCTTTATTTTCATAATTCTTAACAATGGATTGCTAGTAACAGTGGTGCTAAGGCATAAGCACTTACAGACCCCTCCAAATATAATAGTCTTAAACATAGCGATAGCCGATCTTTTCCAAGGTATATTTGGAATACCAATACGGGAAATGATGACATATGAATATGACATTGCAAGAGATATTACGCTTGGAATAGTTGATAAAAGATACGTCTGCTTTTTGAGAGTATTTTTAACGCTCTTGGGAACGGGTGGCGCTCTGTTCCTGTTTGTTGCTCTTGCGATAGAGAGATTTGTTGCGATCGTGTTGCCGTTTCGTTACGATCGTTGGATGTGTAAAAGCAACACTATCATCCTCAGTCTGATGTCCTGGGCTTTGCTCCTCGCTATTACCATTCCTGCATTCTTTGGTTGGAACAGATGGGATGTGAACATCCAATGCTCGGTACAGAATACATTGCATAAACTTCACAACTCTGTCATCCTGAATCCACTGATCTACGCTTGCCTGGCTCTCACCGCCGTGCTGTATGGTAAAATATTCTGGGTTGCGAAGTCAAAGCGCGCACAGATTGTAGCCCAAATTCAAGCCGTGGACCATGCCAAAGCTGTGGCATATAAACGGGATTTCAAGATTCTCAAAACTGTTGTAATAATCTTGGGACTTTTCATAATATCATGGATTCCGTTACTTTTTGTAAGAATGGTTCTTACACGCACAAATCTTGATTCTGCTACAATGATTATTTTGACTAATATCACATTCAAAATCGTGTTGGTGAAATCTGCAATTAATCCAATGATATTTTGTGAGAAAGATCGGAGGCTACGAATGGCTGTATTGAAGCTGTTGCGTCTACACAGGCAGGATGACCATGACATATTTACATCTGAAAGATCAACAAACAAATCGTGCGAGTCCAACGCCACTAAGGGGACTAATGGATTAGATATCAGCGAATTGTCAAACAGAGATAATACTGAGAGACATGGAGAGAATTCGGGAACATGTTCCAGAACATTAGACCAAACGGAGAAAAAGATGACGCATACAAACATCACCACACCAGCTGAAGAGAAACAAGAGACTTCTGATTTAAACTCACGACACATCTGAAACTTGGTTCTGTCGGTTAATTGATACCACGATATGTCAGGCCAGAGACTCGGGTCAGGCTTAATGTTCACTGTTTTGAATTTGGGTCAAAAGTTAAAGCTCGTTATTATTAAAATCAATGTAACATATTTGCAGGTTGTAGTGGCTATGACCCCCAAGAGGGAGTATTAGGTGCCACATTATGGTATGATTTGTGAAATATTATAAGAAGTGTACGTGTAAATTGTGTAAAGTATGATATTGTACATAATTGAGAAAAAACTGATTTAATGGAAATACAATAGCCGATGATGTTCGATTAATTGATAATAACTTGTTTGAATCTAATTGAACGATATTACATAAAGGTTGAAATGCAATTAAAACAAATCAATGTGTGACATCCCATTTCCCTAATGACGGTAAGGACATGTCAAAATCCTCAGGTCTGACTGATGAAATATCATGTTACATATCAGAATCGAATGAAGATGAAAATATATTAATCTTACGTGACCTCAATGGTAAAATTGAACAATTTTGAAAATCGAGTACAAAAAGCCCAAATGGTGATCAATGGTGATCTTGTAATAAAAAGGATCCATACCCATTAGTGTACCTATAGGGACTTAACTTTTTTTTGAAAAGGGAAAATTGGAATTCCAGTATTATTTTTTAAATTATATGAATCTTTAAGAAGTATATTTTCAACAAATCACAAAAATAATATTTAGATTATGGTAAAAAATTGTTTTTACAGTGATTCTTAGCACATGTCATTCTGACTCTTAAAATGAATAATTTTCACATATTTTCTTAAAACCTTGAATAAAATCTTGATTTTTGTAAGACGATTTGAAAAACATAACAAATCAATCTTACTCTATTTTCAATAGTTCGTATACAGGTATGTTGGTACGTGAATTGTCTCGATTATGATTTAAATCTGTAAATAGCTATCGTTACTTTAGCAGGGAGGTGACGTGTGTTAATTTACATGATGCAGCGTGTAAGATTTTGATTATTTTTTATCATTATATAACTAAGTTATCCCAATTTTCGACGAAACGTCCACTAAAGTGTAAATTGTTATGTCTAACAATGTCAAAGGCGTAGCCAGGAGAGGGTGCGATCGCACCCCCCCCCCACATAACCAATGAATATATGACCATAATGATAGAGGAAGAAAAGAGCCTTTAATTGTTTTTTATTTGAAGCTTCTGGCTAAATTTTGAAGGAAGTTACATACATTTTTGTAAATTTGTAAATTCAGAACAAATCTTACACGTTTTCTAATGATCTAATTATGTTATATATTCGTATTTTTCGTTTTTGTGTACCCGTTTTTTTCGACCGGGTACCGGGTACCAAGTTTGAACCCAGCATGGAGGATTTACTACCCGGTACCCGTTTTTTTCTACAAACCCTGTTTGATAGCAAAACAATGGGTTTCAAACTGACCAAAAAACTATCCTACATGCACACCTTTTCAATTTTAAAAAGTATTCATTTGACTTTATACCTTTAGCTTCATTTGAATTATTCTTTGAAAATACCAAATAAATATATCATATTTTGGAAAGTCACAACTACATTTTTAGTATTTGAGTTGAAAACGTAGGTTTTGTGTTTTCAATATGTTGCAACTTGTGTCCTACGTTTGATAATGATGCTTAATATGTCATCTAAATTGAATATCCTAGGTTGAACCTACTGCATACCAACTGAGGTGATGATGGTACTTTTGCTGAGATTCAAGATTAATATTCATTGATATATTGCATTTTAGGGGTTATTTAATGATTTGTGTTTTTAGTATGTTGCCCTTTGTGTCCTACTTCAATGACATTTTGATATATCAATTAATTGAATGGTAAATATACTAGTACTTAAAATAGTCATGAGTGAAGACTAACATACCCGTAACATGATATTTAGAATGATTTGCATAGTAAAACTTAAATGCACTGAATGAATCTCTATGACTTAATTTTGTTTTGGATGTGTTTGATAAAAGTAACTATTTCCATGTCATATCTGACATGAGCATTTTAAACTTGTCCGATAAATATACTAGGGAAATAACATGGCAAAGAAATGATCTCCATTCCACAATTGACTATGTTATTGTTAATCATTGATGGACACAGAAATTATTAAATGGTCAACATAAACTTTAAAATACAAAATAGCCTGTTGTTACAATGATAAATCAGAACGTCATTTTATTAGAATCGATTATTGTGCGTACTGTTAAATCATTTTAAAGAAAGAATATAATGCCTTTAGTGAGAAACTCTCAAGTCAAGGTTTAATACTTGTAAAAATAAGAATCCTTATGTTTTAACATTGAATGGGTGTTATCCCAACGTTTCCCAAAACTAAACTGATGCTAACAAAGTTGTAAGGTTTTCCAACTTGGCGGCAAGTTTCAATTAAAAATTACATACTTTAAACACCATGGAAAAATAAAACCAATACGTAAAATTGTTCATATATTCATGATGTAGCGACTTATATACACGTTTGAGACTGTCAATATCCAATTTATAAGATAACAGTACAACAATGAGGCAAATTTTGAGTCATTTTAGCCTACCGGATATAAAAGTTGCCACTCGTTTTTGTTATTATAACGAGAGTATAATTTCTTCCTTTCCTGTTTTACAAATTCTAATTTCTAATTTATCATTAGACGATAGCAAGTCAAATAAAGGAAGGCATCTTATTAAATTAGCAATGCTTAAGCAGGACCAAAGGTAGGTTACGATTATCCCATGCGGATTAGGACTAGAAGCTCATTACCCCCATAAATGTTGGGTTATCTCCCCAAAATACTTGTGTACTATAATTTAATATGATGATAGACAGTCTAACATAGAAGAAGTGGGGACATATCGTATACTCTACCTTTAGTATCTATATAATAGCCAAAAGTTCAAAAGGTATATACCATTGTCATTGATAGACTATGAGTGGGGAACATGATAAAGAATTACAATAGCAATGCAAATTACATTCTTACCTCAGTGTATTCAGTGCTATATTTTCTCCGTCCTAGTAGGTCCAAACATAGTCGAATTTGTGTCCATAATGACAAATAAGAACTTAAAAAGTTGAAGTGGATATTCACATGTTAATGTCGATTCTTCAAATATTGAGGTGATTTTGTAGCCCGATTACGCCGCAATGGAGGATTGGCTCCCAGAATGCAACCTGACACGTGCCAGCTTTCAAAATGCCGTTACACCATTTGGAAACCTGTCACGAGTAAATAAAGTTAACTGATGTTGCATTCTGGGAGTCAATACTCCTTGGATCACACACATTGCGATCCATGAAAACATTCATTCCATTTGGTGGGGATTTATCCATCATTTGCAGGTTTGAAGCTTTGGATTCATCTATTGTGCTAGTTAAAGTGAACAGGAATTATTTTTCTACTGCTTGGGAGAGTTTGACACACGAAACTTGGAATTTGGGTTTGTGTAAAAAACTGGGTGACCGGGTAGCCGGATGACCGGGTACCCTACCTTCCTACCAGGGTTAGGAATTTGATTTTTTCATTTTATGCCTCAAAACGCCCAACTGACATCCCAATCAACGAACCAGTGACACAACCAATGAAGCAAACAACCAAACAAGCAACAACATTTATTTATCAATAAATCAACCAGCAAAACGACAAACAAAATTAATATAATGTCAATCAGCGAAGCAATAAATCAAGCAACTAACGTTGTATTGTACATCGTACATTAATTAACAGATAAAAACGGCAAATAATGTTTCAATTTACGCGTACCCAAATCTTCCAGATTCGTTTAATATCCAGTAGAATTCGCCATCATAGAAAACAATCATCGATATCCTGTCAATCACTAAGACAATAAATCAAGCAATTAACGTCATCGTACCCATCATAGTAACAACTTGCCATATCTAGGGTCGTTACTCTACTGAAGCCTAACCTAACTTAGGATTATCATATTAACATGTTGCACATTATATTTGCTACTTTGTGGGGATGCTGTTTTCTTGAGGCAAAGTTTAAATAATTTCAGGTACTAGGTGAATTTAAAACTGTACTTCCAATAAAACATGGATACATTGAGTGACAAGTCAGGTGAAGTGGAGTTGACGAGTTTAAAGCAGAGATCAAATAATACCTCGACTGATGATGTGGAAGTGGCACTTAAAGCTGGACCTACACGTGACAGAAATTCATTTTATGGCGACAAACATCCAGATAATACTAATAACAGTGGCACGTCACAGAATCAAGATGGTAAAATATTTTTGTATTTTGATTATGATAATACATCAATGACCTATTGTTGCATGAACTCATGATGCAAACTTTTTAGTCTTGCACCAAATCCTTGTTTGCCATGCCCCCCCCTAATATACATGCATTCACATTTTTACTTGTACACATGGGTTACAGGTTTGTTATATGTGTTAAACATATAAGAAGTAAGAGTATATATTTTGTTGTATTATTTCAGAGTCTTTGGGTAGCAAGGAGGGTGACCAGGAACAATCTGATCCCCCAGGTAAATGTTCCCTTTGGTGCCTCTCCTGCCAACATTGCTGTTATAGACAGTGTAAACCATACATGACCAAGTATAATTCAGTGCCCCAAGATGCCAGCAGGATTACAAAATGTCACCACGCTTTCCTATGTCCCCCACATGGGAAACTTGCCAAGTGGTTTACCTTGTTGTTTGTTGCCATGGTGATGTTTGGAGTGTTTTGGGGGATCACAGGAGCCAATGCACTCCCAGGAGGCAATCTGTTTGCACTCTACATACTTATGGTGTTTGCATGGTTACTAGGTGTGCTAGCTGGTAAAATCAAATTACCTCCTCTTTTTGGTGAGTACTTGTGTTAACAATCTTGTAGGTGTATTTGAGGAAATTGATATTGTCCAATACATTGTTACATCGTACATTACATGGAATGCTTATTCAAGCGTGTAGTTTTATGTTTGACTAGAGGCAAACAATTATTGTATGGAACAAAATATTATTTATTCAATCCATTGAGTGTAGCTATGAGGCTGATGTGGCTGGGTGTTATTATAATAGCCTCATTCATCTGTCCTATTCGTTGCATTTTTATTTCCATATAAGGTATGCTTAAGCTTTGCATTTTTATTTCCATATAAGGTATGCTGATTGCTGGAGCAATATTGAAGAATGTTCCTCATATCAATTTTGCTGCTGATATAAACAGGACATGGTCCTCCACAATAAGGTTAGTAACCATTATGATTAAATATATGTAACCATATCTGTGAAATGGTGACCTTTTTACATGTGACATCTTGTTGTTGCTAAGTTGTGTGACTGGTGGGCTGTTGTTGTCTGTGACCAGTTGTTACTTATTGTTACACTTTGGTAACCAATTGCGTACTACATTGTGATATTTTGCTATGTACCCTATTTTGTTTTGATTTATTTATTAGCAATCCGGGGATAGTTGAAAATATTGGTAATACTTGATAAAAACAATTTAATGTGTATAAGTCAGTTTTAATTTAATTAAATGATGAACTGAAATTTGAGAAAATTCATCAATAATTATCTAAATGTCAACAAAGTTAAGTGCTTTAGCTATTATATTACTGATTAATATCATTAATTCAAATTAAAAACACTCAAGATCTTAGGTGCTGTTTCAAGAGTAAAACGTAATTTGTACATTTAATGATTTATTGTGTATTACTAAGTCATACTTTGAATAAAGTGATTTGCTTGAATTAATGGAGAAGGACACGAAGGAGGAGGGTGCCATCCCTCCCTATTATAATCCCTCTCATTTCCTTTACCTCTTTGATGGTTGCCATGGTAACATATGATTAGTGTATAGTCTAAATCCAACCTTCAGATTCTAAAGTGCCAACCTATGGTTTATTAATTGTTTAAGGAACATGGCCTTTGATGTTATCCTGATCCGTGCAGTTCTAGGTCTCGATCCTGCCTCATTGACCAAGGCCCCAGGTGCTATTGTACGTCTTGCTGCTATTCCCTGTCTGATAGAGGCTGCTACTGTAGGAGTGGTGTCCCATTTCTTACTTAACTTCCCCTGGGTGTGGGCATTCCTCCTTGGGTAGGTTAGTCATGTATTGAATTTGCTGCATTATCGGTGATTTGAATGCATGCATTAAGGGTGCAAACAATAAATTTTAAAGCTTATAGCTCTAAAGTATATTTTCTCTAAAATAACTTTTATCAGATGTAAGTGTTCTTATACATATTGTTAAGGCTTGATTCCTAGCAGGGTCCACGCCTTATATCGAGGACATGATTCTCCAATTTAGAATATTTGCGTTCAGTTCATTGCACAATGAATAGGCGGCTCATTTTTCCAAGTCAATTGCCAAGAGTGAAAAGTGATTGCCACTTTTGACACTCGGGCAACAATGAGCTTTGAACTCTGATTCCTAGGCACTTCCTTCATTATTAATCACTATCCCTATTTCTAGGTTTGTTATTGCCCCTATCTCCCCAGCTGTTGTTATCTCAAGTATGATCGTCCTGCAGGACCAGGGCTATGGAGTTGAACAGGGGATTCCCCAGATTCTCATTCCAGCTGCTATATTGGACAACGTCATCACAATAAGTGGATTTGGTATACTCCTCACTGTTGCTTTTTCCACAGGTATATTATATTCACTATGTCTGTTTGTGACATATCATTGATTTATTGTTGCCGTATCCTTAAATTAGATAAAGTAAATCTTTAATACACACTTTATTGGGTTGTTTTGGTTTATATCGCAACCCAAAAAGGTGTGTATTAAAGATTTAATTTCCTGTTATCTCAAAATCTGCTTGTTACTGTACCATTGGATTTCTTTGGGAAATTCCTCAAAGAGAAAATTCCAGGGATTAAGGAATGTGTACAGTTTACACAATTTGAGAAATTATTTGCATCCATGAAACCTATTTAAAACAGCATTTATATTATTTAATAGCGTTGATTATCAATGATTCCCAGGCCTCTGAAGTTTGAAAAATTAAAATACCTGGGTATCATTCCATAGATAATCCTTGAAAATGAGAAATATTTTTGGGGATTATATGGTGCAATCTTATAGTCAATAAATTTTTTTAATGTGTTTTGAAAGTGAAATGCATGAAAAAACTACCCCAATCCATTTTACAAACACCTCCCCCTCCTTTAACACACTGAAGATACCTAAATAGTTGTCTGATATAGTATAGTGTTAGACACTCTACCACAGATCAGTGTATTAAAGTACAATCTGTATTACACTAGTTTGTCATATTTTAGGTGCTTTCAATGTGTATACAGTCTTCAAGGGGCCAATAGAGGCACTGATGGGCATTTTATGTGGGGCACTTGTAGGCTTATTAATGTGGTATCTTCCACATAAGAAACATGTAAGACCATGATTCTATCTTATAAATCTATTAATGGGTTAATGTTGTTTTGCTCTTGATATTGCCATGGTCACATTTACTCCAATTTTCAACAACAGTCCCTGGCTGATGAGTATTTTGTTCAAAACTGAATGCAATTTTGAACAAAACACTCCTTGGCCAGGCACTGGTTCCGAAAATCGCAGCGAATGTGACCACAGCATAAGTTGAGCCAAATATTCCAAATAGTTTTTCATCCTTTTTTTGATAGTTTTATCTAGTCGAGCATATCTTGACGAGACTTCATCTTGTGCCAATACTAAATTTCTTGAACTGCATTGCACTTCAAATCATTCAATATTTTTGATTTTTGTTCCAGAAACATCTAGTGCTTTTCAGGTTCCTCATTTTATTTATGGCAGCCCTATTCAGCACATTTGGAAGCAAAGCTGCAGGGGCCTCTGGGGCTGGGGCACTTGGGGTTCTCAGCATGACATTTGTAGCCTCCTATAGGTGGCGCCAGGAGGGCTGGATTGGCAAAGAGGTAACATTTTCTTGTGATATAATGTGTTTAGAATTGAAATTTGAAACTTTTGAATGGGCATTGAAATTATTCTATTGGGTTGAGAAAAAAGTGAAATAATACACCAAACAACCAGTAATATTGACTCGCAAAAATCAAGATTTGAACTAATATAATAAAAATTCACATCTCAGAGGCATAGCTACATGTAGGCTGTTTTGCAAGTTTAAACAGAAGTCAAAATCAGGGAGATGTTGGTGTTTTTAAGTACTTTCTCCTGAGTGCATTTTATTACAAACAATGGTGTTTTCATCATTGTTTTGTCATATCAACCCAAATAGTAATTTTATGACTGGTTATGGATCAAATTTTCACATTTTTTATTTTTTGCATTTAGAATCCTCTTGGTCGTATCATGGTGATGCTATGGAGATTGTTTGAACCTTTACTCTTTGGGTTAATAGGAGCGGAGATAGACATTGCAAAGTTAGATGGCGCCACTGTAGGTTTGTGTTTCCTATTTATGATTTATGTTTCTTTTTTTTTTTTTCTAACTCCATGAATGGCGGGTGAGGGATGGTCTGGTGGCATGAACCAAGCCAGATGAGGCAGTTGCATTGCCAAATTATATAAAAAATACAAATACACACATATTTAAGTTTAAACTATTCAAATGAAGTCTAATGATAGTGTACTAGGCCTGTTAAATTGCCTTGAACTCAGTTTTGGTCTAATCTTCAAAATCTAGAACTGATTGGTGTTTGAACATGCTGGATAAATTTTTAGACTCCAGATGAAATCTGGAGTCTATTGTTTTCGTCAGTTTTCTTATTAGACTCCAGATGAAAATCTGGAGTCTATTGCTTTCGTCAGTTTTCTTTATTATTAGACTCCAGATTGAAAATCTGGAGTCTATTGCTTTTGCCAGTTTTCTTTATTATTCTTTTTTCTTCCTCCTCACCAAATTTCTCGTCAACTATAACAGCTTACTTAATCCAACTTACATGGTTAATTAAAGACTGTATCCGGCTTTCTGGGAAATTAGGTCAAATTTTTATCTAGGTCAAAGGTCAAGAACTAGGTCAAATCTTACATTTTCAACATTCTTCGTTGTATCTTCGTTACTATTCAACATACCTCCTTCATCTTTTTACCATCTTGTAGCTTAGAAACAGCCCTTTCAGAAGTGTGCCATCAGATTTTTGATTACTCTTACCGATTTTGAGATATGGCGTCAGGAAAGTAGGTCAGAACAAAATGTTCTCCAAATTCAACATGTGAGTTATGAAATAAGTGTAAAATGATCTCAGAAATCCGAATCTACAAACCAAAATTGGATCAGACTTCCGGTTCGGAAGTTATGGCGTTTTGAAAGCTCAAAAATCGCTAAATTTGGTGCCTTTGTTAAGTCAATGGGAAAAAAGACTTTTTCGAAGTGTAAAATACAAGATATAGACTGAGTACAGCTTAACATAATGAATGCTTATAAAAGAAGGGGACCTCAAAAGCTACATAGCTTCAAAATTTGGACACCAAAATGCCTAGGTCAAAATCTAGGTCAAATTCATAGTTTTTTCTTATTTTTACGATTCTGACACTACACTTTAATAATTTACTACAAAATTTTGTATACTCGTAGCAAATAGTGTGCTAATAGTGTTAGCCTTTTGCCGTCAGAAAGTATTTTGACCCACTTTTGAGATAAAGTGTCCGAAAAGTAGGTCAAAATAAAAAGTTCTCCAAATTTAACATATGAGCTATGAATTAAGAGTAGAATTTTCCCAGAAATCCGAATCTGCAAACCAAATTTCAATCCAACTTTCGGTTCGGAAGTTATGGCGTTTTGAAAGCTCAAAAATAACTAAATTTGGTGCCCCATGTTATGTCAATGAGAAAAAAGATTTTTTTGAAGTGTAAAATACCAGACATAGACGGAGTACAGCTTAACATTCTAAAAGCTTATAAAAGAAGGGGACCTCGAAGGCTATCTAGCTTTAAAATTTGAACACCAAATGCAAAATGCCTAGGTCAAAATCTAGGTCAAATTCATAGTTTTTCCTTATTTTTGCGATTCTGACATTACACTTAAATGATTAGCTTCGAAATTTTGTATACAGGTAGCGAAGAGTGTGCTTATAGTGCTAGCCTTTTGCCGTCAGAAAGTATTTTGACCCACTTTTGAGATACGGTGTCCGGAAAGTAGGTCAAAATAAAAAGTTCTCCAAATTTAACGTTTGGGTTATGAATTAAGAGTAGAATTTTCTCAGGAATCCGAATCTTTAAACCAAATTTCAATCAGACTTCTGGTTAGATAGTTATAGCGGTTTGAGGTCTCGAAAAGTCGATATGATGATATCCCCATGTTGAGCCAATGGAGTCGAAGATAACATTCTTAAGAGTTGTCTAAATGTCTATATTCTAGCTGACTCAGCTTATTCTGAATGACTCAGCTTACAAGTTCTGGACGACTCAGCTTAAAATAAGTTTGGAATCTGGAGTCTTAAATTGAACTTGTTCAATTTACATGTCTAGTTATTATTATTCTTTCAGAATCTTCCTCCTTCCCAGATTTCTCACCAACTAAAAGAATTTACTTTAAGCTGCTTACATGATCAACTAGGGGCAGTTCCTGGGATGATGGGAAATTAGGTCAAATTTTTATCTAGGTCAAGGGTCAAGAACTAGGTCAAATCAAGGTCAAACCAACATTCTGTCAATTATCTTCGTTGTTGTTTGTCGTAACTACTTCATCTTAGTTTCTACATGTAGCTTAGAAAAAAACAAATCGAGAGTGTGCCATCCGTTTTTTGATTACTCTTAGCGATTTTGAGATATGGCGTCCTGAAAGTAGGTCAAAACCAAAAAGTTCTCCAAATTTAACATATGAGCTATGAAATAAGGGTAGAATTTTCTCAGGAATCCGAATCTGCAAACCAAATTTTGATCCGACTTCCCGTTCGGAAGTTATTGCGTTTTGAAAGCTCAAAAATCGCTAAATTTGGTGCCCATGTTAGGTCAATGAGAAAAAAGATTTTTTTGAAGTGAAAAATACGAAATATAGACTGAGTTCAGCTAAATATAATGAAAGCTTTTAAAAGAAGGGGACCTCATAAGCCATCTAGCTTCAAAATTTGGACACCAAAATGCCTAGGTCAAAATCTAGGTCAAATTCAAAGTTTTTCCTTATTTTTGCGATTCTGACACAACAGATTAATTATATTCTTCGAAATTTTGTATACATGTAGCTAAGAGTCTGCTAATAGTGTAAGCCTTTTGCCGTCAGAAAGTATTTTGCCCCATTTTTGAGATATGGTGTCCGAAAAGTAGGTCAAAATAAAAAATTCTCAAAATTTGACGTTTGAGTTATGAATTAAGTATAGAATTTTCTCAGGAATCCGAATCTGCAAACTAAATTTCGATCCGACTTCCGGTTTGGAAGTTATGGCGTGTCCGAAAAGTAGGTCAAAATAAAAAGTTTCCAAATTTAACGTATGAGCTATGAATTAAGGATAGAATTTTCTCTGGAATCCAAATCTGCAAACCAAATTTCGATCCGTCTTCCGATTCGGAAGTTATGGCGTTTTGAAAGCTCAAAAATCGCTAAATTTGGTGCCCCATGTTATGTCAATGGGAAAAAATATTTTTTTGAAGTGTAAAATACGAGATATAGACTAAGTACAGCTAAACATAATGGAAGCCCATAAAAGAAGGGGACCTCAAAACCTTCTAATTTTGAAAATTTGGACAACAAAATGCCTAGGTCAAAATCTAGGTCAAATTCAAAGCTTTTCCTTATTTTTGCGATTCTGACACTACACTTTAATTATATTCTTCGAAATTGTGTATACATGTAGCCAAGAGTGTGCTAATAGTGTTAGCCTTTTGCCGTCAAAAAGTATTTTGACCCACTTTTGAGATATGGTGTCCCAAAAGTAGGTCAAAATAAAAAAATCTTCAAATGTAACGTATGAGTTATGAATAAGGGGTAGAATTTTATCAGGAATCCGAATCTGCAAATCAAATTTTGATTCGACCTCCTGTTCGGAAGTTATGGTGTTTTGAAAGCTCAAAAATCGCTAAATTTGCTGCCCCATGTTATGTCAATGGGAAAAAAGATTTTTTGAAGTGTAAAATACGAGATATAGACTGAGTACAGCTTAATATAATGAAAGCCTATTAAAGAAGGGGACCTCAAAGGCTACTTAGCTTCAAAATTTGGACACCAAAATGCCTAGGTCAAAATCAAGGTCAAATTTATAGTTTTCCCTTATTTTTGCGATTCTGACACTATATTTAAATGATTTGCTTTAAAATTTTGTATACAGGTAGCAAAGAGTATGCTCATAGTGTTAGCGTTTTGCCGTCAGAAAGTATTTTGACCCACTTTTGAGATATGGTGTCCGAAAAGTTGGCCAAAGTTAAAAGATTTCCAAATTTAACGTATGAGTTATGAATTAAGGGTAGAATTTTCTCAGAAATCTAGATCTGCAAACTAAATTTCGATCCGACTACTTGTTTTAAAGTTATGGCGTTTTGAAATCTCAAAAATCGCTAAATTTGGTGCCCCATGTTAAATCAATGGGACCGAATAATTTTTTGAAGTATAAAAATACGAGATATAGAATGAGTACAGCTAAACATAATGAAAGCCCATAGAAGAAGGGGACCTCAAAAGCTACTTTCCTTCAAAGTTTGGACACCAAAATACCTAGTTCAAAATCTAGGTCAAATTCATATTTTTTTTATTTTGCGATTCTGACACTACACTTCAATGATATTCTCCGAAATTTTGTAAACTTGTAGCAAAGAGTGTGCTAATAATGTTAACATTTTGCCGTCAATAAGTTTTTTGACCCACTTTTGAGATATGGTGTCCGAAATGTATGTCAAAATAAAAAGTTCTCCAATTTTAAAGAATGAGTTATGAATTAGGGGTAGAATTTCCTCAGGAATCTGGATCCGAAATTAAAATTGCAATCCAACCACCGGTTTAGATTCTACGCCATTTTGAAGTTTGAAATTCGCACTTGCCAGTATTCACGATGCAGATTGATCAAATATACTTTCAAAAATTCCTGCATACCCTACTTTACCTCTCTTCCTACTCAGCTACTTATTTGACTACTTACTAAATTACTTAATTAGTTATTACTTCCTTAGCAACTTACTCAGCTACTAACTCAGGTACTTACTCAGCTACTTACTCAGCTACCTACTCAGCTTTTTACTCAGTTACTTACTCAGCTACTTACTCAACTACTACTAAGGTACTTACTCAGCTAATTACTCAGTTACTTACTCAGCTCTTTACTGATCTATCTAGGTCAAATAAATCTGGAGTCTTAAATTGAACTTGTTCAATTTCACAAATCTAGTTCTTCTTATTATTCTTTTTCTAAACCAGTTTTCTCAATAACCATAAGGTTTTCAGTAAAGTCAGTCATTTGGTCAATTTAGGTTCAGAATCTCGTTCCTCGGAAATTGGGTCAAATTTTTATCTAGGTCAAAGGTCAAGAACTAGGTCAAATCCAGTACTTTGTCACTTTATTCGATTTTCTCGGTCGTCCTTCAATATTTTCGATCCGGGTTTTTTTCATTGTGTTCCTCATAAAAAAGTAGGAAATCTAGGGTCGATTTAGTTTTTCGATATCTCAAACCGATTTCGAGATATCAGTGTCCGAAAACGAGGTCCAAAAAAAAGTTCTCCGAATCAAATGTCTAGGATATTAGTCTTATGGGATATTATCTCAGGATTCCGAATCTGAAAACCAAATTCGGATCGGACTACCGGTTCGGAAGTTATGGCGCTTTGAAAGCTCAAAAATCGCTAAATTTGGTGCCCATGTTAAGTCAATGGGAAAAAGATTTTTTTGAAGTGAAAAATACGAAATATAGACTGAGTTCAGCTAAATATAATGAAAGCTTTTAAAAGAATGGGACCTCAAAAGCCATCTAGCTTCAAAATTTGGACACCAAAATGCCTAGGTCAAAATCTAGGTCAAATTCAAAGTTTTTCCTTACTTTTGCTATTCTGACACTACAGATTGATTATATTCTTCGAAATTTTGTATACATGTAGCCAAGAGTGCGGTAATAGTGTTAGCCTTTTGCCGTCAGAAAATATTTTGCCCCATTTTTGAGATATGGTGTCCGAAAAGTAGGTCAAAATAAAAAATTCTCCAAATTTAACGTGTGAGTTATGAACTAAGTATAGAATTTTCTCAGGAATCCGAATCTGCAAACCGAATTTTGATCCGACTTCCAGTTCGGAAGTTATGACATTTTGAAAGCTCAAAAATCGCTAAATTTGGTGCCCCATGTTATGTCAATGGGAAAAAAGATTTTTTTGAAGTGTAAAATACGAGATATAGACTAAGTACAGCTTAAAATAATGAAAGCCTATTAAAGAAGGGAACCTCGAAGGCTACCTAATTTCAAAATTTGGACACCAAAATCCCTTGGTCAAAATCTAGGTCAAATTCATAGTTTATCCTTATTTTTGCGATTCTGACACTACACTTTAATTATATTCCTCGAAATTGTGTATACATGTAGCCAAGAGTGTGCTTATAGCGTTAGCCTTTTGCCGTCAGAAAGTATTTTGACCCACTTTTGAGATACGGTGTCCGAAAAGTAGGTCAAAATAAAAAGTTCTCCAAATTTAACGTTTGAGTTATGAGTTAAGAACAGAATTTTCTCAGAAATCCGAATCTGCAAACAAAATTTCGATTTGATTTCCGGTTCCGAAGTTATGGCGTGTCCGAAAAGTAGGTCAAAATAAAAATTCGCCAAATTTAACGTATGAGTTATGAATTAGGGGTAGAATTTTGTCAGAAATCCGAATCTGCAAATCAAATCTCGATCCGACTTCCGGTTCGGAAGTTATGGCGTTTTGAAATTTCAAGAAAAATCGATCTGATCGTATCCTGATAGAAAGTCAAAAGAGAAGAAAATATTGAAAAATGCATCCATCCTTCCTTTCTGATCCTATCCTATCCTTCCTATCTACCCTTGCTTCGTATCCTCTCCTTCCTATCCTTCTTATACTATCCCTTCTTCCTATTCTATTCTATCCTTCTTTCCTATTCTATCCTATCGTTCCTTCCTATTCTATCCTATCGTTCCTTCCTTTTTCATCCATCCATCCATCCATCTTTTGCTGGATGACTTAGCTTATTTTGGATGACTTGGCTTATTATGGATGACTCGGCTAAAAAAAAGTCTAGATCTGGAGTCTGAAATTGAACTCGTTCAATTTCCAAAATCTAGTTTATTTTACATTTTTCTGTACAATATTGTTTAATCTGTTCCTTGTTTGTTATAGCTGCTCAATATTTTTCATCAAATCTATGTCACAATGTTGGCAGAATCACAACAAATTAGCCTTGAATTCAACAGTATAAGAACCTATGTACAAATAATACAAAAGCAGGTCGTGTTGGTGATGTTAGAGTTAACTTTGATTTGTTATTTTCCAGGTTTTGCCATAGCTACATTATTCATAGGTTTCCTTATAAGGATGGTGGCTGCATTTGTTGCTGTAACTTGTGCCCCATTCTCTTGGAAGGAGAAATTCTTTTTGCCATTTGCCTGGTTCCCAAAGGCCACAGTACAGGTAAACATTACCCTGAGGCACATAGTCTTGTAGTATTATGCTCTGAAAAGGACACATCAAAGGTCCCTAACCAGGGAGGAAGGGGTGGCCTAAAAATCTTTCAAAATCATGCAGTTTTTCACCATTCTGAGCACTTTTAAAGTGATTTTGGGCCAAAATGGTCAAATGTGAACTCCCCTGGAATTTTCTTGGCAAAAAGCTGGCTAAGAGTATGTAAATATACATTAGGGAATGTATTCAGGAGAAATAGATATACAGTTTTGAAGGTGATTAGATCTTAATGACCATCTGAAATATGAACCAGGTGTTATGTTACTTTTCAATACATACTGAAATAATGAGTGGATCGAGTTGCCTTCTGGCCTTAAGGATAATGCCTATGTCATACCAGGTTATGTAATAAGCACTGTTCATATCACTATGGATCGAATTGCCTTCTTGCCTTAAAGGGTGACGCATATCGTTTAGCAAATCGAACGCTCGTTTCTGGTGTTGCTCACCGTTTAGTATAAAAGGCCCGATCCCGGAATAATACTCAAGGGTTCACAGGTTCGAGATCGTTGTGTCAACACCTCTAACTGTTATATAGCATAAGTATATTATAGATCGTCACATATTTATAAAACGGTGATTTTTATTTTGACAAATCAATTCCATATTTATGGGTGAAGTTTCAGGATCTTCTATTTGTGTATAATAAGGAAAAATCGACATCTAAATTTCCCCATAAAGTAATAGCACAAAGCTTGGTATATGAAATATCCTACAAATGAAACAAAGCAGTTCTAATACAAGGATTTATATTGGCTGTTGTACATATTCTTTGAACGCAATCACTCTATGGATAATGTTTTCAAAATCAATATAAACGGATTACTTTATCTCAAAGACAATTTCAATAAACTGGATTTTACAGAACTCCCCTTATTTTTTTAAAATGGACTGATCCAGTCAATTCGCCTGGAGCCGCCATATTGTTTTTTATACGGGATGCTTATCGGAACCCTTTAAGGCCAATGCTAATCATTCTCCAAGACACTACTTAAGCAAATTGACAGGTTCTTTTAATCAAAGTATTTTTTTAAGACGTGTAACAGTCAAAGAAGTTAAAAAAATCATTGACAATTTAAAAGATTCAGCAGCAGGATATGATGAGATTAAGCCAATAACGGTTAAGAATTCAAATGACATGTTCATTCCTCCTTTACTTCATTTGACCAATCTTTCTCTTTCAACTGGTGTCTTTCCAGATCAATTGAAAATAGCCAAAATAATTCCAATTTACAAAAAGAATGACCAAAGGTACTTCAATAATTACAGGCCAATATCACTTTTATCAGTTTTTTCTAAAATATTTGAGAAAATTATGTATAATAGAGTTGTTGAGTTTATTGAAAAATTCAAAATTATCTGTGTCAATCAGTTCGGATTTAGAAGGAATCGATCTACTTGCCTAGCTATTTTAACTTTCTTAGAAAATCTAAGGAAAGCTATGGAGAATAAACATTACAGCTTAGGGATCTTTCTGGACTTAAGCAAAGCTTTTGATACGGTTGATCATGATATACTACTTACTAAACTGAATTTTTATGGCTTCCATAGATCCTTGGACTGGTTCAAAAGTTATCTCAGTAACAGGAAGCAAACTACTTTTTTTGACCATGAGTACTCTAGTATGAAAACAATACAATGTGGTGTCCCTCAGGGATCTATTTTAGGTCCTGTACTCTTCATCCTTTACATTAATGACCTAATCTCGACTAGCAATTTATTCAAATATGTAATTTTTGCCGATGATACAAATATCCTATGCTCTGACAAAAATATTCATACTTTAATTGACAAAGTTAATAATGAACTAAAAACTGTTGATGATTGGTTCTGTGCAAACAAGCTCTCATTGAACATTGATAAAACAAACTTTATGGTTTTTACAACTTCCCAAAACAGGGTACCAGATAATATTTTAATCAAAATAAGAGACTCTAACATTACTCGTGTTTTTTCAACAAACTTCCTTAGTGTTATAATTGACCAAAATTTAAATTGGAAGGAACATATTCGTAAAATTGGATTAAAAGTTTCAAAAACCATAGGTATTCTTTTTCGAATAAAACATAAACTTAACCTGAAATCATTAATGAATATCTACTACTCACTTATTTACTCACACTTACAATATTGCATCCCAGTCTGGGGTGGGACAGGAAAGACATGCATTGATATTTTATTAAAGTTACAGAAAAGGTTTGTCCGTTTAGCTACTAATAGTGAATATAATAAAGCACCATCATCACCTCTATTTCAAACATTAAACATATTGAAGATAAATGATATTTATAAACTCAATGTTCTCACCTTTACTTATAAATGCATCACGCGACCAGACAATTTTCCTAATGATTTATTTTGTAATTATTTTCAAGTAAATCAACACATACATGACCACAATACAAGACAGACGGACAACCTACATATTTTCAAATTTAGAACCAACTATGGCAAAAGAAGCATTAAGACTCAAGGGGGAATAATCTGGAATTCAATTCCAGATTACATCAAAAATTCCAAAAGCTTTTTGACTTTAAAGCAAACTTTCAAAAGACATGTAATCGGTCTCTATGATTAGTACTCTGTACTACCTTTAAACAGGTGCACCTTTATTTATTTATTCGTTTATCTATCTTACACCATTCAAATGTTATTTTATCCTTAATAATTAGACTGTTTACCAGTTTGGCTTTCATACCATATCTTATATTTTGACTTCATATATTGTAATATCAATAATAAATGTACCTTTAAATGAAAAATTTCTCATGATTTATAATGTAATAATATGCTACAAATATTTTAGCTTGTGATAAACAATACACTCTCTGGAGTGTCTTTTATCAGTTTTATGTAAATGTGTTTATATGATTTTAATAAATAAAAAAAGAAAGAAAAAAGAAATGCCTATGTCATACCAGGTTATGTTATAAGCACTGTTCATATCACTATGGATCGAATTGCCTTCTTGCCTTCTTGCCTTATAAGCACTGTTCATATCACTATGGATCGAATTGCCTTCTTGCCTTAAGGCCAATGCCTATGTCATACCAGGTTATGTTATAAGCACTGTTCATATCACTATTGCCTTAAGGCTTATGCCTATGTCATACCAGGACAGTAACCAGGTTATGTTATAAGCACTGTTCATATAACTATTGCATTGTCATAATTAGACTCCAGATTGAAAATCTGGAGTCTATTGTTTTTGCCTGTTTTCTTATTATTCTTTTTTCTTCCTCCTCACCAAATTTCTCGTCAACTATAACAACTTACTTAATCCAACTTACATGGTTAACTAACGACTGTATCCGGCTTTCTGGGAAATTAGGTCAAATTTTTATCTAGGTCAAAGGTCAAGAACTAGGTCAAATCTTACATTTTCAACATTTTTCATCATATCTTCGTCAATATTCTTCGTAACTCCTAAATCTTTTTTTCATCATGTAGCTTAGAAAGAGCTCTTTCATAAGTGTGCCAACAGATTTTTGATTACTCTTACCGATTTTGGGATATGGCGTCCGGAAAGTAGGTCAGACAAGAAATTCTCCAAATTCAACATATGAGTTATGGAATAAGTGTAGAATGATCTCAGGAATCCAAATCTGCAAACCAAATTTCGATTCGGAAGTTATGGCATTTTGAAAGCTCAAAAATCGCTAAATTTGGTGCCCATGTTAAGTCAATGGGAAAAAGGATTTTTTTGAAGTGAAAAATACGACATATAGACTGAGTTCAGCTAAATATAATGAAAGCTTTTAAAAGAAGGGGACCTCAAAAGCCATCTAGCTTGAAAATTTGGACACCAAAATGCCTAGGTCAAAATCTAGGTCAAATTCATAGTTTTTCCTTATTTTTGCGATTCTGACATTACACTTTAATTATATTCTTCGAAATTGTGTATACATGTAGCCAAGATTGTGCTAATAGTGTTAGCCTTTTGCCGTGAGAAAGTATTTTGACCCACTTTTGAGATATGGTGTCCGAAAAGTAGGTCAAAATAAAAAGTTTTCCAAATTTAACGTATGAGTTATGAATTAAGGGTAGAATTTTCTCAGGAATCCAAATCTGCAAACCAAATTTCGATCCGACTTCCCGTTCGGAAGTTATGGCATTTTGAAAGCTAAAAAACGCTAAATTTGGTGCCCCATGTTAGTCAATGGGAAAAAAGATTTTTTTGAAGTGTAAAATACTAAATATAGACTGAATACAGCTTGAGATAATGAAAGCCTATAAACGAAGGGGACCTCAAAAGCTACCTAGCTTTAAAATTTGGACACCAAAACGCCTAGGTCAAAATCTAGGTCAAATTTATAGTTTTAACTTATTTTTGCGATTTTGACACTACACTTTAATTATTTGCTTCCAAATTTTGTAGACAGGTAGCAAAAAGTGTGTTAATAGTGTTAGCCTTTTGCCGTCAAAAAGTATTTTGACCCACTTTTGAGATATAGTGTCCGAAAAGTAGGTCAACATGAAAGGTTCTCCAAATTTAACGTATGAGTTATGAATTAAGGGTAAACTTTTCTCAGGAATCTGAATCTGCAAATTAAATTTCAATCCAACACCCAATTTAGAAGAAATGGCGTTTTGAAAAGTTAAAAAATTGCTATTTTGATATCCTATGTTATGTCAATAGGGCAGCAGAAGATTACAAATTTTAAATATACGAGATACTGACAGAATGAAAATACAATTAATGGAAGCCTATCATAGAATAGGTCCTCAAAAGCTACCTTAATTCAACATTTGGACACTGAAAAGCCTAGGTCAAGAACTGGGTCAAATCATACATTTCTAACATAATGTCAATTATCTTTGTCACTATTTGTCGTTATTCCTTTATCTTTTTTCATCATGTAGCTTAAAGACAGCCCTTTCACTATTGTTCTGTCTTTTTTTGATTACTTTTACCGATTTTGAGGAATGGCGTCCGGAAAGTAGGTCAACACAAAAAGATCTCAAAATTCAATGTATGAGTTATGACACAAGCGTAGAATTTTCTCAGAAATCCGAATCTGCAAACCAAATTTCGATCCAACTTCTGGTTAGATAGTTACAGCGGTTTGAAATCTCGAAAAGTCGATATTATTATGTCCCCATGTTAAGCCAATGGAGTCGAAGATAACCTACTTAAGAGTTGTCTGAATGTCTATATTCTAGATGACTCAGCTTATTCTGAATGTCTCAGCTTACAGTATTTGGATGACTCAGCTTAAAAAAAGTGTGAAATCTGGAGTCTTAAATTGAACTTGTTCAATTTACATGTCTAGTTATTTGTGCTACATAAGGCACAGTTGCCAAGCAACAATTGATCAGTAGGGCCCAGTAGGGAAATTGACCATTGATGAGGTTATAAAAATAAACTGGAGACTTACATGTCTTAGAGTACAGTGTTCAGGGTGTCAAAAAATATAATTTCACAGATCTACAGCTGATTCTTAGTAGTTGGTGTGACCACCAATTGCTACTCAAACAGCAGCTTTTCTGGACGGATATGATGTCAATAAGAATTCAGATAAAAGTGTAGCATTGCAATTTGCATAATCCTCTAAGCACTTTCCTCACATTCTTCAGAAATACATCCTCACTGTATCTTTTTTCAAGAGGCTCTTCGTCCATCAGTTCCTATACCCTCTTTTTCAGAACTGAACCCATATGTTCAGTGCAGTTGAAATCTGGGCTAATTCTTTCATATTCCACTTTCTGAAGATTTGACCTTTAATCATTCATGAGTGTTGCAAGATGTGGATTGAATATGACACCCACCTTTTAATCCAGGTGTACCTGCAAAGGAATGAATATTTAGAGCAAATCTTGTAATGCTCATAAACAAATATGGCGTCGGACGTGATTGTGAACGGCTCCGGAATATCGGATCTAGACCCATGTATGGAACGTCTCTTGGCCCAATGTGAGGCTATTCCTCGATATGAAATAGCAGAGAATCTAAATATGGATTATGATGATGCTGCTCTCGTCGAAGGGCGTGAAATATTGTTTAAAATGGCAATGAAAAAATTGGACTCTAAATGTGAGGAAATATACGGACCAACTTCTGCCCGGGGATCTGAGCAAACGTTGGAGTTGAAACTAAAGAAGCGCACTGGTGACAGTAAGAAGATAAGTGTATGTAATGATATATATGAACTATACATTTATGTGAGAAACTTAGTGACTGATTTTCCACGGTGTGTACTTGGATCTTCAAGTAAAATTCCCGAACTTGTAACCCTTTCAAGTCAAAGACAGATCCGTCCAAATATCGTGATTCAACCCTCCCTCTTGGACCTTTCTGCTAAGGTTACTGAACTTTCTATGGATTTACGTAAGATGAGTTCCGAAAATGAGAAGATAAAGAATGATTTACAGAGTAAAATAAAGAGACTGGAATGTGAGGTTACAACACTAAAGGAAAAAGTGGGACAACTGCAAGGTAGAACATGTACGCATAATCTAGCCAATAAAGCTAACGCTTCTGTGCAGGCCGGTGTTACAAGCAATGACTTCGAAAATAATTCGATTATTTCTGAGCCAGTAAACCCGCAAGCTTCGAATCAATTGGTATTAAGGCCACGATGTCAACAAACCATTGTAACTAATACTACTCAGCCCTGTCGGATGCCAAATGCGAACTCGCGCATTAGAAAAACATCTGAGGTCACTAAGACCTTGATTGGTAATTGTGACTCACATTCTGTGCCCTTATCAACACCAGATATAACTGCTAATATACCGCAAGCAGTAGGGGTCGATTCGAACGCGAATGAAAAACAAGATGGCGATATAGCGCAAACCACATCGGAATCACATGATAGGGTTGTAAATGATGCATTGCGCAACGTAGACGCTCAGCTTCTAAATCAAGATAAGAATGATCATTTATCTAGTGACCTCCCCGAAAATGATTGGTCAAAAGTGACATCAAAACGACGGAAGAGACATTTAACGGCACCTGCTGTCAATACGACAGTCGTGGAAACTACGCCGATATCCTATGCTAATGTGGTCTCAAATTCGAAACCCAAATTATCAACGAATGCAAGGAATCAGCTGATTAACAAGGCAAATTCTACGTTGAAACCTGCTCGCTCACTTCGAGGTGTTTCTGCTGTTAAACATGTAACACTTTATGTTGAGAACATAGCAAAGGATAGATGCGAGTCAGATAACGACATCATATTACAAATAAAAGACCATGCCACCTCGCATAACATATGTATTAACAAATGCTGGGTTGTAACAAATAAATTCAACAATAATCGTGTCGGGTGTAAGATTACTGTTCCTGTGACCTCTTTAAACAAAGCACTCGATCCGAACACATGGCCTGATCCAATCCATTGCAGGAAGTGGGAGTATAATCGTAAGAAAAATACGAGATCGTACCGGTCTTTCAAGAGAGACGTAGACGGACAAGACAGTGATGACCGAATATCTCATAACAATGACAGTATTGACTATGAAGACATATATGAATCTACAAATGAGTACTTTAGGAAATCTGTATGGGAAATGGATGGCAATAACTTTGTATTCAATGACAAGTATGAGTCTTAAGTCCTTAACTATTACAGCTTGGAATGCCAATGGTCTAAGTGCCTCATCCCCGTATCTCAAAACGTTATTGTCCATTTCTGATATCATGTGTTTGAGTGAACATTGGTTGTACGAAAGTGCTCTAGACAAACTAAATAACTTTGATCCACTTTTTGACTGTTATTCAGTGAGCAGTAAAACACTAGACTCACTTGACCAAGGACATCAGATAGGCAATGGAGGAGTCGCCATCATGTGGAGGCGATCTCTCTCTAAACAGATTTTCCCGCAAAAGAAACTAAGTTCAAGTGATAGATTTCTTGTTGTTAAGTTTGTACAACCAAATGCACGGTCTATTTACATAATATCTGTATATATGCCACAGCGCAATTGTAAAAACTATGTTTTTTCAGAGGTCTTAGATGAGCTTGAAGGTGTTGTATCAGCATTGAAAGATGACGGCGATATTGTAATCATCGGTGACTTTAATGTTAATTTAGGGCGTCATTATGGCGTCAGAGGATCTGGTGTGATAAGTAGGAATGGTGTTATGTTAAGTAACATGGCGTTGAGATGTAATTTAGTAATTTCTGATTTAACTGAAAAATGCTCAGGCCCAGAGTATACCTACTATAGAGAAAATGTTGGAAAGTCTTACATTGATCATTGTTTAATTTCTGAAAACTGTAATGTTGTGCATGCTAAAATTCTAGAAGAAGATTTTTTGAATAATTCAGATCATTTACCCTTGCAGGTTGCTATTGAATCATGTCTTACAACGCCAATCACTACTCCCTGTAACGTAAGTGCCAATATCACCAAACCAGCGTGGAACAAGATTGATATGAGGGACCTGATCGAAAACTATACCAGTGTAGTGGATGACCGTTTGACACCTTTGATGGAGCAAGTGAATAATATGAAAGGGTTAATGACACCCAATGACATAGACAATATTTTTGATAGAATAACTGAATTACTTAAGACTATAGCAGATCGAGCTATTCCTAAGTCACGCTACAGAAAGCATCTTAAACCTTATTGGTCACAAGTTCTGAAAGTTTTGTCGAATGATAAGAAATCAGCGTTCCGTATATGGAAACAACAAGGAAGACCTAGAGATCCAGGAAATGATGCTTGGATATGTTATAAGACAGCAAAGCGTGACTTTCGTAGAGAATTAAGAAGAGCTGAAGTAGCGTATGAAATTGAATGCCAGAATGAAATTGATGGTGCTTCAGATATCAGTATGAAACGATTTTGGTACCTAGTTAAGCAACGCAGAAGGAAAAGTGGTACATCATCAGCAATTAGAAGTGACACAGGTGAAATTTTAACTGAGGATCAAGCGATAAGGAGTGAGTGGATGGACTATTTCAGTCGACTTTTATCCCCTACAAATGATGACAGCTATGACTCGGATCATGAGCAGTATGTTTCCAAGAGAGTAGACGAAATGGTACTTGAGAGCGTGTTTAATGATGATAATTCTTTTGCTGAACCTATAAGTGTTGAGGAAATGGAGAAGCTAATTAGCACCCTGACAAAGAACAAAGCTACAGGGTGGGATGGGATAAGCGCAGAACACATTCAACATGGAGGTAGGGTTCTGCTCCAGTTGCTTACAGAGCTATTTAACCAAATTATTAAGGTAGAATATATTCCTGAGAGTTTTAAGCTTGGACTATTAGTTCCTATATTTAAAGGAGGAAACAAAGATAACCTTGATAAGGACAACCACAGAGGCATCACCTTGATAGTTGCATACATGAAAATCTTAGAAAAGCTAATGGTTACAAGAAGTGAAAATGTTAAGTTATCCGAAAAGATCTCAGATTTGCAAGCCGCAAATAAGAAACATACATCCTGCCTTCATACATCCTTCTTAGCAAGAGAAGCTATTAGTCATGGACTGGAAAATGGTGAGGACGTTATTGTTGTGTCAGCTGACATCCGTAAAAGTTTCGACAGTGTGTGGCACGCAGGCCTGTTGTACAAAATGTTTAACTTGGGTGTCAATGGAAAACTATGGAGACTTTTGCGTTTATGTTATATGGATTATAAATGTGCAGTTAGATGTAGCTCAGATGGTGTTCTTTCCGAAAAATTCAACATATCACAAGGCGTACACCAAGGGGGTATTTACTCTATGGAATTGCATTCGTTATACATGAATAGATTAATACTTGATATTGTCAACTGTGGAAAAGGCTGCACGATAGGTGACATTGTGTGTACATGTCCGACCTATGCTGACGACATGGTCATTATAGGATACCATAAAAACTCTGTACAATTTGTTCTTGACACAATGCATGAATATAGTAAACTTTGGAGGATTAAATTCCATCCGAAAAAATGCCAAGTGGTTGTCTTTACAAAGAAGAAGACCCCAACCGCACCCATTGAACTAAAAATTGGAGAAAGCGTGATACCGGTCGTGACGTCTACGCAACACGTTGGCTTACCCCTGTCTGCCCGTAACAGTAACAGGGAGCTGGTAGATGACAGGATTTCTAGAGCTCGAAGGTCCATTAACGCATACGTTGGGACGACAACAAGCTGCACAGACCCCACAAACCCACTCACTGCGTCCAAATTATATTGGGCTGTAAGCGTCCCCTCGATGACTTTTGGCATGGAACTGGTCCACCTTAATGACGTTGAATATGAGGTCTTGGAACAGGGACACCGCAATATTGCGAAAAAATTACAGGGTCTCCCAGTGAGCACACCGAATGTTGCAATTCTACCACAACTTGGCTGGCATAGCATTACAACAACTATTATTATCATGAAGATGATGTTTCTTCTACAGGTGTTATCCATGACCCTTGGATCTGTTTACAGAAGCATCGCTATTAAACGTATGGTTGCATTCAGAGTCGGATCTAGACCGCTGAATAGTCTTTCTCCGATAAATGACATTATGAACCTTGCCGAACGGTACGGGATTACAAACTGCATATATGACATGTTGGACTCTATAGAAATGCCTTCTAAGACATTATGGAAACGCATAGTAAGCACAAAAATCCGAGATTATGACCTTAACAGATGGAAGAGAGAAGTGACCACGTATCAAAAGTTAAAACTGTACAGAGGAATAGTGCAGGATGTAAAACCTATTATATGGTGGTTGGTCGCTAGACAAGATCCAAGATACTTGAGAAGATGTGCGCTGATGGTTCGTCTTTTAACGGGACAGGGAAATTTGAGAGTAAATACTGGTGAATGGGAAGGGATCCCTTTTCAAGAGAGGCTATGCCCGCTCTGTGGAGATGAAGTCGAAACAGTAGAACACTTCACTTTATTTTGTTCAAATAATGCTGTTAATAGGAAACGCATCGAGGCCATAGTAAACACTTATTCCAGTATGAATCCTCCTATGACCACACAGGAGAAAATGATGTTGATTTTCGGAGGAGATGACCGTTTAAGTCCAAATGAACTAAAAGCAATTGCATGTGACATACGAGACATGTATCTTCAAAGAGAAGGAAACTTTTAAACTAGAACTTTTTATCGAGGTGATAATGGCACGCACATAAATCACTCAAAATCAATATGATCTATTTCATCTATTAGATTTTTTTACGCAAACATGGGAGTAGTGATTTGCGATATTGGCTATATAACATTAGTACATACAGTATAGTTACGTATACTTGATGTTCATATATCATTCACTATTATATACTTTCAATGCAATTTATGTATCCTAATTATTATATATTTATCTCCTATCTTGGAGGGAAAATAAACATAATAATAATAATAAAACAGAGCAGCAAACAAAGTACCGAAGTAGCAAACTTAAAAACAAGCTTTTTTAATATAAAGTTAAATTAAATTTGAGGAGTAACTCCAGAATTAAATTATCTTTCAAATGAGGTATGACACGATATGGGACATTCAGGACTTTTTGCTGTAGAGGGGAGTGCCTTTCTTTTTTGACACCCTGTACATGATAATGCTAAATGTACATTTATATATCTGATAAATGATATTGATAACCATTGTGGTTTTCTCTTGCATTGCAGGCTGCCATTGGTTCAATAGCTCTAGACATGGCCCAGGAACTGCCTGACTCCAACCCAGACAAGGCTACCAAGGTCACACTTGGACTTCAAATTCTCTCAATGGCTGTCCTCGCCATCTTATTTACAGCACCACCCGGAGCCACTGCCATTAAACTTGCTGGAACTCGACTTCTTAAACTACCTCATGACACTGATAGTGCTAAAAATGTACCTGATTGTGATAATGTTAAGACTGATAAAGAGAAAATATCTTTAAGTGAAAATGAATTGGAAGAGAATGTGTGATCATTACAGTATTGTGTTATTGTTGACTCTCATGGTACATCTATGGAATCTCTTATTTGTCCCTCCATCAGTCAGTTAATAATTTTGGACAATTAAAAACTACTATTTTATGAGCTAATGTGCAATTGTTCCAATTCCTACATTTTCCAATTTCGGAAAAATGTACTTTTTTCACCATGTGAGCTCAGTAAATGGTGCCATTTTTAGTTTTTTTTGATTTAGATTTAGTAATTGTATATGTATAGATGAAAATTTATTTATGGACCACTTGCCATGTTATTTTTACATATATCTTCAAAAAGAAACTGTCAAAGTCATTTTACTTTCTGTCTCTGAGAAACTCTGTTCTCATAACCCATTGATTTAAATAAAGATGGCATGGTAATCGATGTGTGTTTATAAATATTCTCTTGAGAAAAATATATTACTGGATTCTGTTGGTGCTGCCATCTTTATATCGGCCCAGAAACTATGGATTTAAATGTACACTCTGTATGATAATTTTCAAAATTTTGTTTTTATGTTCACATGAGAATTCTTCGTGGGATCAGTGCAAGAAATGAAAATAAATAATTTTAAAACACGAAATGATCTTCAGTTCGTCTCTATAAACAATGTGAGTTACAAATAACGCATATAATGTATTCACAATTGTTTTTCCAAAAGTTTTGTAGCAGGCACAACCAACATATTGTAGAAACCATAATATTGTAGGTACACACAATAAACTGATTGTTCAAATCCAAAATCATGACATTGCAGCAAGCTCATTCAACACACAGTTCTTAATTTGGTATTATAGCAAGCACAATCAACACACAGTTCTAAACCTTGATATCAAGCACAATCAACACACAGTTCTAAACTTGATATTATAGCAAGCACAATCAACACACAGTTCTAAACTTGATATCAAGCACAATCAACACATAGTTCTAAACTTGGTATTATAGCAAGCACAATCAACACACAGTTCTAAATTTGATATCAAGCACAATCAACACACAGTTCTAAACTTGGCATTATAGCAAGCACAATCAACACACAGTTCTAAACTTGATATCAAGTACAATCAACACACAGTTCTAAACTTGGTATTATAGCAAGCACAATCAACACACAGTTCTAAACTTGGTATTTTAGCTAGCACGGTCAACACACAGTTCTAAACTTGATAGTAAGCACAATCAACACACAGTTCTAAAGTCAGTATAGCAAGCACAATCAACACACAGTTCTAAACTTGGTATTATAGCAAGCACATTCAACACACAGTTCTAAACTTGGTATTATAGCAAGCACAATCAATACACAGTTCTAAAGTCAGTATAGCAAGCACAATCAACACACAGTTCTTCTAAACTTGGTATTATAGCAAGCACATTCAACACACAGTTCTAAACTTGTATTATAGCAAGCACAATCAACACACAGTTCTGATCTTGGTATTATAGCAAGTACAATCAACACACTGTTCTTCTAAACTTGGTATTATAGCAAGCACAATCAACACACTGTTCTTCTAAACTTGGTATTATAGCGAGCACAATCAACACACAGTTCTAAACTTGGTATTATAGCAAGCATAATCAACACACAGTTCTAAATTTGCTATCAAGCACAATCAACACACAGTTCTAAACTTGGTATTATAGCAAGCACAATCAACACACAGTTCTAAACTTGGTATTTTAGCTAGCACGATCAACACACAGTTCTAAACTTGGTATTATAGCAAGCACAATCAACACACAGTTCTAAATTTGATATCAAGCACAATCAACACACAGTTCTAAACTTGGTATTATAGCAAGCACATTCAACACACAGTTCTAAACTTGGTATTATAGCAAGCACAATCAATACACAGTTCTAAAGTCAGTATAGCAAGCACAATCAACACACTGTTCTTCTAAACTTGGTATATAGCAAGTACATTCAACACACAGGTCTAAACTTGGTATTATAGCGAGCACAATCAACACACAGTTCTAAACTTGGTATTGTAGCAAGCACAATCAAAACATATTTCTAAACTTGGTATTTTAGCAAGCACAATCAACACACAGTTCTTAACTTGGTATTATAGCAAGCACAATCAAAACATATTTTTAAACTTGGTATTATAGCTAGCACAATTGAGACACAGTTCTAAACTTGGTATTATAGCAAGCACAATCAACACACAGTTCTAACCATGGCATTATAGCAAGCACAATCAACACTCCCCTAACAATTAACCTATGTTTAAACAATCTTTTTGTAGCAGGCACAATAACACACTCGTAGTATTGTAATATGTATAATCAACACGCTGTCCAAACCACAGAATGGTAATAAGCACAGTCAACGTGCATACTGCTCAAATCATGGTATTGTAATATGCACAATCAACATACTGCCCAAACCATGGTATTGTATATTGCAATAAGCACAATCAAGACACTTCAAACCATGGAATGGAGGAAAGCACAATCAACACACCGTCCAAATCATGATATTGTACCATATTATTGCCCAAACTATGGCTATGTAGTATGCACAATCAAGACACTGTCCAAACCACAGTATGGAAGGAAGCAAAATATCAACATACTGACTAAATTGTGGAATTGTAATGTGCACAATCATCACATAATAATACAATAATAAGCACAATCTTCACACTTTTCAATTATGGTAGTGGCCCTCTGAGCAGGCCTACGCGGATTTGTAGATGCTTTCAGCAAGCTTCAAAGTATACGTGTTTTTGCTTTGTTTGTGATTAGATAGATGTCTACTACAATCATGATTACAATCAATAGGACAGGTTCATCTTTGTCATTTGATTGTCTTCACGGATTGTCTCATAAGATAGCCTTTGATTGACTCATGCCAACATCTTATTTAAAACTTAATTTCTAACAGTTGATTCATTGTAAAGGTTGTTGAAATATTTGTTTTGACCCCGGTTTTGACATCACCAAAGAACATGTACAATTGTACATCGGGTGATTGTGCCTATTTGTTGTTGTGTTGCCAGACACTCCAAGAAAACTAAATACGGAATGCTCTTTCTCATTTGCATAAAACTAATATGGCTGAAATTGGAGATGATACACTTTGATTTTGTGCATTTAGGAGTATATAGTCACAATCGGAGCCTTAAATAAAGTAAGTTATATTTCAGTAAATCAAATATATGTTTTGTTTGAATCGCTATTCATGTATTATTACCGATGATCGAGTTTACATCATTTTTCATCGATATTCTCATTTCTACTCAAATTTTTAATGTTTTTTTTCCATCTTTTCTAAGAAACAACACTTTTGGTTAGTCACACAGCAAGTCATTCAAATCGAATTCTTTTGGATTCATTTTTGACTTTGCAACTCATTTCGAGATCTCTCCAGCCGAAGGCAGCCGCACAGTAATCGCAATAGGGACTACAGTTGGGGACAAAAATAAATGACAGGTCGATTTTCGATCACCATTTCCTAATTATGGTGGTCTGAAAGCCCATAATTTCCAATATTGTCTAGATACATATCCCTTAAAATTTGTATATTTTACATTTTGTATAATCGCATCCACTGATTTATGGCCTCTTGTAAATTCTCTTATTTTTAACATGGGAAATCCTCACTTCAGCAAATCCACCTGTCATTTATTTATGTCCCCAACTGTACCTTGCGAGAGAGCTCGATCCCTTGATCGTGACAAACAAAACAAACAAGCATTCGATTCGATGTTTTGTTCAGTCCCTCGCTCTTTGGTTTTTGATGGGCCAGGGCTAGGCAACTTTTTTACTTGGAGATCATTTGGAGGCATTTGCTGCATTTCCTTGTTAGTAAGCTGCTATCGAGATGCTAATAGATCTAGGCTAGGGAAATAAGGATTGATGGACATCTTGATTTCTCAGTTTGAGTCACCAATTAGAGGAGTCTTAAACCTGCATATGAGGTGACCATGTGACTCCCTGGATACGTGAAACTGAAATAGTGGTGCAACTCGAATGCCAGTACTCGCCACTCACTCGTTGAACCTGTCCAAGATAGTTACTCGAGTACGTTTTTTTCAAACTCGAGTAGGCATTGAATTCCCAAACAACGATCTCATACCCCGGGAATGATCATTTTTGGATGCACTGAACGAAACAAAGTATCGATTCCGGAAACAAAATGAAAATATTTAAAAACAAACAAACAAACACAATTATGGCATGAATAACTACATTTATTCTCACTAAATTGATACAAACTATATATAACATCAATAACATATAGAAGAAACGAAAAAATTGTATCTATTTGGTCTTCAAACAGTCGACTAGGTGAGTTTTTTATTTTTAAAAATTTTTCCCTCATTTTTGCGAGTGGTACTCGATTACAGTGGCATTTTCACACTTTCTACTCGAGTAGCATTTTTCTTGCGAGTTGCACCACTAAACTGAAAGACCAAATATCCATCTAGTAAAAAGAGCAGGGATGAAACCTGAGGGGTCATTATATTACACATTACACAAAATGTGTAGCCTTAACCAAACAAATAAGGTATCAAGGTTAAACTTGCTTGTTTTACCACAAAATGATTGGACTTTGCAAAGAGTCAATCAAATATATATGATAAACATAACGTTTGCCTCATAGATACATTAAAATATTGGCTTTCAATCAGCCCTTTCAACACCCAACTTTGAAGACCTATGAAACCAAATATACATGCTTTTTACGTAACATCATTATTCAGAAATTTCTAATCTGGAGTTTTTTCGAGTATGGTTGAATATCTAACGAGTAAGTGTTGAAGTTACTCCACTTCTCTTGTAGAATTTAACCCTATAGCATAGGAGAAGATTTGTAATGATTATGATTCTTCTTCTTAAACTGAACCCCTTGGCAAAAGCAGGCGATAGGCCTGAGCACTATATCATTAGATGATTTTGATGTGAAATATTTGTATTTGATCTTACATCTGGTGACGAGACTAAACATAAGATATACTTCATATGGCCTTAGATGAAATTAGAACTTTGTACGAGTATAATTCATCAGGTTAAGCAAAAATTATGGTGAGAATACTGTTTATAGGCAGAATCAGATCTATAGGGGTGACAAAATTACAAGCAACATGCATAATTGACCTACCAATCTATTCCTTGCAATATCAAATACAATATCTCCCAAAAGATTCACAATATGTTATAAATTGGTGAAGTTATCAATGATTCAAAGTGCAAAAATGGGTGAAAAATGTTTAAATTCTCCAAAATAATAAGAATGGTAACCATTCTTATAGAAAAATAATACATTATTGAAAAAATCTTTCATTTTCCTGGAATAAAGTATGCACTTTTGTGATTTTTAGAAAATAGACATGAAAAGGAATGACATGAGCCAAAAATATTCTAAAATTGAAACAATTTTTTGTTTAGCCTGCTCGCTATCTCTGATTCTTTCTTTAAGTAATATTACATGCTAAATGCAATACCTTTCTTTCCATGTTAAAAGCTAAGCAATGATCTCCATGTTAAAATCTCAACTATTAATTGTAAGTACTAACTTGACTTAAGACTATCATCTGGTACTAAACTCAGTTATTGGTTATCGATATGTCGTATAAAACTGAAAGTGTTACTTCATGACATTTACAGTGAAAATATTATTTCAATTGATTTCATGCTCTAATGTAAGTCTAGTATTTTAATAGGTAGATGTTTAATCACAAATTACAGGATTATAAACCATACATAGTGATGATTAATTGAGTCGCTCTACAATAAATGACTATTTTTCAATTCTGGTAACACTTGTCTATTCAACACCTCTCAAATCCGAACACCTCTCAATGTAAACACTTTCTAAATCCCAGTTTTGAAATGTGAACACTTTGCGAATCTGAAAACTATTTTGGCCAGTCCCAAATGAACTTTGAATTCGACAGGTTAAATGTGCGTATTGATTGTTGTATTTTCATGATCCACCAGTATACATGTACAATGGCTAGTTATCAGGAGATGGTATAGCTACATATATAAACATCATACTGTGATAAGTAATCTAGATCTTGTTGCCCTGCCCAATATACCTATTTTTGAATCAGACTTGAACTTGCCATAAACCTCCAAATATTTTGCATTTAACACCATCCTGATTTATTAGTTTCTCTGCTTCAGTATTTACGTGAATCACGTGTTCATTAGTACCTTAGTCACTTTTCATATTTGAGGATTGAATCGTTTATTTTGACATGAACTTATTGACATAAACCTCCCATGTTGATATTGGGCACTGTTATGATTTATCACTCCCAGTCTTTATCTAAATGACGCCTGTTCTCCATTAAATAGTGTATTTTATAACCTTTGGATCCTACAATGGTTGAACCATGATTCTGAAATCTCAAAATTCTCAATAATGTATACTATTGATTTCATGAATTAATGACAGATCTTCACTAAAAATCAATATTATGAAGTAATTTTCCATGTTGTAATTAATGGTAAGTCAAATTATACTTTTAGACCAAAGGAATATATTATAAACAAATCTAGTTTAAGTGTAAAGAACATACAGAGTCAATTTGTTAAATACCTTTGAAGTATAGTTCTGGAATGATACCAACAATACAAATAAATGCAAAATATGCTACAAAATATTTCAATCAGTGTTACATGTTCGTTTCACGAACGTCTAGAAATATGAAGTGCTCTCGACAGAAACCTTTCTTGGCCAAGATTCTGCAGGACTTTGTAATTCTTTGTAATTCACAAATGGACAGATTTGATTTTACATATTAAACATATAGTTAAAGGCCATTGGTGGTGGGGGTAGGGCAGCTAAACTGCAAAACTGTCCAATTTATTCAGAGGAAAAGAAACAACTTCTCTCAGGGTAATGAATAATCTGATTGATTGTTCTACATTCTGCAATTAGTTATCATAATTTATGCATTATTAGCCTTCTCTGTATTGTAATGTTTACATAATGTCTGGACTTTGAACTTGATAACATGATTCATTTCAAACCCTGTTTAGTATTATAAGTTATTGGATGATTTGAAGTGTAATACAGGATATATTCTGCTTGAGAAATTCTATGTCGGAATGAGACGAAGTCGAGTGCCAATACAGAATATCGAGAGCAGAATATATCCTGTATTGCACTTGCACTTCAAATCATTCTATAACGTTTTTATCGTGTGATCCTCTGTATTGCTACTGAGATTGTCCCCTCCATACCAATATTTTCTGTATGGCATATTGACACTTTAAACACCCTTCATCCATAAGAACACACAAGTACATAACAATGAATGAAATGCCACGTAGTGTCCAGAAGTGTTTTCCTGCCAGGCAAGTGGTCTTATGATTTATCTTCCTCTGAACAAAAAGTATTTATTTTCTCAATATGAATTTAAAGTTTTGAAATTTGTTCCTTTCAGTTATTTTTATCGATCTGGAGTTATGTTTAATAGAAACCATTATCTAAGATAATAATCTCCAATTATTGATATTCTTCCGGTTGATAAACAATTCCATTAGTGTGTATTACAACATATAAGCACCTTATAAGGTTTTGATAGCATAACTGACAAGTTTCATTAACTATTAAACCTTCCATTGGCTAAATAGATAATAGAGAATCAGAGAAATGTACAATAAAACCTGTATATCGGAACACCTCTCTTATTCGAACATCTCTGAATGTGAACACTTTTTAACTCCAAATTTGTTTTCTCATTGACTTACATGTTTATAAAACCTTGAAATGTGAACACCTGCTAATCTGAACACTTTTGGCTGGTCCAAGAGGTATTCAGATTAGACAGGTTTCACTGTATTCTAGGTCAACACATTCATTGAACTGCAGAAAATGAATGAGCCATTACAATGATAAATTGTTATTGTAAAATTGATTAAGTAATATAAAATAGGCACTTTGTTCCCTGATTGGAATTTAGATACATTTCCATAAATCTGTGAATGTACTTTGCTGGGGATGCAGACACTCTGCACATCTTTGTATTTTGCTAACAAGCAAGAAAACTCAAAAGTCAATTTGTTAACAACATTGTGGGATATACAACCTGAACTTTCCTTTGGAGTACTCTCTCACAAGTGTTAGATAAAGAGAGACTCTGATAAATCAGAATTTCGTTAACATGCAGTAGCCTTTTGGAGTGATTACGGTTATTAACCCATACCCTCTTAACATTGTAAAAAGAGATAAGATATAGTGTACTTCAGTGTTAGTATTTATCTAAATTAGGAAAGTAAAGTTAGGATTTGTTATAGTCTGGTTCTTAGTGTTCATATTCAGATCATGTTTGCAATCCCTTAAATTCGCATTTTGTGCTGAACATTATTTATAATAATTTGATTTGAATTAGATGTGAATGCGAGGCTAAACAAATGCTACATTTCATTCAGGTATTAAAGTTCGTTCTTTTATAGCCAAGATATCAGGAATTTTGGATGCATTTCATCCAGGTATTACTTTAACAGTACATCCTTTTATAGCCAAGGTTTCAGGTATTTGGGCTAATGAATGTCTCTTGGGGTTAAATCTTTCAATTTTTAAACTTTACTTTTGATTCACTTTCCTTCATGTACTGTTGTAAAGAGATACATGTTACTTGTTTTCGAAATATATTTCAAGATAAAATTGCTATTATATAAACCTAGGACAATAAGGACATGCCATCTGCTTTGTATATATAATATTGTCATTCATAATTACCAGTTATGCCCGTTGCTATAGTAACAAGTTGAAATTAATATCTCTGAATAGGTTACATATGAAGTGAAAATAGAATCAATAAAATTACATAACATGTATATGATGTATAATAGAATGGTTTATTGTCAGTTACAAAACCATTACACACTTGACATCATCCTCCTAAGCAGGTGTCTAGAATCCGTACCTCCTTCTTCCCCCCTGTTGTAACCTATTTGGAAGCGCCCGATTAAACTGAATCACGTGATCTAATTATGCGCAATGACTTATACATGATTTCTGTCGCAGTGTTGCGACAGCCAATCAGATTGCGAGTTCTTAATCTGGGAAATGCTAACTGCTCATCGCAGGGGGTAAAAAAGCAAAACATATTCTGGATTTTGAAGCCCTGTGATTGGAGGATGACTGGACATTCATGCAGTGATTGTACAATTACCAGATCAGACAAGATTCTGATCATCAAAAACTAATGACAGTTCCATTATTTTAAACTTTTTGAATTATTTGAATTAAACTTATCTGTACTTATAATTGAGATATTAATTAGAATTATTACATTAAAAAAATCCTGCCTCCCAATACGAAATACAACTGCACATCAAATTCCCGACCCCCCTTTGTGTGGGGTCTTATACAAACTTTTGAATGGTGCATTATTGATATTGAATGAGATTGGGTCTACTTCAATTGAATATCATCTGACCTTGAATATAATTGATTAGTGATGCTTATTGTTTTACTAAGACAAGACCCTTTAAATATTTGCAATATTTTACTCTTATTACTATGAATCAGGAAATACCATAAGTGTTTGCTTAATTTAGTAACATGCTTTGATTTGAACATTCAGTCTGATTTCTGCAGAAATCAATAAGTGTAGTGCTGAATTGTTTTTGTTACGTACATATGTTTAGAAAGTTTTAACTGCGTATATTTGGAGTTAAACATAAATATCAACCAAATTATATGAAACTTGCATGTCAAAAACATTCAAAATAACATGTGTTTATAATATTTTAAAATCAAAACATTTAGTTTTTATCATAGTTTTCAATGTTACTCTGACATTTACTCTACTATAGCAGCTTAATATGCAAAGCAGAAAATGAAATTATTAAAAATGTAGTTTAACGAAATCTTGATACATTTCTATAAATTACATCTTTTTATAATTCTCAAGTTATATCTATAAAGCCAAACAAAAATTCAAAATCATTTTTTGTTCATCTTTTTGGCCCTTTTCTTAATTAATAGAAACTTGCAAATGAAGTTGAAGAAATCTTAATACCCCTTAACAAATTCTTTGTTTTTAATTTACTAAAATATTATTGAACAAGACAGAAATATATTTGTAATCATTGTTTGCTGACCAGGAGCCCGTAGTTACTACGGACGGTACAAAAATGGGCCCCAGTTTACTATTAACCAAAATTATTGTTTATGATAGATACATATAGATGCTGACTTATATTTATATGGTATATTTTCAGGCCCTAAAAACTATCTATAATAGAAGAAATATGCAAGCTTTAGTTCTACAAGAGTTGTGGTAAGTATCCTAGTTTTGATTATTCTGAAAACCTAAACCTGGTATAGTTTTAAATAATTTTCTGTATTTCCCAGCCAATATATACATCATCCGCTGTATAATTGTATTTTGCAATTGCAATGGTTAGTCTTGCCACAAGTCTCTTGACCCTCATCTTTCCTTTATCACAGACTTGAAACAAGACTATTCATGCTTTAGAATTGATAATGTAAGTAAGTGTAGGAGCAATCATGAGCCAACAAAATAGTTCTGAGTTCTTTGAAAGCAGACCTAAAAGATTGAATTATGCACCAGAAATACATGAGTAAATGAATGCTAATACATAATACACACGAATCTAACTGAAACTTGGGTACCAATGTTTTCCTTTTGCTGTAAAAATTTACCTCATACTGAGGTAGACTGTAGGTAGTTAGCAAGATAGTTAATTCAAAATCTTGTGGTCATATCCAAAATCTACCTGTTCAAAACTGTCAGCTAGGGGGAAAAGCTAACTGATGGTTACCAAAGCCTTTAAATTATACCAAGCACATCAATATGTTTCACACTTAGGTTATGTTAAATGTTACCCTGCGTGCAGAGTCTAATTATAAACTACCCTCTGCCTAGTATAGACTATTTTTCAGTTTAGCAGCCCCCCCCCCAAAGATTGTTGCCTGTGACAGGCTGGATAATAAATCATTCTTAATCTGCGACACTGACCCTATCTCAACCAATCAGCTAAGTGGAAGGAACATTTTGCTTAATTTGTGCTCATTAGCTATGCGGTGATGTCAGAGGAAATGACCATATATAAAGTTGTCCGTATTTCGACAACGAACTCTGATTGGTTCGGTGAGATCAGAGATTTATTGTAAACTGAAAGAATGAAGACGAAGCTCTCTTTTAAGAAGTGAAGTCGAATGAATGCAAAGGGTATGTTTTGTCTGAGTTCCAGCAAAGAAGGCTTCTGTAAATTGTTACATCGGATATTATGAAATATCAGCCTGGCAGTGGACCTTGTTCTGGTTATACATGTACTTATGTAACACATGTCTGTATATCAATTTATTATCAATAAACATGGTAAATGTGAATAAGTTCTTGTATACTGTACATAAAATGTGTAAATGCATGAAAATATTTTGTACCCATTTTAATAATAAGTCCCTTTAAAATAGACACAGACTAGACATCTAATTTTTTCTTGTAGTCTTGTATCAAGCCATTTTTCCCTTTTGTTTAATAAATAGATGAGTATGGGAAAGGACAAGAAATCCCAAGTAAGACTAATTCCATGTTCACATCTGGTTTACCAAACCCTCTCTTATCTAAGTTGGTGTGAGACCCTTATAAAAATAGGTCTCCCCTAGGGAAAGTAGGGACATCACTTTCGTCAATTTTAATTCAACATTTTCTTTTTTTTAATTTTAAGTCTGTGCTGTCAAATGTTGAAACTGATAGAAAGTATGGCCGTATCACATTGATAATTTGATGTCATCCAAGTAAAATTATGAGAATGGATGAAGTCAGATTCCTAAAATCATATTAAGCAATCAGAAACGTTTCCAATCATTATTCAGATAGGTTCAGATTAGTATGACAAGGGAATGCTTGATAGACATGTCTTTGAATGATGCAAATAGACAGCTATCAGTACAATGAGTAGAAGCTGGGGATGTATTGGGAATTGAGAACTATTTTATACGCTCAATTAGTTTGATGTTGTGCAAAATATATTGTCAGTCTTCATTTGTTGGATCTTATAGCGCAATACAGAAGCTCAGGATTTCTTGATCTATAACAGGCTGTATACTGTATAGAGATAATGTGAAAGGGTGGGGTCTCGATGTAAAACTGTTCAGCTACCTATTTTTTGTTTGAGACAACTCTGAATCGGGAAAATATTTATCGTATATCTCTATAATATGCAGTGTAGAGAGAATGTAAAGGGGAAGGGGTATGGGGTTTTGATGTAAATCTAGAATAACATGTACCAACATCGTTCTTGCTATAAATTGGTTTATTTCATGAACGCCCAGGCTTTAAAGAATGCACAGCGGGAATATGCTACATTTGATTTATCTTATCTTACATATTTTCAGGGAATAGATTCTCTTGTGTTTTCCAGTATGTTAAGTGTCTTCATCTTGCAACTCACAATTGGCGTTTACAGTCTCATGATCAATTATGATACATTCAACTCATATAACAGAATATATAATATTTCATTGAGTAAGTATAACAGCTCCATAGGCGCAAGATGGGTGCATTTGGTATAAACACACCCCCCTCTGAAACTGCCAAGATAATTTTTTTGATGAGATTCCTGTGAAACTTCATTAAAAATACTCACATTGCACCAAATAATCGACCACATAATCACATGCAGGGCCACCTATTTTCTGGAAAAATACACTCCCTTTTCTTCCATATCTCACATACTATTTAAGGGTTAGTTGATGGGGTAGGTGAGGATTAATGCAAGGTAACGAAAACACATCTTCCTTGTAGATAATAATCACCAGAGCATGTCAACACCAATTTTTACAGCTACTCAACTAAAAACAAAATTCCGAAAACTGTCTTATCAAATTTAATACTTTTGTCTGCCCTATAATTCCTATAACTAAAAAAGAAAAACAGGGATTTTCAAACACACATCATCTTCCAAAGTATCCATATCCTTGGCATATCCTTGAATGAGTTAAAGCCATATGATTTCCCTCTGAAATGCTCAAGAAATTCATATCCTTATATAATATTGCTTTAAGGATGTCTCATCGATCAAGTTATTGAGGAACGGAAGTTAGAAATCTTTCATGTTGAGTATGTCAGAACAAACTTTCCAGGTGTTACTTTCACATGATTTACTTTAGTCTTTATGTAATATATAGTAACTTTGCCATTGCTAAAGTATAGTTAGATGTGATTAATTTTGTCTGTAGCCTTACATCCAGTGACACCCCCCCTCTTTGTCATTTAGTGGCCTTCAGCAAGCTTATCCAGCTCTGAGGCATGAGAGTAGTAAAGATTTTTCTAAATCTTCAGATTAATATTTTATCCCCAATTAAACATTTATTATCCCTTGTATATAGTTTATACTAATCTGAAATTCAATAAAAAAGTTAATGAAACTGTGTAATTCTTTGGATTATTGAGTGTGTGTTGTGTCTTATTGTTTTAGCTTAGACTGTAATTAAATCTAGGATGTTTGGATTCTAGCAATATCTGTTTTGCTTTTATCGATATGAAGTTGTTGACATAGTTTGTTTGAGTATCTGTAATGTCACACCCAGTGATCGGAAGAAATGAATGAAGTGGGGGGTTGCTGATTTTCGCTAGAAAATTCAACAAATCTGGAAGATTTATTTTTTCAAGAGAAAGTTTACAATTGAATGGCTAAATAAATAAGCGCAGTACACGGGGAAATACGTTAGGTCTTCTAGGATTTTTTTGAACTGATGGACTTCTAAGATAAAAGATCTATTAAAAAGGCGCAGTGTCACTAATGTGCAAATGTCAATGTTTTTGCTATAAATCAAGCAACAATTGTCTGCACGTTCTGTAATAAATATATAAGCGACGTTTTTATCATAAAATTTATGTCATTGCTGATTTTTTAAAATAAGTTCCCAAACGTTAAAAAAATAATCGAATACAATGATTAAAATTGAATGGAGGGGGAGTGAACGGAGGGGAGGGAGTAATATGTCTTAAAGGTGGAAGAAATTTCCGCGAATTTGTGTATTTGAAAAATGAACTCAGTTACTCAGTAACAACTTGATGTTACAACTCTGAAAAGTGAAAAATAGGGACATTTGGAGTCATTGGAAATAAAGTCAAGTTGCATCTCTTATCATATGTCTTATAGACACATTACTCCCCCTCCATTCACTCCTCCCTCCATTCAATTTTAATAATTTTCGAGTATTTTTATACAACGTATGGTAACGTGTTTTACAAAAAATGACAATAGTTTTATGATAATAACTTCACTTACAAGTATTTATTATACAGGTCGTGTAGCCCCTGTTGCTTGATTTACCATATGTAGTAAAAACATTTGCATTTTTACGTTGGCTCTGAACTGAATCCTAGGAGACCTAACACATTTCCCCGTGCACTGCGCCTATTCATTAAGCCATTCAATTGTAAACTTTCTCTTGAAAAAAATAAATCCCCAAAATTTGTTGAATTTTCTAGGGAAAATCAGCTACTCCCCCTCCGTTCATTTTTTCCGATCACTGGGCGTGAATATGGTACTTGTTAGACAGGGTGAATGACATGACAGAAGTAAAGGTCATGGTCAGAGGTCAAAGAACAGAAATAATCCAGGTACAACTCCATTATAGATTATACAACTCTCCACATCTGGTTGTTCAAGTAGTTAAAGGGGAGGGGGGGGGGGGCTGCAAAGAATTTTCTGAATTTTTCTTTATTCTTAGTTTTGTAGTTGTCCTTGTTTCTTAAAGTTAACAAATCAGCTTGGAAATTGTAGTGGGGTATGGCATTAGATTTGTATGATAAAAATACTCTATCTAACCCATCACTATCAAGAGGCCAGTTTTTCATACATTCCTAATACCTTATATAGGATTTGTTCCAGTGCCGTGTCACATTTGAATATTACGAACCAACATTGATCATTAAGAACAAATCCTTGCCTAAGAATAAAACAGAAAACTAGCCCCTGGAGTGTAATAGATAATATACATATAGGCTTATACGTAAATACTTAATTGACGGAACATTGGAGCACAACGGATATTGAGTAATATATCGATATTCTTAGGAGAGCTTTGGAATGCAGTTCTTTCAAAAACCAATTATTTCATTGACGACAAAATATAATAATAAAAATGCTTGTAACAATACCCTCCATTAAGTTTTATACAATAATTTTCACATGAAATAGAATAGTTAATGATAAGTAATATTCTAGCACAGTCTATATCGTAAATACATTTCATTTTTTGGTATTGCCTAGTTCTCTGTCTGTCAATCCATCCAAACATCAA